CCCCCCCCCCATGCATGAGAAATTGTCTATCATCACCGTCCCTTCACAGGATTGTATACTAATCTTCGTGTCACGCAGGGTTGGTCTCAAAGTCACTACAGCAAGGGAGACGTTGAAGAAATGCGGCATTACCGCTGCCACCGCTTGAATAGAAGTGCTGTTCCTTGATAACGAGCAAGACTGCATGACTCCATTTTGCATGCTCAACAAGGATTCCCTTGGAGACGAGTTATTTTTTGCATTAACAAAAAGGGGTTTGGAAAGCAGCCTTTTTTTCCCCCTTCCCGCTTTTCGGATATAAAGGATGTAGTTTTTCCATTGGTCTCAAGTATAGAAGATCTTTATTGTGTTTCGGGAGTTTCTCTGTTTTGTTTGTTTTTGGTATATAGCAATGGGGGAATGCAGTATATATGAGCCAAGAACAGTGCTGGTCTACATCATTTTTACCCCCTCAAAAAAAAAAAGGTCTCAAGAAAAACGATCGATTAGCAAAAACTTCGTAGATGATTTTATTAAAAGTCATTAATTCCAGCAAACCCTCAAACATCCCCATGTAGAGGAGAAAAAGCGATGGATATTAAGGGGGGACAAGAGCAGTAGATGCAAATGTAAACGTCAAGAATTCGTCTTTGTATCATTTTGATGCTTAAAAACTGGCTTTCTTTCTCCCCCCCTTGCTCTTATGAGTATTTTCCCTTTCTACACACTGGGGGACATGATTTGATCAGCTTTTCTTGCATCCCTTTTGCTTCAAAGTCATCAGTTAAGGTCTTGTTCGCGTCGTTCCATGTCTGTTGTGGTATTTTTTTTGTATTTTTTTCTCGTCAAGTAGCTGAGATTATTGCTACTTTTCTAAATTTTCTCAATTCCTGACAAATGTTCTCACTTCTGGTCTTCTTGTAATGAAAAAGAAAAAAGTCCCCTTTGTCGCCAAAAAAAAAACATAGATGGATGGCAGAGGGGCTGCGAGTAATTTGGAAGAAAAGAATCGTGTCAAGTTTGAAAGGTCGAAAAAAGTTAGGACAGAGAAGATCAAAAGAAGTTGTGTCAACATTGTACGAAACAATACAAAAAGGGAACCTTAAATAACATAAAAGAGTACTCGAAAACAACAAACAAAAAAAGGGGGGTATTTGTTCCAGAATTCATCAGAGAAAAGAAGAGCCGCCAGCCAGTAGTAGTAGTAGTAGTCAGACCCAATGTGTGCTTTGTGTTTCTCCCACAAACGAAAACATGAGCAAGAAACCAGCCAGACCAGTTTTAATCGCATCCTTCTTCTTTTCTTTCGTGGTGGTTTGGTGTCTCTTTGGTATAATGGACATCCCGATGATCATGAGGAGGACAGGAAAAGGAAAATGAAAAAATCAGAGCATAGAAAGGTATAAAGCGGGGTGAAGAACAAAAAACGAGTCCGAGAGAACGCCAGGGCAAGGGTAGTAGGGGAGGGGAAATTGATGGGTTGGTGGGGGCTTTGTGAGGTGAGCAATCAAACAAGGGGGGATGGGGGGTTAAGAGGTGCAGGGCGAATGCAGTGACGCATCGAATGGGGTTCCATGAACGATGAGAAAAAGCAGCAAAAAAAACAATGAGAAGAGATGAGATGCAACTTCCATGATGGAGCTCTTCAGCTGCGGCTACAAAGCTCGCGCCTGGTGCTCCATCACACTCTCTTGACTTGCTTGGCCAGCAACCGGCTTCTATGATCAGACGCAGAGGTTAGAGATGCTTCAAGGGCTGAAGATGCCTCGAGTGCTATAAGTGTGGTAGTAGTTATCGACTTAAGGAGGATGGCCTCTTCCTCGGTTAAGCTTTCGAGATTCTATTGGTATCGTTGCCAGTCTTGAGGGGTCATGCTAGCAGGGTTGGTCGATGGAGGTGCCCATCCATGCATGTTCTGCTGCTGAGATGACGCAGGCGTCCCCTGTTGTTGTTGTTGCTGCTGCTGTTGTTGTTGCTGTTGCATGGCAAATTGCTGCGGGCTTGGGCTGGGTTGGTACATGTTACGGTTCATGCCAGCAAAGGCTCCAGCTGGACCCATGGGATTCATGGAAGAGTAACCAGCCATGGCACCCATCTGAGAGGGAGGGTGCATGGGAGAGTGTTGAGGTTGCTGCTGAAATTGAGCCATGTTGTGAGCTTGCGACAAGGGAGATGGCTGAGGCTGCGAGGGCGGCCACATTTGGCCCTGTTGGTAACCGTACGAGGGTGTCTGCTGGCGCATGGAGCTCATACCCATGGCAGCAGGTGAGCTTTGATGCATCTGCGAAGAGGGAAGCTGCTGGTGCATGGAGCGCACAGGTGACTGCATGGGGTTTTGCTGGTTTTGCTGATGGAACTGAGAAGGCATCATGTGAGCAGCAGCTTGTTGGTGTGCCATCATGCTAGGCTGCGAGATGGATGGGAGGCGACTCTGAGGTGACTGCATCGTATGGGGGGCAATAGTTCCCATGTCCGTAGTGTCGGGCATATGCGGCTGTGGAGGAGGTGTGGGCGGCTCATGAGGACGCTTCCAGTAGTCCTCATAGTATTGGTTGCGCACCACGCGCTGTTGGGTCAGAGACTTGTTGAACTCGGCTGCCTGGTTTGCTTGATTGAAAATGTCCTGGGGATTGCTGGGCTGAGTGCGATCTTGGTAGGCAGGACCTGTGAGTTCTTGTCTGGGACGAGCGATGGCACGGAAGTCTGGAACTCTGGGATCATCAGAAGGCATGTTGATCATGCTGAGAGGTGCGAGAGTAACGGGATGGATGCCTGGTGGAACGGCGGGGTGACCTTCGAGCCCGGGACCGTTTGTGTATATTATGTCCGTATGAGGCATGGAAGTCAGTGTAGTCGTGTTGGTGGAAGCCTCGGCGGCCGCTGCTTCCCTCTGCTTGGCAGCACCTGGTCGCTTCTCTCCGGCCGCATCTTCTTCGGTGAAGCCTTGACTTCTTGCCTTGGACTCCCAATAGTCATCGCGGACTCGTCTTCCGTTGGTGACAACGCGACTTCCGAACTGACGGAACATGGATCGTGCCGTTACGATGGCTATTTGCCTCGAACGGTATGAATACGGCAAGATTTCCTGGTGGATGAGGTTGTCCTTCTCCGGCTGGTTGGCGATGATCTTGTACAGCGATCGGTTCTTGTTAAAGAGCAGGTACGAATCGCGATAGCCCAACGCGCGCGCGCACTCGGTGGCGAGCATGAACATCTTCTGGCCTCGGTTTGGTACGGTGAATATTCTGATGCGATATTCGCGATCGGTCAGGTTGCCATTGGCATCCACCTTCTTCTCACCAGCTTCATCGATTTCACGAGGGATGTATTCATCGCCCTCAGGGCCGAGTTGGTCGGTGGTATGATCTCTGACAGTAGGCAGAGCCTTGACGACGGTAGTCTTCTGGCCCGAAGCTGGAGTCTGTCGTTGAGGTGAAGCCTGAGAAGGCGAGGACTGGTTTCCGCCTTGCTTTATCTGAGGCGTCTGTACGGCGAGAGGCGACGACAGGTGGGCGGGATGGGAAGCCATTTGTGGACTGTCGGCAGTCTTTTGCTTGGGAGGACGACCGCGCTTTCGTGGTTTAAAGTCGTCTAACACGTCAGCATTCTCGGGCGCAAAGTGGAGGACCAAGGTTGGCAGCGGACGTACCGGTGTCGACGGGATCGAGCGGGGAGCGGCTGCGCTTCAGACCGCGATTGTTATATGGCGAGTTGTCGAGGGCTACGCGACAATGTCAGTGGGGAGTCTGGAAAGCGGGTGGTGGTATAGCGCTCGAGCAGTCTTGGTGGTGGACGCGGCGACGTACTTGAGTTGAGCGCAGCAGGGTTGATCGTGCCATGACCGTCCATGGTACGGTAGCATAGGCTTGGTCGGTGGTCGTCGGTGTTTGCGGACTGGCGCAGGAGCGGTGAATGCAAACAAGCCCGTGTTACTCGATGTGCAGAGTTACAGACTCATTGGCGGCGCGAAACAAGTCGGCGGAGTCGCTTGAGCCCAGGGATTCCAGATAAGCTTGCTTGTCGGATCCTGCGTGTCGGAGCGGCGGACCAAGATGGGCGCGATGGTTGGCGGCGGCGCAAGCAAGGGAGCGACGCGTCTTTGTGTCTGCTGGTGCTAGCGGACGTAGGGTGATGCGATGAGGTCCTCCAGCAAGAGCGCATCGATCTCAGTCTGAAGACTTGGCTCGAGCTTTGATCGGCTACAGAGAAAAGCGTTCCAGTCAGCATCCACCAGCACGCAACGCAGGAGAAGCACAGGAAACAGACGCGAGACCAAGCCAGCTTGATCAATCCCTCGTCGCCACCAGACGACCCCGTCCAATAAAACAGCGTTAAACTCACTTTTTCCGATGAGCCTTGGAATGTATGTCAGCTCGAGGCTCGAGGCAAGGGATGGCGACCGAGGCAGTAGTACCTGGTAAGCAGTGCAAGCTTAACTTGGAACCGCAGATACTCGGTTTAGAACGCGGCCACGGGTAGTACAGAGAGAGAGAGATTCAATCAGACTCTTAAAAGATCAGATGCGCCCGTCATGAAGCGACAAAATCGTGTCTAAATGGCGATCCTGCTGCCTTTTCACGCTTATGCCCGACCAACCAGCTCTGTTGCCGCCGCTTGCCACACGTCATGTGCTCCTGCTCTCTCTGCACCTACTTTCAGCCAGAGCCCAAGCGATTGATGCCTCCCGAGAAAGCGGTCCGCGGTGTCGCTGCGACTTCTCTGCCTTTGATTACTTGCTTCCCGTCACGCGCACTCCGTTGATGACATATATACATATATATATATCTACCCGAGTACACTATTTCTATCATCGCGTTCTCATCGGACACTTCTCCGTTCTACCTGCCTCGGTATTTCTACATGTCACTCGCCATCTCACGGGCGAGGCCGGTTAATCGCGCGTATGCTCCAGCCTCGTAGGTCTTTTTTACATTGCCCAATTTCGATCCCTCAATTCTCCTGCTGGTCGTGCTTGGGATCTCCTCAATCTCCGTTTCGCTTTTTCCCAACTCTAAAGACCTGCCGCCTTCTGCTTGCACTGCCCTTTCACGTCTTTGGTCTTCAGGTCTCGTCGTTTTCCCGATATCCTTTTGCCTCGGCCATCAGCGCCTCTACGGAGATCTGCTGCAGGTATCCGCTGCACTCCCTGCGTGGCTCGACACACGCCAGGTTGTGCAGTGCCATGTGTGTTTCGGCCTTCTTACAGAGTGCCTCAGCGGCTTCTGTAAGCCTTAATGTCACGAGGCGAATCCCCTTGAGGTAATGATCGGGTACAAAACCATTCGAGCGTCAAGTCTTCGTCTAGATACCGCTCCCTGTCGAACAGGCTCAGCATTTAGATGAGCAGAATCATTGTCGCCAAATGAGACTTGCTTAACGCTCCTGCAGCTACGTGGTAAACATCTGAGCTCCGAGCTGGTCACAACCCCAATCTCTGCATGTAACGCGCAAAGATCGCGTTAAATGCGTGCATGACGCGTACTTGCACTGACTCACGTCTTGTCATGACCAGCTCACTCTTCGACAATCTCGATGCCGGCTTGCTTCGGTGTACGGAAGATCAATTGCTTGTGCCCAAATCATTTGTTGCAATCGCTGGCTGGCCTAAGACGAAGCTCCTTCAGAACCCGTCGGCACTTGATATAATCAGCTCTCTTCCCGTGTCGTATCGATACAACACCCATGCCGTCAAGCCATCGATCCAACCGAGAGCTGATAGTTGTCAGTATCTGATCTTCTTCTTGCGTTGTCCGGTAAGTTTCCACATGAGGCTCTTCCAGCCACCCGGCCCCGCAAAATGTTGCAACATGGCTTCGGCACGTCGTAAGCTACCTCTATCGATCTTTCATGATTGGGCACAAGTCACGACTCGTTCTGGCTGAACAGAAAAAAGTGAAGAGTAAAGTTCTTGTTTGCATTTCTTCTCGAGCTTAAAAGTCTACGCCGCTCATGTCTGCGATACGGCCCGGAAGTTCACGTGTCCGAGCCGGCACAATACATACCGGTGGCAGACCTTCCAGCTATCTATAACACGTCCGGCCATGCTCCATCTTCGGGGCCGGATATTTGCCCTAGTGTCTATGAGTTACAATTATCCGGCATCGCTGCCATCATATGGATGCTCAGTATCGGGTTCACAGCGAGACATATTCAGTTACGACTTTGGTAATGTTACAGGACTGGTGAAGACCAACGCAACAAAGCTGGATTGCTCGTCTTGCACCCTTGGACGCCGCTGTAGATCTCAATAGAATAAAGAACTCCTGCTCGCGACCGAATGGCGCCTTTTAGCCTATGCGATTCAAACGTGCGTCACAGCATGGTATTCTGCTACGTTCGAGTCTCGTCAAGACACTGCTTGCAACTACGGTTGCATTCAATCGGCAGGATCTTGGTCCTTCGACGAACACTATGAGAAACGATCGCTTTACTTCCTGATCAAATCCGCAGGAACAAAGATAAAAGCAGCAACGGGAAATCGATATCCGCGATCTGAGTGTGGCCTTCGGAAGTTTGCCATGAGTGAGAGGCCAGATGTCAAGCTAATGACAAGAAACTGTGGGTCATCCTTTGGCTGGATAACAAAGCTGCAGCACATCTTCTACTTCCTGCGTTCCCATGAATCCTTACGCTTGATGTCTGTGTTTCATAAAAGCGATCATACACAGCCTTCAAACTCCTGCAATGATGAATATTTCGTGTCGCATCTCTCTCTCTCTTCAGAAGGGCCACTGCTTCTTCGAAGCAGCAGGCTTGTAGCCACCACCATAGCCACTCTTGCCTCCGTAACCATGATTGTGTTGGTATGCGATCTGTTCAGCCTGGCTCTTGTAATGATCCAACTCGCCCTTCCACAATCTAAACCAGTATCCCACATCTTCAGCCGCGCCATCAACACCCCTCTGCGAAAGCCAGAATGCCAACACAACGAGACCGCCCCAGAAGGAGATGCGGAAAGCGAGACGGAACCAAAAGAGCACGCTTGAGACTAGCATCTTGAGAAGTTTGAGCGATGTGTAGAGGATGACGAGCATGAGGGCGATCTTTGTGAGGTCGGGCTTCTCGAGCAGCGACTGGAAGACGGGAAGGAGGTAGTTGTAGAATATATTCTTTAGAGTTGCCAGGGGGCCGAATATGCCGGGGGTGAGGTAGCCATTGCGGAAGAGGTAGCCTGCCCAGTCTGTGTCGTGTGGTGTTAGTTGTGGCCAAGGCGAATTGCATGTGATCGTGTGCCATACCTTGAACGACGTCCATGACTGCGGTTATGGATGTGATTTGTACGAGGTTTTACTTGAAAGCGGAGATCAATCGAGCAGAAGAGAGTAAGCTGCTGCAGTAAGTGTGGCAAGAATGTTGACAGGTTTAAGTAGTTGACGAGTTGTAAACACAGAGCTCAACTTGAGACCCCATGCTTCAAGCACTCCGAGACATCCATCGCTTCCGCCAACTTCTGCAAGATTCGCATAGTTTACTGTGCGGAGCGCCGACAGTGCCTCCAGAAATACTGTAAAATGTACAATGACTCAAGTTGAACTTCAGTCTGGCGCTCTTCCAGATGAGCGGCGGCTTGCTTGACGAAAATGCCTCGATTTGTGCCAGTCCTGCTCACAGCCTAGATTTAATTGTCATACCAGTCAAATAATTTTCTGCCCTCCATCATTCAGCCGCTTTAGCTCATCTGGGAGAGCGCCAGACTGAAGTAAACTTGAGTCATTATACATCGTACAGTATTTCTGGAGGCACTGTGTTCGATCCACAGAAGCGGCATCACCTTTTGCTGGCTCGCACGGAGCGAGGCGCCCTTTTGGTGGTTGATACATAGCCTGTATTCCTTCATCCCCTGCGTGGGACTCGACTTTGGTTCTGTGCGTGGGCACGACTCCACAGTTGGACCGACATTCGAAGCGAGATCTTCTTTCACATCTAGTGGCATCCAGCTCTCTTCCACTTTTAGCTTCATCATTTTATACACAACCATCCTTAAACTCATGGTCGTCTTCTGTCCCTGTTTATCTGAAACTAAAGGCTAGGCAGGCATGTCCCTCTTTCGCTTTCAAATCTGGTGGGACCTGGACTTTCGCACGTACCTGCCTCTGCAAGACGGCGACAAGTCAAAGACATGCTCACACAAGGAGACGAACGGAGACTATCGCTCAACCAGAGCGAGGACGAAGCAAAGTCAGTTTCTCACTGGAACGAGCACGTGCTCAACTGAAGGCCTTTCAAAGGAGGTGGTTGACTTCGCAGCCATAGGCGGTTTTTGTGTAGCCAATTAACGACGCGGAGAGAGAGCACGAGGGCAGCTCGTCGACTCTCAAGCTCTACACTCGAGGCACACGACACAGCAAGTCGTGCCCCTCGTGCGCCTGTTGATAGGGAAAGTGCCATTCTGCAGGTATTCGCGCCTGCGACAAATATGTCGGTGTTTCCTAGCCTCCAATTCCTTTTTCTTGCCCATTCCCTTGCCTCAACTTGAACCTTCTCTTGCTGTGATTCTATCAAGGTGCCGCTTTTGTCATACATATTTTTCTACACACATGGCGTCTTCACATCTCCCTCCAACCCCGGCTTCATCCACCGACATCCGAGGCAAAGAGAAGCTCGTGCATCTGGCACCAGCCTTTACGCTTCCTCCGGCCGCCTATGCGGATGGCAGTGATAGAGCCATCTCATCACCGCTGTCAAGTCATGGCTCCGACTCGTCGTACCACCCTCATTCTCCCGTATCTTTGAACATTGCTAGACGTAAGTCGACCGCTGCTCAGTCAAGCTCGGCCAAAGCAGACGACACATTCGCCCTTCCTCCACCACCTACTCGCAACCGCAAAATCATCCAGATGAAGCCGAAGTCTGCTGCTGGCGAAAAGCAACAAGAAGCCGAGGTCGAGGCAGCTCCAGCAAAAGCCACTGGAGGTAGAAAGAAGAGTGGTAACACAAGCAGTACGGCGGCTAGTCGTAAGGTAGCTCGTAAGACAGCACACAGCTTGATAGAAAGGCGACGACGCTCGAAGATGAATGAGGAGTTTGGTGTATTGAAGGATATGATTCCTGCTTGTCAGGGTCAGGAGATGCACAAGCTGGCGATCCTCCAGGTGAGTAGTAATACACATCACTCTGGCATGGTTGTATACTGACAGCTCCAAGGCAAGCATCGAATATCTACGCTACCTCGAGCGTTGTATCACAGACCTAAAGGCCGACAATACGGCTGTGAGACAAAACTCGATATCACAGCCTGCCGCCCCAGCTGTACCTACACCACAGCCTGCTGTCGTCGACGAACCTATGGAGGCCGAAGAAGAGGATGACGATGACCAAGAGATGTCGGACACGAACCACTCCACCGGCGCCTCAACGCCCAACGGACCACTACTCTCGCATACACAATCTCGAGAGTCGATCCCATCTCTGGCCTCACTACCCTCGATGTCTCATTTCACCAATATGTCACCTGCCATTGCACCCTCCGAGGCTTCATCTTCAAGACACTACAGCATCTCATCCACATCTGCTCCTTCCTTCTCCCCCTACATTCACTCACAACAAGCGTCACCTTTCTTCTTACCCACTGCCGGTCAACATGAACCTTCCTCCTTCGCTCTTACAAGTCCTGCATTACGAGCTCAAGACTCATCCATGCACAGACCAGGCGTCGTCGGCGAAGATGCAAGGCTTCGTGAGCGCCGGGAGAAGGAGTTGGATCACGAAGCAATGGCTGCTCTACTCATGTTGAACTCGGACAGAAGAACCTACAAAGATAGGTCTGGTCGTGGTATGAGTGTGCAGGATCTATTGAGTAATTGAAATGTGGTGATTGTTTTAAAATTGCCATGAGAGGGGAAAAGTGTCGATGATAATGAAATTGATGATACGCGGTAAATAGGACGTGTTAGGTCTTTCAAACAGTCAAGCAACAAAATCAAACGTCCTTTTAATCCTTTCCTGGTTCAAGTTATAGATTTTGCATGTGTCTGCGTTGACACAATTGCTGTTCCAACAATTCCCAAATTCATGCAACCATGAGCCTTCAGGCCAAATAAGTCCTACACGGGCTTGAACAATAGAAAGACCTAGTTAGCAAGGTCACTACACAATGTATTTGGCTTCATTCAGGGCCCGTCATCACCGGGAGTCATGTTTGATTGCAGATAATTATTGATCAGGGTGCCCCGGCCAGCCTCTGCACATGTGAAGATTACACAACATGAAAGTAATCACATGATTATTCTCGGACTCGAGATCCTGACGTGAGTCCCAGAGTGAAATCTTCCAGAACGGTCAAGACCTCTGACTCGATGTTGCAACACATGGCATTATGCGGATGTTAAAGCTTGTTTCTGGAAGCGGCCACTCCAATGCCCTCTCTCACCAGAACAAAAGACACGAATGAGTCCGTCTGTGCCTTCGAAAGGGACGGGTGCTTGAAGCAAAAGCACGCAGAAGACTGAGCAGAGATACTGGACGGAATTAAATTGTAAAAGAACTTTTTGGAGTACAGTCTAATGAGCTATCAACATGACAAAAAATGTACAAAAGTATGAGGTGCAAGTAAACCCAAAATCCAGATGAATTAAAACAAAGCCGTACTGTATGCCGTCTATCAGGTCATGCCGCTCAAACGCCAAAAGTAATATCATCATTAGTGTTCATGTGCCTCATCCAGTCCATGTCCATGAATCCGCCATCGTTGGAGTCGAAAGCAGGCATGGTGGGGAAAGTGCCGTCGTCAAAAGTGAACGATTCACCAGCTGCATCCAGATTGATCAAAGTGTCGAAATCAGCATCCAGAGCAGGGATATTGAAGGCAGCTGCCGTAGTATCATCAATCTGGCTGTCGGTTGTGTGCTCAGAGCCTGGAGGTGTAGAGGCGAGGAAATCGTTGAGATGCTGAGCCAAATCGTTTTCGGAGACTTGAGGGTCTCTTTGGTCGCCTTGTTGTTGGCGAGGTTGCGACTGCTGGTCATTGTTCGCACTTGCAGCAAGCTCTGGTGGCGGTGTCAAGCGACCGACATGTGGCAGACTTGATCTTGCTGGTTTCATTACGTTGGACATGTTGGCCACGTGCGCAGGTCGTGGTGGCGGGCCCATCTTAGGTGGAGGAAGCGTTATTTCTGCCTTGCGAATCGCTGCTTCGAGGAACGCGGTCGAGTAGTCTGCGGCTGCGTAGATATCACGCAGTTTGTTGAGAATCTGCATGCACTGGCAGAAGCCCTGCAAGCTGGCGCGTCGGGTCGTCTCATCCGGCGCCTTGATGTCAAGTAGGTGGATAATTATGGCTGGAAGAAGAACGGTGATACCAGAGGTAGGCAAGCAACGGATGAGATCAAGCTCGTTCAGGTTTTGAGCGACTGCAGTAAGTCGGTTGGCAGCGAAGCGGACAGTTCTGCGTGATGTATCCAACACCTCCGAAGCCATCTTTCTAGACGGTGCAGCAGTTGAAGGAAGTACCTGCGGTCTGTGTAGCGCAGAAAGTGTAGCCAGATAGATCATATGTAGGAGCGAGCGGTGAAGTGCAATCGCTCCTTTGCCAGCTGTGAGGTCGAATAGTGAAGAGGGCTTGTACTTTGCCTCAGGCGCGATTGATGCTTTCCACTGCTTAAGCTCTTCGTCGCAAGCCTTGACAGAGCATTTCTCGGGATCGTCCTTGCGAGCTACAAGCATCATAGTTGTACGTGTGGTACCTTCTTGACTCTGCACGCCGTGGTTGTTGTGCAAGACAGAGTACTGTGTTGATAAGACGTGGCTGATGCAAATGCACAATTTGGCTTTCTCAATACACATGATAGCCAGATCTCGTTGCATGGACTTGTCTTGCATAATCTTGCAGCTGGGCGGAATGCATGAGGACTGGCTGTTCAACGTGGCGAATTCGAAGTCGTCTATCGTGAGCATAGGAACGTCGAAATCCTCATTCTTTATCCTGGTTGGACGGCGCATTCCAAGGGCAATGAGACGGTCACGCATGTAAGTTGCCCACCAGATGCGCTTCCAGAGACGTCTCTGTTTAGGGGCCATATTTGAGCGTTCCGGATTGCGATGAAGACCGATAGTGTGCGAAAGAGAAACAGCAATACCCATCCAGTGATGGCTGTCCTTTTGGTCATCTGGTGTCTCATACCAGAAAGTCATAAGTAATAGGGATTGAATCAATGAAATCCGATCAGCTTCGTAGTCGAAATCATAAAGGAGCTGCATAGGAATTAGCCATGATGGAGAAATACAACCATTTAAAACTCACTCTAGTCTTCTGGAAAAAGTCGCGTCTGGCAGCCCTTCTGTTTGTGTATCCAGCAGTTTGCAGATATGCCATATCCACTGAAGCCACGGCTGCGAACATGATTGCTTGGAACAGTAGGAGACTGATGGCGGAGTTTGCGTCATTGTTGTCCACAGTACGTATGAGTTCGTGAATATCCAACAAGGGCATATATGGGTGGATGTTCTCTACAAAGCATCGTAATAGGGCAGCGCGCAAGGCGGGTGGTGGTATGGTGAGGGCACCTTTCTTTCCCAGATATGACAGGTCTTCCGGACCAAAAGTTGAAGGGAAGGTTCTTATGAACGCAGGGAGTGCCTGATGCGGTGGCGGAGGAGTATGTGCCTGCAAACCGAATAAAGAGTTTGGATCAACGCCTGACAGGGAGATGCTATCTGTCAGGTCATGGGGAATGGAAATAGATCTTGCTAAGCTCTGACGGCGGGCAGAGTCGAAAGATTGAGGATCCAAATCCTGATCTATACATGAAAGTCAGTCAATTGAGCTACAATTCCAGGTCGGAAGAAACGAACACAAGGAATGAGGCAGGTGTCCAGGTGAGTCATGGAAGTTAAGATTGGGCTGCGGCATCGAGGTGTGGTGAGCAGAAGGAGAGCAACCTCCAGTCGCATGTCCTTCTTCATCGGATTTTGTCCATTTCCTTCACGTCATCAATCAGTATGCTGGAAAGGCACAAGTGGCATGCAGGTACTGACTTCTTGCGCTTGCTCTCTGAGACTATACACTCAACCTCGTCGAGTCTACAATTCGTGCAAGGACTCTGCTCAACCACGTTACAGCGTACTTTGCGAGCTCTGCATGACTGGCAGGCCTTCGAAGCACGTCTCTTGACACTTTTGTGGATCCTGGTGCCGGCAGCCGGGAGGCCGGCGTCGCTGGCTTTCCTTTTCGAGTTGGGAGAGCTCGAGGGTCTGGCCGGAGCGAGGAAGTCGCCATTGACAGATGAATCCGACATGATGGATGGGTCGATGGTCGAGGGATAGGGAAAGCGCTCGCGCGGGAGGTCGCGGGGGAGGTGCTGACCTTTGTATTTAATCTACGCAGCGGCCACCAATGCAGTTTTGGTTAATCAGCCCTTCTTTTCCCCCATGATCCACCGCCCCACACTATTTTGCTTTGAAGGAGAAACCCTCCGCAGTTTACTCCACGAACGTCTGCACCGTGACAAAGCCGCGCAACAATGGCGCCAAGCACACCTCCGCGCCTGTCCCGTTTCTCTCGCGCCAGCTACCTTTCAGGGATGGCGTGAACTTAACCGCGTTAGATTGCCCTGCTGATTCGCCAATGTGTCACTGGCAATCGATCGTCGGTCCAGCGGCGGATGGAAAGAGTACGGTATGTCTAGACATCCACGAGGTGACAGCACCAGCAATCGCAAGATCGCCATGCATCTGAAGAACCACACGGCATGTCGCCTGCATGAACTCACTCATCCCCCTAATCTTATCAAGCCATTCGAGGGGAAGATGCCGCAGGCTTACCACTTGCGCTTTCTCCGTCTGGGGCATTCTAGATTGCGGAACGGGCTCGAGCGAGTACGAATGTGGAGGACTCCAGCGGTGCGAGCGGGATTCCGATCTATACCGAGTCGGGCATCTCTCGCGAATGATGCGGGAGTCGGAAGCAAGTGAACTGGTTTCACTTGCGAGAAATGATGCGTCTGCACAGCCGACTCCTCCACAACACGGCAACTGTCTCGGTAGGCCCGGGCCACCTTATCCGCAGTATCCGCACGCCGTGTCATTATTTGAGAAAGCCTTCTTCCGTTCGAGGGGTCACTCAATACTCCTGCTATGAGCTTAATAGGCAAGTAGACGTATTGTGTGGTAAGGAAGAGATGACCCATGTGACTAGCTTGAATTTGGTTCCTTTTCTGATAGTACACCTTTGATTGCAATAGGATCGCACGCCCTAGGGCGCCTTCTTCAGTAACGAGGGCCTGAACTTCCTTCCTCTTCAAGAAGTACTTGTGCTGTCATCGTATGCTACAAACGCTCAAGTGTAAAATCCTGTGGATATCACGAGACACAATCATGTTACGAAAACGAACAGGAGTCGCACTCATCACTCCAGTCTACTTTTGATAAGAGCGTGATCCTAGCCAATCTCACTCGATGGATGTCCTTGTCTGAGCAGCATCCGCCAGGATTTTTGAGGAGGCAGTACGGGCATCCCGCTGCAAATTCGTTACTACCCGTTCCGGATATGTATGTTAGCCATCGCTCTGCTGGTTCCGCTCTATCCATACTGCTCGGTTCCGGGGGCTCTCTTGACTGCATAGGACTTGAATGATCAGCCCGGAACACTTCGAAGAGGGTAGGGAAACCCCATCAAACATCAACCCTCGTCAAGGACCGAGATCAACAAAGTCTTCACAATGCGCTTCAATACACGCCGCGGACAAAGTCAAGGAGGAAGCTTGGACGAACTCGTATAGTTGACTGTAAAGGAAAGCTATGCGAGGTCGTATTCCATACATGGAACTCATGTCGACGACGATTATGATGGATAATACAGCATGCAGCTTCTAAAACGGTTGCGGTCTTCTTTGTTCTAGAACATTTGTTCTCACAACTATTTCATGTCTGTTCTACCATCGCCATCAATGGCCAGACTTATCTGAGAGAACGTGCGACCTCATATCAGCCTGTACTCACAAGTCCACTCATGTCACACAACATTCTAGTCTCATCCAAAGCACTCATACTGTCTCCACGCAATTGAGTATTAATCCTTCACGTTGTCTCTAAGATTGGAGGCAAGGATGTGTTGCGCCGGTAAAGACTTCTCCCGAGTCATCGGTCGTCAACTCATAGTCCAAACATGTGCGTCGCGATCAAGGATCCCTTGAAGATGGCCAGGCAGGTGCGAGGATGATTGGAATCTTTGTACCTGCTGCTGGAATCTCCTAATCAGAACGTTACTCACGAGCAAATACTCGTTATATACTGCCATACCTTACAGGCAGTGTCCGCCCATGGCACATTTTTATCATGGAGCTGTCCTCGGCAGTACCCGACCGTACGATGTAGGTGCACTCACAGGTTTCTCGAGATACTTTGAACCAGAGGATGAGACTATTAGCGGAAATGCTGGATTAATGACGGGCGTGGAAAACAAAATATAGACTCCACTCGTCTCATGAAAGAAGCTTTGGTCTGGAATGGAACACGCTCCAAGTGAGACGCATAAGGTCTGATTTCTTTCTACTCATAGCGAGTGTGCTATGGTGCTGGTTCAGATAGCATCAATTGAATCGCCGTAATCCGCGAATGTCTCGCGGATGGACCAAAGTACGCACAGCATTCTAAGGAATACCCTCAATATCTGACGGCTGGTGCATTCCCACGACCTGCGCCGCACCTTCTATCGGTACCGACCAGGCAACCCTCCTCTCAATGAACTGTTCAACCTGAGGTCGCAGCTTGGTCTCAGCTAGGCTGAGATCATCAACAGTGCCTGTGCGAAGAATCGTCATATCAGGAAAACGAGCTCCACGACGGTACATCAGAGTACCACATGTTTTGCAAAAGTAGTTTACCATGGACGCATCGGCACGGACTGTTTTGAGCTCGCTGAAAGTCGTGAAGTTGTCTTCACCCCGTACATGTTTGAGGTGAGAGTCTGCCACAGTAATGTTGGACTGATAGAAGGCGGAACCAATCTTGCGGCAGTCGATACAATGGCAGACATGGCGATTGATCAGACCAGGCTTTTGAAGTGGCTATGAATCTTTGTCAGCTTGAGCCACTCGAAGCTAGACTCGGTGGGAAAGCTTGGTCGCGAGGATGCCAATATAGAATTACCAGAATCAGTTGCACAGCTCCACAGAAGCAGGTGGCAGTGGCTTCGTTCTCAGTGGACCAGCCATCATCGGAGAGGTGGATGACAGGGAAGCCATGGTCGTCAAAGGAGCTCATGATTGCAGTGTCGTGGTGGGAGCCTTGGAGAAAAGAAGTGATTTAGTGAAGACAGGATAATGTAAGTGAGCGAGAGTGGTTGAAGTCGGGTTTTTGTTTCAACCATACTCGCTGTTCTCGCCAAGTCGATGGATGCTGAGAACTAGACTTCTACAATTTCTAATCAAGTGATTTATAAGCTCGTGTCATCCTCTACATTTGTTATGTGTAGCCTGCTTACCTTGTGGACACTCGCATCGACCTTCGACTAGAATTATCTGGAGTGGAACCCAACGTCGTGACTGCTGGCCGTAATCTTGAGTCAGTCGTAAACACACCCAACTGTGTATAGACGTTCGCATGGGACTCTATAGATTTGAAGCGGGGTACCTGTATAGCTCTTACAGGGTACGACTGCAGTCGCTGACTAATGTGGGGCTTGCAGTCTACTTACCTCAAGCTTGGTAACGCAGTTGATCCCCTGCAACTCTTGTGTGCGTGAATGTGCGGATTCCATATCCAGCGATTATAGAAATACTGTATGAATGACGCAACTGAATTGAGGTGAGCATATTGAGCCAAGTCTGGTGTAACACTCTGCCGCTAAACTCTCGGGGTTGCGAACTTCACATAACAAAGCCCAGTCATCTCTTGTGTGACCACGTTTTTGCTGGCACAAGACTCACAATTGGGAGCATCGGCATCACCATTGTGACTACTCGGCCTGCCCACACGAGATGCACGATGCTCACGGAAGGCATACAGCTGTCCTCAGATCCGATATAGCAGGTGTGGTAGTGGGTATAGGTTCCAATTGATAGATACCTTGACCTTTAGGCTTTGACCTCCGACCAGACCAATCGTCTCTGGTTGGCCATGGGATTGTGTCCGACAGAGTCATGTCGAAAGATCTGGCATAGTCCTGGCGGCTGATACTTTCCAGGCTTGCGAGAGATTCGAGCAGGTAGACTATGCATAGGGCTGAGGTCGAAAGAATCTTCGTAGTGTCATCGGGAGTTGCAAGGGGTCGTTTTAGCCGTGTAAGGTTGTAATAAGACGCTGCTCAGAGTAGATCCGTCTATCCTGCTCTTCTACATCGGTGCTTTCGTGTGAAAGGTAGAGAAGCGGAAGTTAGTCGCCGGATCATGCATTTCACATTAGATGTAGACGCCAGTGTATGTCCAAAGCAATGAATTCGAACAATCCGTGAGAGTAGCGTGACGGCTTGATGTCAGGGCTACCTGAATCTGCTGAATTCGTCAAAAAGCTGGATGCTGTGAGTCTAGGCGGAAAGTGCACTCTGTCATTTCAAAAGCAACCAAAACACATCATCATCGATCGAAAATTCGAAATAGATATCATCGAGACTGGCTTCTTCTCCAAAGGTTCTTCAGGCCGTGGGAGGTGGATGAGGTGGTGTTATTCTGCGCTGCCCGGTGACGAATTATTGTCCCTGCCACAGGCAATCTGATGTCACCACAAGACTCGTCCCGCAGAGCTTGGGTCATCACCCAAATCGACTCACGTCTCCTCGGATCAACTCCGATCTCACGTCTTTCTGGCACATTGTCGCTGCGTATCCCATTGCGCATTGGAAACTTTCGGTCTTGGTCCGGAACCTATGGCCTGCGCGATCGGACTTTGTCGGCCTTTCAGTACATCTGACGCTCGGCTCGTGTCCACGACTTGACAAGTTCTGAAAAGACTTTGGCGGGCGATGGCATACACGAGGTGCATAGCTGCAAACCCTGATAACAGGCACAGTCGCGTATGAATATAGGTCATTCAATCAGCCCATCGAATCGAGCTTGCATGGTCAAGTGCTATCCGTCGACTGACGACTTAGAAGAAGCACCCAAAAGCGAAAGCAATGTCATGAAGTGTATCAGAACATTGCCCTTCGATATCTCACATGTCTGGATGGTCAAATCTTAGCTGTATGTAGCTCATATGGCTGTTGAGATACCAAAGCGGGCGCAAAAATCTGGCCTACTGAACAACTCCTGTCTTCTCACACGACCGTCAAGGTCATATGACGGACCAAAGGTCACAGCAATGCTATGGAAGAGACGAAGGAGTTCGGTACTCTCGCTAAAGCTCTCTGTGCAAGTTTTGTTCCGCGCGGACAGGTGCCTCAAAGTATCTACTAACTATTCAAGAGTCCTTTCTTCGAGTTGAGTTTTTCGAGTCAACATAGAAGTTTTTGGGAAAGTACGATAGACTATTATCTTTGACTGCAGGCCTCAGAGAAGATCGAGCACGCACGTGGACCGCACTTCCCAATTGCACCATTCAACCATCAAGGTATCGCCGAATTGGCGTTCTCCCCACCATCATGTTTCCATCAAGGTACTGCAGAAACCACCCACAATCAGGAAGGAAATAACAACATTATAGTCCGTACATTCTTGGACACTTACTCTTTGTGACTCTGCTATAGTCACTCACATCTTATTATCCTCTCCACCATGACTTCGATTGCGAAAGGCCCATCATTACTACTTTCTCTACCTCCCGAGCTCATGCTCAACTCCCTCGCTCGAATCGACTATACGCCTGGTTGCCTCGATCACCTCCGCATTGTGTGCCACAGGCTTGAAGGACTCTTACGGCAATACGAGCACAGTCTAGCAGTCGAGATCATTCGCCTGCAATTTCCATCGAATGTTCTATCAAGGTATCCTGGTCTCCATGACCCAGGCACAAGCATAGGATTCAAGACGCTCGACGAAATCTGTATACGGGCGTACACGTTGTTCCGCATAGAGCGAAACTCCCACAACATTCGAAGACGCGAGGGTAAAGAAGCAGCTTGGATGAGGCCTGAATGGGTCAATCTACAACAAGTAGGAATGCACCTACTCTATCGCCTTTTTGATGCTGGTAAGTGTTTCTCGAACAAACCATCTCAAGTAGATACACCAACTTACTTTGTCATAACAACAGGTGATCACAAGAACAAATCCCAGATCATACGATTATTGCCTCCTACTTCACTCGCCATCCTTCTTTTGACACTTCACCTTTGCATACACCAACTCCGCTCTGATGGCCCGAGTCTCCTCATCCCTACATCACCTCTGCTGCACGGAATGCTACGCTTTGAGGTTGAGATGTGTTGTCAAGAACTTATACTTCAACACGGTCCCTGTTTTCTGGATGCATTACTCTGCCATTGTCCACAGGCTATCGCACTTTTAAGTCAGGAGGTCAAGAACTTGGAAGCCAGACAACTGCCCTCAGCCGACGGAAAGCCGAGCGAAAAGACTTTGATTGCAGAGTGTAGATGCAGATTAGCAGACACACTAGGAACAGATGTCGACAACAATAGAAGAGACATGTGGCATATACTCGAGAGAATAGGAATGTTGAACGAAAAAGACATTGTCAAAGTCATCAGAGGAGAAGAACTGGTAATCAGAAAACGACAAGACTCTGGTGTTGGGTTGTAAAAAGCTGCACTTTCCTTAGGAGGGAATAAAAGCAAGGACAAAGTAGACCGAACACATGGAAACAAATCGCTTCTATTCTTATCAGTCTATCATCATGTTACATCCTCTCTAACCAGCGCATCCACCTCCACACCGCATCCCCATTAGACCTGGAAAAAAAAAAGCCACAGCACATGGACAGTCTATTCTCGGACCGACCAGACCCGTCAATGAGAATGTCACATCTTTCCACCCTCCGTAAGCATGCAAGATACTTGATTCGTGAAGGTTGCAGACTGCCAGTGTTGCGTAAACAATAAGACCAGGGAAGATTAACTTTCAAGAGAAATCAATGCGCGAACTCTATCATACTTTTGCACCTCATGACTCGTAGGTCAGACACGTGGGTTATGGGTCAAGATTTCCATTCTCGAGAGAAAACGAACACTCGGGGAGCACCGAACACTTTCAAGAAAAAAAGGATTGGGTCTAATTATGGAATTTGTATCAGACTGAGACCTGAGACTGGAGAGAAAAATGCCGATTTTGCTTTTTCTTTGAAGGTTGATCTTCTTGGACTTGGCAAGAGAGATCGAGAGACAGGGTCACTTTCATTTGGTCTTGGTGAAATCGATCGGGAAATGAGATTGCGTGTATCTATTCGTACTTGCCTTCCTTTTAATCGTATCTCTCTGTTGACATGCTTCCAATCTCCCTGTGTCCTCCTCTCGTCTTGTTTCCCTGCAATCGTCCTTACTCTTCTCAACATGGCGCATTTGGGCGTCAGAGAGAAAAGACCCTTTTTCGAAGGGAAGGAAGGGCCGCCGCCCCGACGGCCACCCAATGGTAACGAACCACAAACTAAACTTTGTATGGGCCCCCAAAGCAAACAAGGGCCAACAAAAAAGCAAGCTCCACCATCGTCACCATCACGAATTTTAGGAAAACCTAGTAAACAATAATAATAATGTTGTTTCCGGGCCTTGGAGCGAATGGGAAAAGGGCGCACGCCTTGCAAGAGTGGACAGAGCAAAGAGAAAAAAGAACGAAAAGCCGCTGGTGGGGAGCATAACCGTAAAAAGTTGTATTCCCAGTGTTTTTAGTCAGCGAAAAGTGACACGAGTCTGGACTTGCGGAACACAGTTTGGGGGAAGACGTCGATGTGGCTTTTTTTCCGTTGTTGTCACATGTGTTCGGATGATGCGATGATTCAAAGCCCGGGTCCAGATGGGCTTTTGGACGCGGTGATCGGTGGTGGTTTGAACCAAAAGCGAGTGTAATTAGTGGGGTTGGGGCTGTTCGTGCCGCTGTAACCCTCCACGTGTTTGTGGACTCTCCAGTGCTGTTTGGTGAAGTAATCCGCTGTGCGATGACTTTTGGAGTCGAGAGAGGAGATCATATCCCTTGGTCGATGGATGTAAGCCACGGCGTGGTTGTGCTGACGTCGGGCTCTAGAAAGACGTTCATTTCACGGCTCCGGCAATGTACCATCGACCATGGTCGTAGATCCACTGGCCTCCGCCAGCAGCACCAGCACCGCTGTGTGTGTCTCCGTCCGGAATCTCCGAGCCAAAGAAGAACTCTCCTTCGTATGGCTTGTCATCGATCTTCTTGGGCACGGAGTTGTAGGTGGGTATGTCGCCAGCGAACTCTGGGTAGACGGCGAGGAAGGCGGCGTCAATGCGCCAGCAGCTCAGATTGCAGAAGCGCTTGTACAACTCGTCCGAGAATTGGAAGAGCTGTTTGTCGTTCTGGACAAACGTGGTGGAGAAGTCGGAGTTCCACATGAAGCGGGTGCTGGAGTTGAAGAGATGGAGCCAGGTGTCGTCGTTGTACTTTGGACCCTCAAAGACGAAGCGTTCACGTACGCCGGGCCTGCACACACCACTGTTAGCTGTTTGTAGGCTCTTGTGTCGTTAGGTTGATCCTACCAAGGGAAGTAATCGCCGTTCGGTATATGGGGTACATGCAGTTGAGAAGGTCGAGGTCGCATGAACTTGGGCTCTATGTTAGCCATTGCCTGGGGGCCCATAGCCATACCCCTCATCATGCGACGGAAGGACAGCAAGCCCACCATGCGGTCCACCTTTCTCCATTGTGAACAGGCGTTAACATCAATCTGGCGTAACAGTGTCCACAATGGGTCGAGCTGCATATATGCAGTGACGGCATCCCAGCCATGGATTAGAACCATGATGATGATGTGTTGATCGAATGCTTCGTCCGTGTAAGCTGCGGCCACGCTGGGTACGGCAGACATGGCATCTGTGATTGTGCTGATCTTGTCGTTGTCACGCGGAGATGATGGCATGACAGAACCTTGCATCGTCGTCTGCGCTCGAGGCATGGTGATGGGAATTGTCATGGGGTACTGAGATGCTAGCATGGCAGGATTGCTGACGGGCATGATCATCGAGGTGGCGGTAGCAGTAGGCATTGGCGCGCCCTGCACTGTCGTGTAAAGTGGTAGACTTGCATCTGCTGATGAGATACCGCCTGTCGGCATGCTAGTACTCTTAACGTCAGGTTTGGCATCTACAACACTGTCGTTGGGTGTCGATGATGATGTCTCTGGTCCAATATCACTCAAAGATGTTCGAATGAGTGATTCGATCTGACGAAGTCGCTCAGCTTGTCGGTTCAGTCTCTCCTGGTCCTGTTCATGGCGTAAGATCAAGTCAAGAACGACTTTTGGTTCATCCGGGTTCTGAAGTCCGTTCAATCGAGCTTCGAGTCGTCGCAGGTTCTCGCGGTCCTTTTCTCTCTTCCGTCGTTGGCAAAGTCGGTCTTGCTCCCGTTTCCTGGCCTTTTTCATCTCCACATCGTCCTGCTGTGTCGGGGTCTCGCTGCTCCTCGAGATGGTTGATCGATGCCTTGACGCCTCCACGCCATCGGTGCTTCCGTTTCCGTAGTGAGACGCCATTGTCCTGAAAAAGATGGGGTTTCCTTCAGACACTCCTCGTGGCGAGATGAATTGTGTACGTTTTTTTTTGCAAACCAGGCCCTCGGAGCATACAAGTGTACTTAATATTGAGGACAGAAGGCCTTAGCGATAACAAAGTGACACACCCCGTGCGCCAGTCGACGGCTGTAATGATTACGGCAGCCCACTGAGTTTAAAGAAGTCAGGTTCCCCTCGCAAAGTCAAGTAAGTTTCGAAGCGTAGGATCAGATTTGGGCCCGTACTGGTCGATCGGACAGAGTCAAGTCACTCAACATGGCAAAAAGCTCAGCGATGCTCCGTACATAGTATGATTAATAATGCCTCTTCCCCGTCTCTGCGTAGGTCTCACGCACGGCTGCTGCTCCGCCGGCTCTTGACGGCAGCGGCACTAAACAGTAAAAGTCAACCAGCAAACTCCTTTCATCTATATGACTCGTGGAACCGCCGTAAACGGCATTCGGAAGGTGTGCCGTGGTTTAGATGGGCGTAGCCTAACGGGTGAGTCCGGACTTCACTGCTCATGTACCTTGGCAATGGAACGTCGTTCTGCAAATCCTGGTTAAGCTTTAATAACGTTCAGAGATGCTCTCAAATCACAGACCCTCCAAGATGCAGGCAGGATGCTACGGATACACATGCTTCAATTGAGGGGTTCATGCTCCTCATCATCAGGCAGCCCGTTCGGTCTAACCACGTCCCTCGGTCTATTTGCCGTTCGACATGACATCTTCAACCAAAGAGGGGTGTGGGATATGTTTGGGTTGCGATGGCTGCATGGGGCAGGTCCTTGTGTGTGTGGTCATTGTTTTGTTACTTTTGAGGCGTTCACTTCACTTCTTCTGGAAGGGACCCAGTGAGCCTTCATGCTTCGACCGCGGGGCAGACATGTATATTGAGGCCACGTGATATGGCTGACGTGTGGGAGAGAGCTCCGTGCTAATGAGCTTACTTTTAATTCCTGTTAGGGCGCCTGTCTGTGTGTAGAATACAGAGAGTAACATACGCGGCTGGCTCGTCATCTTTCAAGCACCAGCAATGGACGCGATGCTGCCTTGGTATCTCCTGCCGCTTCCATCCTTAGTGGCCGGTCAGCCTGGTTCCGTTTTGGATTGCGCTGTGACGGCGACTGTAACCTCGAAGTACCAGTCCCATATACCCAAGAGGATCGATCTGATCTTGAGGTGGCCATAGCAGTGCCTTCCCGTGGCCTTCTTTTTTCTCGTTGGTCGTCATCTATCGTTGGCAGGTTGGGATCCATCACACGTGTTTGGTGGATCCAATGACCTCTCCTCGGACCTTTGTCCAGTCAATGCTGGAATCCATGGCTTCGTCGACCAAGCCGCAGACCACCACGTTGTCGCCGCGAATCATGTAGAGTCCATGCGGTGTTTCTGAGCTCTCTTCCGGGTCGTCTTGAGGACGGATGACACGTTCGACAGTTTCCTTGAGGACGAGGTTGGTGACTTGATCGCAAGACACAAGGGTGCCTATTAGTGTGCGTCCATCGACGGTGATGATGAGGATTTTCTCTACTCAAAATGTTAGCCGCTTGTTAAGATGGTCAGGTGACAGTGCTACTGACTGTTCATATACTGGTTCAGCGACATGGTGGTGGCAGATTGCCGAAGCGCGTTTGCGCCTGGCTACAGGATTCCTTCTGGATCGATGCGCGTAGGAACGGGAAACAAATGACCGTGAGCGATGGTGCGCAGGTAACTTTCCAGGAGTCTAGAGGTAAGGGAGTGTGGGTGAATAGTAATTTGTTTGGTGCAATAGCTTGTCGAGACACGGGATGGAAAGCTCTTAGGACATCATGTAGAACGGCGCACGGGCCATGCTGTTCTTCATTCCAGTGAGGGACACCCTGCTTGTCGATACACTACCGCACTTGTCCACACTTGTCTCAGTTTTTCATATCGGATAGCAAGTGTGTATATTGTTGAAATACTGGGACGCTTCGGCTAACTTTGCAGCTAAAATTCAAGGAAACGTGCATGTTGAGGATGCGATTGATCTAAGCTGCAGTTTTTTACGCCAAACTCCTCCCAATGACCCAATGATACACGTGAGTAACCGCTCCATCTAACACCATAGCCTGATCGTTCCATCGGCACCTGCACTAACAAGCCATGGCTCGCGAGGATGCCATTCCACATCCAGAACTCCGAGTTCTCCCGTGACCTTGTGACCCTTCAGTACCTTCAGGGGTACGATCAGCGCATTCTCCAAGCTGTCACCTACAACCTTGCCGTGGAAGACTTGCAAGCTACCATCATCGCTGGCATCTGCGAACAGAGGGTACTGGCCAGAGTTGGGGTGGTAGCGCACACTTCTAATGGCCTTCTGATGGTATCTCAACGTCTTGTAAGGTGTGGCGGCAAGATCCATATCGTGCCACAACAGTCTTCTGTCATAGGAACCAACCAACAAGTTGTCTCCACCAGGATGCACATCGATCGAACTGATCCATCGAGCACCTGGCTTCAACTCCTTGTCGAGCTTCTGCTGTTGGAGGTCGTAAAGACGGATGGATTGTCTTGTGGCGACGAAGAACATTGGCTTGGTGGGGTGGAATGAGCAAGTCTGAGCGATACCCTTTAGGCGGCGGAATGGGTGTTGTGTGAGGTGCTTGGTAAGTGTGTGGATGGCTACAGCAGTCGAGGTGGCGGCAGGCGAAACTGTGCTGAGGTAGTCACCGCGACGATGCCAGTTGATGACCTTGACTATGGAACGCATAGTGCAAGTGAGAAGGACACCCTGATCTTGTAGCTTTTGTGACTCAGGTCTTGACCATACAGATGATGGAATCTTCCTCTCAGCACCGGCGTTCGTGGTAGCGGGTTTGGCAGCGTATCCGAAACCAGCGTCGATGACATCCTTGCTGGCCTGCTCGATTTCAGGCGAGCATAGAGACAAGGGAGTGATAAAGTAGACTGTCTCGCCGGCAGCTGCAGCAATGATAAGAGTGTCGCGAGTAGGTCTCCACTTGACAGCATTGACTGCTTCTTCTGACGAAAGCTTGACGCTGTATAGTTGGCGACCAGAGAGCAGTTCCCAGACTCTGACAGTACCATCGTCACCACCACTGGCGATCAGAGTACCAGTAGGACTGACTGAAACGCAGCGCACACGACCTACGTGGCCCCTGTAAAGAGTGGCGCACACAGTAGGGAACGGCCTAAGATCGTCGGGAGAAGGAAGCTTGGGAAGAAGAGACTCAGGGTCGATGTTGAGCTTGCTTCTGCGAACACGAGGAGCCAGGTACAAATCCAGACAGCGCTCGAATCTCTCCTTGATGAACTTTTCGTAACCAGGGACCCTGCGGAGAGCCGAGTGATCGGTGGGCAGGTATTCTCTATCTCTGTCTTCCTCATCGGCCTGCTCCCACGCCTTTCTCTCCTGAGCGTCGGGGAGATACTCCGGTGGGGGATGGTAAGATTCGGCATATCCTGGGGGCGGCAATTTGGGAGCGGGCATGTTCATGGCGTGGTCGGCTCTAGGAGTCTCATCTGCCCAGACATCGTAGGTTTGCACGTCGTCGTCCTTTTGTTCCTCCTCGCTAGGCTCTTTCCATGGCTTGATTCTTCCTTCTCTAATGGCTCTGACAATCTTCATGACACGCTTGGCTTCGTGCTTACTGGGAATAAATCTTCTCTTGGGCTCAGGAGCAGCACTCAGAGGCATGATCTCAGTCTTGCTTGTGAACCATTCAACCATGTCGGGGTAAGGGTCGTAGCCCTCGCCAGGAGCTTCGTTTCTCGTCAACTTTCTCAGAACCTCCAACTCATCTCTGCTAAGTTCCAGAGGCTTGCCAGTCTGGGGGTCGGTCAGACCAGTCCAGCCCTCGGGGAGCTCAATGCTGTCCAGAAGAGCATCCAGAGCTGCGCCCTTTGCGGGGCGCATGATCTTCTTGCCGTTGATATCGTAACCGATGTGAGGGTATGAGTCGTAGAAGGAGAGGGGAATGTCTCCGATTGTGTTTTTAGCATCGCCAGCATCCGAGTCGTCCGAGTCGTACACGGGATCAATCTCGCGGTATACGTATCGCTCATTGCCGTTTGCATCTGTGGTGACGATGTAGTTGGGCTTAAGGTCTTCGTCGTCTTCATCGGCGCCGGCTCCAGAGTCTGTCGTTTTGAGGTTGCGTAGTTGGTCGCGAATGTCTTGCTCGTCGTCCTCGGAGGGGATCTCGTCGCTGTCTAGCTCCTCTTCTTCGTCCTCATCGTCCTCCTCATCCTCGTCTTCTCCGTCAAATTCCACCTCTTCACTGTCATCGGACTCGTCGCCTTCAGACAGAATGCCTTCGAGGTCGCCATTTGCAAGCTCCTCGCGCGGAACGATCGTAGGCTCCTCGCGGGTAGCAGCCTTACGTTTACGGCTCTGAGTTGTAAGAGCCATGTTGATTTATTGCGACAAAAAAATTGTCTTAAAGTCGTGTTTTCCGGTTCGGGGTTTAAGAAAAAAAGTTAGGTCCTCCCATTACGCACGGTCCACAAGACCTCCGCGCCATCTGCTCTCCGCCGTCATTCTCTCCGCTGTTGGGTCAATATCTCACTCACAGCCGGAGTCAACGCACTATTAAGATGAATGGGACGGAGCGTAAAAGAATGGCCTGTGATGCGTGCAGTATGATTCGACGTCTCTTTTGAAAAAGACGTGCAAGACTGATTACTTAGGGGATCGTAAGCTGAAATGTCCAGCCGAGCACCCTGAATGCTCGCGATGCGACGAGGACAACATCACTTGTGTGTACTCCAAGCAAAAAGCCATGGGAAGACCAAGAAAACGCAAATTGCAGAATATGGATGGACCATCTAGAGAGTCGCCGCGACAGGCATCTTCTGCAGAGCCCAATCTTTTTGACGTTACAATCGAAGGGCTTGATCCATTCGCTGGTCAAATCGACTTCCCTGGATTGGACTTGCGTCCAGACATTGCTAACGAAACTGGTTTCCTCACAAGTTCTGCGTCAGATGTGCACTCGAACCAGTCATGCGCTTGTCTGTCCTCTATGTACCTATCACTGGACAATCTACGCGCCATGAATACTTTCAGCTTCCCCTCTAGCTTATATTGTCTTCGGGAGATGCTCGCGACTGCCAAATCATGTATTGACTGCCGAGTCTGCCCAGCACAGTTCCTCACTGCGACACAAAATGTACAGCTACTTGGTACTCTGTTGCTCTCTCTAGCTGAGCGTTACAATCGAATCCTCAAGACCATCAACTCAGATGCGAGGATTGCAGAGGAGTCAAATCGAGTGAAGACCCTTGAGATTAGCGGTGGTGGCACACTTATGCCAGTCCACGACCCTATGGGCAGACTAGGCTCAACGGAGCCTCTAGTACTCGAATTGATACCCTCAGAATGGAGGAAACTTGCGAAGAAAGTGGTGAGAGCCGAAGTCTACGGAACTTCCGATGCAGGCCGTGCTAGCTTCAAGTCCGTCTTGACAACCTTGGAAGAAAGGCAGGCTCTTTGGCACAAGATGGAGCCAACTGATGATTGTCCTGACCCGGAACGGAGAAGACAAGAAATGTACACTCGAAACGATAATCCCATATGCCTGACGTTGGCACGCGAGGCAAAGAAGCTCGTGGAGCTCTTCGACTTCAGTTGAGAATGATAGATCTGCCGACTTTTTATCCGCGACTCCAACGATATATACTGTTGACTGAGAGTTGAGAGTTCAGGTCTGCCTCAATCTGGCTAGTGTCGCCATCATGCCCTCACTAAGGGCTTCGTCGGTCTGTGGTTTGTTGACAGGAGCATCTGGTACCGGGGCTGCCTTTGGTGCGAAAGTCGTTCTGGGAGGAGGGGCAAAAGCTTCCGCCATAGCCTCCTCCTCATCGGCGCCAGGCTCATAGTCATCCGCCAGTCTAACATCCGGCCTCCTGTCCGCATCGGAGGTGCCCATTGGAGTGCTCACACCCTCCGGGATAGTCACAGTAGGAAGGGCAGCACCGATACCAAGTCTGGCAGCCACTCGGCTATCCTGTTCGATATTTGCTTGCGTAGGTCTTGAATCTTCTCGACCAATGCGACGCTTGGCTTTGGTCACGCGGAAGGGCTCACGGACAGATTGACACCACATCTTGACCTTCTTGTCACCCCAGCCAGCAATGTGGGACAAGTCTTCAGGCCGTGCGTTGACAGAGGTTCGAACGCTACCAAAGTTTGAGACAAGACCGACTGCGTCAGTCTTGTTGATGCTGCGAGGAACAGTTATGAACTCGACCAGATTGTCGGCAAAGGTAGCAGCCTTCTGTGCTTTGATACCAGTTGGAGCAGCATTCTCGCAAGATTTGAACAATTCCAGATAGCGGCCAGCCTCGTTGGCGCTCCAGGTCAGGATTAGTGTGACATTGTTGATTAGAGAAGTTTTAGACAGCTCTTTCAGCGGGTCTTGGTGATTCTCAATGTCTACCATGACAAGGACAAGGCGAAGGAGGTATTTTTGGCCTAACTGGCGAATTCGTGAATAGATGTACTCAGGATGTAGGCGATGATATTTGAGAGATAGGAAGAGAGCGCATGTTGTCTGGCCGAGCACGAAGTCGGCAGGGATATCAGAGTACTCCCAAGGCAAAGACTTGATGCTGTTCAAGATGGGGTTACCCTTTTGGCGCGGAGAGACAAGGATTGATGAGGCTGATTTGCGAGCAGGTAGAGCTTGGGGTGTGGGCTGGACCACCTTGCGGGCATTGTCGGATGCGGGTGCAGGTGGAGAAGCACGGGAGTTGGGAGCAGTAGTACGATCAACAATCTCAAAGAGATCACTCTCGTCGCCATATTCGTCGGGCATGGTGATGTATGCTTTGTGTTATATGGACACAGACATGAGGTGAATAGGCAGGCACCCTGGAGTAGATTAGAAGGAGCACACGCGAGTTCAGGGATCGGCGGCAATGACGCGCTGCACAAGGCGTCTCGACCCGTCGTTCGTGCCTTCCTCTCAGCGGACGCCAAGAGCCTCTTGCCCTCAGTCAGCGGGCGGAGTGAACGGGTTGGCTCTCAAGTGACAGGAAAGCCTTCATCAGCCACTGTCCATCCCACACGACATCAGCTCGCTCGAATTATACGGATCCGCCGGTCGGCACAGCGCATGAAACATTGGGCGTAATACAAAGCAGGCTTTGACTAGCACTCGAACACCCACGCCCAACGACAAGCAAACAAAGACGCCGACAATCACCCTCCTTTGACCACCCGCCCTGCATCCACCTTCACACATCATCATCGCCAGCGCCATCGTCATCGCCATCGACTTTCCGCATCGCGCCCCTCGGTCGACTCGCTCGTCGCACGCATGCCGACGTCGCCTGCCTCGCCGCCTTATTACTACCAGAAGCAGCCCGTGATTCACAAAGCAGCGCCTGTCTCAGTCGCACCACACACTCCGCCCTCGCCTGCGTCGGTGCGCATGTCTTCGTCGGCTCATAATGGCAAAGACCAATCTTTCCCTACGCCGCCGTCGTCTTACGTTCCGACCAACTCGCTCTCCGCTCTCGACATGAGTACGCACAACTCGACCCCTCAACACCGCGAACCCGACATGGATATGGACATGCCGGATGCTGAGGCTCCGTCATCGCGGCCGACGCTGCCGTTGCTCTGTCAATCCCGTAAGGCTTGACCCTTGTTGTTTGTTTAAATGTGCTTTATTTGGTTAACACAAAGTCTGCCGGATAGCTCATCCTATCTCGCGGCCTCACCCAAATGAAAACCTCATCAATCTCTACGGCCTGCAAAGCATCGCCAACTCGGTTCGCCGAACTGACCCTGCCACGGGCGAGAAGATCAACAAACTGCGCAAGTCGTACGAGGGTAAGGTCAAGAATTTCGGCCTCAGCGGAAAGAACAAGCCCACCGACATCAACGGCGAGTTGAGAGGTTTCATGGAGTGGGACGAAGGATCATGGTATGAGCAGCGCATTCAAGGTAGAGAACTTGACAAGGCAGAGTCATCGCCCCTCATGGCCAGGTTGAGTCGCGCTTTGATCATGAACCCCGGTACCCTCCCTGCCGATGAACACAACAAGTGGAAGAATATCCTTGGCCTTGACGATGGTAACAAGACTCCGTCCCAGCCTGCTTCCAAGGTCGCAGCCCACCCGCAGATGCTCAAGGCTCAAGCCTCGTCCATGCGCGCATCCGCACCAGCTTCGCCACGCGCTTCGAACCCGAATGGCATCCGTCCAGATCGCTCAAACAAGAAGCGCCGCTACGATGAGAGCAGTTATACCGGTTACAATGAGAGCTATCAAGAAGATGATGGCTACTCTACTGGCGGTCTAGATGACAAGCGAAACTCTGCGACCAAGAAGCGCCGAAAAGTATGACCTACCCCTTTCAAGTCTGCCCGACTTTCGCTGATCGATCTCTGAAAAGGACTTTCCCACAAACTTCGAAGGCTCTGGGAATTCCTCCTCAGCCTTCAACAATGGGATGCTGGGTGTTGGCGTCAAGAGCTCATGACTTGATACCACCCACTGATCCCATCCATCTCATAATCCTGGACGCCTTCTGATACCACATGGCGAACATTTTCATCCTTCGCCCTTTCCTTACTTCTTCTGCGGTCCGCCCTGCTGTACCAACAAAATCTCCTGTGCATACCCTCGACTTTGGTTTCCTGCTTTTCATCCTTTGATCTCTCAATTTTCTCACCGGCGTTACTACAAAAAATGGATGCTTCGCGCTACGGGGGGAGTCTTTTCTAGCAGGCGTCATTAACCACTACTCTGGAGGGGTGGTCTTTACGGGAAAAGAAACACGACCGAGAAACGGATCTCAAAGAGACCAAGATATACAACAACAACAATAACAAGCAAGTCACAAAAAAAAACAGACAGGAAGTGTACACGACGGATGCGGTTGTGACAATAGCAACTATCATTCAGTATTCAAGTCAGTTTACGATATAAAGAATTCTTCAGAAAAAATGGAATAATGGAAAATTTATTGAGATATGACATACTTTTGATTGATGTGAGTACTATGTGAGCGAAATGAAAGGCTAATAAAAAGTCGATTGATCCTAGAACTAGCATGAAGAAATCAAGAACAGGGTATGCAATAATTGTCCAGCCAACAGATCGCAAAAAGAACAGTAATGAGGAGACAAAAACGAGATAGGCTTCTACAAACACATCCACTCTCACATTACTCTTCTTCTTCAAACAATCTATCAAAAGAAGTATTCGCACGCATATTCCCAGCCCACCTCTGTCTCTCTTGCACCGCAACCTGAACGCACTTCTCCACTTCACCCGCCCATTCCACCATTTCCTCATCACCCATCTCGGAACTCAGATACTTTCCATCATCCCCTTGCATCATCGTTCCTTGACCAGAAAGAGTGGTTTCTAGAAAGGAAACAGGGAATTGACCGTAGCGACCGGAAAGCAGTTTTGAAATTATTCTTGCCGAGACTGCGAGAGTGGAGAATTGAAAAGAGCGGGAGGAGAGGATGTAGGTTGTTAGGGGTGTTAGGATGTCTTTTGGGAAGAGTGGGAGGGTAGTGTCGAGGTGGGTGGGGTCGTGGGTGGGGATTAGGAAAGAGGTGTAGTGGGTTATTGTGGTTTCTGCTGCTTTTACAAGGTTAGCGATATCGATGATGTTGTAAGCGGGTTTTGCGTAGTTGTCATCGAGGTATACGTTTAGAGTGTTTGTGTTTGTGTTTTCGCAGTAGATTGTCAGGGAACAGAGGAGATCTATCCAAGCGGTTATTTCAGTAATGTTCAGTGTACCGGGGTGGAGTCTGTACTCTATAGTCTTCTTAACAGTCTTTCCCGGCGACACATAGGCGTTGTGGAGATTCTCGAGGTTTACACTGCTGGAGTGACAAACTGAGTATTCACATAGTTGCTCCAATCTAACAGTCGCATAAATCTTCTGAAGCCAAAAGGGAATAGAAGCTCCATATTTGACCAGTGTTCTCCAATCCTGGGCATTCTTATTGGAGTAAGCTATCTGAAGCTCATGACCCAAGACTTCGAATTGACGAACCGACATTGGAAGAGTGTAATTATTACCCTTTGAAGGTTTCCAAGGCTGAGCCATACTAGCACCCAGCAGACGAGGCAAGACGGCTTGAAAAAGCTCATATCCAGCAATTCTGTCAACAGGGAGTAGGGCATCAAAGCAACGTTCAAAAGCTGTAAACATACCCATAACATTCTTCAGAGTATCAAGGTTGAAACCATGATTACCGCGACCGACATGGACGTGCATACCACAAGTTCCATTGACCAAGACTCTGAAGCCAGGTTTGTTGCATCTCTGCTTCAAAGTGTTGATAATAGTGGAGATTTCATCACGCCAGTTCCAGACCAGAGGCTTATTATTGCAAAGCCAGACTTGATTATGAGGACAAGGGGTAGGGTTGAGGAAGTCGAGGATGCGGCCTTGGAGTTCGACGTCACTTACGATAGATTCGTTGGGATAGAATTCCTTTTCATCATCAGCGAGACGGACACTGCAATCGCGAGTGACGACCCATGCGTTGTATGTGTTGTCGGAACCTTGGTATTCCCATTTTGCTGGCGGTTCGGGGTCGACAGGAAGGAGGAGATCATGGCTACCGCTCTCGCACTTCCAGGGGCAAGGAAGGGAGACCTCCTCGCGAAGGGCCTCCCAAACAATGTGATGAGGGGGATACTTATCGCCGTCAGGAGCGAGAGCGAGGAATTCAAGCTCTACGCCAAATGTGGTGATGGAAGGGGACTTACCTGCAGTCCTTGGGGGTGGGGGAGGAAGGGTGTAGGACATGTTTGTGTTGTATGCTGTTTGTTAAATTCTTGACTTGTCTTTCTGAGGTGACTAGAGACGAGGACAAAAGATACGACTATCTTTATAACAACTTGACGTCGGCCTACGAGAATAGGTAAAAGTACAACAACAGCGTGGAACAATGGACCAACATCAATGGATAGAGAAATCGTTTCGTTCATTCATGGCATCTCAAAGAACATCAGAAAGGAAGGTGTTGTTGCCCTTTGTGGCATTGTTTTGGTCATACAGCGAGCCCGCTCATTCAGACTTGGTTCTCTTGGTCTCGGGGACGTCATCAGATTCCTAGGACGATATGTTAGAAGTGTTTGAAGGATGTGGAAGAAAGAATCACATACCTCTTCGGTGATCTTTCTCTTCGTAGTAGTTGGCAAGTTACCCTGTGTTTTGTAGCCAATGATGTTACGGTCACCGATAACAGTGATGCCACAGTTGATGGTAAGATTGACGTGCAATGTAGGAGTGGGCGAGTCAGACTGTGTGGCACTTGTCTTTGCGGCGTTGAGGCTCTGCACAGCGGCAAGCAAGAGTGCTGATAGGCGAGTTGCGTCTGCAAGTGGTGGTGATGCGATCATGTTGCCTGTGCCTTGGACCTTGGTGTCGGTGTTGAGAACTAGGGTGATGGGAGATGGGTCTTCATCCTCGTCTTCATCTTCAGAGTCTGTCAAGCTGTCTTCGGCGGAGTAGGCTGGTGGTGGGTGGTCGGAGATGTCTTGAGCGTGATGCTCCCCATCTTCTGTAGAGGCTCTCTCAAGCATGATCTTGTGACAGGAGTGCATCAGGGAGTCCATGATGATGATTGACGGAGGATGCTTCCAACGAGCAAGAGAAGTAGTGGACTCAAGAGAGGTGGTGAGATAGTGACGTGTTTGACGGAGTGGGAAGGTACAACACGCCGTTGCCGGGGCGAGCGGGACACACTTCTGGTAGTGGAGGATGATAGAAGAAGATGGTATGTTATTGAGTAAGAACAACTTCTTGAAGCTTTCTCATCTATAAACGACGAACGAACAAATGCTTCAAACAACAAACGGACTGAGGAGACAATAGAAAGGAAGAATACGAGACCATCGCTAATGGTACCTACCGCAAGTCTATTCATATCGGTGCATCAATAGGAACAGCGCATGACGCGATTTGGTAGGCGCGCATGAGAGTGAGCTATTGTATTGTCAAGCTTACCCCAATAGCAACGGGTTCCTAGTGTCAAAGGCCATTGACCATGGCATTTTCACTCGGGCCGGGCGAGAAGCCGATAATGTGGTACAAGACAGCCGGAGCGTGGTTGGGTCGCGATTTTCCTATTGTCAGGCGAGCTTTGTTTTCCTATTGTTGTCTGCAAAGCGCTCTGTCTGTGCGCATCCATCCATTATGCGGCTAGAGTGCTTCCCCTTGAGACACACGTGACTGCTCTGCACGAGATGTTTCTTGCAACTGCGACTTTGATGCGAGAGCGACAGAGTTGATGGAGATATGTTTGTGCATGTCGTCGACATTGTAGGAAGATGGCCAGCCCTTGCCGTAGGCGATTGGAAGGAGCGCGGGGAAGCAACCATGACATGTGAAGGAGGTTGCGACTGCCTCATTCATCTATGCTCATTTCACCGCCCTGGTTGACGAAGAAACCGTGTCGCGCAACTTATTTGCAAGCGCCAGTGGCCTCTGTTTATCACTCGTTGGAAGTGGGATATCCACCTACACAAGGACGTCGCTCAATTGACCATGCCGGCATCTTCGAGTCGACACAAGCGACAATCGTCATCAATGTACCGCCCATCCACATCCAGTAGTCTCACAAAGACCGAAGTCAAGATCCATGTCTACGACTTACTACCAGTCAGTCTTGCGTTCTTGTAGTTCAATTCTCCTGTATTGACACAACTCCAGCCTGGTCGTCTCTCCTCCATCCTCTGGACAATCGGTGGCTCCCTCCTACACTCCGGCTTGGTGATCAACGAACGAGAATACGCATACGGCGGCCACGATCGCAAAGGCGTCAGTGGAGTCTACTGGACACGACCCAAACTCGAGCCTCCGGGTGGTACATTTCGCTGCGAGATCATACATGGCTTCACCGTGCTCTCCCAAGAAGAGATTACGGAAGTCATCAACGACACCTCGAGCATATTTCAAGGCACAAAATACAACCTCCTCAGCAACAACTGCAACCACTTCTCCTCGTACCTCTGCGAGAGATTGACCGGTAGACCTGGTCCTGCTTGGCTGAATCGAGCAGCTAGTGTTGGTCTTGCATTGCCCTGTGTGGTTCCCAAAGAATGGATCACCCCACCAGACCACGAGACTGCAGATGGAGAGTTAGTGGATGAGGAAGAGGAGGAGCATGATGACGACGAGAGAGCTGCCATGCTACCTCGTGACAAGAGAAGGAATCGCGACCAAGTCAGCAACCAGCGCATCACTTCGAGGAATAAGACTCCGCCGCCACGACTTGTTCTCGTCAAGGACACCAGTGGTAGGGATATGCCGGCCTGTGAAAGAGCACCGATGCCTAAGAGATGAAGGTGCTTGGACTTTTTGCAGCAACAAACTCAATCGCGGGCCACTGTGTCGCAGGCCTCACATCTAGACTGGTGCACGCCGGAATATGGAAGGCCCGAATATATAGCACACGACTCAGCAGTCATGCGAAGTCGCTCCGACAAACGTCAGGAGCTTGGTGGCGAGGCCTCCTGAGCACGACTGAACGAAGGAACGAATGCATGAGGGAACGAAGAAATGAAACATGCATATGGACTTGGGGCTTAGGAAATCATAAAGGCATCAATGGGAAAGACGTATCAATTTCCCACAAAAGGCAGGAGCGGTATTGTAGAGCTAAAGAATAAGCAAAGCCATCCATGGTGTCTTCGAGGTCTCTGAGGACCGAACAGCAAAAAAGTGTTTTACTTCCAAGACCTTTGTTCACAATGCCTCAATGTCAGCAACCACTAAACTCTTCCTCTCATCTCATCTCGCACTTCCTTGTTGCATACAGAGGACAAGCAACTCCGTCACGCGAAATGCCCAATCACTCACTCTCTGTCGCCTCAGCATCTTTCTGCTCCACTCGAAGCCGTATCCGCCCAATCTTGCTACCCTATCTCATAGGAGCCGGACTATTCCCCGCAGCAATAGCAGCCGCAGCCTCTGCAGCCAACCTCCTCTCCCTATACTTTCTACCATTGATGATATTCTGCAATCTCTTTCTCTCACGCGGATCGTTGACTTTTGTCCAATCCAGGTCTTCGCCTTCCACGGCGTAGTCTTCAAACATGCTAGGGCCGCCGCCGCGGACAGTAGCTGCGTATACGTCGGGAAGATCTGAGAGTTGGTGGCGGAGGTGGGGGCTATCGCTGCCGTTGCCGCCGGTTTGGGGTGGTTGCATGGAGATTTGGCGGTGGGGGTTTGGGATGAAGCCAGAGGGTGTGTGGGGTGGTGCGTGGTGTATTGAGTGGGTTGGTGGTTCGGGTCTGATGGATTTAGGTTAGTGGATGCTTTGGAAAGGTGGGAGTGATTGGGGAGATGGCTTACCTGCTGGGCTTGGGTTGTTCGATCAAGTAGAGATCCTTGGCCCATGGTGGAAGACGCTTGTCGCGCGCGTATAGAAGACCGCAATTGTTGCAGAGTGACTGAAAGAACTTGTTAGCATGGTGATTTGGACTTTGTGATCTTGCAGAGAAACTTACCCTGGGTCCGTTGGGCCCGTCGCGAACAGCCCATACAGCACTTCCGCCGATGCGACAATGACTGCACTGCCAGACAGGGCGCTCCACTTCGGTCAACTTGCCCTGCTCACCACCAAAGGCAGCAGTAAAATCAGGTGTCTCGCGGCCACTAGGACTCAAACTGCGGAAACGCCTCTTCTTCTTGCTTCTCTCGCCTCTACCCATGCGCTCTTCATCACCAGCGCCAGCCTGGGATCCGAAATATTCGTTTGCCAAAGCGGGTGGTGGTGCGAAGCCAGCGGTAGCGCGTGCAGCCGTCTCGCGTCTCATTCTGCGGATCTGGCGCTCGCGATCACCTTCACGCTTCTCGATTTCCTCTTTGCTCAAGACTTCCACACGCGGTTGCCATTCGGCACCGAGATCCTCATTGTCGAAACGCCAGCCAGCTGCTTCTCCAACTGCTAATGCGCCATCGCCATGTACTTCGGCAGCTTCGTTATCCACTTGTCCCCAGGCGTCAATACCACTGCCAATGACGCCAAGCAGGGAGCCATTGTTCTCGCAGTAGTCTTTCTTCAGCTTCAGAACAGCTTCGTATATGGCGTGCGCAAGTGCAGGCACCCACTCTCCTGTCAAACCCAGGTCGGCGCAAGTCTGTTTAGCGAAGATTTCTGGGAAGCCCGCGGGATGCATGAGGGACCACTCGAACTTGTCGGTATAAAGTCTATTCATGAGATTGATCGAGAGTGAGATGATGCAGCGGTGGGCGTCGTCAGGGTTGTGTACGGAGGAGGGCGGTAGAGGTTGGGCAACGGCAGAGACATTAGCGTCGTTGGGCAAGGGTGTTTGGGCGACATTAGGGGTGCTGACACCGTTCGTCTGTGGTTGTTGTGCAGACGGGATATGCGTGAAGGCAGTGGAAGATAGCTCGCGTGATATGGGAGCGCGAGTCGAGATTTGGCGGGTCTCTGTAGTGGGTGTAGGGTTGAACAGCGGGTGCATGACGACAGCAGCATGCTCCTCTAGTTGAGTTCGGATCTGCTGAGAGACTTGCAATGCCAGCACGGGGCGGCGGTCCAAGGGAAAGTCCAGTTCGTCGACAAAGACCTTTGCGAACTGGTCGGGAGTCATGAGAGCCTCGTGCAAGTTCCACAGGAAGCTATCCTTGATTCGGAACTCGGGTGTCATGTCGGGGGCTTTGTATGCGGGCGAGTTCTCGTCGACTCCAAGTTCGCGCGCGTTGTTGGGCTTGGGCAGAGGTGCCTCTGGCTGGAAAGGGGTGACGCTCAGGTCGATGCGGATGGGGACCAGGTTGAGAGGGAGTTGTGCTTGCAGCATGACCTGTCTTTCTGTCATGGCCTTCTTAGGCTTGCCCATCCATTCTCGCCAGATGCCTTGCACGTCCACAGGATTGGTCAGTTCGGTTGACTGCACGGCTCCGGTGCTGACGGCTGTCTGCGACTCGTTCTGCCGCAAACTGCGCAGACCAGTGGGTCGTCGGGGCGCATCGCTGTCTTCCACCAAACTGTCGTTCTCGAGATCCTCCGAGTAGTTGATGGCCGTGGTACCGCGCTTTGTTGTGCGCAATGAAGCGATGGCATTCGGTGGTTGGATGGCAGGCGTGAGTAGCGAATTTTGGTATGTGCGAACGCGTGGTGCGAAACTCGACACAAAAGCTTGCGGACTCTCGGTCCTCGACAAAGAAAAGGCCGACATGGTGTTGGCGGTATAGTGCTGTGTTAGGCTGTGTGGAGGAGTAACAACCAAGTCGGAGCGTGTCGTCGTGTCGCGTCTCAATCCATGCGCCAAGCCTTGCTTTCACCTAAAACCACGCTTGATTCATCCAGGAATATACGCGACCGTAATCATCCACTTCAATCTGCTGTCACCTCACTCGTGTCGTCGTTCCAGTGGGTGAATAATAATCTTGGGCAGCTTCATCAAGGGACCTGCTCAAGCCCGACAATGGACGCGGCTTCACGAAGTGCCGCTAAACTCAAAATCACGTGCTATACCCATCCACCCTTGAGTCGGCACGCCATCATCATCATATCTTGCTACCATCTTGACCATCATCTCAACGTGATCAGGCATACGTCTCGGACTGGAGCTTTCTGATACGCTACAAATTCTATCTCTTGTCACATTTTGCCCATCATGCCCGGTGCATCTCTATGGATCATTCCTCCCAAGGACAGCACCTTCTCCCAAGCTCTCCAAACCCTCATCTCCACAACCATACCCCCTCACTTCCCAGATACCAAAACCTACGACTTCATCCCTCACGTCACCATAACCTCCAACATTGACCAATCACTTTACGGCTCTGATCCTCAAGCCTGGCTAGGAAGCTTGCCTTTACCTTCAGTAGACCAGCATGACCCTGTCTTTGTAACTCTTGATCTTTTGGAAGCTGGAGATGCATTTGTCAAGAAGCTGACTTTGAGGGCTGGAAAGACTTCTCAGCTGTTAAAGCTCGCTTCTGCTTGTCGTGCCAGTGCTGTCGAGGGAGGTGATAAGGTCAAGGCCAGCACATGGGCTCAGAACGACTACTTACCTCACCTTTCTCTCATGTAGTAAGTGAGCCTGTCCTCTGAACACGCTAACCACAATGCTAAGATTTGCTGCCAAGTGCCGATCTGCCCAAGTCTGACGTCGAGAAACTCGTGTTTACAGTTCAAGAAGACTGTCGCAAGGCTGGTCGCGGTGTCGAAGCTGATAGTGATGGAGGAGTCGCCAAAGGAGGTTGTATCGTCTTGGTGGACACGAGCAAGTCTATCGATCAATGGATTCAGATCGCAACAAGAGATTTGCAGCACATTACATGGGAGTGGCCGTGGTCAAAGTCAAGGTTCGATAATTGATAGGTATGTATCAACTGCGCTTGCAATTACAACACACATGCTCATCACAAGCAGGCGATGAAGAGAGTACTCTAATCAATGAAGATGTTAATCATAACAAGAAAAATGAAACGTCGCTCCGGATCGTCAGAGATCCCAATCCTTCTACAAATCCACTTCACCATTTGCATGCCTCCATCCCTTTTGTGTGTACGAACTGCTTCCATTCTATTCCTCCGCTTCATCGTGTCATCTTGTCCTCGAGCTTCCACAAGTGACTTTCTTACGCGAAGGCATATGCATCAGCAAAAGTGTTGTCCTGCGTCAGAGCAAACATCCGATGTCGTGATACTCGTACCAAGCAGTGCAAGATTTCGCCAGCTGGTACCTTACAAGGCGTAGGGGTTTAGCGATCTGATGGTCAAGCAACTGTAACACAGGTTAGTATCTTTGGGTATTGCTGTTCTTGGAGAAACTTACGGTGGACTCTTGGTCATGTCCGTCTTAAGGATGACCGGCACTCTGGACATCTCCCTGACATCCTGGATGTAGTTTCCATCCGACTCGCGGAGGCTGAACAGCTTCAGGTACTTATCCTTGTTGCTGAGCTTGGCCTCGGGAGTGGTGTGAAGGATCTTGGAGTCCGACTTGGTGCGTTGAGGACCTTGTTGAGAAGAGATGCCGTTACGTGTAGGCGAGGGAGGCATGCTCTGGGTGTTACGGTCTGTGTTGAGAGAGACACCAGCAGTGTGCTCTGTGATCTCGGACACAGCGTCATCATCGTCCTCGAAGAGGGCGTCGGCGTCATCGGTAGACATGGTTGCGGTCTCCATTTGCTTGCGCTGTGCCTCTTCCTCCTTGGCACGCGATGCAGCAGAGTCACGAGCAGCAGTCGTGGCAGTCCAGTTGTTAGCTCTGCTAGCCTTAGGCTTCTCGTCCTCAGGAACAAACGCAGAGGATGGGACGCCCTTCTCCCAGTACAACTCAAGCAGGCGCTTGTTCTTGTCGAACTCGGCCTTCTTGAGAGGAAGCTGGTCGCAATGTACACGCTTCTCAAAGCCGTACTCTGGAATCAACACATCAAAGGCTGACTCGTAAACGCAAAGGACGATGCCCTCACTGATGAGGTCGCCACCAAGTTCCTGACTCTTTCTGTCAAGTGCGCGGCAAGACTCGATGTGCACACTTTGTTCTTGTGCAGCATGAGCCGAGTCTTTCTTGGTGTTTGCAGTCTCGGCAGTCTTTGCCAGAGCCTCCACGTCCTCGGTGAACTCCACGGCACCGTTGGTGAGTACGTGCTCGAGCTGTCGATGGACAATAATGTCTGCATAACGACGCGAAGGGTTCGTGAAGTGGGTATACAAAGGCAGGTTGAGCGCGTAGTGAGGGTATTGGTCAGCGGGTGACTTCGATGGGATAAAGTACTTCGCGCGACGCATGGCCTTGATCAGAAGAGTCTCAACACCCTTACGGACGTCGGCATCTTCGATCTGGAAGAGACTGTTCTGTAGGGCGCCACTGCTCGAGGTGTCAACATCGACTCCGATGTTAGCCATGCGCTCGCTCAGGGTCACCAAACGACGAGGGTTGGGAGGAGCCTGTTTACGCAGAAGAGCCTTCTCGGGCAAACCAGCAAAGATCTTCTGAGCGACAAATGAGTTGGTCTTGTGGCTCAGCTCCTCGATCAGTTCATGAGCGGGCGAGGAGTCAAAGATGTTGTGCTCAACGGGCACGTTCTCGTCATCAAGCTGGTAAATCAGGCGGAGAGGTTGGTTGTTGGTAGTACCGTCGCCAAATCTGGCTTGACGAAGCTTCTGGGAGATGCTGTGAAGCATTTGGATCTGGTTGGCACGTTCGTCGTCGAGACCTGAGTTACCTTGTCCGGTGACGATACTGTCGACTTGATCGTAAGAGACCTTTCCAGTGCTCTTGATGATGGCCTTGCCGATCCAGGTGTCCTCATCAAGGACGCGGCCTGTGTCAGGGTTGATCTTGAAGACGACACTGACGGTGTATCTCTCCTCACCAGGACTCAAAGAGCAAATCTCAGAGCTGATTTTGGGAGGAAGCATCTTGACGGTACGGTTCATCAGATAGACGCCGCTACCGCGCTTCTTGGCCTCGCGATCGACCATAGATGAAGGCTTGACAAAGTGAGAGACATCGGCAACGTGAACACCAATCTCAACATGGCCATCGCTAAGGGTCTTGAAGTGGATTGCATCGTCGAGCTCCTCGCTACCGTTGGGGTCAATGGTGAAGGTTTGCTCGCTGCGGAAGTCACGGCGAGATTCCAGGGCGGCCTCGCCATCCTTGGCTACAGACCAATCTTCGTAGCCGACGTTTTTGAGGACAGCATCCGAGAAGTCGTCAGGACCGAAGTTGTTGTCACGCAAAAGAGCGTCGGTCTCCACCTTAAGATCACCGGCGTCGCCAAGCTGCTCAACGAGTGTACCGAAGGGGTGGAGAGACGTGATAGGCCAGCGCTTGATGCATGCAACGAAGATCTTGTTGGCGTAGTCCTGGTGCTTCTCGACGAAGTCTTTAGGTGCCTGTTCGGTTGGGATAGCGATCAGGGGCACACGCTTGTCGGTAGGCTTGAACCAAACGATCTTGGGTCTGTCCTGCTGTCTGTCAGGCTGGTTGCGGTGGTTTCCACCATCGCGACCTTGGCGCTCAGCCTCCTGTCTCTCCTTGGTGGCTTGACTGCTGGGCCGAAGGAGACCGAGAGTACCGGAGAACATCTGGCCAGCAACGCGCTCGACGACAGCCACGATATGACCGGCGTACAGAGGCTTCTGCTCGTCGTTGATCTCGTCCTCTTCCATAAGAAGCAGACTCTGACCTTCAACCTCGACATCATCGTTCTTCTTCTGGGTAGGACGTTGCTTCAAGCTACCACGTCTTCGGATACCTCCCTCAGCAGCGGAGGACTCAGGCTGAGTAGTGGCGTCGTTGACAGCAGTCATAGACGTACCGCGGCTATCAGTCATGTCCTTGCGCTTCTTCTTCTCTTCCTTTTCGCGCTTTTGGCCCCAGACTTCGTCAACATCAAGAAGCTCAACGGCGACGAGATCACCCTCCAAGGCGCGATTGCGGTCCTTGCTACCACAGATGAAGATATCAGCATCAAGATCGTTGGTAGTGACGTAGGCATCACTTCTGTTCTTCTTGTTGACGCGGAGGATACCTGCAACGAGTTGTCCATCGCCAAGAAGAGCGGGGAGGGTGGCCTGAGGAAGGTATGGAGTGAAGAGGGTCTTGCGCTGCTGCTGTTGCTGCTGCATGGTCATCTGTTGACCACCCTGTTGTCCTTGAAGGCCTGCAATGGGAGCCTGAAGTCCAGCGGCCTGGTAAGCCTGGATTTGAGCGAGCTGGAGAGCGTTCAAGCCTTGACCAGCAAACATGTTCGGCTGCATGAGGACTTGGCCTTGAGGAAGTTGAACAAGCTGAGGTTGTTGGGGGAACTGGAAGTTGCTGATAGAACTGATTGACTGGTTGCTGACAGAACCACGCTGGCGATGGCCCGGCTGGAAGGGCTGAGCTCCAGCATGTTGGTTCATCTGGAAGTTACCCATGTTGGTAGCATGCTGTTCCTGGATAGTGGGCTGCTGCTGACGCCAATTGCCGTCGAAATTACGCGACTGGGTTCTTCCATGACCCTGGCTGCCACGACGTTCAGGAGCATTGTTAATCTCGTTGGGAGGAGGGAACTGAAAAGCGGGACCACCGCGTTGGGTTCTCTGGTTACCAACAGCAAGACTCTGGCTACGACCATGGCCACCACGGCTGGCGTTACGAGCAGAGAAGTTGTTAGCAGGGGGTGGCATGTCATTGTTGCCATTGCCGGGGCTCACGGAGCGATCAGGCGCAGCACCAGCAGCACCGGGGATAGGGAATTGGAAGCCTGACTGCTTGCGTTTCTGCTCAGCAATCTCGGCAGCCTTCTTCGCTTCAGGCAGAGCGAGCGAATGTCTTCTGCTGTGGCCACTGCCACCACTAATGGAACCACTATTGCGAGGTCTGGGGTTGACGTTCTCGGACTTTGCGCCAGGGAAACTGAACTCGCCAAATGTACCAGAACCAGCTGATGGGGCGGGTGGGGGACCCATGGTCATGTTGGGCATGGCGGACTGGTTGCGGCGGTGACCTGCGGGTGGGCCCATGGAACCGGGCAGCTGCAGATGCTGCTGCTGCTGCTGCTGTTGTTGTTGCTGCGGGAATTGAAAGGCGTTGTTGTTGGCCATCTGGCCTTGCATTTGAGCGAATGCTTGGTTGGGCAGTTGTTGCTGGGGTTGGATCATGCCCATGCTGACATACTGTTGGTGGGTTGCGGCGATTTGCTGCTGTTGTTGCTGAAGGAGTTCGATCTGCTGGGCAAGAGCGAGTTGCTCCACTAGGAAAGTGTTAGAAAGGCTATCACGATAGGTTGACATGGCAAGACGGAAGCTGGAATAGTGAGATAACGTACTCATTAGAGGGGTGAGCTCAGAAGGGCTGCGTCTGTGTGCAATGTGAAAGCGACGACCGCCAGGGCCAGAAGGGCCATTCTGTCCGTGCTGCTGATCCATTGTCGCTTGGTCAGGAAGGTGACTGGGCGGCGTAGAAGGATGGCGGAAGGATGTCAGACGACAGCGGCGGGGTGGGTGACAGAAGCTTGATGATACTGGGCTATCTGCAGGACAGACGTCAGAAAGGAGTGCGGGTGCGGCGGAGACGATGCGAGCGAGGGCAGTACCTGATACACAAGAGGGAGTGGTAGTTTAGAGTACTGAACAGCTAAACTTGGTGATGTGGACCTCGAAGCTAGCGCAAAAAGCTATGACAACGAAGACGACGGCACAAGTTGAAGCGACTATCTTTTGTTGCTTGTAGTAGGTGGCAATAGAATCAGGAGATTTGAGATGCCGGATGATGAACTGCTCTTAAAGGAGGGCGGATGCCATAAACAAGATGATGGTATGGTAACTGTGTTTGTTGGTTGGTTTCGTGGGACGAAAAGACTGGTGAAGCCTGGGATGGACTTCGGCTGACGAGCAGAGGTCGTGCTTTCCCCAAAAGCAAGAAGCGTTGGGAGGACGGGATCAAGGCTCTTTCCACTTCCAAGTCTCGAAATGATTGAAGAGACTGAGGAAGGCAGTAGATGTAATGTGTTACAGAACAGGAAAGAAGGTTGGGTAGGAGAGAGGGCAAAGAGAGAGGTAGATATGCAGTCTGGAAAAAGCACAAGGAGAAAGGCGGGAGGAGGTGTTGGACGTGGAGAGGGCTATTGCCTGCGTCATGCCGCTTCGATTCGTGGACAGCTGGACAAAGACGTGCCCACTTGCGGGAGTTCCATCTATCTACAACACTTCAAGCACTAGACTCGTTGGTGTTTCCGTGAGCCTCCGTCTGCTTGGAACGAATGCCAATCGCTCAATCAATCGACATGATGCCTGCTCATCTAAACTGCAGCATCCAATCTCTCGCTGCCCTGACGCATATAGCTATCCCGCCAAGCACGACCGGATACAAGGCCGTTTGCAAAGCAGGATTACGCGATGAGACCTTTGTTAAACCTGTTAGACTGGCTAGGTACCTCGCGGACGAGAATAGAAAGCAAGGCAGATCGGTCGTATTGCCCGCATATCGTTTCAACCTTTGACACAATCCTCGAGAATATTCCCCTTCTGTCTTTCTATCGTGGTCTGTCTCTGTTGACAAGAAGTTGAAGGAGGCAGCTTGAAGACCGTCCTTCACGTCCTGGTCACATTCCGCTTCAGAGCTTGGACCTGATTCTTTGTCGCTTGTCGGCAAGGTTTCATGACTCGGAAAGCTGGAGCAAAGAACCGTCACTTCTGTCTCGTGAACTTTTGATGCTTCAAAAGTAGTTTGTTGATCATACACCTTGCACTCGACTTCAACAGCATTGAGAATGCCGTTCGCTGGATTATAATAAATCTTTGTCGCTGTTTGCCGCAGCATCTGGGACCACTTGCACCTTGTACGCCTTTTTCCGGGAACAACACTTCACTCGCGACTGTTTCGCGTCGGTATCTTTCAATGGCAACTCCTCAGAGGGAGCGAGCTGGCACAGCAAGTCCAGCGTCACGCACACCTCGAAACGATCCTTCGAGCGCTAGAAATAGTCACAATTCTCCCTTTCGTCACAGTCCGCGTCGCTCTGAAATATTGGTCGACGAGTTAAGTGCCCTTCACATCCGTGAAGAGCGTGCTTGGAGGCAACGACAGGATGAAAGAGATGCAGAACAGGAGCACCTTCATCAGCAAGCCCTCGCGCAAGCCGCCGCCGAGCATGAGCGTATCTTGCGCAATGCCATCGAAGTCGCCGAGACGGAGGCGCTGAGGCAGGAACGCCAAAGGGTGCAGAAAGAAGAAGAGGAACACCGCGCTCTTGAAGCTGAACGCTCAGCCAAGATTGCTAGAGAGGCTGCTGAAAGACGACGGAAAAAGGAGGAATTGGTTCGACAAGAGCAGGAGCAGCAGAAACGCGAAGCCGAGGAAAGAGAGATACGCGAAAAAGAAGCCCGCATCGCAGAACAGAAGCAAAAGGATGAAGCAGATGCCTTGCGAAGAAAGCAGGAACAGGAGGCTTCAGAGCGCAAATCGAAAGACGAAGCTGCCGCTGCTGCCGCTGCCACCGCGAAAGCTGCTGCTGAGCAGGCGCAACCAGCCCTAGTCCCTACATCAGCAGCGACCAATGGAGCACCTGCTCCGGCTCCAACTGGACCACAAACCGTCCCGACCTCGACCACGCAAGCTGGTACGGCGACTCCAGCACAGCCTGCTACTCAACCTTCTGCTCAGGCCATCGCACCTTCTGCAGCCTCGGGTGCAGCGAAACCTGCAGCGACAGCATCGCCACTCAAGTCTACACCAGCGCATTTGCAAGCAGTACACAATCAATATCTCGAGATCCACAAGCGCCTGAAAGTATTGAGGAAGGATACCACAACACAATGCAAACAAGCTGGGATACCTATTGGCGATTACCGTCGTAAGCTCATCGTGTTAATGAATCAGTTCACTGCCGATAGGCCTCATAACAGAACCATGGTAAGAATGAAATATTGAAGGCATAAGAAGTCTACTGATGATTTCGTGAACAGCTTAAAAAGGTACTCGAGATTGTCAATGACATTCAAAAATATCCCGAACCGACAGTCGACATTACCCCATTCCTCGCCATTCCAGCGGACAACGTGGAAAGACGCATGCCGCTATGCTTGGTCTACCTGATGCACATAATCGCCAAGAACGCCATCAGTTCATTTTGCAGCCAGAACGAGACCCTCATTGATGCTACTGCAATTCTCTTAGCCACGGTGTTCTCCAAGACTGAATACTTGTTCAACGGCACCACTTCACTCCTTGATATTCTTCTGGCCAAATATCATGTGGTCTGTCCGGTGCTTTTCGGCATATACGGCAATGAGAAGACTCATGATGGCAGGATTAGAATAGGATGGCAATGTGACGGTGACGGAGAGTTCATCGATCTGGAGATTCACAAGAACCGTATGTCGGGTCTGGCTATAGGGTACGGCTGTTTGTCCCTTCGAGACTTCAGCAAGTCGAAGATGCAGAACCCCTTCCCCCCGCCGAATTATTGGAAAGCCTTGAGTCACATCGCCAACACCCCGCCAGCACACCTACAGGCGACGCATTTCATGGTCCTCAGAGCACTGGTAGAGCCGCACGTGGAGAAGTTCCTCAAGTTCTATGGACAAGCGGGTCTAGCGGCGTTGAGGCAGGTGTTGGTGCTGCTTCCGGCGAGTGCGCCTGATATCGCAGCCAAAGGATTAGTCGATGTACTTCCGCAAAGTCTGCTTCAGACCAAGCACTTGACGCTATGATCGTGGGTGTTGACGACGGCAAGTTAGCTGGAATGAGATATATAGCATCCGCCACAAACCTCTTAATCGTTCATCCTCCAAAGAATACGAAACCTGTGTTGACAAGTATGCACCTTTCGCGTCTAGGGATTCTCGAAGTAGCTCAAATTCAAAATTAATGCAGCACCCATACGAGCAGTGAGGTTGCGAAATTTGGTTTGAAATTTGGTTTCTGAGGCCTCCTCGATGGTTCATTGATGAAATGTGGGGAAGAGCGTGAGCGGAAGCTCGAAGTTGGATTCAAGAAAGTTGCACGTCAAATCGCGACAAGTCTTCGTCCATCACACACAACCATGGCAACCACAGCAAACTCATCGCCTTCCGACCTGGTGCACAAGTCGGCCAAACGCACCAGAGAAATCTTCGCCGCCGATTTTGGCGCCCCCACAGCGCTCGACAACTTTCCTCGACCCGCGATCGCTCCACCAATTGTCTCGCCAGCAGAACGCGCTCAGAAGATCGCTCTGAGGTCGCGGATCGACAGAGAATATGCCGACGTAAAAGATCTACCTCCAGTGCTTGCGGCCAAGCAAGCGAATGCTGCCGCTTCACGTTCTACTCTCCGAAAGAAGCCCAAGACCGAGGAGCAAGCATCAAACCCGAAAATGGCAAAGATGATCGAGGGAATCTCTGCGCAAACATCATCGACCGCTGTCGAAACCTCGAATGCCCTTGCCTTGCGCGCCAATGGTGCTGGCAAGCTGCCGCCCAATGCCAACGGCCCTACACCACAAAGAAACCTACCTGGCTCCTCAAGTCTGGTGCGAAGAGATGTTGTACGACAGCCGAAGCCGGAGTGGAAAGCGCCTTGGAAGCTTATGCGTGTCATTTCTGGTCACTTGGGTTGGGTGCGCGCGCTTGCAGTAGAACCTGGAAACCAGTATTTTGCGAGTGGAAGTGGTGACAGGACGATCAAGATCTGGGACCTCGCTTCAGGTACTTTGAAGCTCACTCTGACTGGACACATCTCCACCGTACGAGGACTCGCTTTCAGTCCAAGACATCCATACTTGTTCTCCTGCGCCGAGGACAAGAAAGTAAAGTGCTGGGATCTGGAAACAAACAAGGTCATCCGCGATTATCATGGTCATTTGAGTGGCGTGTACACGCTGAGTCTACATCCTACGCTTGACGTTCTTTGTACGGGAGGTAGAGATGGTGTTGTCCGTGTTTGGGACATGGTAAGTTTCCTCATCTGCTGTTGTCTTAAGCAACGCTAACACAGCTACAGCGAACGAGATCCAACGTCCACGTGCTCAGTGGTCACAAGCAGACGGTATCCGACATCGTGACTCAAGAAGCCGATCCACAAATCATATCATCTTCGTTGGACAGCACTGTCCGTATGTACGATCTTGCAGCCGGAAAGACCATGGGTGTCTTGACACATCACAAGAAGGGTGTCAGGGCACTTTGCACAGCACCTCACGAGTTCACATTTGCTTCTGCCTCGACTGGTCAGGTCAAGCAGTGGAAATGCCCAGAAGGTGCTTTCATGCAAAACTTTGATGGACACAATGCCATCATCAACACCTTGTCGGTCAATGAAGACAACGTTTTGTTCTCTGGTGGTGACAATGGATCGGCAGCATTCTTTGACTGGAAGACTGGTTACAAGTATCAATCTCTCGATTCCATTGCTCAACCTGGTAGTCTCGACGCCGAAGCAGGCATCATGAGCAGTACTTTTGACAAGACTGGCCTAAGACTCATGACTGGCGAGGCCGACAAAACAATCAAGGTCTGGCGAGAAGATGAAAATGCTACTCCAGAATCACATCCACTCGAGTGGAAGCCCACGCTAGGAAGACAGAAGTTCTAGAGGACTTGACGCGATCAAGTAGACGTTGGAGATAATGATGATTGATACCCATGGCTTCCTACTCATATTCTATGTTTCGTCCTGTACGTGCTGTTTCTCGCCGTGTTTGTCATGGAAAACACCCCAATCAAGAAGGAACGTTGGTTGACCTTTTACGTGTGTTTGTTCACCGTGGGGCTGCATGCAGATCTGATGCGGCTTCCCTTGTGCTTGATCAAAGTATCAATCACTAAGCATCCTGACAATTTGGACAGAAGTTTATCACTTCCCCATCTGGTCGCGCTATCGTTGTGAACTCATCGATCATTCTTCAGATAACATTAACCTCCCAGCAGCCACTATGCCTTCCAGAAACAGAAGACTTCCGCTGCAGCCAAAGCACAACAGGCCTAATGCGCCTAGACCCGCGCCCACCGCCATAAATGAAGGTCTGGCGGCCTTCAACAGACGCGAGAATCCCGTCGATACCTGGAGAATTGCGAGAAATTGGACCATCAGAGATCCTAAGCAAACCATCATAGCAATTGGCAGAGCTACAGGAACCCACATCTCATATGACAGGAAGTTTGAGTTTCACATCTGGGGACCTCTTGAGAAAGTATGATGCTCGGAAACTAATCTCCACAAGATCTTCTGCTAAGCTTGTCAACAGGTAAGACAAGCTAGAGTGGTCTTGGAAACCAATATCCTGCAAGACAACCCAACATTCAAGCACCATGAACAAGATATCGGACCCCCCAGAGATACCCCCTTCAACACAATAGTAATTCGAGTGCCTCTAGTGGATCGAGTTCTTTCTGATTCACTGGCAGGGTTTGTTTGTCTGGCCGTCCGAAGAATACGCGCCTGACAAGGAGCTTGGCCAACGCAACTTCGAACGTCTGGATCCCATCCGTATCGAACACGACTGTATCATCGATTACGATGTTTCTAGATCGTCCTTCGTCGTCAAAGGCAGTGCCAACGACGTACAACAAGCTCTGTCACGTATCAAAGGTCTCCTTTGTAAGGCCGTGGCTCAGAACACCCCAGTCCAAAGGCTTTATCTTGTGCAGAACGACTGCCAGGAGGTCATTCTCAGGGACCATGCTCTTTCAGTGGTGGTGGAGTGCGGCTCAAAGCCACCATCACGCTCGGCAAAGGCTGTCAAGAGCGCTGGAGCCAAGCTGAGACCAGACGATGTCACATTGCACGCAAAGCAGATCAAGGATCGGGTCATGCAGACACTGAGCAAAGTTCATTGGCATCGGGGTTATATTGACTTTAGGGTCCATCTTGGAACACTCACCCTGACGAACTTCAAGCCTTTTGAGAGCATCGATCTGCCCGACTACAAGGAAATGCTTGCGGACGCTTACAATTTTCGAGGCAAGGTCACCGACGAGTAAGTTGACATCCCGATAGTCAGCATCCTTTACTAAGCACCGGGTAGACTCGGGAACAAGCACTGTGAAGAGACCCTACTTCTCCACTTCTTAAGAGCCACTGGCTCGCTTGATCCCTGCGATCGCGATGTGCCTAACCTTGCCGATACCAAGCCCTTGTATACCGCTACCCTTGAGGTTGATCTCAAAGACAATCGCGGCCACCTAATGATCAGCAAGACGTGGCGCACGAACAACGGTCTCTTCACCCCATCTGATCCCGAGTATAGGCGCATGGATGGAAACTCAGGTCCCACCAAGTTCCTCGAAGTTTCTGTGTCTGACACCGTCAGCAATTTCACTTGGCTGCTTGAGATCTCTGCTCTTGGACTTCAGGAGCTCGAAGCACTTCCCAAGTGGGCTCAGGAGCATGGTCACCACTACATCAATCTGGAACGCAATAGGGCACAGAACGCCGATTCCTTCTGCGACTTTGAGAGCTACAACGGAAAGCCAAGGACTGTTGCGAACAAGAGGAGCATGACAGAGAAGATTATCTGGCGATTTGAGATGAAGGCGCCTTACATCGGCTACGAAGTGGAAGTGGCCAAAGTCTTCAGAAGAGAATACACGGCTTGCAATCCCCCAGGCAAAGAGCCAGTCACTCGTTATGAGCCGCGGTGGAGTGTCGACGTCAAGCATCGCAAATGGTCGGAACAGCTCGCTTACAATCACGAGCTTAGCGCTGGATACGGCGCAGAGTGGAAAGCAGATATACAGAGCTGGTTCCCTGTAGATTCGGACAACCGGGACGAGAAACTCAATGGTCATGTTGAGCTGTTGCGTGCACTGCAGCGTGTGCAGGATATTGCTTTGGGAAATGCTCAGTGAGCATATGGGGTGTATCGATGGGGGGTATCGTTGGTCTGTATCTCTTTCTGATTCTTTTTCGTGGCTCGATGATAGCTAGATAGCATGAGGGAAGTTGACGATACAACGACTTCTCATATCATGTCTACGATGTACTAGTTGCTGCAATCCACGCAATCATAGATTCTTTGCGAGCCTCCCATATGTCAAAGGTGATGAACCGACACCATCCAACAAGAGGATCTCTCCCACTCGGAGTGTCTATGCTCTTTCTTGATTGAAGTCTCTCTTGATGCTCTTGTTTTGTTGGTAGCATGTCGTATGAGTGTTGCGAACTCAGCTTCGTGGTAACCAGTCTTCTGGGTACGAACTCTCAACGTGATCGACTTGGCGGCGGATGTGTCGAAGGATAAGTTAATATCGAGGCTAGAGATGGTTCACGATGAGGCTTAGGCGCTTCCCTGGGCCTGGTTGTTCGCCAGAACCTTTTGGCGCATGACTGTCCTTGTGTAAGCAGTGTTCAATGTAACCACATAGGAGTATCCTCCCAGGCATATGTACCTTCTTCAATCATTCTCAAGTTCTGATTCTTGCCCTGCACAATCGTCTCGAGATCCTTGACATTCTTTCCCAACTCTTCCGCCTTTGTCTCGTAGAAGACTTTTGCTTGCTCGGTGGTCTTTTCGACGTAGAAGCCTGTTCCGACGTCTACGAGAACGGTCTCGGTGCTTGCTAGGGTGCCGGGGACGTAGAGGGATGAAGTCAAGGGAACCAGCAGTGGCTTGTCGGCGACTGAGTTTGCGACACCAGCGACGATGGAGGCGATGCAGTCTTTGAACTTTTGCTGGGCGGCGCGCAGTTGGGCGTATGAGTTTGTCAGGTGTTGTGTTTCCTCATCGAGCTGCTTCTTGACTTGGCCGAGTTGTTGTACTGAGAGTGATCCGAGGTCGACTATAAGAGGAGCGCGATTAGCTTGCCATTGTCCGTTACAACCATTGCCATAGCTTTTACACACTCTGTTGACCTTGCTCTGCTTGTTTCGACATTTTATGGATTGGTCGTGATATTTCTGGCTGTGACGTTGCGCAGACTGAGCGAAACATACCAACTCAAAGTTCCACCCCACCTCTGCCGCATACAAGTCCATTTTCGGAAGTTATTGTTTTTACCACGAAAACACGCGACAAGGCGTGTCTGTCCAACACGTGCATCTTCGGCGACAACAGGGGTCAAGATAAACATTGACACATGATAAATTCACAATGGCTCAGAAACCAAAACGCTCCCGAGCTGAGCAGGCACGACAATTACTCCAGGGCGGCGGTGTACTACGAGAGGATTCGGATGATGAGCTCGGCACTGAAGATCACCCCTGGGAATGGATATACGGACCCAGCAAAGCCATCATTGGTGCCCGAATGGGTGATTTTGAATGTCACATTGGAGACACCGTGTTGCTTAAAGCTGCTGGGAATGAAGCTTGGGTCGCCATCATCCAGGACTTTGCAGAGGGCGAGATCGAAGACGATGATGGAGAGATGATCAATGACATGAAAGCCTCCTTCTTATGGTTCTCTTCTGAAAAGGAGATTGTGAACAAGGCTAAGAAGAGACACGACTTCTTGGAGAATGAACTGTACATCACTACTGGTTTGGACGAGAACTCATTGAAAACAATCAACGGCAAGGCTACGGTCCTTTCTGAAGAGGGCTTCAACTCGAGGTACCCCAATGGCAAGATTTCAAAAGGCTCAAGAGATCATGGCAAAGTCTTTGTCTGTCGACGAGGTTGCAACACCCGTACAACCACTTACACCGACGAGTTCGTCTGGGAGGATGTTTATCGCGGAGCCGAGGACTTGACATCGCTTTGCGAGTTGATTGATAGCCAAACAATACGGACTCGGAAACGCAAACCGGCCGCCAGATCAACAACACCAGGAGATCTGGACGATTTCGTGATACCCGATGATGAAGATGGCGAGATGGCCACACCGCGCAAACGCAGAAAGTTGACTGCTGCAACACCGACATCGAGAAGCAAGCATCCTGCACCTCGCAAACTCACCACTCCTACACATCGCCGCATTGTGGCTAAACGACCTTTGGAGTTCACGCCACTGGGCACTCGCATGTTGTCGCCTTCTCATACGACTGCATCACCTCACCAGCTTGCTCGAAGCACGTTGCATGTATCGGCTGTACCCAATGCACTCCCCTGCCGTGAAGATGAGTTTGGCGAAGTCTATGCACATCTGGAAACTGCCATCTCTGCTGGCACAGGATCTTGCATCTACATCTCTGGCACACCTGGTACTGGCAAGACCGCTACAGTACGAGAAGTTGTGGCTGCACTAAACGTAGCCGTATCTGCCGATGAACTCGATGATTTCGTGTTCGTCGAGATCAACGGCATGAAAGTCACCGATCCTCATCAATCATACTCTCTACTCTGGGAAGCCCTCAAAGGCCAACGTGTAAGCGCCACCCACGCCCTCGAGCTTCTCGAACGTGAGTTCAGCACACCAAGCCCAAGAAGAGTACCTTGTGTAGTCTTGATGGACGAACTCGACCAACTAGTCACTAAATCCCAAGGCGTCATGTACAATTTCTTCAACTGGCCCCAACTACAACACTCACGTCTCATCGTACTCGCAGTAGCAAACACCATGGACTTGCCAGAACGCACACTCAGCAACAAAATCAGTTCGCGATTGGGACTCACACGCATCACCTTTCCTGGTTATACACATCAACAACTCATCAAAATCATCGAGAGCAGACTTGAGGGAATCGGACAAGTAGTCGTCGAAGCCGATGCCGTACAATTCGCAAGTCGAAAAGTAGCAGCTGTATCAGGAGACGCGCGCCGCGCCCTCGATATCTGCCGTCGCGCAGTAGAAATCGCAGAATCTGACAAAGCAGCCTCAGACGCTGTAGCCCTTGCCCCCGCCGCAGACACAAGCAACGACGAAACAGCCCAAGCACATCCATCCACAAAAGCTGTAGCGATGAAAAAAGGCGTCGTTACAATCTCGATCATAAAACGTGCAATCAACGAAGCAACATCTACACCCTTGGCCTCATACCTCCGCTCCTTACCTCTAGCCTCTAAACTCTTCCTCGCTGCCCTCTTAGGCAGGATCCGCAGAAGCGGATTAACAGAAAGTACACTTGGAGATGTAATCGACGAAGCCGCTCGTATGGCCGCCATTTCCTCCTTGATCCCTCTGCACGATATTCTACTCGCTCCTGATACTTTCCAAGCTGTGGGTGGTGGTGGCGGTGGTGTTGTTGCAGCAACGGGAAAAAGAGGTAGGGTGGGAGGTAAAAAGGAGGGGAAAGTGGCGAGGATTAGGGGGATGGGAGGGGCGGCGGAGGAGTTGGCTGAGGCTGGGATTGTTGGATTGGAGGTTAGGAAGGGGGAGAGGTTGGGTAGGGTTAGGTTGGGTGTTGGTGAGGAGGAGATTCGGGGTGCGTTGAGGGAGGATGAGGAGTGTAGAGGTCTTGGGTTTAATGGGTAGTCAGACTACTCGAGGATGAACGGCACTGTTGTGACGAAGTGCTTGACAGTTGAAGGTGATGATGAGGTATGGTGTGTTCAGACGTCGAGGCTGATTTGAGAATTGCAATCGAATGCGCCTCCAAGAATCCGTCATAGCACTCTTACCATGTCCCACTCGTTCATCTTACCTATACTGTGTTACCTTCATGTCGTGCTGATACTCGCATACTCCCACAAACCCTTCGACCAGTCCCCCCTTCCTCCATCACCAATTTTCCGTCCCAAAAAACCATGTATCTCCCCTCACCCTGTCCCCTCACCACCCCGTCACATCCCTTCTCCTTCTCCCCAAAATCCACCACCATTACCACCACCACGTCACCACCACGCCCCCGATCCCAAACCCTCCCACCGAAAAACCACCGATCTCCTTCTCCATCGCCCAGCCCATGCCCAGCAAACTGTTGTGCTATATCGCATAGTTGATATCTTTGCTTACTTGCATATGACTAATTTTCATTTGTTAAGAAAAGTTTTGGGCGTTGCTGGAGATGCTCGGCGCGGCGAAATTTTGGAAAATGTCGCGTCGCCGAGGTCGGGGATTTTGACTGCAACGACTTGTCAAGGTTTAAAGGATTTTATTTCTGGTGGAATGGATAGAGGTTAGGAGAGTGGGAGGTATGAAGGGAAGTTGATCAGAGTAGGTGTATGTGCGAGATGATTATGGATGTGGGAGACTGTGTCTTTTGAGGAGAGGTGGGATGGGATGATAGAAGCAAGTTGTTAGCAGACGATGTAAGCGATACTTGCAGTGAGCGATGTACATTGTTGACCATAACGTGATCGCATAGTCCATGCGCCCAGTCGCTGTGTTGGAATAGGGGTCCCTAAGGAGGACAATAGAAAGGGTACTGGAGTCTGCCGACACGCGAGGGTCGTGCTGAGGGCATCGTTGTCATATAATCGCTCTGGTATTCAGCATGTTGGCTGTAAACGAAGTAGTACAGAAGGAGCAGATGTCTGTGTGTGTCTATGTCACCTACCGCGTCGTCTTCTCCTGGATATCTTATGCTTTTCGCAATAGTAACAAGAAAGCTCCCATGCGTGTCCTTGGACAGTCATTACTCCTGCTCCAGCAGAAAGCTCAGGTTACGCAGCAGGCATGAGCTCTTCCTGAATACTTACTCACGCGGTCTGCAGTTCACCATCACCCCGCCAATAAGTTGTTGGTGGCTGTGGTTAGAGCATGCGAAGACAGCTGACTGCATCACGGCCATCAAGCAGTTCACACTCAGTACCTACGCTCATTTGATAGAGGCGTCTCGCATGGGGCAGTGAAAGACCATCAGCCACAATGATGCCGAGCAGCCAAAACGCCAAACGTGTGTCGAAAAGAATTGTTGGCAAGCATGCATGGCTCAGGCACAGTGAGCGGTCTGCAGCTTGAATCCGAGACACCATCGAGCGTAGTCAATACTCGACCTCGACGACAGTGCTTACTGTCCGAGAGCATGGCTTTGTTGACCGGCGACCGGAAGTGTTTCGACGGCGTCTTTATTAACGCAATCATGTCAAGTTGCGCGTCTCACATGCATCGACGGCCTGGAAAATGGCAGGCAGCAGGGCAGACAACCCCAACCAATGGCGGGGTTGCATGTTCTGTGAAGGGCGCAGACTAGCGTCTCGCGGCCAGATAAGCAGGATGCCGCGATCGGTGAAAATGATGCTTCCAAACACCCGTTCACAGTCGCTGTAAAGCAGAGGGTAGGCCAAATTGAACGCTCTCAATGCTGGTAGTATGAGAGAATAAAAAGGCATGTTTCGAACGAGTTCGCGAGATGCCGCTCGAGGAAGAGGCAGTCGTCTTGACAAGTGAGGGCGTACGAGCGGAATTAAGAGTCAAGCTAGCGTGTTGTGGAGTTGAGTGAGTCACAGTTGGTGTGGGTGGAGCCAGCCGCGCGCTCCGAAACGCTCTCAGTGGGAGCGTAGAAAAGTCACGGCACGCCCACCGCCTGGTTGCCTTTCTCTAACATCAACGCACTCCAAGTACACTATCATTCTCCACGTTTACGCATTCAAGATGGCTGCATAAACTCCCCCATACCGTCGCCCAGCATACCAGCAATAAGACAACTTCGTCCACTACTTCCAAAACACTCTCAAGAGCAATCGCCCTTGAGTTTCTCCACCACTTCATCGTCTTCGGACCTTCGACTTCAGAAACTACAGCCAACTACGGCTTTTAAACCACAATCATGTCTTCCTCCCCAGAACTCCCCCAGGCATACGCCCCCACAGCAACCAGCATTCGAACAGGACTTCCCCCTCTTCGCGACGCCCGTGATACGCAAACCTGCTCAACGTCGTGCGCAGAATCTCGCTCCCGCTCAGCAGCCTACTCATAAACAGCTCAATCTCTCTCGCTGCCACGCGAGTACGCTTCTGCCTATTTCTACAGAGTGCCCTTTGGACAGCTATAAATTCGTCGCGACTGATCCCCCTGCTTCAACCATCCTTAACTCCTTTTCGGCTTCAAACCTGAAAACTGCTGCCAAACTCAATCAACCCAACCCAAACTCGGTCAAACTTGTTGCCAAATTCTACCAATCAAACCCAGACTCGACGACCACCGACGACATGTCCTACAACTACGGTTTCAAGGAGCCCAACGTCAACGTCGCTTACGCCGACACCAGCGCTGACCTCAACTTCGAGACCGCTGCGTTCCTCAAGGACGGCGCCGACATGCCGCTGTACCAGGAGTTCCCCGAGACCCAGTACAACGGAGCCCCCTACAACGACACCGACTTCAACGAGAGCGACTTCCTCGCTGTCATGAACAAGTTCAACGACTCCCACCCTCAAACCATCTCCCCTCAGCAACTCGATCTGAGCGCTCCCTTCCCTCCTTCTGCAGTCATCTCCGAGCTGTCTTTCAATGGTTCCGATGTTCTGTTCTCTCCCGAGGGCCCCGGCAACATGGACACTCCTCTCTTCGGCAACAACTCGACCGACCCTTCGCCCGTCCTCGCCGACAACATGGCCCCAAGTGGTCCTGAGAACTGGTACCCTCTGTTCCCCAGCAACGAGCCTACTGTGTTCCCCACCAATGAGCCTGTCGCCCCCGCAGAAGTCTCCACCTTGACCGTTCCAACTGGCGCCGACCTCCGCGAGCGCGTCGTCGCATCGCCGCCTCGGGTGTCTGCAGCTGCTCGTCCTGCCGGAGTCCGCAAGAACAAGTCCAAGCCTCTTGCCACCATCGTCGTCGACGAAAACGACTCTGCCGCAGCAAAGCGCGCCCGCAACACCTTGGCCGCTCGCAAGTCCCGTGGAAAGAAGGCCGAGTACGTCGACAGCCTCGAAGATGAAATCAAAGAACTCAGGCTCCTCCTCGCCGCCTCTGAGCAGGAGAACGCCCAACTCAAGGCTCAAATCAACCCTCCTCAAATCGTCGACGATCTCAACAACTACCTCAGCAACCTCTGAAAAGCCCGTCGACAAAAACAAACAACCACCAAAAGTTCTACTCTTCTTCTTCCTGTTCCGTCTTCTTTCCTACATCGGACCATTGCTACTGCATTCCGCGTTGACTAAAACAACATCGCGTCTAATTTCGGCCAGTTCTGACGTCCGCAAGCAAATCGAAAATCTTGCGTGACTCGTGGGCCTTTTTCTCTCTAATACTACCGTGTGTTCTGATTGTTCTTTTTGATATTTTGGAAACAGCAGGAGTTTAGTTTTTTTTTAGCTGTCAAATTACTCGCGTACAAACGCGCAAAACCCAATTGCCTTGCCACTTGTGCCTCTCTTGCTGTATCAACGAATGTGATGTCTGATGTCTCTGGTCGATGGTATAGACCTTCCTTGGAGGATTTGTGGTGTTTTGCGCTGCTGCCTACGCACACGGGCTGCTGCCTGGCCATGCGGAGACCTGCACCAATAAGAAGCAGGATGAATTGCATCGATTCTCTTAAGTAAGACAGGATATCTTCCCTATATTTTCGCAACTACGAGGAGATGCTCAGAACAGGTATCAAGGGGTTAGTACTAAACCACTAATCTTACTATACCAATCGATCATCTCCACTGATCATGATACTATCCTGCTTCGACTCAGGGAATAACAGCAATGACCTCGTGGAAGGAGATTGTGCTTTGGAAAGGTTCGGTCATGGACGTGGTGTCTTTCTCGATGCACCCGACAGTAGCGCTTTGAGCATTTGGTGCATGGAGCTAACTAATGTCATCGATGGCCGTGGCTTGCTCGTACGACTTGATAGCTTGCTGAGTTTGCATACTGTATCAATGTGGGAAACAAAGTAATGGAGGGTAAAACTCGACATCACGTCATGGCTGGGGGATGTGCAAGACTCGGTTATACCTGCGCCACACTTGGTAGTATTAGTGAAGCTCCCTAGTAAGGACTAAGGAGGATGTTCAGAGAGTTTTTCTTTTTGATCCAATGGAAAAGATGGAAGAGGGAAACGCCTTTTTTTCATACCTCTTCCTGTTCCTCCTGGTTTGCAGAGTCTACTTCACTTTTCCTACTCTATACAGTTCACGCTGGGAATCAATGTTGGCAGCTACCATACCGGTCTTTTTGGTTCCCGAATCGGTCGAGAATGTCCAAGGAATTCCGTATGTCAGGTGAAGAGTCCAAGTGAAGAGTCCAAGTGCTCGTGGCAAGCGCTATGCGTCACTCTTTCGGGCTAAACATACAAGACGCTTGCTTGAACTGCATATTCAGATACGAGCCAACATCGCTGCCTAGAGCGATGCAGCAGGTCGGCCGTGTTCTACGGATCGGTTCCAAGCATGAATGGATCCGAGTAATCCATATACAGCTGAACAGCGCTCTGGGTGAGTACATCACCCTCAACGATCTAAGATAGGCACTCGCGCCAATCGGATACCGTATCAATACGGACCTCTTTGGCCATAAATGCTACGAAGAGCGATGTGGCCGATGGTGATAATGCTGATGCATCATTCCGTATCGGCCACATCGTAGCGATCGACGGCGACTTCGTCAACACTACCGAAGAGGAGCTTATTGAGCTAAACCTACCAGGTCTTACTGAAGGTATCATGGCCGCGATGATCGCCAACGCAGAGCTCAACGGCAGTACCGCCCTTACTCCATCGGAGCTGCAGGTCAGTGTAAGGAAGGGTAGAGACTTCATCTCTTCTAGATGCCTCTTTCTATCATGTACGTACATGAAGCTTGTCAGGATCCCCTGAACAGTACTCGGCATCAAGAAGCATAGGTCGAGAATTGATGTGATAGCTTTCGTGTAGTGTCCGAACAGAGAAGAGGATCCAACGTAGACTTAAGTCCTCGAACAGGGGATGAGATGAAGTATGCCTAGAAAAGCAGGTTTCGGCTACACCACAGTTGGAAACCCACATGTGTGAATTGGCACGAGAAGAACGGTCACAGTACTTTTTTGTCAAGGTCGGGAAGTGGAAGAGAAGAAGTCTTGATATCAGAACATGTTCTCATTGGAAACGTAGAAGGTCTGTTTTGGGTATAGGAAGGATTTCCAAGAAAGGTGAGGAAAGGACGACCTCTAAACAACGTGCTTGACCTGTACAAGACATTAGCGCCTGTTCGTGTCCAAGAAGAAGACTCGAGAAAACAGGGCTATGAGCGTACCTCGAAGAAACGCTTGAGCCACCAGACCTGGAAGATGCCCTCGCCAATCAAGACACCGAGCTGGAAGATGCTCCACCACTTGACTCTGGCGTTTGTGCTCTCTGCAGTGTTGCGGTGGGTGCGTTCGCGGACGACAATGTAGCCTTGCTCATCCTTGACTTGCTCCAGCATCTCTGCCAGAATCTTGACTTCCTTCTCCAGAGGATCTTGAGGGGCCTCGCTCTCGGGAACGTAGACGATGCCGTGGACGTTGAAGCTGACTTCCTTTGTGTTTGCGGACCAGTGCTCGTTGCTGAAGCAGTAGAGGTAGCGACCATCCATTCCGGCGGTGAAGCTGTGGTCGCCGCTGCTGACGGAGCGCTCGTGGACTTGGTATGCGTTGGCTGGGTTTTGAATCTGCGGACCCCTGTCAGCTTTTGTTGCCATCACACGAGCATGCGAGCGCGCAATCGTAAACATACCCAGAAGTCAATGTCGAGGTTTCCGCTACCACCAAACTCGCGATCGCCGACCTGGAAGGTGACGGTCATTCTGTCGTCCGAGTGCAGCTCCTCGTGGAAGCATTCGCGCGAGTGCGCCTTCAGCTGGATGTTGTGTGCTGAGCTGACGGCAAAGAGGCCGCAGAGGGCTGCAAAGAGGAAGGAGAGGACGAGCATGTTTGCTGTCTATCGAGAATCGTGACACACAGTTGGGCAATGCTGAATCGACGACAATAATTGTTTGGTCGAGATGTTGCTCCGCTGTCCCTTGAACATGGAGGTGCACGGTCCCCAAACCTCTCGCAGCCCCCCTATTCTCACGAACCGCCTTGCCACTTTCTCAGCAGCTCACATGTAGAGTCGATGACCTGTTGATTCGAGCACCTGAGTAGCTCATAATACTCTGCAGACTGACATGATCTGGGTAATCTGAACTTGTGTGATATCTGTATATTCAAGATAGTAACAATCTGCTTCGGCATACCTTCCCTCCACATTGATTGAAGCTTGCTGCCAATCTTTGTGGCCCGGGCTCAATATCGAACCTCACTCTGTATTACATTCTTCTTGTTCTCTCCTGGAATACCATGTAGACGTTTGCCAACAGCTTGTGTTCGATCTTATCAGAAGGCCTGGAAGGAAAGCTGCTGCGTGAATCCCTACGTCGGACGATCAAGTACTGGTACTCTGTTAAACATGACTCTCTGCAGCACTTCATGTGCTATTGGACAGCTTCTTGGATAAATTTCGACCTCTGGACACTCAAAGAATAAGGTCTCCTTCCGTTGCTGAAAGGGTAACCACCAGCTACACTGGCTGTCCTTGTCATGGCGTGTGGTCTCTGAAACTGGCTTGATAAAAACGACACCAACGAGCGCCTGCTTGTGGTCCTGGTTACTGCTGTGGTTGCACCAATGGCAAACATCCTTTTCTGGTAATGTCTTCCGCTCAAGACATTCATGCTTTGTTGTTTGGGAGATCGGACTCCAGAACTGGTCAGGACGGATGCTTGCGTTGATCGAGACACTCAGGGTGATCCAGGATGCCCAGGAAAGGACTGCGAATGGCTGCTTGTAGGCACAGTGATGTGTCGGATCTATCAACCTTCACGAAGACTTTCAAGACCGCTACGACGATCGAAGATGACAGACTGGAGAGGAAAGACTTACGCCTTGCCCGTTCTGCAGACCGCTATTTGATCAGCCAGATACGCGTGGCGATGAAAACACGTCTTACCACGATTGTAGTGACACACGCACATCGTCAGGGTGTCCGCTGCAGGTCTCGGTTGATGCTGTTGTCGACGGCAAAGCGAACTCTCGTTCGATGATGGCAGTGGTGTCTTATGTCTTCTGGTTGACGCTCTGCTGCAGCGGCACAGCGCAGGTGTTCGCATCAGAGTCGGACTCAATGAGTGTTGGCACATGAAATGAGGAAAGACGGCAACACGACATTGAGCTGAGAGAGGTAGGTCACTCACTGTCATTGCACACACCACTGTACGAAGATACCACTGGCTGCGTGAGTGAGTTATTTTGGTGAGGAAGATCAATTGCTAAGACGACTTTATAACTGAAAAAATCTGCCACCCTTTCCACCTGATCGGAAGGGTGGGGCAGCGGGTTGTCGTCGAAAAGTGTATAGATTACGCTCTGGAGAATCCTTCGGGAAGCCAGGGGCAGCCCATTCTTAACACACAGTTGCGTCCTGCGGGAGGCGTGACTGAGACGTATTCTCGTGGCGAAAAGTGTTCATTCGATACTCTCATGTTCGCGGATTGCTAGCTCCTCCCGGATTTCGTGGTCCTATACCGGCAATTGCTGGCGGAGACGATCAAGGTTACCGTTCATTTTTGGCACTTTTTCCTGATGTGTTATGCCTTGGTACAGGGCGGTTGTTATTTTGATGCAACAAGAGCACACAAAGCACAGGCCCTTGTACATGTGGACTTGAACTCTTTGGTTACAATTGACAGTACGCGATTGATACGCGATTTTGCTGGTAGCCAGTGTTCAAGCCTCGTCAAGAGCAACGCATCACTCACTTCTCTACTCTCTTTCACTCTATCACTTTCCGTCAATTCACTCTCACTCCTCCGACACCAAGTAGAATCTAGATCGTGCCAATGTAAGCTCTGACTTCTTCTCTGCGACCACTCCTGCTTCATCTGGGACTTTCTTTTCTCAGATACTCCTGTCCGTCGTCTCTTCTTGTAGTTTGCAACTTCAGTCAACACTCAAATGGCGCGTTCATCTGACCCAACCCTCCCCATCTCCCTCTTCGACATCTTTCTCGGTTCTGGCCGCACAATTCGCAGAAACTCAGGTCCGCCAGGAGTAAGCACGATGCGCGTTTCCACCATGTCTGAGAATGCTGACTTACGCAGTTACCTCTACTGCAGACCAATTTCCCCGGAAGACTTGAGCTCGTGCAAAGGCGTTCCAAGCCTACCAGTCTCAAGAAGAGCAGGGACGACTCAAAGCCCGCAAGCGCCAAAGGGAGCAATAAAGAAAACAAGCTTAGCAGCAAGAAGAAAGAATTCAAGGCTAGTAGCAAGAAAGACGACGGCAAGCCCGACGCAAAGCCATCCACCCCAAAGGAAGGATCTAAGGTCAAAGCCGCAGACGACAAGAAGGCAGCCGAAGCACCCAAAGTCAGCGCCGACAAGCCACAAGACCACCCAGAAGATCCCATCTTCACTGCCGAAGAAGACGCAAAGATACTAGCCATGGCCGCCGAAGGCAAGAAGATGCCCGAAATCGCAAAAGCCATCGACAAAACCAAAAAGCAAACCGGCAGACGACTCGGAAAACTCAAGACCGATGGCGAAAATGCACAAAAAGCAGCTCTGGACAAGAAAGCCGCCGCCGTGGATAAGAAAAGCAACAAGCCCGCAGAGAAGCAAGTGACAAAAGTCGACAACAAAGACAACGAAACCACAGACCGCAAGTCCAACCGCCTAGAAATGATATTCAAAGGCGAAGTCCCAGCAACCGGCGTACTCCTCGCCGGAAAACTCCAACACTCCCACGCCCACCGTCACTCCGTCCACCACCACATCCACGAGCCAGAACCCCACCACCATCACCACCATGCCCACCGCTCCCACGAGCCCAAAGCCACAAAATCTTCCCGCCACGACTCTGCCCAAGAATCCCGCTCTCGCCCCCGTAAACCATCCCGTCAAGCCACCGTCTCAGTCGTTGGATCCACCCGTACAGCATACACCATCAAAACCATGCCTTCCCTAGCCGAAGACGACATGTTTTCATTTGGCGAGTTGCAAGCTTTGTCCGTGCTGATTAGTAAAGATATGGAAGGGATGTGGCAGCGTGTGGCTGCTGCTTTCTTTGGTATGACTGGAAGAAGAGTTGCTGCTGAGGATATTAGGGAAAAGTTTTCGGGCTTGGAGGAGGAGGGGTAAGAGAGGGTTTATGGGGAAGGTTACTGATGGGAGAAGCTCGGTTGCTTGATCTGGTCTCGCGTGATGGGGATGGGGATGGTTGATGGAAGGCGTGATACGGTATTTCTCGTCTTCCCTTAGAAAGAGCACGTGCATGGTATACAGCAGACACACGATCGTCAAGTCATTAATGGCTCCAATTGATCTCCATGCTCAAAACGAAACTGTCCCTCCCTGACCACATCCGAGTACTTTAATCCTCTGTGTTTCAAGATGCTACCGTCTCAACTGAACGTGTTCTCTACTGATTGCTCTCCACCTCAGTTATCGTCACAAAGCTCTACCCGCTCTGATCAAGACAGCGTAAAATGATAAAATACGACTTGATCGGATCGATGATGTACGAACTTATCAAGGACGAGCGATTCCGAGTGAACATACCGTGCACAAGCGACCGGTCTCACGCCTACTGCCCGGGTCCATGAAAGGATGATGAAGAATAGACGAAAAGAAATCTCACCATAGCATCCGATATGATAGACTTGTTAACAAAACGACATGTACGATTTCACTAAACGACACAAGAGGAAGCAGACCGAGAAATTGAGATACACGCGGCAGTTAAAAAAAAACAATGTCTATGCAGTGTGTGTGGTTTGTGACTAATGAGAAGACTAAAAGTATTACACAGACGCTTTTTTCCGTGTGTGCCTTTTTGAATGCTCGCGCGACGTGAGAAGAAGAAAAAGATGCGATGGTCCCAATTCTTTTAGTTTCCCCGTCAAGCCACCAAAAGAACAAAAAGGGCAGAAGAGGATGAGTAAAGGAATACGGGGATGTAGTGGTAGCGGGGTGAATGTGAGTGATGGTAGTTGTAGAAGTGCGCAAAGGAGACCCAATGTTTTAACAAATTTCGAATCCGCTCAAAACGCTTCGCCCAAAGGAAACTTTAAAGGTTTAGGAAAAAGACAAAAAGGCCGTTCGCTGAACCGGAATGAAAAGAGGTGGTCGCAAAGATGAAGAAAAAGGGGAAAAAGGGAGGGGACATTAGTGGTACAAAGAGGAAAAATCGTTGCCAGCATCTCTCATGCATCATCTCTTGCTGCAAACAAATATGATCCTGGTGCTGTAGGTTGATCAAAGTAAACTGTGTATTGTTGACGACCAAAGAGAAATCACAGGTCGTCTTCTTTTTATGTCATAGCCATGAGACGTAATCGGGCGTTCAGCTCCTCTGTGGGACTGTGTATCCGTTCATCCGAAGTTGTGCGATCGAGAGCATTCGTCGATCGGCGACTTCGACGGTGTATGGTTGGTGAATCAGGAGCTTCTCGTATCCTCCTGCGCACCGATCGGCTTCCATGTGATCCTATACTGCCTCCGATACTTTTCGGGCTGGGGAGGAGATCCTCTGCGTCTCGGATGACCTTCTTGACTCTATCGCGGAGCTCTTGTACGTAGGGGATAATTCGCTTCAGTGTGGCTGTGTCGAAGTGAACCTTATCTCGCTCTCCAGGATTCAGGCCAGCATCGGAAAGTCGCTTCTGTTGCAGCGCTTCTATGACGGAACGAGCGACAGCCTCGGAGTTCTTTCGTGGCCTTCTAGGCGTCGCAGGTGTGACGAAGATGCCGTTATCAGTCCGAGTGGGCGAGACAGAGGCTTCATCACTAAAGAAGTCGAATTCTCCATTTGCTGGAGATTCAGGCAAGCCGAACAAGACAGCGGGCATCAGGTGTTCTGTTGATGGCAGTGCTGGGACTGGCTCATCGAAAGCATCGTAGTTGAAGGACGGCGAAGACGGCGGTGATATTCTCGGGGCGAGGGTTTGTTCGTCAGATTCCTGATCCGCAAGATCAATCATAGCGTCGACTTCGTTCCACATCTTCTCATTGCCCCCGTTGAGGACTTCCAGCATTACAGCTCGCGTTTTGTGTTCCTTCAACTCTTCAATCAATAGACCCCAGTCCCGAAGAAGGCCGATGTTGGCGAGCACGTTGGTCTGTTGATCCCGGATGGATTTCGGTACGAACATCGAGATACCACTATCGAGTCTCTTTTCTTCCGGGGCACTCTCGTCTTCCTCGAAGTCGAAATCCTCATTCCAGTCCTCGGTCACGCCCTTGCTGCCGATGCCCCAGGTGCCAAATTTGTTAGTACCAGTCCGTTTCCCGTCAGCATCCTGGGCAGTTGGTACACTTTGGCTGCGGGTGTGAAGTCCGCTCGGGGCTCGTCGTCCGACTGACCTACTACCACGTGTTTCGGCGTCTTTCTTGCCATGCACAGTCTTAGGGCGAGGAGGTGAACGGCCATTCGGGCTTTTGTCCAGAGGCTGTTGTTCTGACCAGTCGAAAATACTACTGCGAGCGTCTCTGTCCGTGCTTCTGACAGTTGGTCTTTGTGGAGTCGTGTTGGCCGAACTCGAGGCGTGTCCGAGAGGCGATAAAAGGTCTGGAGTTATACCGAGATGGGCAAAGCGATTCTTGACCGGGACTTGAGGCTCATCGTCGTCTTCAGCAAAGGACCACGAGCTTCCTTCATCGTCGTCATCGGTAATGTCTGGAAAGTGTTCAGCATGCTGGCGAAGGTCGGACAGAGAAGGCATCGTAGGTGGCGACGATGGAACATTGATCTGTGCAGGTGAGTCCTTCATGTGAAGCATTGGCGAACTGGCCAAGGATTGCTTTCGAGCAGAGCGAGCTGGTGTGGAAACTGCGTCCTCTTCGTGTATAATGCTGTGTCTTGGCTTGAGTGAATACCCTTGGTCGTGCAGAGGGCCTGTCTGTAGATAGTCTCGAAGCATGGTATGCTTGCCATGAATGTGAAATGGCGGCGAGTCGCCGAAGATTGTTTCTATCGAAGGGCCTCGCCTGCCAGGGCTTGACTTTGGCGCTCGAGTTCGGACAGAATCATGAATGGTGTCGCCTTGGGAATCAAGTCCCTCATCGTCGCCTGACCGGATGTCGCTATCTGAGCCGGTCAGATATGATACAGCGTCGGTGAATTGTTCTGCTTGATGAAAAGGCGATGAAGTTAAAGGTGATGTGTCGAGAGAAATACCATCGTCGCTCTGTGTAGTTAAGTCGCCGACGCGACTAGGTAATGCTGTCGAAGCAGATTGCTTTTCGTGCGATGGTAGTCTAAGATCTATTTCGGTAATTGGGCTGCTGATGGATGGCGATTCTGCAGTTTGTGTGACGCTGTCTAAGTCACGACGTTTCGCGAACGCCTCAGATGGTTCACCTTGAGAGAGGCTTTGCCTGTTGCCCATGCTTGTGGGCGTGTTTGAACGAGCTCGCGCACCCGGTCGGCGATATTTAGCGGCGGGTGCTGCTTTGATTGGGGGTGGTTGCTTCCATATTTGTGGTTCTGCGGGGAGTATGTCGCTGACGGAGAAGGAGCTCGACGCTGACTCGATTCTCGACATTTCGGCGACGTCTTGCCTGTCTAATTCGTCTTCGATGCTTTTACGCTCATCTATTCTCGAGTCGAAAGAGGTGCTTTGGAAATCGACAGTCGCTCGCGAAAGTCGATTCGTTTCAGGGGCGGATGGCCGATTAGATGGGGAATAAAAACGGTCGGCTACCACGACATTTGACACCAGATTCGGATCAGGTACAGGCCCAAAGTCATCCTCAACATGGTTGACAAACTCAATAGGAGCAGTATGGATATTTTCTTTGGCAGACACCAGGACTGGCCGATATTTCCTGTCCGCATACACCCTCTTGATAGGGTTTGGAATGCTAGTTGATGAGCCGCGACGCCGTGTCGATGCTGGCTGTCCTATAGCCTGCACGGGAGCAAAGTAGTTACGCCATTGAACATCGGGCATGGACTCTGGCGTGGGGTCATAAAGAGAGCGTCTGAAAGCGTTCTCAGCTTTCGGAATGATGTTGGTACGTCTTTCTTGCAGGGTGGCACTCCGTTTGTGGCTGGTAGCTGGGCGTCTCAGAGTTGAAATGGGAATTTTAGTGGTCGAGCCGCCGTACGAGGCGGAAGTGGGAACCTTACTGACGGAGGTGGATCGTTTGACAAGTTTGTTCGGGGCTGTGTTGATGGGTGGAGTGTGGCTGGGGATCATCGGGGTAGTGGAGCCCGAGGCTGAAGGAGCGACAGAAATGACGGAAGAATTTGGGCGGGTACTCGAAGACTGCGTCGAGTCGCGCGAAGAAAAGGAAAATCTCTTGAGCCATGACGGCGTCTGGTGTGGAGCGAAGGTGGGAGATACGGGAGGTGAGGGCTCAGCAGCATCTCTGAAGGACGGGGTTGCGCCGCGAGGCATTGTGTGGCCGTCTCTTTTTCTCAGGACCGTTCTGGCATGGTCCGGCGCATTCCTCGGATGGAGAGTGGAGGTCGGTTGTGTGCTCGCAGAGCGGAGGGCCTGGCGAGCAGAAAAGCCAAAGGGAGGGCAGAAGGAGGACGGGGCCGCGTAGGTGTCGACGGTCTGTACCGTGCAGGTTGCCGTCGATGTCATGTCACTCTTTGGCGGAGCAAGCGACGATGCTCTGGAATTGGACCGCGGTCGAGGGAGAGCCGGGTCTCGTGAGGAAGGGATAGAAAGAGGGTGGAGGTGCGAAGAGGACCTATGCGAGTCGGAGCGGCGAGCGAGCTTGTTGGGGAGTTTGTGTTGACGGTCGATTGGGTCGTCGTAGTCGGGACGGGCAAGCACAAAGCCCAGGGCAGACAGGCCAATGCCGGTGCTTGTTGCACAGAGCTGTATAGAATTTGCTGGTCAGTCGGGTGCCGAGCAATCGAGACTGCAAGGAGTATGTGATGGAAGGGACGGTCAACGCTGCATGACGAACTGTGCAGCCGCTTTGCGAAGAGGATTAGGCTTCATGGAGCAAGCGACAGGGGGGAAGTACAAGCAGGTCGCGAGTCCGCAAGTCGCAAGCAGCAGCAGCAGTCAGGGACGACTCGGAGCGGGACAAGATACGACAGGATAGGTAGGGGCAGGGCAACTCATGTAGAGTGGTTATAGCATGGCGGCAGCGGCTGGGGGCATTATAGTGAAAGCGGGTCTCTGGTGCAGCTTACCGTGGGGATCGTTTTCATGCTTTGGCCGATGCCATGCGCCCATCAAGAACACACGCAGACACAGACACAGACTCGGACGCAGCAGTCGCAGGCGCTTTCGGGCGTGGCGGAGGCGTGGACGGCGAAGGAGGCTGGACGGGCTGCTCGACAATGCTCCTCGTCCCGGTCGTCTTCATAGTGGAGTAGGCTCGTCGCTCTACTCGTACTGATCGTTCTCAAGGCCGCAGCGCAAAGCCCCACAATCAAGGCACAGGCACAGACACGACGAAAGGTTGGTCAAGACGGCGGACGGCGAGCACTCGGCGTCGCCTAAACTTCAGGATGCCCGGTTTTTTGTTATGAATGTGATTATGAAGAGGGCTGACCTGCGTTTCAAGCGCCTACCGCTAACCCCTCAGCTCAGACGCCACGACGATTCCGCTGAACGTTCATGCAATGTCCTGCTCTGACTTTAACGGTGCGCCAAACTTTCGCTGAAATGCTCCCGCCCACCACAAGCCTTTCGAGAAGGAATGCCGCTGTCTGCGAGAAATGCTGCTGCTGATGCTGCTGCTGTCGCTGTCAAACTCTGCTCCGAGGACAATGTCAGTCTTGCCAACAATTCCATGCCATCCTCCTTATGCACGCGACCTGCACTTGTCATATCTATTTTTTGCCCTCTCTGTTTCATCTTTGCACTGCACTCTTGTTGTCAATCTCGCTCCTTGCACAGCGCCTTCAACCGTCAAACGCTGTACGACGGCGGTCATTCGCTGCCTGCTGAACACCACCCCTGCTAATAGCAACCAATCTTTACGGCACATAGCTGCTATGATACCTCCCGACCTGCAACGCCGTTTCCTTGTCCATGTAGCTGTATTATGACATTGCTTCGTCCCAGCTCTTGTCCGCTTGCCGTGAACCCGACTTGAAGATCTAATTGACCCTCCGATGCTGAAGTTCCACGCCAGCTTCGTCAAGGTCGAGGAAGCGCAGTGCGTCGTCGACCAACACCCGTGGTTCCAGCCAAAAGCTAACAACCGACATATCCACCACTAAAGCAGCTGCATGCTGATTTGTACCAGCTGCAGGGTGTTTAGCGTTGTCGGTTCCTTTGCAATCCCGGGCAGTGTTGCGTCCACTCGCAGGGGCGTCTTTCCTTAGGCGTTCCACGCAAGCGCTTGGATCATTCGGGGTTGTGTCATCTCTGAACCGCCGTGCGTCGAACATCTGAGATCTGGCATGACGGTGCACATGTACTCATACGACTTGTACGTGTAATTGTATATGCTGAAGCCGAGCCTCATCTTCCATGCATCTACCGCGTGCCTGCGTATGAAGGTGACGCTGAGAAGCCATGCAACGAAGCACCAGAAGATGACACATTCAGCAAGCACTTTGAAACGCTACTCGAAGCATGGCAGAAGGATCACCCGCCTGAGTATCTTCTGGATCGACTCGGCCCGCCTGAGCTGTGGAGTTGAAGGCAACACCCATGATATCGCCTATGTCACCAGCCGTGTGCAGCAGCGGGAAGATGAAGTGCTCGTGTGCATCTTCCAACACGTCAGTTCTGAAAGTTACACAATCTTTTGGACTGGCAAGCAGGGACCAAAGCATCCCTTGAAAGCCACTTTGTAGAAGATCCAAGTGACGACGATTGATCGTACGCAATGGCCCTTCGAGGGAGGTCGGGGAAAAGTGATCTTCAATTTACTGTCGCCAGGCCCGGGGATTTGGTACTGTACATTGACTCTCCCATCTCTGTTCTTGTAGCGTGGCTTGTCTGTGTGAAACGGCACGGTCCCTCTTGTCCTTATGCGCAAGCCCAATCCGGACTTGACGGAGCATGACACCGCTTGGCGAGCCATCAGGTTCGTTTTGACGACGGGGATAAATAGCAGCAGCTTGTCACTTGGTACGGAGTGCTCGGTATGTACAAGGATATGTTGCCGATCAAAAAATACTGGAGAAGAACGCGATCGCCCGCCGTCTGTCTTTGAACCTTCTTCAGTGCAACCTACTGCGTACGTACCTAGCTTTGTGCTCTTCAGAAATAGAAATTCGGATTCAACAAAATTGAACACCTTACTGAAGGTTGCTCGGACAGCAACATGCACAGATACTGCTCGACCCGGAGCACAACTCATCCCACTTTGTATGCAGCTTGCTGATCCGCCCAATCGTATTTTGAGTTTCCGCACCATTTACTTAGGTAGTACAAGCTACCTACTCATGACCATCTGAAGACCAGGAGATCGATCAAGTAAATACTCCTTCTCCGCGGTTGATTGGTCATTGGTGTAAAATAGCTTGATCTCTAGCAACTAAGCAAAGACGGAAGGGACAAACTCGTCGGCTGGCGGTGCTCACTTCTCATGCATGACTGCGGAGATCTGATATCAAGCACAAGCAGGTTCCCTATGTAGCATATGCCAAGTAGAGATACCTTGCGAGCCAGCTTTGGTCAGATTCACATTTTCAGACAGCAAATGGGTGCAAGGTTTCTGTAAGCTAACTCATGTGGACTGCTCTCGGTCTCTGCATTATTCATAGTTTTAGGTCGCTGTTTCAAATTGTGATGTATGCTGAGCATTTATTGCTATAGAGCATTTGATGGCTCGGAAGGTCGGTGGCCGCCTTAGGAGAAGGATGGCGTTGGTTTAAAAGCATAAAACGTTCGTTAGTCTGTACGAGCAGCCGAGTATGAGATTTCTCATCCGCGTCTCGTCCGCGACCGCCCCTCACTGGTTTGACGGACAAGAGCTGGATTAACACGCAAGGGCATTGATTCACCGAATTACGACGCCTTTTCCGTAGAAGCGTGAATTTTGTTTTCTTTCCAAAAAGAATTCAGAGATCCACAACACAAACATAGCGGTGAAGTCCCTACGGCGCCACCCTAACCAAACAGGCAAAAACTCACATCGCTGAACATCTCTGTGATACTATGGAGTCCGAGATCAGAGCCCAGATTCCCGGAATCGACCCTGTCGTGTCCGAGTACTCTGCGGGATATCTCAACCACGCTTCGCAGGCATACAGCGCGGAAGGCGACCCACTGTCTGATGCCGCCGCAGCTGTGACAGCGCTGCTGCTTTCCGCTTCCGGTGACCTGTCTAACCAGAATGCAGCGACAATCCAGAACCTGGTTGAGAAGTTTGTTGCCAGGCTTTCGTCACAATCTATTTCGGATGGCGAGAGACGACAGCAGGCACCTTCTGCTAGGAAGCTAGAGCAGACCATTCAAGTCGGATCGACAAGAAACATCTCATCAACTATTGGCTTGACTGGTGGCGTCAACTTGGAGCACACTGGTAGACAGATCGAATCTCGTGTAGACAAGAAGAAGCTCGAGAAGGCCGAAAAGAAGCTTCGCGCAAAGCAAGACAGGAAGGAGTTCAAGAGCGTCGAGTATGAGGCTTCTAGGCTTTTGGAAAACCCTGACGATGCCGCGTCATACGAAGAGTTCTTCATGAAGGTCAACCCTCTGCAACTTGGCTCTGACAACCAGGGCAAGAGTAAGGACATCAAGGTTGATGGCATTGATATCACCATCGGCGGCAAGAGAATCTTGAGTGACACCAACTTGACTCTGGCCTATGGCCGCAGATATGGTCTGGTTGGACAGAACGGTATCGGTAAATCTACTCTGCTCAGAGCTTTGAGTAAGAGAGAGGTCGCCATTCCTACTCATATTTCCATTCTCCACGTTGAGCAAGAGGTAAGCTTCTCCTCGTACTATGGCCTAGTATCTGGCTAATATATCCATAGATTATGGGAGATGATACTCCTGCCATTCAGGCCGTTCTGGATGCCGATGTCTGGCGCAAGCATTTGCTAAAGGAGCAAGACGTAAGTTTAACACACTTCCTAAACTACGCCCACAAAGCTGACGTGTGCAAAGAAAATCACCAAGGAACTCGCACAGCTGGAGGCCGATCGATCACAAATGGCAGACACATCAGCAGATGCTGCCAAGCTTGATACTCAGCGAGAGGGTCTCGATATCACACTCAGCGACGTCCAGGGCAAGCTTGCCGAGATGGATTCCGACAAAGCAGAGTCTCGTGCTGCCAGTATTCTTGCCGGTCTTGGTTTCTCGCATGAGAGACAACAGTACGCTACCAAGACCTTCTCTGGTGGTTGGCGTATGAGACTGGCACTGGCTCGTGCCCTGTTTTGTGAGCCTGATCTTCTCATGCTCGATGAACCTTCCAACATGTTGGATGTTCCTTCCATTACCTTCTTGTCAAACTACCTGCAAGGCTACCCCAGCACTGTTTTGGTCGTTTCTCACGACAGAGCTTTCTTGAACGAAGTCGCAACAGACATCATCCACCAGCACTCTGAACGTCTCGACTACTACAAGGGTGCCAACTTCGAGTCCTTCTACAACACCAAGGAGGAGAGAAGAAAGGCAGCCAAGAGAGAGTACGAAAAGCAAATGGGCGAGCGTGCACATTTGCAAGCCTTCATCGACAAGTTCCGTTACAACGCGGCAAAATCGTCCGAAGCACAGTCACGTATCAAGAAGCTGGAGAAGATGCCTATTCTGGAGGCACCAGAGAGCGAGTACACCGTCAAGTTCTCATTCCCCGACGTGGAGAAGATGACCCCTCCCATCATTCAGATGAGTGGCGTTTCTTTCGGCTACACTCCCGACAAGCCATTGCTCAAGAATGTTGATCTTGATGTTCAGCTCGACTCACGTATTGGTATCGTTGGTCCCAACGGTGCTGGTAAAACAACAGTACTCAAGCTTCTCATCGGTGCACTACAACCAACCACTGGTCTCATTTCTCAAAACCCTCGTCTGCGTATTGGTTTCTTTGCTCAACATCACGTTGATGCTCTTGACTTGAACATGAGTGCTGTTGGCTTCATGTCCAAGATGTACCATGGTAGAACTGACGAGGAGTACCGTAGGCATCTCGGAGCCTTTGGTATCACCGGCATGACTGGTCTGCAGAAGATGGAGATCCTTTCCGGAGGTCAGAAGTCTCGTGTCGCCTTTGCCATCCTGTCTCTTCAGAACCCTCACATTCTGGTTCTTGATGAGCCTTCTAACCACTTGGATATTGAAGCTATGGATGCTTTGGCTGATGCTCTGAAGAACTTCCAGGGTGGTGTGCTCATGGTCTCGTAAGTTACTCCTACACCAAAATGTCTTCCATCTTGTCCATCTTGCTAACCCGGGGATTAGTCACGACGTGGCCATGTTGTCCAATGTCACCAACAGCTTATGGGTGTGTGATAATGGGGGTGTGCAGCACTTCGACGGCACGGTTGAGCAGTACAAACAGCTGCTTACCAACCAAGCCAACGAAGCGGGAGTCGCCACCACTCATCATTAGTACAAGCACTCATAAGTATCCCATATACCACCTTCGTACCCAATTTTTACACATTGATCCGGATAGTTATCACACCCATGTTCTTATGGGTTGAGCCAGATGCTACTGATACCTCGCACATGATGATTAACTGCAATGTCGCCGTAAAATAAAACGACCATGCCATTGTTTGTCCGAGCGATGATGGCAAATTTAACATATGCATACAGAACCAGTTCTCCCCCGTATGTCAACACTAATAAATATCGCTCCATTAGGAGAACCATGCAGCAATATTATATAAGCGATTCGGCTCAGCGTTTCTCTATTATACCATGTATTCAAAAGCATAGTTTCATGCGTTTGCATTTCATGCCACCAGGAGTGTACGATTACCTGGCTTGAGCTAACGGCATGATCTTGTGAAAGTTTCGTGAATATGAAGATCTCGATTGCAATGGTAAGATGGCATTACATGCTACGAGTTCCTTCCGCATTAGGTAATTTCGGCAAAGTCCGGCACAGCTCACAGCAGAAAAAAACGAGACGCCCAGCGCCAGCGCATGTCGCACCCCTCAGCATCCCACTTCCACCTCCTCTAACTCTCTCTCTTCCACACATACATTTTCTCGGGGTCGGCCAGTCACAGCCCACTCCTTTATAGCTGCGACCATTTCCTCCGCACTCGCACCTCTCCTCTTCCTTTCTCGAGTATCCGCAGCAGGCCCTGCGTTTGCGACAGCTCACCTGCGCTTCTGTTGGTCGGCAAACACCAAAGCTCAAAGCTTCACTCTAGTCCGAACATACGCACGAGGAAGAATGCCTCCCAAGAAGGTCGTCAAGGAGGAGAAGATCCCTTTGGGTCGTCCCGGAAACAACCTGAAGAGTGGTATCGTATGTAGGGATTAGTCCGCCGACGTGGCCACAAAGCTCTTGCTAACACCAATTGCAGGTTGGTCTGGCTAATGTCGGCAAATCTACCCTCTTCCAGGCCATCACCAAGTGTTCGCTTGGTAACCCTGCTGTGCGTCTACTCGCTCTCACCCCAATGCTTCCTTCACTGACTCTTGCTGCAGAACTTTCCTTACGCCACCATCGACCCCGAAGAGTCTCGTGTCATTGTCCCCGATGATCGTTATGACTGGCTTTGCGAGCACTACAACCCCAAGTCGAGAGTCCCTGCTCACTTGACCATCTACGATATCGCTGGTCTGACTCGTGGTGCCTCTACCGGTGCCGGTCTCGGTAACGCTTTCTTGTCTCACATTCGCGCTGTCGATGCCATCTTCCAGGTCGTCAGATGTTTCGACGATGCTGAGATCATCCACGTCGAGGGTGACGTCGACCCCGTCCGCGATCTCGAGATCATCAGCGAGGAGCTCCGTATCAAGGATATCGAGTTCACCGAGAAGGCTCTGGAGGCCCTGGGCAAGCAGACCCGCCGTGGAGGTCAATCTCTTGAGATGAAGAAGCTCAAGGAGGAAGAGGCCACCGTCGGAAAGATTCTCGCCCTTCTCAAGGATGGCAAGGACATTCGTCACCAGCACTGGACTCCCAAGGAGGTACGTTACCCTGCCGCTACTCACCCCTCCTCAATGCACACCGCACACCACCGCCCCTACAATGATGATCCAACTTTTATACCCAGCTCTCAGAATAACGGTTCACCGGAGAAAGGCTTAACCTGTTGGGATTGGACCCAACAGGGAGCTGGATCCAGAACTCTTTTGCTGTCAAGTCCCTTCTGAAACACACATCAACTCTCACCTTCTATGTCACCTTGATCTTGCTGTTCAACGACTAACAAAGATAACAGGTCGAGGTCATCAACCCTCTCTTCCTTCTTACCGCCAAGCCCGTCGTCTACCTGACCAACCTCAGCGAGAGAGACTACCTTCGCCAGAAGAACAAGCACTTGCCCAAGGTTGTTGAGTGGATCAAGACCAACTCTCCTGGAGAGCCCATTCTTCCCATCTCCATCGCCCTCGAGGAGCGTCTCTCTCGTATCGAGACCGAGGCTGAGGTTGAGGAGGAGTGCAAGAAGATTGGTGGCAAGTCTGCCCTGCCCAAGTGTGTCACCACTATGCGCAAGGCTCTTGACCTTGGCTGCTTCTTCACCACCGGTACCGATGAGGTCCGCCAATGGACTATCCGCAACGGTACCAAGGCCCCTCAAGCTGCTGGTGTCATCCACGGCGACTTCGAGAAGACTTTCATCCAAGCTATTGTGTACAACTTCAACCTCCTCAAGGAGTTGAAGACCGAAGCCGAGATCAAGGCCCAAGGAAAGATTATGACCAAGGGCAAGGACTACGTCGTCGAGGATGGTGACATTGTGCTCATCAAGGCTGGTGCCGCCAAGGCCTAAGCATGAAGCCAATGATGATTTGATGCTTTGATGCTCAAAGTCGTGGGACGAAAGATGAGTGGAATTGCCTTGGTCGCTCTCGAGGCATCCTGTTTCTACTTTACTGGTTGCCAGTAAAACATTACTAGCGTTGACTGAATAGGTTGGCGCAGAAGCAGCTTGCTGCGAAGAGTGATACCCGGCCACATTTTAGGCCAGCACATATAAACGGGGCAGCTTGATATAAGTCGCAGACTCGGCCCATGCCCCGTTAGCATATGCTTGATAATGAAAAGTAAATGACTTTAACATGATGAATATTCTTGAACCATCTCCAGTCCGCAGTGACTTGTAAGTGTAATATGGAACATCTCATGAATGATCGAAGAGGAAGTTTGAAGCTCCAAAATGCCATGTGAGTGATGATTGATCCTAGGGGATTCGCCGACATAGCCTGTAATTGCGTATGCGCGTATGCTCATCTGAGGACTAGCTGGCATGCTCTAGGCCATGTGGAGGAGGGTATTAGTGAAGGTGGGAGCCTTGCGGGCAGAATGAGATTCCGGATGGCCGGTGACGTGTGAGCCGCAGTCACATGTTGGACTTCTGTCGAGGCAGAGAAGTCTAGGCATGCCGCAAGCAACAAGTCAGACTAAGTTCCAACGACGTTTGGAACAGCCGAGACGTGGGACAAGCGCAGTCAACGAGTCGCTTTCCAGAGACGAACAGTATACGCATACGAGACCGACCATCGCAGCCCAGCTGTGGGCGCATCTCGCATCCAACCCTGCCATGATCCAGCAACGACCGATTGAATGCACCCTCTAAACCCCTTCCTGCGGGCCTTCTTCAGAAGCACCCTCCCCTCGCAGTGCCTCCCCGTAAACCACCACATCCTCCTGGTCCCGACGACAGAATCGCTCTTCCAGGGCCGCGACCGCGAGACAACTGCGCCTTATGCCGACCTTGCCGTATCGGAAGATTTCCTGTCCAGCCATGTCATTCGTATACCTGGAGGCATACCCCCAGGCACAACTTCCAAAGATGGAGCCAACATCCGGGAATCCAAAGGCAAGGCCAAGCAGTACAACACACTCAATGGCCGGACCGTAGTGGTCAAGGATACCTACGTCTACAGCAACAAGGGTGCGCATACACCTCTCGACTACACTCCCACTGAGCTGACGCCGTCGCATAGGTTTCAAGAGCTTGACCCAGGCTCAACTGTTGACCGACGCCCTCTTCTGCCCGGACATGCCCGAAGCCCAGCAATGGCTCATATACTATATCTCAAGACCACTGGTAGGCTCCTACGACCCCGTTCGCATCATACCCGCCACTATCAAGACAGCTGCCCAACGTGCCGCAGACAAGCCAAAACCTATCACGCCCTCGGCAGCGGACGTCAAGAAGAAGGACATCGCTTCGTTTACCGAACTTTTGACCGCTTTCCCCCTGATCGCTCGACAGCTGCAGAACGGCCTGGATAGAACACTCAAGGAATTCGCGGCACGATTCGAAGGCCCCGTGCCCAACAAGTCATCACGAGCTCCATCCGTGAGTTCGCAAAGATCCGATTACTCTTCTACCTCGTTGGAAAGTTCTTTGGCCTCGCTCAGATCTTCGATCGCTGGAAGCGATAGTAGTATCCGCCTCTCATCACTGGTTATCGAACCAGAAGAAGACTCTATGCGATTTGCTCTGGAGAGTGCGACTACGGCTGCGATCGATCTATTTCAAGGGGTCGACAGGCAGCAGCTATCTTTACTTGGCGCCACAACCGATTTGTCCGGTCCAGTAGTTGAACGCATGATCGAACGCCATGTCGCTGAGCAATTGCACGAATCCATCTTGTTTCCTCGAATATGTAACATCCGCCGCTCCGAGGATCTTGAGCTTGAACATCGTCTGCGGAAAATGGCCAACATCGATGTTGCTCAGGTCGGCATACCTATAGAGGATGGTATGAGAGGGAAACGAGATATGGCACTTCGCATCGACAGAGCTGTCGGGATATTCAAGAAAATGGGCGTAGCAGGCAGTCCACAAGAGATGCTCGAGGTACTACTTGAGACAGCAAAGACCGTTACAGCGACCCCGGCCACCAACACAGGAAAGCCAGAGATGCGACCGGATGGCACATCTGAGAAGCCGACCATCGCTATGACCATCAACGCCGACGTACTAGTTTCCATGCTGCTGATCGTTGTCATCAGGAGTTCCGTGCGATATCTGCACGCGAGGCTATCTTATATGAGACACTTCGTGTTTATCGATGATGTCGATAGTGGAGAAATGGGCTATGTATTGAGCACCTTCGAAGCCGTACTGGTTTATCTTTCCCGAGATTCGGACGCCCTACGGATCGCCGCCAGGAAAAATGCGCGGCTTTGGAAAGCAACAAGAAACGGCAATATGCCGGACTTACGGAACATACTCCAGCCTGACGCTCCGTGGATTGCTGGCGGCCAGGTCATCGAAGAAGCGCCATCATCGGAGGAGAGCTTCAGGGACCAAGATGCGTCGAGCCTTAGTTCACGATTGACCAGCGTGAATCTTGAGCGAGAGCAGCAGCTTTCAATGCCCAGCGGCGATTTCGCTGCTGTTGGCGGGTCACTGGCCCATGTTTTTCCTTTCCAAAAGCCGCCTACACCACCTCCTGAGGCCAACCAGCCCAAACGAAAGCGTGTGACGATGGCGAGCTTCCGCAGTGCATCTGTATCATCTGGGTACTCGTCACCATCCCGGTCTAGATCTAAGAGTATCGACTCCACACTGAGTGCCGCCTCGATGGGGGACAGCTCCCTGGATAAAGTTTCGCAATCCCAAGGACTGGGCGGAGACTCAATCTTAATGATGGCCGTTGAGAACGGACAACTCGCATCACTGGAATATCTGCTGAGCCTCGATCGATTCTTCCCCATCGAATTCGTATTGGAAGACTGCAATAATGAAGGAGTGACGTTGCTCATTGCTGCTGTTCAGGGTGACGACAAGAATCTGACCAATCTCTTGCTGAATCACATCATCCGGAACGCTCCATCCGATGCCACTCTACGATCCTACTTTGTTCGTCAAGACAGCAAAGGAAGAACTTTCGCTCACTATCTTTTCAACCAGCCACATCTCATGGAAATTGTTGGCGAGATGCTGCCATGGCGGCTGAAAGACAAGAACGGACAAACCCCATTGTTTGCGTTATGCAGGTCCTACGATCACCAAGAGTATCGATGGATGGTCGAGACTGCCTTGACTCTTGCCACAAACGATCAACCAGATCAAGAACCCTTGCACCTTGCAGATCATATAGACAACAAGGGTAACACTCTACTACACATCGTCAACGATCCTCATCTCACAGCAAGGCTTCTCCGCCACTGCGACTCAGACGTCAATGCGGCGAACGACAAACGCTTCACTCCGCTGATGATGGCGAGCAAATACGGTAGACTCGACTTGGTTCGAACATTTTTCGGTGATGCTCGAGTGGACCTGCAAGTCAAAGACATCAGAGGTTTGACCGCTGTCGAGCTCGCGAAAGATGATGAAGTTAGGAACCGAATTGACGATCTGGTGCTGCTTTCGACACGACCTGCGGCAGATGGACGTATCACTTCTGTTGTTCGTTCCTTCTTTGTGGAAGACGCCACCGTGCGACTGGTGCTGAAGTCTGGTGGCCCGAATCCAAATGGCACAATCACAGTCACTACCTGTCGTCGTTCCGTTGCAGATTTTGAGCATCTTGCCAAGTGGCTGTCGATCGAACAACCCGCGTCGTGGATACCGACGCACTTCAATCTGACGTCCCCATTCTTGATACCTTCTAAGCCATCAAGAGCAGTGTTGCGTGACATCCAGCTTCGTCTCGATGCTTTCTTGCAATGCCTGCTGACACACTCCACTTTCTCCACTCATGAGATGGTGTGGGAGTTCTTCCTCGTTCCAGACATCGATCCTGCCATGTTGGCCGAGCGTGCCAAACACAAGGCTGAAATTCGAGTCGAAAATGTTCGGGATGACTACGATCCTATTACAGACACGCGAGAAGTCGAGTCTTTCGTGTCTCATGCCAAAGAGCAACTTCGTGGTGTGTCTCATGCTGTCAAGTCGCTCATCAGACGCACCAATGCACAGCGTATGCTGAACTCTGATCTATATGATGCGCGCCTGCTAAATAACACCGGCATCACGACCCTTCAATTCCTTCCACGAAAGTACCCCATAGCATTCGACAGGTACACCAAAACTTTGGCACCATCTGAATCCGATCCTCTCACAAGCTTCTACTACTCTCTCCACTCAATAGCAAACTCGTCAACAGCAGTCCTCGTAGCTCTCGGGCGACCAACAAATCTCATCGGCAGCATGAACCAAGCCAGGAGAAACATTGAAAGAGCTCTCGGATCTCTCAACAGGCAATCCCGTTGGACACCAAATATAGGACTGTTTGACGAAACCAGGCGGTCGATTGCGGCTGAAGCCGAAGAAAAGGCGACGAAAGCTCAAAGCGAGCTTGATGCTCTCGGTAGCGAATTGCGCTATACCCAACAAACAGTCGCGGCCGAGCTGGCCGGTTGGCAAGAACAGCACGTCAAGTTTGGCAAACAAATGCTGAGGGATCTAGCGAAGGGTATGGTTGTCAAAGAAAAGGCCAGGCTGGAGAGTATGAAGCGAGCTCTCAGAGAGTTGCAAAGGTGAAGAAGACAAGCATGGTATGTGTTGTTGCATTGGCGTTTCTTTTCTCTAAAGAACATCGGATCGTTCTGTTGTACTTCTCTTTTCTTTCTAGGCAGGCACTCGTGGCTTCAAAGGCGTTGGCAGACCAGTGTAGCATTAGCAGGGCTTTGGATCGAAGCCTGACGAACACGATTTGAATTGTTGATCTAGACTTTACAGGCTCTTTGACCGTGGTATCGTAGATCTCGTGAGGATGTTGACGTCCTCCTCCTTTGGTAGTGTTCTTGTTTGTCGTTTTCTGCGGCTGACAGCACATTAGAGTCGCTTTGGTGTACCTGTTGCCGAACAGCAAGACTCTGTTGTTCCCCCATCACATACTGGGTCCAGCGTGGTAGTTGCCTGACCTCGCAACTTAGCCTCGTTCTCGTCTTCCCGATCAGGTTGTGTCTCGATACTGACTGAAGCCTCGGGGCCCTCTCAAGGAAAGTCGTTTGAGTGTTGTCGTCGAACTGTAGGACAGGAATGCTTCATTCAGTCTCTGATCGACGCCGTTGTCGACTTTGTAGTCTTGTAGGTGTCCTCCTCCTCTCGTTGTGTAGATCCGTACCGTCCATTGAGGCTGACCAAAGACTTCTCGCAGTGTAAGACATTCTCTTCGAGCAATAAGGCGAGGCTGGTCCAGCTGTCGCTGTGCTAAGCCGGGTCCTATGGATGTGGTGAAGATCTGAACGTCCTTTACTGTCCTCGTCGAAGTGGGTCGTCGTACTAGGAGCTCACGCAGAGATTCCAAGTGCATCTATGGTGTCACAAGTCGTCGATGAGCTCTAAGACATGGTTTATCAGCAATCAAAGAGCCGAAACGGGCTGTACACATCGTGTAGGCCTCAACATCCCTCGCCCCTGTCGTAGGGGCAGATCACCGGTGTTTGAGCACAAGCAAAGACCTCAATCGTATCTGCAAAGTCAGACTTCTTCGGCGAGCATCAAAACGAGATAGTGCAGCGATCAATGGGCTGGCCACAGGCTGTAGGTGTCGTATAGTCATGGCAAGTCTTCGCCCTGGTCATGCCAGAGGACCATCGCTCTCTACGCACGTCAAAAGACTTGAAACCCACTCAGAAGGTCATCTACATCGAAGAGCCACTATACGGGGTAGCTCCTTCCGTTCCGGTCGTGATGATGTCGCCGTCTTGGGCATGGACCGCCTCTTGCTTAGTCGTCGAGTCTCGGCAGCTGTCCACGCTCAAATCCTTCCTTTACGCCAGTCCCCTGCCTTCCCTTCTTTCATCCATCATCGTCCTTTTACACGTCTATCTTACGTGTTTCTTCCTTCTATCTGTTCATCACACTCTGTCTAGACGTGTGACAAGTCTCTGCGCTCTTTCCATCACCCATACACTCAAGATGCCTCCCAAGAGAGCTAAGAAGGGTTCCTCAGCCCAGATCAAGGCTGCCATTGCCAACACTCAGGCTGGTGTCGATCAGTCTACCCAGCAGCAGAACGTCCAGCCTGATGCTGAGACTCAAGTTGACAATGACACGCAGCACGATGATGGTGTTCAGTCAAGCGCTCATGCCAGCAGCTCCCACAGCAACATTGCTGACGGCGCAATGTCTTCCACTGCTGATGAAGCTCCTGCTCCTACACCCGATACTGAGATCTCTGATGTTAATGTCAATGATGCTGAGCCTGAGTCTGAGCCTATCCAGAAGACTGTCGCAAGAAAGTCAACTGCTGGAAAAGCAGTGCCCAGCGTGAACGCCGATGGCAAGAGAAAGAAGAAACGCAAGAACGACCCTACCAACTTTACGGCGTACATTCACAAGGGTTTGTCTTTCTCTCTTTCTCCCTACCTGATATACGTGACTGACTGACGCTCTTCTAGTGCTCAAGCAGCTTGACCGCGATGGAACCATCACTACTTCTGCCATGCAGATCATGAATGATCTCATCAAGGGTAAGTGCTGCTCTGATCTATCACCCGTGTTTTACCATTCCATCTGACATCACTCGTAGATCTCTGTATGCGCCTTGCAGAGCTTGCGTCCGATCTGTGCAAGAAACAGAAGAGGCCCACTTTGTCTGCTCACGACTTCCAGACAGCGTAAGTGTCCAAGTCTCTATGCCCCTGCTTCATCTTTCAGTCCATCATTTCTGTCATCTGTCATGTACTTTCGAGCTGACTTCTCCTTCTACAGTACGAAGCTCATCCTCCCAAGCGGTCTGGGCAAAGAGGCTCACATCGAAGGCAGCAAGTCTCTGCACGTCTACAACAAGGCCGTCAAGGCTGACCAGGCCAAGAGGGAGTCGAGAAAGAAGACTTGAAGCTTCTTCGATCGAGAACGACCTATACGGCATGCATATGCATGCGATACACGACTTCTACGACATGATGGAAACACCATCGATTGCTGATGACGACCTCTGATGTATGAGATGATGATGGAACAAGGAATTGCTTGTTCGATTGCTGTTGGATGATGACACGCTATGAAAGAATGACTCTTATGTTGCTGGAGATTTACTGGACTGATCGAAGACACATCATGTAACATTGCTTTGCTATTCAAACATACAATCAAGGACAAACGATTAGCTCATATTCCAATGCTCCAAACGTGAGTTACTTGTGTACTATGCCTAATGACACAATGAAACTGTTTACCTCAATTAATTTGCCTCACCTTCCTCTTCTCCCCCCAACCACTACCGCTCGTCGCGCTGGTCCCCATACCAAGGTATTCTCGTGCTCCAACTATCAGTACCTCAATTCGTTCTTCTCACGGTCTCAAAGGCAATGGTCTCCTCGCTAACCAGGTCACAAACGCAAACAACGGCAATGCATTACCACGAGAATATCCACAAACCACAAAACATCGAAATCTCTGATACTCGTCAAGGGATTCCACTTTCCAATCTACTTACGAGCAAGAGAGATTATGCTCCCCTTAATGGTGTACCTGGGGGAGGGGCGATTGGAGCACAGCAGATGTGGAGAATATATCTGCCTTCTACCTTTTACCTTTTGACCTCGAACATGTTTACTGTAATGATGCAGGATACTTATCAACACCACTTCCTGCACTCTCGAGAGCTCGCTTGTACTATCTTCCCTTGTTGACCTCTGCATCGTCGTCTGGTATCGATTGGCAGCGAGATACTTGAGGAAACACGACAGAACCAACAAGCCATGATGTTCATCCGCAGCCCGGATGGCTCTTTGCTGATTGTAGAGTGTTGTGGCAAAGAAAAGTTTAGATGGTATTAAGGTGGTATGTTTTATAACGCTCATTGGACGGGGTACATGATGTGAAAGTCTTTGAATGTCGATGATGTGATGTTTTTTACTGTAAAGTGTCGTTTTTATGTCAGATGTACTGGGGGGGTTTTGTTTAAGGGAATGTATATCTTTGGATATTTTCTTTTTTCTTTTTTCGCCATCTACTTTATTCAGGGATTAGGTGGTACTGTTAATTACAACTTGAAGGATCTGTGTATTATATGTTGTATAACACGAAGATATCCGCGGCACTCATTAAACACTGCAAGGAATGAGAATGTCATACTTTTACATTCATAAGGGGTAGTATATCGATTTCTCATATTACGAACTTGGCTTTTGTTCTCTGATATTCATGCTTTTCTGAACAATATGGGTGGCGAGGAGAAGAACTGTTGAGGAGGTTGCTCTGTCAGACGAATTTCTCTGTCTCGAAGGTACACAGCGAAGCGTTTGGCGTCAGTGACTGTTTCATACAGAGTTGGACTCTCCGGCGTAGAGGTATGTGGATGGGTAGATCCTTAAATGAGGCCAGAGTGATGGATCAGTGGCATAGAAGACAAGAGAAATAGAGTCAGAGGTATGAAGCCTGTGCTAAGTTGTTGTTAGTGCCCTGATATAAATCTCCTTAGGGGAGTCTATCTCTGACATATCTGTACAAACGCAGGGTAACGTTCGACCGAGCAGTACATGTCAAGCAGGTTAGCCACCTCTTTCACACTCCACAAACAACGTCTCCCAGATTTGAAAACATTATGCGTTTCTACAGCACCCTTCTAGAGTCTACAATTACCGTCGAGAAGATCAGAGTACATCGACCTTGATACCCCAGCCATCTCTTCCTCCAACCCAGTTTTTCTTCTTTCCAGCCTTTTCAATCTTGTCCATTTCATCCTCGACAATAGAGTTCAAAGATCTGCCCGCCTGGTCTTGTGTCTTGAGCACCAGAGTCTTTTCCCCTTTCTTCGAAACACCCCAACTGGCTCCCAACGTCATTGCACCCTGGCCTTTTCCAGAAGGATACACAGCGCCAATCAAAGCACCCACACGACCCAGATATCTAGCCCACCAAGCACTCTCAGCTCCTGCTAGTGCTTGCATGGAGTGGAAAAAGGAAATGTCTGTAGGAGGCAGGTCTTTGAGTCCTCCCCAGCGTTCGCAGAGTAAGAGGCAGAGGAGAGCACGTTCGTCGTGGGAGAGTCCGTGTGCTGAGGCTAGGATGCCGGTGCTTGTGCTGCGTAAAGCGGCTGCGGCGCGGATATCCTTTGGGTGAGAGGAGAAATGGCCAGAGAGGTTTGCGAATGCTGTTAGAATAGGTGTAGAGATGGGAGAGATGTTGGGCGGGATGGCGGTGAGGAGTAGTTGGGCATAGTGTGGCGATGAAGGGGAAGCGTGTGCAGAGGTGGCGACAACCACTGGAGATTGTTGGCGTATGTCGACTGGGAGAGAGGAGAAGAGATAGCCTTCTCTGACACCACCTTGACAGAACCGTACTTCTTTGATGTGAGGTAGGGCTTCCGAGAGTGCCGTGACCAAGAATGCGACTGCCGGAACTTGGCTTGCTCGTCGTTGAGAGACTCTGAAGATTGCAGCGTCTTCATCTGAGTCGACATCCATAGCTGCAGCTTCAACAGCACCAGTATCCAGAAAGTCGCCCCTAGTCGTACGAAACCCATTGATGACGGGAATAGGGTACGGCGATACCTTATGCTGACTCATGAGCACAAACCCCCAACCACGAAATCCACCTCCAGAGAGATACAAAGCATACCCACCCTCCCTCTTCGCCAACTCCGTCAACTCATCAGGAACACTCAGACTTTCAAACGCCTGCTTGATAGCCCCCTTGACCTCCTCTGCAAATTCCCTCTTCTTGTTTCCTCCTTGCCTTTCAGCTTCCACAAGACGCCTACTCAATGCCGCAGCACCAAACGGCATACTGACAGCACCCCTCTCTGGCATCTTGATCTCTCCAGTCTTGGCATCACTGATCAGCCACGTCAACTGAGTGGATCCGCCACCAAGATCCATAACCAATCCCTTCACCTCCCCCAAACTAGTCGCAACCCCCAATGCGCCAACTTTACCCTCATCCTCTTTAGCCAACAGTCTAACTTCCCAACCCGTAGCTTGCTTGATGCTAGCTCTGAAGACTTCAGAATTCACTGCTGTTCTAGTAGCTTCAGTGGCCAGGATATTGATGTTTTTGTCCGGGACGTTGAAATCGGTACAGGTGCGTTTGAAGTGTACTAGTTTGTCGATTACTTTGGCGATTGTATGTTCGGGGATAGGGACACGGTCGCCAGAGGAAGAATATTGAGCATCGTAGAGTGAGATTCCAGCGCGAGAGGTGTAGAGTGTCGGTAAAATCCTCGTTGTTGGTGGTGAGAGGTCGGTGATGGAGAAGCGGATGCCGTTGCTGTTGGATTGTAATGTTACGTTAGTATGCAATTTCGAGTTGTCATTCGGTCCTCCTTTTGCGGAGGAATCCGTTATAGTTTTTCTGTGATTTGTACGGTCTAATCTCTCAAAGTGAAAATTGATGGAGGGGGTTTTTTCTACCTTCCCATGTCAACCAAGCCATGGAGATGCTCAGGGTTAGGCGAGCTCAACGCCATCTTTTGTTGTTGAGCTGTTCGGACTGCTGTAGATGGTGCACGATTCAAGCGAAACCAAGCACTCGATGCAACTCTTCTTTTTCTTGTAGTGAAGGCTTGTTTTTGCAAGTGCGAATTTGGTCGGACAAAGTCGCGAAAATAATCGAGGCTTGCTCGAATTACCAGCCACCTGTTTGCGATGACGTAGCCAAATAGATTGCTGCACAAAAACACCAAGATCAATGCAGGACAAACAGAATGAACGGGCTGTGATGATTAACTTAAATCGGTGTGCTATAAATTACAATACGGTTCGTTCTGTTGATCCTCACTGCGCCTGTGACCTGTCTGTGACCCGTACAGACTTTCCATCCCCTGAAAGCATGACCTTCGTAACTCATCATTGATTTTTTCCCGCTTAAACAGCCAACAAGCTGAAGACGTCGTTTCTCCAGCCTCTGACCTCTGAACCATCCTCGATTCTCTCCTCGGCCTGAGCCGCTTCCTCGTTCCACAGCTTGACCACACTGCCAGGTGCGTACTTGCCCTTGAAGACTCCCTTGCCAGGTTGAGCAATGCCGACACGAGTGTAAAGATCGGGGTCATCCTCGGGTGTGAGGCGTGCAGCAACAGCCTTGAAGAAAGTGATGAGGTCGTTGGGGTCGGCGACGCGAGTGGCACGCAGACGCTCGCGGGCGTAAAGAAGTTCGCGGTTGGCTGCGTGCAAAGCGTCTGCAATACCGCTAGCAATCTGCTTCTCCATGACCTTACGTACGATGGGTCTGAGGATGGGCTTGACCAACCATGCCAACCAAGAGAACTTGCTCTTGCGCAGAGTGTAGTCAAGTTTGTGAACATTGACACGAACAGCCTTGAGACTGAGCATCGACTCCATTCTGTCCTTGGCAATCTCTACATCAAGATGGATATCCAGACCCTTCTCGTCGAGAGCGAATGATGTGATACCCTCATCGGCCAGTCTGAACAGACCGGAGTGGGCACGCATCCAGAAGCCAACTTCTTCGGCACGAGCCGAGATACCATCAATCTTGATAGTGACAAAATGAGATGATGTGGAAGTTGTGCGGAATCTGGCCTTGCGAATTTCGAAGTCGTTGTAAGTCTCGACGCGAAGCTTGTAAGGCAGGAAAGAGGTGTGGTTGACCGTCTTGCCAGGCTCGATGATAAGATTCTCGAGCAAGAGGTCGATGTCGGGAGTGCTGATCTCCAGACGGGGGATAGGAATATACTGAATGGCGGCGATCATCAGAGGGATGAAGATGTTGATGGCATCGGTCAAGAGCTCCGGGTTAGTGGCATTGTGAAGAGGCGATAGAATGCGGAAAATCTTCATGCTGTGCTGCATAAGCTTGGTCACATCTTCATCGTTCAAGACAGAAACCAAAGTCTCTTGGAGCTGTCCGAGGAAGTTGTCGATGTCAGTACGAAGGTCAGACTCCGACCCAACCTTGCGAGACTTCTCACGCAGCTCATCAAACTTCTCGCGAGCAGTGTCGAAGAAGTTAGGATCAGTAAGCAGAGTCTGAAGTGAGTTGCCAATGTCCACCATGAGGTTCTCAAACTCAGGGTCCTTCTCGGAGTGCGAGACGACCTTTTTGAACGTTTCCTCAAGCTGCTTCCAGGCATCGCGGTCGCCGAAGGATGAGAGCAGGGACCAGAAGTTCTTTCCAGCCTTGTCCATCTCGGCATTCTCATGTACATCTACTTCAATAGCGTTGACAGTCTCTTCGACTGAGCGAGAGTACGCGATAGCGTAGCGTTTGAGCAGAGTGGCAAGGGTTGAGACAGACTCGTTGTAGTCAGGACGCTTTCTAAGCTTCGTGACTGCCTGCTTCAAGCGGTTCAACATGACCTGGCCTTCGTCGCCAGAAAGCTTCTCTTCGGCACTCTGCTCAGTGTCTTGAGCAACTTGAGCGACGCCGTTTGCGACAACCTTGGAGACATCTGCAACGTCGTTTCCAATGTCCTTGCCTGAGGGTGGGGGTCCAGAGTCGGCACCGACCTTGCTCAACTTCTGTTGCTCTTCTTGTGATGGCTCGATCTGCTTGCCAGCCTCCTTTGCGACATTCGACAGGGAGAAGGCAGCATCCTTGAAGACTTCGCGGCCAACAACGTTCAAATCTGACAGGAAGATGCGGAAGTCGGAATTTGTGAGAAGGAGGGATCCGACGGTCTGCAGGCTTTGATAAGCTATGCATTGTTAGCGTGACGACTTTGATTCGATTGAACTGAGTACTCACCAGCAGCGGTCTTTGCCTTGGATTGTACCTTGGCCGCTCTGTGTGCGAGGTCTCCTACGTCGACATGTACTTTGGAGTGGCTCAATCCCCAAATAAAGTCTTGGATCTGGTCCTCGCCATTCTTGTGCACGAGCAGTTCAATGAAGTCCTTGAGCCACTCTTTTGAGAACTTGGCTAGGCGTCTTCCTGAATCGCTGAGGTTTGGGTCGCTGGGGTTTAGGACGTCGGATGAGAGTAATGATCGGAGGTTGATGATGAGCTGTTCATTTGAGGGCATGTATCCGTCGGTCAAAGCTTTGATCATCTGATACGAGTGCAGCTTCTGGTGAAGCTCGCGCTGGAGGATCGTATCATCTCGGTACACGGGTAGCAGGGGCTTTGTGTCGTCGGACTTTGACTTGCGGAATCCGAGGCAGGACGACATGGTGACTGCAGGGATGACCGGGCGATAATGAGTTACAGCGAGTGGAAGATTGAAGTGAATTGATTGGGGTAGTGTAGTGAAGAGCTATGGTAGTGTTCAATGTGGATTGGTAGCTAGCAGCAAGCAGGCAGCAAGCAGCAAGCAGTACCAACGTCTAAAAGCCGTCATCGTCATCATCATTGCGGGGAAGCATGTGAGAACAGGGAACTACACAAAGTATACCATGCCACCAGGCACTTTTACACTTCATGGCGTTATGAGACACAGCCTTCGTGATGGCATTCTCGACTATCGACCGAGCAGACCGAGGTAGAGGGTCTGGGGTTTGCGATAGCTCCGACGAGGTGTTATGAAAATCAGGGGAAAGCACCATGCCTTCAGTCACGGGATCGGGAAGGACAGAGCAGGAAAGAAGGCCGACGCGACGGCCGAAGGCTAGGCTGAAAATAAATATCCTCAGCGGACCTCTGCGGGAAAAATCGGAGGCGTGGGGGTTTTTCTGCGCGGTTGTGCACGGTTTAGGGTCCTCTGCGACTTCGGGAAACAGATAGCGGCAATTAAGTGGTGTAAGCTATAGATTTTGAACAATCCATACCAGTCAAAGCAAAAGGAAGTGTCTAAAACCATTCATAAACTCGAGTAGAAGTCGCGGGCGAGAATTCAATTGAGCTAAAAGCAGGTTGATTTGGGAAGAAGCTGAGGCTGGGGAGTCGGCGTAGGGCAAAGCTACGGGCCGAATTTATCGGTACCCCACAACCCCCAGCATCGGTTTGGTTTCTGGTGGAGCTTCATTGTCTAGAATGTAACTGCCCGATGACATGAGGCTCGCATTTTCGTGAGGCCTCATATGCCGAATGGGTCCCTCTTCCGACATATGGCGACCTTTCTCTCAGTTTCATCAGAGATTATAAATTGCTGACCGCTGGCTGTTTTAGCCTGAATTCCTTGCTCTATGTCTCTATCCTCATCTCGCGTGCTCCATTCCCTACTTAAGCGTCCTCTCCCCTCGACCTCTGCCCGACGAGCATCTGCCCTTTTTCACACTTCCTCCACTATGTCTAATTCAGCTTCTATCGCTCCTGCTCCTGCAGCAAACATCATGCAGAGCAACCCTCCCGCCGTCTCTTCAAGGCAATCGTAAGTAAACAAGTCTGCACCTCAGCACAAGCCTTTGAACAACGTCTGACCCCTGCTCAGGAGCGCCGACTACGATACCGCATACCCCATCGAGGTCCGCAAGTACCTCCGCACATATGGCCTCACACCTCCTGCCGTCGAGAGCTTCGAGACACAAGAAAAGAGATGCCTCCAGCTCCTCGAGAACAAGCAAAATCCCATCGACAAGTACCAATACCTCACTCACCTGAGAAACACAAACGTCAACCTCTTCTACCGTCTCTTGTCCGGCAACGTCAAGGAGATCACCCCCGTCATCTACACTCCCACCGTCGGCGAGGCCTGCCAGAGATGGTCAGAACTCTACACTCAGCCTGAGGGTATGTCTACTCGAGCCACAGCCATCTCAATCGCACCCCGCTAACAACCACTAGGCATGTACCTTTCTTTCTCGGACAAGGGTAACCTCCACTCCATCATCCAGAACTGGCCCCACCACGTCGAGATCACCGTCGTCACTGACGGCTCTCGTATCCTTGGTCTCGGTGACCTTGGCATCAATGGCATGGGTATCCCTGTTGGCAAGCTCGCCCTTTACACTGCTTGCGCTGGTATCAGACCCGATGCCACTCTCCCCCTCACTCTCGACTTGGGTACCAGCAACGAGGAGCTCCGCAACGACCCTCTCTATCTGGGCAGCAGACGCGACAAGGTCACTGCCGAGGAGGAGCGTGAGTTCCTTGACGAGCTCATGGCCGCTCTTACCGAGCGCTGGCCCGGTATCGTCATCCAGTACGAGGACTTCAAGAACCCCTTCCCTTCGCTCGAGCGTTACCAGAAGACCTACACCATGTTCAACGACGACATCCAGGGTACTGGTGCCGTCATCCTTGGTGGCTTCATCAACGGTGTCAAGCAGTCAAAGGTTGCCGCCGCTGACCAGCGTGCCGTCTTCTTCGGTGCTGGCTCTGCCGGCGTCGGTGTTGCCAAGCAGCTTGTCGAGTTCTTCATGAACGAGGGTCTCACCGAGGATCAGGCTAGAAAGTGCTTCTGGCTCGTCGACTCCAAGGGTCTCATCACCAACGACCGTGGTGACAAGCTTGCGGAGCACAAGCTCTACTTCTCTCGTGATGACAACGAGGGCAAGCAGTACAAGACTCTCGAGGACGTCATCGAGTACGTCAAGCCTACCATCCTTATGGGTCTCAGCACCATCGGCGGTGCCTTCACTCCTGAAATCCTTAAGCGTATGGCCGAGTTGAACAAGATGCCCGTCATCTTCCCCCTGTCCAACCCCAGCAGCAAGTCTGAGTGCACCTTCGAGGACGCCATCAAGTACACCGAGGGTCGTTGCCTCTTCGCCTCTGGTTCGCCCTTCCCTGCCCTTGAGTACAACGGCAAGACCCTCGAGCCTGGACAAGGCAACAACATGTACGTCTTCCCTGGTATCGGTCTTGGCGCCATCCTGTCCAAGTCCGTCAACGTCACTCAGTCCATGATCTACGCATCTGGTAAGGCCCTTTCAGACTCTCTCCTCCCCGAAGAGATTGAGCAGAACTGGTTGTACCCCGATGTCCGCCGCATTCGCGACGTCAGCGTCGTTGTCACCTGTGGTGTCATCCGCGCTGCCCAGAAGGCTGGTGTCGACCGCGAGCTCGGTCTGCGCAACATGGACGACAAGGCTTTGACCGAGTACGTCCAGAAGCGCATGTACGACCCCTTCACCGAGGGCAAGAAGGTTCGCGATGAGGTCAAGGAGCTCGCTTCTCACCTCTCCAAGCTTTAAACGGCCTCCATTCATGTCGAAAAGTTGTTTGATTGTTTGATCACATTTTCTCTTTTGCGCTATTGGAATGATCCATTGCATATACATGGGCCAGGTTAGGCCATGGTGGTCCGACATAGACGCCACTGAACGGGTAGTTCTGTGGCATGGACAACAGGAGATGGAACGTTTGAAGTGATGCGATAGTGTATCAGTATCACTCACGTTCGGAGAAGAAGAAAAAGGGGCCGACCCTCGGTGCTAGGGCTCTGGCAAGGCATTGTTTGTTCTATCTTTACGACCAGCGAAGGAGTTTTGTCTTTTTTGGACCAAAGAGTCTAACCTAATGAATACATTTTTTTCATCCTTATGCTATCTTGCGATTCTCTTTCTCCTTTTCCTCTCGGATGTGTTGATGAAGACCACACTTCAAAATGAGTATTGATGTCGTGGTTCTCTGAGTGCGTAAAAGTGGATTCGTTGAGGTAGGTGACCCTGACACTGCGCGCTTGTCTTTCACCAAGTCTCGAACGCTTGGGGTACCACCCTGCTCATATCTTTTCTCTGTCACGATACTTCTTAAGACTAGAGTTACGGTACTTGTTACACTAGTTACAAGCCCTTTGATATCATACTTACGCTTCCAAGCTTTTGCTTCTAGGAAATGTAGTGTCTTGTCGTCAACTCTCGTCGACATGATCTCGATTCTTTTATTTGTCAAGACGTTCAGGGCAAACCAGCTCCTTTGGACACTCCATGGGAGTGAAGGATTCCCAGTCATGCTCAAATGGTGGTATGACAGGTCGTTACAGATACCTAGACATGCGAATAAAACGACCGGGTATGCATAGCGAGAAGATATGGGTATACCATTGACATGTCAAGTTGCTGGGAGTTTGGACGCTTCGAGTTGGTTGAAGTATATAACCCTGACCGAAGCCTAAACGTCCATCCAACATCTTGCTCTTGCACCTTGATGGATACAAGGCTCTGCACTTGCAGTCGCAACCAAGCCAAGCCACCTATGACCCATGGCTAGAAAGGGACAGTGGAGGGAAGAAAATACTCGATTGGTAACTTTGGATATCAGAAGAAAAAAAAGCAACAAAGGCAGAAAGAACAGCAACAAAGGCAAAAAAAATTACACAACGAAGCAAACCCAATCCATCCGCCTTCCGGATCATTGTAGCGTCCACTCCCCCATCTCCTTCCAACCGTTCCTCAGCCTCTGCGTCGCGGAATTATAATCGCTTACTGGTAATCGGCCTCCTCGTGCTCAGACTCGCTGACATGCGGGCTCTGTGGTACTTCCGGCTCTTCCTCAACCTGTGTCTGCTCCTGCTCTGCAAGTTCCTCCTCTTGAGCATATCCGTTTCCATTTCCATTAATCTCGGCTTCTTGTTCAGCAGTCATCTCAGCATCAACGCCATTGTGACCAACAGCATCAGCCATCTCCTCATCAATTTGCTGCTGCACACCTATAGAAGGCATAGTCACATCTCCCTCATCATCAGACTCGTGCACCTTCTCCTCACTGCGGAAAGTGCCCGTGCTTCTTCTACCTCCATGACTAGCTCTATGCTTAGGAGCCGTGCGCACAGCCAGTGCATCAGCATCAAAGTGTGACTCGAGCCATTCAACCTGAGCTTCGAGGTTACCTCGGAAATCCTTTTGGTCGCCAGCGGTGTCCTTGAGTTTTCTGTACACTTGCTTGCGGTCTGCTGTTGACCAGGGGGAGCCTGCATGTAATCTGGTCACGACAGCCCAGAAGGTGTTTTTGCTGGCAAAGGCTCCCATTTGTGCGCCGTAGAGTGTTTCGCGTGTTACGTCGAGCATGTCGCCGACGGTCATCTCGTCGAAGCGGCGGGCTGCTTCGGCCTTCCAGCGGGTGGTCGTGTGGGGCGATGTCATGCCGTCGTCGTATTCTTCTGTAGGTGCGATTTCTCCACGCTTAATGGCTTCTTCGCGTTCGGTTTGGTTGGCCTCCTCGCGGATGACGCGTTGCTTGATCTTGCGCCACTTCATGCTGCATTGGAGGCGGTTGCGTGAGCCATTCATCTTTTGCACCACGACGTTCCAAGCAATGTAGTCGTCTTCGTTCTCGCGGCCGAGTGTCGTGTCCATGGTAGCTTCGACGGCTCGGAGACAGTCACGTACAGCGGTGGCCAGACGTTGCTCTTCGTCCTGGGTCCAGACATCGGTATGACGTTGATCGAGCGAGACGTGGTTTCTCCAGCGGTCGCGGCAGTCCTCTGGCATGCGGCCGACACGTTCGCCAATCTTGACCCACTTGTTGGGATTCTCGGCGTAGGCGTTGCGCAACAACTCATCTTGCTCCTCGGTCCAGCGACCGCGTTGGAAGTTGTTGTAGTGACGGCGGCAGTAGCGTTGGACGGCGCGACGGTTGCGGTGTGGCAGGACGTCGGTGGCGAGGTCGACGTAGATTTTGCTCATTTCCCGTGATGATGCCTGGATCATGTTTACGAGCTGATCGCGCGACAATCCGTTGTCAAGACAGAATTGCACCAAGTGAGTCTCGATCAGGTCACACTCGACAGGCGTGAATGGACCATGCTCAGGGTAGTCACCGGCAGCTGCTCGTGGCATTGAGGCTCGCTTGACGCGTTTGACTGATGGAGCAGGCGACCCGTTCTCGGTGGATTGACGCTTGCGTTTTGTCTTTGGCTTCGCTGATGAAGTTTGGGCTTCCTCCTCTCCGTTGTCAGAGTCCGGCGGTACCTCGAATTGGCTAATGTCGCCTTCCGTGTTGTCGATCGGCTCTTCGGGCTCCTCATCCGCGGCGCCAGCTTCAACCTCAGGCTCATCGACTACATCCTCGCGCGCTTCCTCGGGTTCAGCGGGGTGCTCCTCAGCGTCTTCGAGTGGCTCCTCGGCTTGTTCCTCGCCGGGCTCCTGTGTTTCTGGCACTTCGGCCTCCTGTTCTTCTTCAGGCTCGACTTCTGCCTCGGCCTGCTTCTTTGAGCGACGCTTGCGAATTTTGGCGGGCTGTGCAGCTGGCTCCTCAACAGCAGCGTCGGCCATAGCTTCATCGACAACAGGTGATGCGGCCGTGTCAGCCTTGCGCTTTCGTGTCTTTCTGGCGGCCTTGGCTTGTACTGGAGTTTCGTCAATGGTTTGCGGAATGCTGGGTCGTGCAGGAGTCTGCTGTTCGATCAACTCCTCGGAAGCAGCGCGAATGCGTGCGCTGCTTCTCATTGGCTTCGAGGCCGAGCTGGCGCGTTGTTTGGCGTAAGTCTTCAGCTTGCCGGCCTTGCTCTTGGTTGTGCCAGGGGTCTGGGTCACGGTGTCGACAGTGGGGGACTCCATGATGAAGGCGGATGCGGTTACTGCGACGCGTCGTTAGTTGACTGGGAGCGCTCCACGGTCGTCGAGGGAAGGATGCGCGATATTTACCTCGATCAATTTTGTTTGATGGACTCGACGATTGACTCAACGATTCGACGGCAGCGTGTTGAGTTCCAGGCTGCGACGATGTATTTCCCATGCTAAAATATGCCAAAAGAAATAATTGCACTGTTCGCGTTTTGCCAAGCAACTTCCCCAACTCTCCTCGGTCTGAATTGCCCTAGAGCTTCGAGTGTCCCCACGTTTGTGCACCCAGTAAACTTCTTCGGCATCAACTCCTCGAGGACAGGATGTCAGGGTGACCTACGACTAGCGTCTTGATCGATCTTCATATTGTAATTCTCTGTATTCACCAAATGCTATTTAGCCACGCTATGCACCAAGCACAATCATTAACATATCAAGCCATAAACCCATATCCTCAAGAAACCGTCCACCAAACTAATGGCTGATGTACTGGAACACAGCACTGACCGCATCCTCTGTACACTCTTGTCTGAGCAGCAGATCTTGGATCCTGCCCATAGCACCCTTCTCACCATCGTTGGTAAAATGGTTCCATGAACTGGTATCACCATAGAGCATCGCGGGCGCCTTGATGAACTGCTTGCCGTCCTTGCAGCGCTTGCACTTGATGGTATCATGCGTATCGCTGGTCGTGTCGGGTCGGTACTGGAAGAGCTCGCGGAGACTATCCAGCGAGAAATGTCGTTCGACATCCTCTGCTGAATCCACGACACACGATGACAAAGACTGCTTGTGGGACTGTCTCTGGAAGATCTTCTCTTCGATCGTTCCTGTCGAGATGAAGCGGTACACGAAACAGTCTTTCTTCTGACCATCACGCCAGACACGCGCCAGTGCCTGCTGATCGGCTGCAGGATTCCAGTCAGGGTCAAACAAGACGAGACGGTTGGCACCAATCAAGTTGAGACCACATCCACCGGCCTTGGATGATAGCAAGAAGACAAACTCGCTACCCTCGGGATCGTTGAACTTGTCCACAAGCTTTGCACGCTTGTTGACCGTCATCGTACCGTCGAGTCGGAGACTGCCATAGTTTCTGGCACGACATAGCTTCTCGAACACGTCAAGAGTCTGCGTGTAATTCGAGATCAAGACGATCTTGTCGTTGGTCTCGGTTCTGATTCGAGCAAGCATGCGATCAAGCACTTGCATCTTACCTGAGTACCATGCCTTGACATCTCTGTCACGACCACGAGAATCCTTGGGCACAAAGTCTGAGGGGAAAGTGTTCTCACAACCGGGCAGATCCTCCGGAAGATTGAGCAGATCGGGGTGGTTGCAGAGCTTCTTCAGCAAGCCGATGGCCTTCAGAGGCTGACTTCCCTTGCCCTTCAGCAAACTCTTGATGTCGGGTGATTGCAGGAAGTGGTTGTAAAGATCCTTCTGGAAGGGTGCCATGTTGCAGAAGACAACATGCTCGTACTTGACAGGCAAGTACTTGGACAGAATGTCGTTAGTGCGACGGATGATGAACTTGTTCACCAAAGTCAGTAGCTCACTTAGCCGCTCGTCACCCTTCTTGCGATCGGCGTCTGAACCACCTGCATCGCGACCACGAAGAATTGGAAGTTCGAACTTCTTGCGGAAGTCCATCCTTGTACCAAGATAATTGGGATTGGCGAAGTTGAGCAATGAAAAGTATTCTGAAAGATCGTTCTGGATGGGTGTTCCAGACAGAATGACTCGCTTCTGCACATTGAGACCGTTCAAGGCCATGAAAGTCTGACTGTCGGCATTCTTCAGCTTGTGGCCTTCGTCACAGAGCAGGAGTCCAATGGGCGTTTCTCTAAACTCGTCCACGTAGAGTCTCAGTGTGTCGTAGGATACGATAATGACAGGTCGGATAATGGCACGACCTGACGCGATGGACCACTGACGAATTTGCTGGATTAGCTCATCTTTGGTAGCCTTGCCATCAATGGCGAACGGATTGATGGCATCTTTCCCAAGCCATTTGACCAACTCGTTGGCCCAGTTGCGGACCAAACTCGAGGGACAGACGATGATGGCCTTGTTAATGGTGGGCTTGCCGGCATCCGGTGATTGCTTCAAAAGTGTCCACATGAGGGCGATACATTGTAATGTTTTGCCCAGACCCATCTCATCCGCCATGATGCAACCTTGAGCCTTTTCGTCGATCAATCCAGTAGTAGCGCGGTATAAAAACTGTGACTAAGAGTGAGCTTCTAGGCACGCGACGAATCCACAAACAACATACCTTGACACCCTCAACTTGATGAGGACGTAGCACTTTTGCCAGCCTGGGGTCGATGACAACGGGCACCCGAGGTCGCTCCTCGACAACCTTCTTCTTCAATCCCAGGATATCGGCCAAACTCTTGTGCATGATCGGTTCGTCCAATTTTTCTTTTACATCTTCAGCATTTTCCTTGGATGCATCCTCTATTGCCTTGACTGGTTTATCGTCGATAGTGGGATCGTAGAGCACAATGGCAAACTCTCCACTTGGGTCGTGAAGCGGCTTAGCAACGAAGACTGCACCCTGACGCAGTCCGAGGAGAGGCGGCGGGCGAGACGAGTTGTAGGCGGCAGGATCCTTGTTAAGGAAAGGCACCGAGAAGCGTTGACGTATTGAGGTGTCCTTGTCCTTGGGCTTGAAGACAGGGAAGCGGTTGACGTCTCGCGTGGCAAGTGCAAGTCGATCCTCGTTGCTATACGGTTTATCGACATCATCTGCCTCGCCATCGGCTCCAGCGTAATTGACCTTTCTTCTTTTGCGCGTTGGTTTCTCCGAGGCTCTTGTGGGTGTTGCGGATCCAGGGCACTTGAAAGGCTTCATCAACCGGTCGGCAGTGATGGGGGTGCCGCCATACATGCGAGACCGCTTTTGTGTAGGCAGTGGCGTTGGCGCGACATTCTCCTTCTCGATGACGGCGATCCTGCAAAGCGCGGTCAGATTGGTCCAATTAGTAGTAACCAAGACGAGCAACTTACATTACGAATGGTTGTTTTCTGGTCTGGGTCGTCACTTACCGCCACAAAAGGAATGTCGTAGTTTTGTCAAAAGAATGAGCATCGAGGTGCCTGGAGTGGGACGTGTTCTAGGTGGCGGCTTGACGCGCGAACCCATGTGACTTGGTCTTCTCTCGCAAATTGAGAAGTCGCGATCACATCCGTCAATTAACACTCTCTGTCACTGATTTACTTGTCGTACAGGGAGCATCGAGTATTCGTGTTTCACAAAGATAGCTCGCACATATGCCGATCCACCTTGAGCTTCAACATGTAGTTCTTTCACGACTCCAAGAATATTTGTACCGTGATGGCCGGTCCCCGAAGGACGATGAAGGCGGAAGCAATTCTAACCGGCGGCTTCCCCAGATGCAAACAGTGCAAACAACCATACTAGAATGACATGTGGCTAGACTCCAAACGATCCTTGAAGGGAAATTGTAGTCCAGAGGAGTTGCCTTTGTTCTCATAGAAGACGCATCGATCACTCGCAGCTGGACCGTGACAATAATCGAGCGAGGTGTTCGGTCAGACACCCTGATATACCCCTCAGCTCATGAACGTCTTCGACACTAAGCTTTCTAGCTAAACGGCCAGTCATCATCTATTGCTTTGCAAACAGTGAGGATGGTGCCATATCAGTACCTGGCAGCCAACACTGCCTTCCTCCTTGGACTCCAAGCGATATGTACCAGTGCCGCCCCTTCGGTGAATGTAGCGCTCAAGACTTCTTTCAATTCAGCTCCCTACCTAGTAGAACTATTGTAAGGCACATCTACACGCGAGCTAGATCAAGACTAACGAGAGACAGAGAAACAGCTGCTGATGAAAACTCGACCGCCTATTACCCACTACTCGACCGCATTGCGGAAGGCCACTTCGATCAAGCCTCGACGGATCGAGATCTGTATGAACTATTCAAAAAGACACTACAAGATGAGGGACATCTTGCCAAAGCAGAAGACATCTCTTCTTTCGAGTATGCATTGTCGATACATGCCGCTGCCCCTAGAATAGAGGCACACTATCAATTCTACAACACTACCGTGGAGCCTACGTTGAAGAGACGGACGGATAAGAGCTGTCAAACTTGGTTACACTTCAATGGCCAACAATACTGTGACTCCGACCTGGCAAGCTCATCAGGAGAATTATTGGATCAGGAGTATGTCTAGACGTCTGGCTTGCTATCTCACAAACTTGCTAACATCTGACAGGCGTGTGCTAGATCTCCCGTTCGATCGCATCGCGGGTAACAAGCAGAGCAAGACACCCGCCATCCTCTACGCAGATATCATGTCTCCAACCTTTCGTGAATTCCATAAGACCGTTAGCGCAACCGCAAAATCGGGAAAGACATCATACAGAGTCCGATACAGGCCTTCTATAGACATTGCGGGATCTCCACTTGCTGTCAGTGGGTATGGTATAGAGCTGGCCCTCAAGAGGACCGACTACATCGTCATTGATGATCGTCAGGCTGAAGACTCGGATTCTGTGAGCAGTGATGGCTCTAGCGCAAAGTTGACGGACGAAGATGTGGCAGACCTCAAGCCGCTGTCCTCGAAGGAGCTGTTGAGATTGGACATGAGGGCGTCAAGCTTTGTAATGAGCAGTGCTGATCCATTCGACACTTTGTTGAAGCTTACACAAGACTTCCCGAAGCACTCAGCAGCCATGTCTACACAGGAGATTTCCGAGGATTTCAGGAAGGAACACTTGGTGAACCGCGAAGTCTTCCTACCATCAGGTTATAACGTCATCTGGGTGAATGGTCTCCAAGTTCTGGCTCGTGACTTCGATGCTTACGCTATGCTTGAGCATTTGCGACGTGAGCGTAAGTTGATCGACAGTGCGAGCGAGCTCGGTTTGAGCGGAAAGGAGGCCGTGCAGCTTCTATCACATTCATCAATCTCGGAAGCATCCTCAAGTCAAGAACCTCAGCGTTACGATTGGAGAGACGAGCTTGAAGATGGCAAAGTCATTATCTGGATGAATGACATTGAGCACGACAAACGTTATGCCGAATGGCCATCTCAAGTCAGAGCGGTAAGTATCTTCCTCATCCACCGTACGCACATGACTAACGGCAAAAGCTATTGCAACGAACGTACCCAGGACAACTGCCCCCTGTTCGTAAGGAAATTCATAACCTTATACTTCCAATTGATTTTGCCAACTACAAGGATGTCGAGATGGTCGTTGAGAGTCTACAAAGCTTTGTGAAGAGGAAAGTACCGATTCGATTTGGTCTTGTACCCAAAACCACTTCTGCCGCGTCGTCTGAGCAGGCCAAGACCGTATACTACTTGCTCGACACTTATGGTCTTGGTGTTGCTCTGGAATATCTACAGAAGGTTTGTCCCGCTATGAGAATCACCAATGAGCCCTACTAACATATTCAGCTTTCTTCTAGTCAAGGACGAAAGCTTGCAGGTCCGGTCCAGTCCGTATTTGATGGTGCCGCCAAAGGTCGCAAGCTTCGTAAAGACCGCACTTCAGCGCCACTGCAGGAGGTATTGCAGAATGATGACTTCAATGCACGTGTCGCGTCCGCAAGAAAGTACCTGGGCCGTTTAGGCGCATCCGGCAATACTCCACCTTTCTTTGTCAATGGCATTCCTCTACCGATGTCCGACGAATGGCTCCAGGAGATGAGTCAGCGCGTCAGCACTGATTTACGTACTGTGCAGAAGGCAATCTTCGAAGATGAGCTTGACGATGATAGCTACATTCCCGAAGTGTTCTTGGCTCGCGCCTCAGCTCGTCGCAACCCATGGGTCATCCCCGAAGACGAGAACAGTATCAGACAAGTTAACCTGGCATCTCTATCTGATCTCACCGAAGGAGCCATAGGATCGGTACCTAGCTTACCAGCTAGCAAGGATACCGTGTCAAGCGACCTTGTTCACCTTGTCATAGTTGCAGACTTTGATTCAGAAGCCAGCCAACGTATGCTGTCTGCACTTCTTACTCTCCGCAAGGACGAGTATGATCAGGTAGAGATCTTGCTCGTTCATAGTTCCACTACGCCGCTGTCGACCTCGAGCTTTGCCGTTGAGTTGTTCAAGACTATGATCCTAGGCCCCACAGTCTCCTTGGATGCCCTGCAAGCACTGCTGTCGAAGGGCAAGGTCACCGTCTCTGAAGAAGACGTTGTTGCCGCCAATGCCTTCTGGTCGTCAGCTGACAGATTCCTTGAGGAGATCGGATTCAGCAGTGGTGATCAAGGCATCTTGTTAGCTGGCCGAGTTGTCGGACCTTTGCCATCATTCGAGGACTTTGATGGTGACGACTTCGAGACGCTTCTGTCATACGAGCGTATGAAGCGTTTGATGCCGGCAGCTGCGGCTATCAAGGGCGTCAACATCGCTGATAAGGCTAACACTGCCTTGTCGTTCTCCAAATTATCTAACCTCATTGCCCTGTCATCCAAGTCAGACGTCCCTGAGGGCATGTTCGACTCATCACCACCAGCTCGCTCAGATGTCTTCAGCGGGTGGACCGGATCACATACTCTCATCGAGCGTGGAGATGCCGAGTCTGCAACGATTCAGATCGTCGCATCAATCGACCCAGCATCTGAAACAGCTCAACGCTGGGTACCCATCCTCAAGGTCCTGTCTGAGCTCTCTGGAGTCCACCTACGCCTATATTTGAATCCAAAAGAGCGACTGGACGAACTGCCTGTCAAGCGTTTCTACCGGCACGTGCTGGAATCGAAGCCAAGATTTGACAAGGCAGGTTCTCTGCAGGGCACACTGGCACACTTTGGAGGCCTGCCGGCAGATGCGCTTCTCACAATGGCTATGGATATGCCGCCTGCGTGGCTTGTCGCCCCTAAGGACAGCGTCCACGATCTTGACAACATCAAGTTGAGCTCGACACAAGGTAGAGACATTGAGGCAACATATGAGCTCGAAAGCATCCTTATTGAAGGTCACTCTCGTGATGTAACCATTGGCACAGCGCCCAGAGGAGCGCAGCTTGTGCTGGGTACCAACAAGGATCCGCATTTTGCCGACACCATTATCATGGCGAACCTGGGATATTTCCAGTTCAAGGCGAACCCTGGCTTCTACAATCTCACTCTACAAAAGGGAAGAAGCGAGGAAATATTCAAGATCGACAGTGCTGGCACCATTGGATACAGTCCTCAAGCAGGAGATGAGATTACTGAGATAGCGCTTACCAGTTTCCGAGGTGCTACTATCTTCCCTCGTCTCTCACGAAGACCTGGCATGGAAGATGAAGATGTTCTTGAAAGTGCAAAGACAACCGCTGATCACATTGCTAACAAGGCCGATGCCATCCTTTCTAAAGTCGGTCTTGGTAGCGTAAAGTCAGGTGATGTTCTCTCAAAAGCTCAGAAATTCGGTTCTGGCCTCCTATCAAAATCAGGTGGCTCTTCTACTGATCTTGCGACTCTGCCTCATGCTGATATCAACATCTTCTCGGTCGCTTCTGGACATCTGTATGAGCGCATGCTCAACATCATGATGCTATCGGTTACAAAGCACACCTCACACACAGTCAAGTTCTGGTTCATCGAGCAGTTTCTGTCTCCTTCCTTCAAGGCCTTCCTGCCAATCATGGCCGAGGAGTATGGCTTTAGATATGAGATGGTCACCTACAAGTGGCCTCATTGGCTCCGTGGCCAAAAGGAAAAGCAACGTGAGATCTGGGGTTACAAGATCTTGTTCCTGGATGTCCTCTTCCCGCTTGACTTGGACAAGGTCATTTTCGTCGATGCCGATCAAATCGTACGCACTGACATGTACGATCTTGTAAAGTACGACCTCCAAGGTGCACCATACGGTTTCACCCCAATGTGCGACTCTAGAACAGAGATGGAAGGATTCCGCTTCTGGAAGCAGGGTTACTGGAAGAACTTCCTCCGGGGCTTGCCCTACCACATCTCGGCTCTCTACGTGGTCGACCTTGTACGCTTCCGTCAGATGGCCGCAGGAGATCGTCTGAGACAACAGTATCACCAGCTGTCAGCAGATCCCAATAGTCTGAGCAACTTAGACCAAGATCTTCCTAACCATATGCAGCATGTCTTGCCTATCCAAAGCTTGCCTCAGGAATGGCTCTGGTGCGAGACCTGGTGCAGCGACGAGACTCTAGGTGTTGCGCGAACCATTGATCTGTGTAACAATCCTCAGACCAAGGAGCCCAAGCTGGAGAGAGCCAGGAGACAGGTACCCGAGTGGACTATCTACGACGATGAGATTGCGGCGTTGGCTCAACGCAAGGTTGGCGAAGGCAAGAGTCCTATCGCTGGTCACGCGGGCGGTGCTGGTATCCAGGCAGAGATGCAGGAAGCGGATGCAAGAGCTCAAAGAGAGGAGAACGAAATGAAGAAGCAAAAGAGTCATGATGAGTTGTAGAGTTAGATGAGTATAGAATCAATAACAGCGACCTTTTCCCCATACTACTGACCCGAATCTGCTGCCAGTAGATATTGTTCAAACATTGGTAGGTGCGTGGCCTTGCCAGGTCCGGAAATAGGCGTCGCGTCTTTCAGCAGCTTTGATCGTGATATTGAACACAAGGCTCTAGGAACCGTTGAGGCTTCCACTGTTCTTTCAGACGAGGTGCGATGACTACGTGCGCAAGGGAAAGTCATTGATAGCCAGCAAACGAGCGAGACAGCGCATCCTGCAAGCCACATCATCGTTAGGCAGCAGAATAGACGAATGAAGGATCTCGACCAGTCACATGCCTTGTTTTCCAAAGGATGACTGCAGCACAAGGCAATGACTTTGCTACCTGAACGATTCAAGCTTGTGCTTCTCACATGAAACAGCCTTTTTGACCGAAAGACGTACTCTCAGCACCATCTTGTATATAGATTACTCGTCACCTTCGAACCATGGCTGAGAACGCATCCAACTCTCCACAGCGTCAAATGCGAAGTCAAGACATGGCATCTATCCCAAAAGGAAGATGGCACACCCGAAAAGACCTCTTTCGAAGGCTTCGGACATGTCGAGGCTTCCACAGACGACTACGCTCTAGTAGTAACTCGAAAACTGGACAAGAACCACAATCTCGAATCCACCACTCTTGACGTCGATTCTCCTCATATTCTGCAGGCTTTTAGAGATGTTGTAAAAGTCGCACCCGACTATTCCTTCGGATTTCACTTCGGCGGTTTCGACTCCTGTTCCTTCGGAGATGTTGTTTCATCATTGGGTTTGCAGAGGTATGCTGGAGAGCTGGATGAGCAAGGTGTGGAGAGGAAGCATGTGGAGTTGTTGAAGTTTATGGAGTTTGATATGGGTGCTGCGAGGAAGAGTTATACGACACAAGTACGCAGTGGACTTGTCGAGTTTGCTAGACTGGGTGCTTTGTTTCGACCGGGCGATACAGTGGTACTTATGTCAAGTCTCACCCTTGGTTGCTCAAGGTGGAGAAGACGGCTTATGAGCGATATGATAAGAGTGGCAAGTACTGCGAGATTCAGTGCTCGTACTCTGACTATGATGGCGAGAAGTATGGTGTTTCAAAGTACGTGTTTCGTATCTATCAGAAAGAGGATTTCGGCTCTGATCATCCTTCAAAGATTCTGGATCTCAAGGTCTATCCCAGAGCTTACGCACCAGATGACGAGGACCTTGAAAACCGTCTTCGTAAGAGGGGAGAACTGTTCTCGTCGATAACGGGTATGTTGGCACGTCAATACGACGGACCGGCCGAATACCTCAAACTCCCACCTCACGCCTTCTATCATCCAGATGAGAACCAATGGCCACAACTCTGGATGCCATTCATAGAGACCGGTCGCGTCATCATCGACCGCAGGACCTTCGAGCAAGATCACCCCAGCGGCATCATCAGCAGAAGACCCTTATCATCCTTAAACACCTTCCTCTGTCCCCCTTACGTCCTCGGATACTCCAGCAGCAGAAAAGACTGGTGTCGCTTCTACGTCACAAACCTACACAAAGTAACCTGGAAGGCCAACGCCTTTTCAACCTCATCCTCCCATCTAGCCAACTCAACCTCGTCTGCGCACTAATAACCTCCCACAACTTCCCCACCGATGCCAGGGACGAAGAACAGCAAAAAAGGTAAAGGCCTCGTCTGTCTCCTCCACGGACCCCCCCGGCTCAGGAACAACATTCACCGCAGAACGTGCAGCCGAAATCACCCAAAAAGCACTCATCCGCGCTTCAATCTCTGATTTAAACAAACACGACAGCCCATGGTTTTCTGAAATGGAACTTGCAAAAGTGTTACGCTTCGCGACGATGTGGAAGGCTATCGTGCTCTTGGATGAAGCAGATGTGTTTTTTGGAAGCCAGACGTGATGATAGCTCCAACGCTACGAACAGAAATGCTCTGGTTGCGGTGTTTCTGAGGCATTTGGAATATTCTTTTCGGGGATTGTGTTTTTGACGACGAATCGTATTCATGTGTTTGATGCTGCTATGAAGTCGAGGGTGCATCTTGCTCTTGGGTATGGAGAGCCTGGATGAACAAGCTAGGAGGAAGATTTGGAAGCAAGCAGAGTCTTGAGAAGACTGGTACTGATTGTTCTGGTCTTGATGTTGACGAGGTATCTGAATTGTTGTCTGAAGAAAGGTTGAACGGGCGTGAGATATCGAATGCCATTCATACGGCTGGCACATTGGCTAGATATGGAGATGAAAAGCTTCAGCTGAGTCACATCCAAGAGGTGCTTGGTGTGAGGAGAGACTTCGAGACGGCGCTGGAAAAGATGGAAGCTTCGACTCTTGGACTTGCACCCGGAGTTGGTCTAACAGCTAGACAAAACACCATCTTGACTGAAGAGCACAATGTACAAAGATAGGAGAACGAGTAGAAGAAGCAGAAGAAGACTTACGATGAGTTGCAGAGATAGATGAGCATGCAACAACTACCGGTCCACGATTTATTAATTCTTGCCTCTCGCCTACGGGAAATCATCGCCAAATGACTGTCTGCACTGTGTCAAGAATGTTCTACTGGCTTCATTTGAAGAGGGAGAAGCGCAGCATGGAATGTAATTGCATGACCCGTCCATTCCTCTTCTTCGTACCTGTGTTTCTCCTTTCCTTGCGCACGACCACTGCCCTTCTCTCATCCCGGTGTCTATTTTTCGTGCCTGTGAAAAGGCAGTATCGCACCCGTGAAATATAGGGGTCACCATGGAGAGGCAGTACATCAGCCTACTTCCAGGCTTCACTCCTTCGCTCCATCTCAGTGGAAAAAAAGTCTTGACACATGGAGATTGAGGATGTATGGACAAAAGAAAAATAATGCTCCAATTTTGAATGCTCGAAAAAAAAAAAGGCGAAATGTAAAAAGCGTAAAGTGTACAATGCAAGCAGGTATACATTAACCTCTGTTGGGTTATAAAAGTAATCGCCAGCGACCATATCCATGGCCCCGACCCATCTCGAGTGCATGCGGCTTGGTGCCTGCTTGTCATGGCTGCAAGGACCAGCACAGGGTTGGTGTATGCGGGAGGGTATCTTCGTAAGTGAACCGTTTATCGGTAAGGGGCATCAGCTCTGGCAACGGCGGCCAATTCGGGCTCCCACTTGTCACCGCTGTTATAGTATTAGAATGTGGGCCATGTAATAACTTCGGATGGGACCTACTTCATCAAAAGCTTCTCCTTGTTGTAGAGCAGTTCCTCGCGGGCTATAACAGGGTCAGTCTGGTACTTTTGTAATTGATATTGTGAAATTCTCACTCTCTGTAGCGTATTCAGCGTTTGGTGACTCGACAATGGCGTCGACGGGGCAAGACTCCTGGCAGAAACCGCAGTAGATGCACTTTGTCATGTCGATGTCGTAGCGGGTGGTTCTTCTGCTACCGTCTTCACGTTCCTCGGCCTCAATAGTAATGGCCTGGGCGGGGCAGATGGCCTCGCACAGCTTGCAGGCAATGCATCGCTCTTCACCAGTAGGGTAACGACGGAGGGCGTGCTCGCCACGGAAACGAGGACTGATGGGACCCTTCTCGAAGGGGTAGTAGATGGTGTAACTGTTGCATGTCAACAATTGACTACATACAGTTTGCAGGTGGCGGGTCGACTCACGGAGGTCTGAAGTACTGCTCGAGCACGACATACATTCCGCGCATCATCTCGGTGAGCAGGAAGTAGTTGCCGAGCTTGTCGGCGGTGCTCTCCTTCTGTTGGTCCCATCGTGCAGGAGCGGGCATGCGGTATCCCTGGGCGGGGGCACCAGAGCCAGAGGCGAAGCGGGCGGCCGATGTCGAGAAGAGCGAGGTCGATGCGGGTGTGAAGAGACGGGGAGAGGCGACGAGAGGGCGAGCCGAGTTGCGCAGGACTGCAGCGGCCATGGTCCTTGTGTTTGCCATGATAGCGCTGTGTGAGGATTGGGCGGGGAGAGGCGGACGGGGATTAGGTGGTAGTGGCGGCAGTTGACCAAGGTGGTGATGGTTAGCAGCACATAGGTAATGCTCGGGCGTTGTTCCTTTTCTGGCCAATCAACGCGCCTGCTTATCCAGCCCGCTCTGAGTGGATCTTGGAAGCCGTCCAGTGCTTGGCGCTCTTCTTCCGCCGCAGCTTCATGACGATTTCCAACATCGCCCGGCCTAGCTCAGTCGATATCTCTCTCACAACCACCACAGCCCCTCACCATGTTCCGCCTCGCCGTCGCCAGATCTGCCAGATGCCTTGCCCAGGCCGCTCCTAGAGTCCAGGCCCCCGTCACCCGCCGCGTCGCTCCCTCATTCTTGCCTTCGACCACCGCCGCTCCCTCGACCTTTGTTTCCGCCATCAGATGCTACTCGGCACACGCCGGTCTCTCAAAAGATGAGGTCCAGGGCCGTATCCTCGACCTGTTGAAGAACTTCGACAAAGTGCGCAGCCCATTGAAGTCTCCCCGATTGTCGCATCATCAGCTAACCTACCACACCAGGTCTCGGACGCCTCCAAGGTACATCAATTCACCACCATCCTAGCCTTCGGACAAACACTTACCAATCATGACAGCTCTCTGCTCAGTCACACTTCACCAACGACCTCGGTCTCGACTCCCTGGACACCGTCGAGGTCGTCATGGCCATTGAGGAGGTTGGTCGCATGCGCCGCAATACATCACTAGCCGACATACTCACATCCATGCCAGGAATTCAGCATCGAGATCCCCGACAAGGAGGCCGACGCCATCCACAGCGGTATGCCGAGCCTAGACTTTTCATGCTGTCCAAAACGATGCTGATACACCACATAGTAAACCAAGCTGTTGAGTACATCCTTAGCCAGCCCGATGGTGAGTTCTGTTCCTCGATCGCTACACGACCCGCTTCCTAACTTATGTACAGCTCACTAGATGCGCCACAAAAAAGTGCATGGAATGGAATGTTTTTAAGAAATCCGAGCAGCTATACCTGCCACTGTAGAGGTATTTAGCCACTAGGTCCTGCGCCTTTGTACTATGAAATTTTCTTTGGTCATTACGTCTGCAAATTGAAGCCAACGTCGCGAAATGAAGTGAAATTGTCATGTCCGTGTCGCGGTGATAACAGTAAGGTGCCAAGCGGTAAGTGGCCCAGGGAGGAAAGCGCCAGGTGGGGGGAGGTTGGTCGTTGATCCTCCAAACATGCGACAACAATTGGCCTGATCCATTCTCGTCACTACACGCCGCCTGACTCGCTCTCTCGCGCTCCCTCTTCCTTTTGTAAACGACTGGCCCAGCTGCATCTCTGAATCCCAGCCTCGTTGCCATCGGCCGACTTCGCTAGTACACCGACGCCCGCCGCGTCTCCCTCCATACAGCTGCGTCTAACGGCCACGAAGCACTCCCCCCGGCCTTTTGCGATTTCTAAAACACTCGACCCAATCGCAATTCTCCAAACATGGCCTCTAGCTCGGGTCTGACAAGAAGAAGAGGAGGTGCTGGTGCCGCCGGTGGTCTCGAAAGTGAAGATGGCAGCCGTGTCAGCTCCCCCGTGCCTACCAACAAGCGCAACGACGAACACAGAGCCGGAGGTCTGGAGACATCATACGAAAGTGGAGAGAACGGTCACAAGATTGCCTTTGATCCCCGCGACATTAGCGAAAGTGCCGAAAGAAACAAGCAGCCCAAGTTGACTCTGATGGAGGAGATCTTGCTCATGGGCCTCAAGGACAAGCAGGTAGCTTTGCGCCGTCTACTCTGCCAATTCTCCGACTGCTTCTAACGCATATATCTACAGGGCTACCTCTCATTCTGGAACGACAACATCTCGTACGCTCTCCGAGGCTGCATCGTCATTGAATTGGCTTTCCGTGGACGAATCAGTATGCAGAAGGACTCCAACCGCAGACGCTTTCCCCTCTCCGATAGAGTGATCGAGGTCATAGATGACTCGCTCACAGGCGAAGTGTTGCTCGATGAGGCACTCAAGATGATGAAGAGCAGCGAGAAGATGAGCGTGAGCTCGTGGATAGACCTTATGAGCGGTAATCCTGCCCCTGGCCCGACATGAACGATAGGAAATCATATTGCTAATACGCACAAAAGGAGAGACATGGAATCTTATGAAGATCGGCTATCAACTGAAGCAAGTGCGTGAGCGTTTGGCAAAGGGTCTGGTCGACAAGGGCATTCTGCGTACCGAGAAGCGCAACTTCTTGCTTTTCGACATGGCTACTCACCCCGTGGCCGATGGCGGTGCAAAGGACGAGATTCGTCGCCGTGTCCGTAATGTTCTGACCAACCGCACCGTCGTACTGCCGCCTACGCAATACCTGCCCCAGGAAATGGAGTTCAGATACTTGCGAACCATTGCCATGGTCTGTGGAGCATACGCAGCTAATGTCTTGGAGAATGCACTGACGACACTCGGCCACGAATCACGCGAGAGGGCCTTCGCACAGGTGGACGAGCTGTTGGCCGAATACTCACAATACCCCTTCGCCAGGAGGACAGGAGGACCTGGCAACATCGGTGCCAATCTTGGTCAAGTCATTATGGATGAAGTCAACAACGCAAAGGATAAGGAGCTGCAACTCGAGGTATGTGTCATTGTCTTTCGATCTTCACAGCGTGATCGTGTACTGACCAGGAGACTAGGTGGTCGCTGCTTGTCTGAGCGTCTTTACGAGATTGGATTCACTACTTTAGAGCACTTTCTATTCAAGGCGAGTGGGAGAGGGAGCAAGGGATACCAAATGGCAGCGAATCACGTGATCGCATTCTGATGAGGCGTTTATCTTAGCAGCAGGGATTGAAGAAAATGGAAGCGACAAGCATATGTTCATGAAGTGTCTCTTGGATGGAAGCAAGTTATTTCCAGCGGGTACGTTGAACAGTAATTAGATGGTTGATGAGGTGGAGAGTCTCTCGAGATCGGGAGACGTCTGGTTGGCACAGTCCGTGCATTCTTGATGTTTAGAGACGCGCCTGGCGAGCTGTCATTGGGAATGTGCATGATTAAGAATAGCGAATTGATAATCACCAATCATCGGCGCGCAATATCCATCGACTGGCAGGAGCTGACAGGGCGTGAAACAAAGGCCTTGTACCGTGTTCTCGAGGCTAATCACCGCTTGGCTCTGACGAGGCAGTCACCGTCTCTTTCCGTTCGGCCAGACCAACTGCCCTAGAGGGGCATGTTCGACCAAGGTATGTCATCTCTGTCCATCTTGTTTTTCTCTTCCCCTCTTCTATATGCCACGCTCCTCAAGACACTGTCGAGTTTGACGCGCCTTCACCCTGCGATGGCTTCCCCATCCACCCACCACTGGCTTCACTCGGACGCGACCACCCACGCGCCTGCTAATCCCCGACCCAGTCACTTCGCCATAATCTATCATTGAACCATGCAATCGCCGTCCTCCACTTCTGTCGCATCACCTTTCCCAAATAGCGGCCCGTCCTTCAACCTCGCCCAGCCCCCGCCTGGTCGCCGAAGTGCCGCTCCCCCCACCTCTGCCTCAACGGACCCTCCCCCGAATCCACCCTCGGATGCTGGCGATGCCATTCGTGACGGAAAACAGCGCGCCAAAGACATCATGGCCGCATCAGGCATCGACATGACCTCGTCACCCTCACAATCTTCGAACGGAGTCGCTATGTCCAGGAAACGTTCGCGCTCCGGCTCGCGCATTCTCGCGCGTCCTCAGTCGCCAAACAACCCGCCTCATGACGAAGTCCTTCTCGAGCGCTATATCCAGCGCGACTCATTATATGCCGCCGCCATGAACGATCAAGCCGAGAGATCGCGCAAGCTTCTAAGGCTGAAAGAGCAGGAGAAAGAGTGGTACCTCCACGAAGGAAGACAGCAGAGGCAGCAGCATCCCGGTGCCGTCTTTGGTTACGGATATGCTGGATATGGCAATGGTCGAACCGATGATCGAACCAGATTAGAGTATCCAGCTCAGCGCCGAAGAGCCGGTAACAGGAGAACGCGCGAATTACGCGTTGCCAGAAAGGAAGCTGGACAGCAAGCTGAATATCTTGAGGAGCTCGTGCCCGTACGACTCGACCTCGAGCTGGAGAAGTTGAGACTACGCGACACCTTCACCTGGAATCTTAATGACCGCTTGGTCTCTCCACAACTTTTCGCTGAGAATCTCATCGAGGATCTAAAGATGCCCCCGGAACATAGTCAGTTGCTGGCCCGTCAAGTTCATCAGGAACTGCTTGACCAACTGAACAACTACTATCCCCACGTCTATCCTGCCGGCCAGCCTGCAGAGCCAGATGTGGCATACAGCGCGCATAAGAATGACGATATGCGTATTACTGTCAAGCTCAACATCACTATTGGACACATCACATTGGTGGATCAGTTTGAGTGGGACATCAACAACCCTCTCAACTCGCCTGAAGAGTTCGCCAGACAAATGTCTCTTGACTTGTCACTCTCCGGTGAATTCACCACAGCCATCGCCCACTCGATTCGCGAACAATGCCAGCTCTACTCCAAGAGTTTGTTTGTTACCAACTACGAGTTCGATGGACGACCGATAGAGGATCCTGACGTTCGTGAGAATATGCTTCCTTCGCCTGTGCCCAACGTTTTCAGACAGCAACAGAGTCAGAAAGACTGGACGCCTTACATGTACGAGCTCACGGAGATCGAGCTTGAGAAGACTGAGTTGTCAATGCTGCGTGAGCAAAGAGCTCAGAAGCGTCAACTCAACAGACGTGGCGGACCCGCTCTGCCAGACCTCAAGGAACGTCAGAGAACTGTTCGCTCTTTGGTCGTGTCGACCGTCATCCCCGGTGCTGCAGAAACCATGGAGGCAAGTGGTATCTTCAAGATCCGCCGTACTGCAACAGGCAGAGGACGTAGACCTGGTACTCGTATCAACGACGGAAGCGATTCCGATGACTTGGAAGAAGAGGAATCTGGAGCAGAGTCACCCGCACCAACTCAACTTCCCAGTGGCACAACGAGAACCAGAGGTATGAGAGGTGCCGCTAGTGCTGCGCAGATCGCCATGCGCCAGACCTACGGCAGATCCGCTACTCCTGATATTGCCATGCTCTCACAGCCAGAGTCCACCAGACCTTCAAGGCGCGTCCAGGAGACGACGGCCCGCGAGGACACTGCAGAACCAACGTCTATGATTGTCAAGCTCCGCATCAACCCTGACAGATTCAAGCAGTTCTTGGCCAAGAGGAAGTTTGGTCGCAGTGCCGCTCCACCTCTCTCAGGCTTCCCTACATCCTTCACCATGCCGCCTGCACGCTCAAATCCCACACCAGCCAAGCAAGCGGCTGGCCCATCGACACCTGCAATGCAGAACCGCGCGCTATCCGCAGCTTCCGTCACGCCAGCCCGCCAGCCTTTACCACAAGCGCCGACACCAACAACCAAGCTCCCAGCACCGACGCCCACGAAAATCACAAAAGACGTCGAGTATGACTCGCAAGGTCGTGTCGAAGCCGCCACCACTCCCATGCCAGATGGTGCCACGGTAAGTAGCAATACCTCTTCACTATCAACTCCCCCGAGCAACCAATAAGTCTCTGACACCTTTTCTCCACAGCCCGACATCCCCCCCTGGCTCGAAACTGCCCTCGTTGAAATGCACCGTCTATACCCAACTTCGCGCTTCTCAGGCCTCATGCGCTTCTCCGCCATCGACGCTAACACCGACAACCCCGTTCGCATCGACCACACTTCTCTCCCCGCTGGCTCACCCCCACCTGCAAACTTCACCAACCCCTCGACTGGCGAAAAGCAAATCGTCAAGTGGATGTGGCAACCCCGTATTCGCTGTGACGACTGCCCTGGTAAATTGTATACAGCAGTCAAAGAGGACACGATTGGCAAGTTTGAGATTCATCTTAAGAATCGTAAACACAAGGCGCAGGTTGATGCTAGAATTGCTAGGGAAGAAGCTTCTTAGAAGGACTTTTTCTCACCTTTTATGTGGGCAGGTTTCTGGCATAGTGGTTGTTTGGTAAAGCAAGAGCAATTTCAATTCTTTTCCTTGAAATCAATCTCTGCCCAGCTTTCCCCGTGCTGTGGTGACATCTTGTGTTGTGAGAGCTACGAATGATAGCCATGTATGTAGAAGGAGAGAGAGGGACCGTGTTACATGCTCTCCTTGAGAGGTCTCGGGTCTTTCAACAGGATCTTGCCTTTGCAAGAACCATGCAGAGTCACCGAGCACGAAGATATCATAGATCATGCCATCCCTTTTTCTTAACCCGTAGGAAGTGTTATTGAGCACTAGTCTGCACGATCATGGGCAAGAACGATAGAAGCGAGCGCTTTCAGGTCTGTGCGCGACATGTTCGGTTACTCTTGACTAGAGATTCTTCTCAATACACTTTTCAGGAGAGAATGAACGAAACAAGGAGAGCATAGCAGTGTGTGACGCTAAGCGGAAGGAGAAGATTAAAAGGAAGTTGGCTGTTTCGGTCAATGTAGGCACATGCATCATAAAGTACCTTAAATCCAGGTAGAGCGAGCCCAGGGTGTGAGCCACATACAGGCACGGTGGAGAGCAGTAAACAGGGCGTGCAATGACAACCGCCTTCGCAGCCCTCCCTTCACGGAGATGATAGCCAGAATATCCTTGACATAACGAAGAAACACATTCGACGATCAAGGAGCAAATGAGGAATCCGAAGTAACAGGAAAAAGAGAATTGTATAAGAAACCGCTTTATCTACAAGAAATCGCTAGTATGCTCTTTTGCTTGATCGAAAGACTTCACCTTTTTACTCGTCCTTGAAGGCGCCACTCTCGATGTCCACCTTTCCAACACTCCAAACCTCCTTCATGTCCTCTTGCTCATCACTAGACAATCCCAGACCTCCCTGTCCACCCTCGGCTTCTCTGCGCTCTCTAGCTTGTGCACCCAATCTAGTAGCAATACGCTTGAAGTAGTCTTGAAGACTTCTCTTGGGACCAGCTGCGAGCTCAGCACCAGGTCCAGCCATGTATTTGGCAAAGATGGCGTCTTCTTCCTCGACCACACTGAACATGGCGAGGAAGGCGGCTTCCGCGGCGAGCTTGACAGGGATGACCATGTCGCGCACGCTGCCGAAGACGGCAGGAGTGAGGAGAGCGAGGTGGGGGCGGATCAGATCGTTTTGCTCACGTGAAATAGTGCGCAACACGACTAATGCCAGACGGCGTGTGTCGACAGGCTTGCCGGGCGCAATTGCTGCGGCGAGAGCCTCCATGATCTGTTTCACTGGCTCGAACGACTTGTCAGATGTGGGTGTGAGCAAGTACTTGCCGGCTGCGAGAACGCAATTGTCTGCGATGGCAGGCTGACTGCTACCAACACCCTGACAAATGGTCGAAGGAAGGACGTCGGAGAACGATCCGGTCAGCGACTCGGGGGCCTCTGCCAAGATGGAGTTGAGGGCAAGAACTGAAGGGTAAGTGGGATTGGGAGTAAGCACACGAGCCTTGACCAGTCCGCCGCCAACCTCTTCTGGAAGGACCTTGATCAAGGCACCCAACAGACGAGCGTTGGTAATGGCAGAAGTTTCATCGGAGTCGCCAGTGTCAGAGTCGATCAGACTCAAGATGCCAGTTCGCGAAGCCTCGTTCATGCTAGAACCGCACTTGACAACAACATCGTACAACGCCTTCAACATGGCATTTCTCACACCAGTATCGGCTGTCTTTGAGCCGGTGATCAACTCAGCAATGAGAGGATCGATACGAGGAGTGAGAGTGATCAAAGTACCAAGAGCCTTTGCAGCCCTGATGCGGAGAATCTCGCTCGAGGTATCAGCAAGCGACTTTGCGAAGGTACGCTGCAATTGCGGCAAGAAGGGCTTGAGGAAAGTAGGGATCTTCTCGAGCAGGTTGTTAAGAGTGAACAAGATAGCAGCCTTTACCTCGACCGAACGCTCAGACACAACACGAATGAGAGGACCGGTGATCTGAGTGACGAAAGGCTTGAGAGAATCAGCACTGGTACGGTCGATGATATCTGAGATAGCCAATGCAGACGCGGTACGCTGTTCGGCAGATCCGTTCATCAGACCCTGCAGGAAGATAGGCAGGACGGCATTGATACCCTTGGGAAGCGAGAAACCGGGTAGACTGTGGCCTGCAACACCAACTTGATTGAGTGTTTGCCTGGTAGAGAAGACCAGGGATTCCATCTCCTCCTTGCGCAAGCGTCCAGTGAGTGCAGAAAGTGCAGACCAAGCAGCCTTGACAACCTCGACATCACTGTCGTCGAAGCTGATGAGAAGCGTGCGGATAAGGTCGGGGTAGTAGCGTGAGATGTCAAGATCAGATGTCTTGAAGAACTTGGCAAGGTGCAAGTCGGCACGTGCTCTTCTGTGGTGATCCTCGTGCTTCGTCAGTGCGAGCATGGCACTCATGGCTGTATTGAGGCCATCGAACTCATCAATCGATAGCAACACAGCATCGAAGGAGTTCTCGAGATCGGTACGGAGCTCTTCGTCTTTTGTTGCGAGAACGCTGTCCATAAGTGCATTGAGAATGTTTGGCAACCTTCTTGTCATAGCAGAGCTTGCAACCTGAGCGAGAGAGGCCAAAGCCCTTGCATTGAATGCAGTGATCGGAGGGGTAAGGAGAGTAGGGAGCAGATTGGGTAAGATGACGTTGGATCTGGTCTGCTCGGTGAGCAGAGTAAGCAGAGCAGACAACGCGTTCTCTGCGTCCTCGTCTGACCTGAGCAGGTTGAGTAGGTATGGGAGGACTTGGTCGATTGCGCGCTTGCCAAGGACTTTTTGCAGAGAGTCGAACGCCTCTGCGGCGGCTTCCCTGACCTCCTCGTCACCGTCGACCAATGCAATGCGCACAACTGAGACAAGAGTCTTCTCGTGATCCTCGAGTGCGTCGGGAGAGGCCGAAGCGATCAGCTCACGCAGAGCGATACAGATACCCTGCTTGGCATCCACATCGGTAGTCTGCAGACCCTCCTCAAGAGTAGGCAACAAGGTTGAAAGAACACCTTCTCCAGCCTTTCTGATAAGCTCGCCCAGAGCGTTGCCAGCAATCTCCTTCTGCTCCATGTTGGGACTTGCGAGACGACGAATAAGCAGCTGGGTGAGGGTGGGGATGAGCTCGCGAAGAGTACGGGGTGAGGCAACAAGTGCCTTCCAGACATTGATGGAAGCGGTTCGTACAAGACCGGAGGTATCGCAGCGACAGATGTATAATGCGGAGAGAACCTTGTTACGCTTCTCTTCTCCGAGTACCTCAAGCAAAGATTGACCTGCTTCGTTGGCACCCTCTTCAGCCTCCTCTTGCTCTGCGGTTCCACTAATACCGGAAAGGTTAAAGAGCAGATCACCGACGAGCTCAACGGAACTGAGACGAATACGGTAGCTGTCATCTGCCAGACCACGTTCAAGCTCGGGAAGTAAGAGATCGATAGCACGAGTGGCGAAGTTCTTGACCAACAATCTACCGGCACGCAGAGCAGTCTCGCGAATTGTGTCAACGTCATCGGCAAGACCAGACAAGATTGGAGGAATAATCTTGGACAAGTAGTTCGAGAAACTGTTTCCGAAACATGCAGGCAGGTAAATGAACAGCGACATGAATCCTTCGCGGACGGCGGGCTTGGAACTCGAGATGTTCTGCAGAATTGTGGGCAGAGTCTCTTCGAGACGACTGGTACCAAGACCAGCAAGGACTTCACTGAGAGCCTGAGCAGAACCAAGTCTGTCACCAGCACCGGTATCTGACTTGAGGGTTGCCATAAGGCTAGGAATGAGGTCGGGCATAGCATCCTCACCAAGTTTCTCGATAGTCGAACCAAGGGCCTTGGAAGCTGTTGCACGAGTGGTAGGAACAGGATCGACGATAGCGACTCTGAGACCAGCAACCAGGATGGGCAGATGGGTGATGAGGTCCTTACGCTCGGTAAGATGGGCCAAACTACCAATGATCTGGGAGGCCTTCTTCTTTGTTTGAGAACGATCTCCCAGACCACGCTCAAGAACGCGGACAACAAGTGCCAACGATGGGGCATCGAGGTAATGGATAAAGTTGACCTTGATCAAAGCATCCAGAGCATCGTCGGTGTATTTGGTAGGATCACTCAAAGCCTTCAGAATGATGTCGACCTGACTCTTGATCTCAGGGTTGCTGATGACATCACCGAAGCGCTGCAGACTGCGGTTGGCAGATGCTCTGACTTCTTTGTGACTGTCGTTCAGAACCTCAGTCAATGGCGGAATGATTTCGGGCAAGCTGACTGCCAATTGCTCGGGGTCCAGATATGCCATGGCACCGAGGGAATCACAGGCACCCTTCTTACTTCTCCATTGCTGTTCATCAAGACCCTCAAGCAGAGTAGGAAGAACTTGCTTGACACCATAAGAGCTCAAACTGGCGAAACATGTCTTGGCAGCATCGAGACATGCCTCACGAACGTCGGAAATGGCATCACCAAAGCCGGACAAGAGTTGTGGCACAACTTGAATGACATAGGGCTCGAAGACACGGCCCAAGATGAGGGACAAGAGCTCATAGGCAAGGAACGCACCTTGGCGCTTGTAGGGATCCTTCTTGTCTTCAGTAGCACTGACCAAGTTCGACATGATGCGGAACTCGCGGAGAGCAGACACACCTCTGCCCTTGACGATACCAGCCAGACCATACGCTGCACCTCTCTTGGCGGCATATTTCTTGGATGTGAGCGTGGTATCCATCATCTGCTGGACATATTGCCCAGCTTCCTTGCTGGAGGCTTGAACGAGGGGAGGTAAACATTGAGCGACAGCGTATTGGACGGACTCGGAAGGTGTATTGAGCGTTGTCAAGAGACGCTGTACAACCTTGGGTACTCTGCTGTCACCAGACTTCAAATGACGAGCAAGAGCACCGTAGAGAATAACGACAGCCTCGTTCACTGCATCTTGAGTCGAAGAGAGAGAGCCTCCTTCAAGAGTAGTCTCGAACAGCTTCATCAAGGTTTCGACTTGCAGGTTGCCCTTGGCAGCGATTATGGCAGTAGAAGCATCAAGCATAGAATCGCGGACCGTCACACTCTTGTCTCCCAAAGGACCATCTGCGACCATGAATTGCATGAGCGGTACAAGCTGTTCACTGTTGTATGTTGGTGTAAGCTGGTTGAATGCAAGAGCAATACCCTGTCTGGATTGCCAGGGGTCGGAGAGATCCATCTTAATGGGCATGCCGTACTTGTCGCGCTGAGGCGCTCTTGGCTTTGCGTCTTCCCTGTATGTGTCTTGAAGACGGGAGATGACAGTGTCCAGAATATCTGAGTGCTCCTTGACGAGTGCGGCTAATGATCGTGCAGCAGCACGGCGAAGCTGAATATCATGAGAAGCCAGATATTTAACGATGGAGTCGGCTGATTCTGGTGCTGTCTTGAGTTCGTTCTCAACCCAGATCTCATGTGCCAACTCGACGTTCTCCTCGACATCATCGTGAGTGGCGAGGAAGATCTCGTCGTAGAATTCTTTACCTGACAGTTCGAACTCAGCACTGATGGCTTGTAGAGCTACTTCGCGAACAGAGGATTCAGGCACAATGGTAGCCTTGACCACCACGTCGGTCTCAGCTTCGGTAGCGTTGGGCGCAACGCTTCTGCAGACATCGGAGAAACAGTCCTTGAAAAGACGGAAATGCTGTTGGTAAGCCTGCAGGGAAGAAACCAGAACCGAAAGAACCTCCTTGCGAGCCAAACGAGGCTCGCTACAAGTGTCGGCATGGAAGCTAAGGAATTCAGCAGCGAGAATGATCTGTTCTTGCGCTTCCTCCTCCTCAGCCTTGCCAACACCACCCTGTTCTAGAATCAAGAAGGAGAGGGGAAGACAATAGCTTAGAGTGACTGCGTCAAGGGGTCTTTGTTCGCCGAGGAAGCGTAGGCGGTAGAGTACACGAGTCACCAAATCACCAAGAGGTTCTTCCTGCATGGCTTCGGGAAGAGTGGTCAGACCGGCAGCCCTCAAAGCTGCAACACCTACAAATGAGCGCATGGGACCCAAGCGAGAAGAAGTCTTCTGAGCACACTCGAGATAGGCGAGGATAGCAGCATCGCCAAGGACGAGACCCGCTCCAGCGTTGATGACCTCAAACAAGCGAGCTGTCGTGACAGTGAACCAGTTGGCAGTCTCGGTTGGGGGGCCGGTGACGAGACCCGTTACCATGCCAATACCTCTCCTCAGTTTGGCTACGACTGTTGTCACGTTGCCACGAATTTCGGCTTCCTTCGTAAGTTGAGCATTCACCTTCGCTTGTTCTTCAGCAGTGAGCTTTTTCGTGGTACCCTTCTTCTGAGCCAGCTGATCCCTCAGCTCCTGCTCCCACTTGTATGTATCATAGTCTTTGCTGTTCTTGCTTGGAGCTTGCGCTTGAGTTTGCTTCGCAAGGACATCAATGAAAGCAGTACCTTCCGGTGTACGGAAGATCGCAGCTTCAGTTGGACCAATGTCCTGGAGTAATCCGGGGTCCAGATCGCTGCAGATCTGTTCTAGGACAATGGATGTCAGCTCTTCTGGGGCCACAAATGCTAAATCCGCAGTCGCCTGGAAGGCAGCGAGTTGGAAAGCAGGGATGGTAGAGAGCGTTTTGTCTTCGGTCACACGAATGATCTGGTTCATACACTCTGACTTGCTCCGCTTGACGAGCTCACCAGGGTCAGTGCCTGTCCTGAGACAAGTCTCGATCCAGGAAGATCTAGGCATGAGCTCAGGTCGACACAATACGAGCAGGTTGAGCAACTGGTGATCTACAACATCCTGTGCAATTGTGGCCTGGCCTGCGGCGACTTCTTCCTTTGTATGGCAGATGCAACGCACAACCTTGTGAAGCTCTTGTCGGCCAGTCTTAGCAAGTAGAGCTGCGCTCTCCTTTGTCTCGAGCTCAACGTCTGCGGACCAGTGAGACAAAGCTACGGTGACAGTCTTTCCAACTGCCTCAGGCTGGGCTAGATAAGCTGTGCGCAGCTGAGACATGGCCTCAGAGCGAGCGGTGGCCGGCAAGCCAGATGCAACGATAAGGTAGATAAATGCTTGAGCCCAAGCATCTTGAATTGCCGGGCTAGAGGAAGCAATACCGGAGGTGGTCGCAGCGAGTGCTCTTACCAGCCATACCAGATCCTCCTGCGAAGTCAGCTTCGTGTAAACACGAGTGTTGAGGAGGAAAGAGGGCTTGGGCTCTAGTGCAACGGCACGATCCAGAATTGAAGCAGTCTTCAGGATCGATGCATTCTTCAACTCCACGAGCTGAGGTGCTTTTGCTAATGAAAGGGCAGTAACGGCACAAGCAAGGGTGACTTGTCCATTTTGTGTGGCAGCGACGGGATTTGCGACTACTTCGTTGAACGAATCGATCATTTTGCCGATTACTGCGTCTACGAGGGCTGCAACTCCGGGCTGCTTTAGGACTTCTCCCTCGAGCGACCAGACGATATCTGTAATGCTCAAGGTCCACAACTTTCGGAAAGGAAGACGTTTCTCAGCGACACCTTTAGCGTAAGCATCAGTGGTAGCAGCATTAACAGCGACACCGTTCTCGAGGCCGAACTTCAAGTGCTTAGAAAGCGCAGCAATTTCCGCGCTTGCAGCAGCTTCATTTGGCTCTTTTGCGGCGACTGGTGCAAGGCCCTGTGGAATCGATGCAGCTAAAGCTTCGGAACTGTTCAAGGCGCCGAGCATCTGTGCAAAGATGATCTTTTGGTCGGCCGATGGTACCTTACCGGTCTTCAAAGGAGTCAAAATCTCGCCAAGTACTTTTTCAAGGAGCTTATCGTCTTGCGAACGACGCGCGGTTGCAGCAAAGGTTCTCAAAGCACCTGCACGGATAGTGGTGTTGCTGGACTTCGCGCTCGAAACAAGAGGCTTCAAGAGGTTGTTGGCCAGGATGTCGGACAAGTCCAGATCCTTAGGCAAGGCTTCAATCATGGGAGTGACAAGATCGTTCAAGACAATCTCAGGGGCTCTCAGGAGCGCCTTCTCGATAGCAGGAATGATCTCCTTTTTAAGGTCCTCCAGGCTGACGAACGAGTTGAAGTAGTCAATCAAAGCGGTTGCAACGAACTGAGGAAGGACAACTCGCGATCCAATGAACTCGCGGAGGTAAAAGGCATTGTAATCAGGCTTCCTGGTCTCAAAGGTGGCGCTGCGCTTCGACAAGCGAGCACTGACTCCAGCTATTATTCCGAGCACCAGAGCATTTTGAGGAGTAGGAGTAGCAGCCTTTGTGGTAAGAGCAGTAATCGATTGGTTCAAGGCGTCGTCTCCGAAGTCAGATGCAAAGAGTTTTCTAAAGCCGCGGCGAGTGACACGAAGGACGGTCTGATGTGTGCTGTGGCGAGGATTCGCACTCTCGAAGGTGTTCGTAACACGAACCAGGGCTTGAATGATTTTAATGCCCCACTCATCCCAGAGAGACTTCTGCAAAGCGAATTGCTGGAGGAATAGAGTGCACCAGCGGATCAAGACGAAGGCATTGGCTGGAGCAAGACTGGTCTTCTTAGTTTCGGTTTCGACAGCGGCGATGAAGCTAGACACATATGATTCGGTATCAGGTGTAGAGAATATGGCGACGAGGCACAGCTCGACGGCCTGTCGTGATTGTGTGTCGACGTAAAGAGGATATGTGTCGAAGAGGACATTGAGAGCATTGGGTATTTGCTCAAGAGGGTATTCTACATGGAACAGTCAGAGAAGTGATCCGAGAGAGGAAACAGCACTTGGGCAGCACACCTTTGCTGACGATCTTGTCGTGCAGCGAGAGCAGCTCAGTAGAGCGCCTCTTGGTGGAGCTGGAGAGGGCAACTTGGCGCAGACGACCTGCGCTCAGCGGTTGCTCTCCATTGACTTCGGCTTCTGCCATGGTATGCGATGCGCTATCAAAAACGCCGCAAACTCATATGCGGAAAGTCCAGATTACTGAAAGTACAGGTGACTTAGCAGTTGCGATTGACGGTGGACAGTTTTTCGTAACTTCCAACACCGCAACCCGCACTTCGACGCCGAAAGAGCGCGTCTTGGCCATCGTCACATGCAAGTGGGCATCATTGCTGTCACGGATTTATCCATCGCTCCTTCCAAATTCTCTCGACAATCTCACATCCACCCCACTCTCTTTTCCGACTCGCAAATATGGTGGCCAAGAAGGGCAAGAAGAAGCCATCCAACCCAGCACGCGGTTTCGCCACTACATCCATCGCCAGTAAACCGAAACCTGAGAGGAAGGACGTCGACACGAGCAATGAACCTTCCGAGAAACAGTCCAGCGTGTCTACGCCTGCCGCCGCTGAAAGATCGCCGCAGCCCGGTCAACTGACACAGGGTCAAGAGGAGCAGGTGTCACACAACAAGAACAACAAAACTCCAGCAGACAAGGAACTACATGAGCTGAGCCCGGAAGAGCTCGAAGCTCGACTAGAGTTGTCGGAATTACAATCCTTTATCGAGCTGCAAGGGCCAAAGGTGCGCAAGGAATCGGCACGGCAGGTTCTTCGTCTAAAGACGGATCGACGTCTTTTGCGTGGTCAGGCCGACCTGCTGAGCATACGCGAATGGTTGCCAGAGGAATTAATGCAACAGATCATTGATCTCGCTTTAGATGAGACTTTGTCCACGTCTGCGCCCCCAGCTACTCCTGCAAACAAGCGTCTTACTCAAGATGAATTGCTTCCCAGAGTGTGGCAACTTAGCATTGCCCTCACTGATCTAGACATCGACGAGCATCAAGTGCGTAAAGTACTTGAGTACATTCTGCTCAATCCTCCATCTGAGGACAATGGTGGGTTGATCTGGGGCCTGTCAGACGCCTTAGACTGGCTATCTCTACATAGTGAGCCCGGTCAATTGCTTGATTATGATGCTGTTAAACCTAAGCCTCAAGTGTCAAATGCTCAACTCGAAGAAGGTAAGCTCGTGCCGCCCGTCAACGACTTCTCTTACTATTCTCATCGAACCTTTTCTGATTGCCCCAGACGATGATTCACCTGAGCCTGCCACACCCGCGAAGCGCTCCGCTGCGGAGACGGCGAAGAAGGCCGTTCCTAGTCCCTCAAACTCCACTCAACCTGCCGATACCCCTGCGCCCATAGACGACGTCCAAGTCAGCGACGTTGAAAGTGACCTCGATCCTGATGAGATGCTATCAACATATCTTCGCACGAAACTACGACTCTACGAACGCAATCCCTCCCTCATTACCGATTCTACACCTACGAACAAGAAGTCAAAGAGCCAGCGAGGAAAACCCACACCGAGCCCAAAGAAAGCTACTCCAGGAGAGTCTAAGCTCCAGCAAAGACTCAGAGCTATCGAGGCAGACGTACTGTTTGACAAAGGTCTTGCAGACATGAGATGGGTCGAAGAGAGGAATCAGATACTACAAAGTCAGTCTGAGAGGAAAAGATTTAATCTGCCAGAAGAAGCTAGGGAAAAGAAAGAGCAGGATGCATCTTCTGATAACACACCGAAAGAGAGTGCGACTGATGACATCATGGCCGAGGCCGAGGCAGCCGCTCAACAGCTGTTGGACGAGATGGGCGAAGACGATGAGATGCTTGGAGGCATGTTCGGTGAAGCTACTGATGGTATCTCAAACGGTGCTAGCTCAGGAAACCCTGACAGTGCTGATCCCGACTTGGCTGTTCGCAACTTTGGGAAGATCACTGGAATCAGCCCTCGAAGAACCTTCGAAGACGCATGTCGTTCGAGAGATTCGGGAGCCAAGGTCTCTTATAAGATGGTCTCTGCCACAACCTACAACAGCCGCCACTCTGTCACTGTTCGATGGTCGAAAGACCAGGACATTATCGATAGCTCTTTCACACCAAACGTCAATGTATCCTCGAGCGATCGAAGAACGGTTGTCACTATGACCAAGATTGCGTGCCCAGAAACACTGCAGAGCGAAGGTTATGTGTCTACAGTCGCTTTGTTCTTGCTCTTTTCGAACTCTCCAAAAGAAGAGAAATCTGCGCTGCGCTTACCTCCCACATTCAGGGATCTTTGGCAAGAACTCGTCGATGCGCGTCAGGAGAAGCGTGATACTGCTGACCGCGAGACGGTCAAGTCTCTGAGAGAGATGGTCAAAAGTCATGATGAGGAAGATGTGGATGAAGACATTATCCTCACCGCTGGCTTCAGGAACCGTAACAAGGGAATAAGCGGCGTCTCTACTCCTGTAGGCGACAAGGTCGAAAAGACGACGAAAGTCGAAGAGTCACAAGCCCTTCGAGACCTCTGGGCTCGCAAGACATCTACCCCAACATATCAGCACATGCTCATGGCTCGATCCACTCTTCCCATGTTCCAGTTTAGGGACATCGCTCTTCATGCTGTGGAGAAGAACCAAGTCGTCATTCTCTGTGGTGAAACAGGATGCGGTAAGAGTACACAAATGCCTGCTTTCATCCTTGAGCATGAGTTGTCTCTTGGCCGCCCTTGCAAAATCTATTGCACAGAGCCCAGGCGTATCTCGGCCATTTCGTTAGCCCAACGTGTAAGCGAGGAAATGGGTGAAGACAAAAAAGCTGTCGGCACTGCCCGCTCGCTGGTCGGCTATGCCATCCGCTTGGAATCGATGACCACAGCGCAGACCCGTCTCGTGTACGCGACTGTCGGTATCGTTCTTCGTATGTTGGAATCTGCCAAGGGGTTCGACGAAGTTACGCATTTGGTCATCGATGAGATTCATGAGCGAAGCATCGATACAGACTTCCTTTTGATTGTCCTGAGATCATTGATGATTCGTCGACCAGACTTGAAGGTCGTTCTGATGAGTGCTACTGTTGATGCTCAGAGGTTCTCTAGTTATTTGGACAACGCACCAATCGTCACCGTTCCTGGTCGTACGTTCCCTGTAGCGGCCAAGTACCTTGAAGATGCTATCGAGTTAACAGGACACACGATCGAAGACGGTTCACCAAAGACTGCCGATGCCGACGAGGACGACCTCGAAGCTGGTTCATCGGAGGCAACAATCGCAGCAGCCAAGCAGCTCACTGGATACAGCCCGAAGACTGCCAGAACGCTTGCTGCATATGACGAATATGCCATTGATTATACTCTGATCGTGAAACTCTTGGAAAAGATTGCTTACGATCCATCATATACGCAATTCAGCCAGGCTATCTTGGTCTTCTTGCCAGGTCTTGCAGAGATTAGAGCCTTGAATGACTTCCTTGGTGGACACCCTGCCTTCATGAAAGGCTGGTTGGTCTACCCTCTTCACTCCACGTTCTCCAGTGAGGAACAACAAGCCGCATTCCAAATCCCTCCTCCAGGCATGAGGAAGATTGTTCTGGCCACCAATATCGCTGAAACAGGTATCACTATCCCTGACGTGACAGCTGTGGTCGACACCGGAAAGCACAAGGAGATGCGCTTTGACGAGCGCAGACAGCTGTCTCGATTGATACAGTCTTTCATCTCACGTGCTAATGCTAAGCAACGTCGTGGACGAGCTGGACGTGTTCAGGAAGGTGTATGCTTCCACCTATTCACGAAGTACCGACACGATGAGATCATGGCTCCTCAGCAGACTCCTGAGATGTTGAGATTGTCGCTGCAGGATCTGGTCATGCGTGTCAAGATCTGCAAGCTCGGTGACATCGAACAAGCATTGTCTCAAGCACTTGATCCCCCTTCTCTCAAGAACATCCGCCGTGCCATAGACGCGCTTATTGATGTTGGAGCCTTGACTTCCTCGGAAGAATTGACACCATTGGGAAACCAGCTTGCAAAGCTTCCGCTTGACGCTCAGCTTGGTAAACTGATCCTACTATCGTCGGTGTTTGGCTGTCTCGACTTCGCCCTCAGCGTCGCAGCAACTCTCTCGTCCAAGACTCCTTTCGTAGCGCCTATGGGTGCGAAGAAGCAGGCCGATACCGTACGACTAGGCTTCAAGCGTGGCAACTCAGACTTGCTTACAGCTTACAACGCATACTGTGCCTGGCGCAAAGCCTGCGTCACACCAGGAATATCCGAGCAGCAGTTCTGCCGCAAGAACTTCCTCTCCCCCATCAATCTGGGTAACATAGAAGACCTAAAATCACAACTCCTGGCGTCACTGTCGGATGCTGGCTTTGTCTCGTTGGAATCTGGTCAACGTGCCGCTCTCTCGCGCGTCCGTAATAGTGGCAGGGGGCCGAGATCCTTCGTCGCAGTGCCTGCCTCACACAACACCTTTGACGCCAACGATGCTCTGCTAAACTCAGTAACGGCATGGAGTTTCTATCCCAAGCTAGCGATCCGAGAAGGCAAAGGTTGGCGTAATGTGACGAACAGTCAAGCCCTATCTCTGCACCCTCAGAGCGTCAATAAACTCTCTCCTGCGCTGTCACCACCATCCTACCTCTCCTTCTACAGCATCATGCAGAGCAATTCCCGCTTCACCAATGCCCAAGAGACTGCGCCTGTGGATCCTTTTGCACTGACGTTGCTGGCTGGTGATGCGAAGTTTGATCTTTACTCGGGCGTCGTCGTCATTGATGGCAATCGTCTGCGCTTCAAGGTGAACAGTTGGCGTACTTGTTTCGCGATCAAGGTGCTTCGAGCAAGAATCAAGGAGTTTTTGGCCAGAGAATTCAAGCAGCCCGGTCGCTCCATGGTTCCTGAGAGACAAAAGGCATGGATGAAGGTTTTCGGACAAGTGTTTGAGAATGTCGAGTCTGGAAGGGTTAGATGAATGACCTTTGATAAATGGATCCAGTCACCACTGCATAAAAGCGATGTAAGAAGAGCAAAGCAGCTCTGATGGGTTATAAGCATAGCACTGCTTTTCATAGATGCATCACCCCTGAATAGATATAAAAGAGCAGCAAAGCGCAGCGAATCGCGATGTCCTTCTCGCAACCGATAGATTGAAATCCACCATCCACGCTACTTTCTCACGCTACCCAAGTAAAACCCAAGCAATCGTTTTCACGATGAGAGAAGCGGGAGACTCAAAATAATAATGCGGATGCGAGCATGTCTAGTGTGGTGGCAAAAAGCAAACAACAATGCGATCTTGCGATGCAGTTTCGATGTTCCAAGTATGCATCGACCGATCTATGCATCATCACCCACCCGCACCTCTCCAAACCTTGTACCATCGTTTTTTTTGCTTTAGTATCCACACAAAAAGCAGGCTTTAATCTTCTTGACTCGAAAGAGATTTGCTTGTCAATAAACACGGCACGGTATTGTGTGTCGATTGTGTCGATTGCACGCGTATTCTTCGATGCAGATGCATATGTTCACTCATGCAAGATGCCATTCCCTTCCGCTGCTGATCCCATGACCCTGGCGCAAAGCAACTCCGATGTCTTTGATGTCTGCTTTTTCGTTCTCTTCTTTATTTTCGAAAGACAGACAGACAGGTACGGGCCGTTTTTAAAGTCTTGCTTTAGAGTATAGCAAGGGAACAATGCAGGGTCAGAAAGAAAGGGTTTGTTTTGTGTTTGTTGAAACCTTGATGGTGAGGTGTGTATGTTTTTGTTTGAAATATAGCTATACCATCTCAGACTTCTTGCCACCAAGCATGTTCAGAGGTATTCTTCTGTTGCTGTGTTTTCGCTGCTTGACTTTACTAGCATCTGAGAGTCCTCTTTGGCGTACATGATGATCTCAGTATCGTAGGCCATCATCTCAGACACTGTGCTTTGGGTTTATTAGGCTTGATTGTAAGAGATGAAGTCGCTTGCAAATCGCCGGGCGCATGACCCTGATGTAGACCACCACTATGACGACGACACTGGTGCTCCACAGAGTGCCTGATATCAAGGCGACAGACACATGGCCTGTCAAGAGTCGTAGAGACACATACATCGAGAGGGCACACTATGGCAGAGTTGTTTGTTTGTGAAGATGTAGTATTCTTTGAGTCTCTGTGCTATACTTGATGTAGTCTCGAGTGTGTAGAAACATAGGAAAAGTGCGATGTTCATGGCCGCCCAGTGCTTGTTGTAAATGAACAAAGGAGAGAAGAAGAGGATGAAGAGGATGAAGAATGCCTGCATTGGGCAAGGAGAAGATTGTAATCGGAGAGTAAAGAAGAGAAAAGTAAGAGAAAAAAACATCCAGGGCGAGGTCTGCCTCTAGCCCAAAGAAGGGTATCCGCGCAATATTGACATACGAAACAGAAATGTTGGCGACATTCGTGCCGACCATGTTGTAAAACCAAGTAAAAACACCGCCATGAAGGATCCGTCCAAACAATGCCTAAAAACATTGTAATGCTGATGAGGTTGTGCGCCATGAGAAACAAGATTCGCTTGAAACGCCGCAGATGATAAACAAAAAGATGATTGTGATGCAATCCAGTCGGGACGCCATGCATGAAAGGAGATTGTGAACATCAAAAGAAACAATGATGAAAGATGTGAGGGCTAACTTTAGTAGGAAGCAAGGCGGCGGACGAGGTTGTGGCTCAGAGGGGAGTTGTCTGGGCTGGCGTCGAAGATACCGATGGCGCTGAGGCTGCGAGGGCCCAAGCGATTGGTGGAGGTAGGACTATCCTCCATGGTACACTGTTGACCAAAGGCGAAGGTCTGGGCGCGGTTGAGCTTTGCACGCTGCTTGAGCTTGCCCATACCCTTCTCGCACTCGCGCTCGTGGTCCTTGTGGTGCATCTCGACGTAGCTCTGGGGGAAGCACTTGGTGCGGTGGCTGGCAAAGAACTTGCTGTAGCCACCTTCAAGAATGTACATCTCGGGGAATGTGAGCTTGGGGTACTGGAAGTCGTTGACAGCGCGGTCCCGGTTGCGCACGAACTTGGCCATGCGAGGGGCACGAAGCTCAGAGTATTCGCAGTGGAGGATCAGGAGAGTGCTGGGGGTGACACCACCGTGCTCGAACAGGTCGGTGGTCAATTGGTCCTTGTCATTGTAATTGACGGCGCCGTTGATGTGGCCACCGTTGTACTCGTACTCGAAACGGCAGTCAACAATCAAGATCTTGTCGTAGTGGGAGTTGTAGTCGCCATTGAGGACGTTGAGAAGAGTATCCTGCTTGACACGGGGAAGACTGTCGGGCTCTTCCTCGTTGAAGAAGTGAGGAAGCTTGGGCTTGTAGGGCTCGTCAAGGTCCATAGACACGGAAGGAGACGAGTTGATGTGAGAGTAGTCGTCTTGTTGACCATTGATGACATCGTCGGGGTGCTGAAACATGCTAAGCGAACGGCGGACCTGCTTCCTGGGGGGAGGACGGACGGCGGCCGACTTGCGGACTTGCGAACCCAGAGGCGAGCCGTTGTTGCGGCAGAGCGAGGTGCGACGAGAAGGAGGGATGAGATATGACTTGGAGGGCGAGGATTCGCAGTCTGAAGAAGGGCTTGAGGTGCAGCTGAGGCCGGCACCACCGAACTTGAATGTGGGGAGCTTGTGTTCTTGTTGAGGGACCGACGTGGTGGAGTAGGAGTGGCCCTTGTTTCTAACCAAGGAAGGTCTGAGGAAGGACGACTTCTTGCGCTCGGGAAGAGGCATGGGAGTGGGCTTCTCAGGCATGGGCAGCGAGAGAGCCTCCTGGCACGAGAGCATGTCGTCGTCGTCGCCCTCGGCAGGCTCGGGGGAGGGCGAGGGAAGGGTGACGTGTGCGACGAAGCAGGGCTGCTTGTGGGGGAGGGGAGAGATGTCCATCATGTCACCGGGCGACGACATGGGGATCGGAGGGGTGCAGAGGCCGTCGTACTCGATGAGCGGCGGGGTTGCGAGCTGCTCTGAGCGGTCACGAGGGAGGAAGAGGTTCTGGTTGAACAATGAGCGTCTGGGGGTAGGAATCTGCGGGCTGTGGATTGTAAGCTTTGGGCGCTCGGATCTAGAGCAGCGCGGAATGTGGTGCATACCTCTGATCAATGTGGAAGTTGGACGACAGGTCTGCTGCGAGACTGGCTGTAGGCGACGAGCCACGTGCCGGACGCATGGTGAAGTAGTCGGGCGCCGACTTCTTCATGCTCAGTTCCTTAAAGTTGAAGCTGTTGGATCCGACCGTCTGCGACTGGTACATGGCTCTCGATGCAGGCAGGTCACGGCGGTTGCCCCATGGCGGGCACGGCGGCGGATGCATGGCCGCCAGGGGGGAGGAGAATTCCATCATGGACATGGTGATAGATATGTCGATAGTGAGAGAGATGCGGTGGGGGATAGCGATATCCAGTTCTCAAAGCGGTAATACAAGTCAGAGTCACTGTTGATCGGCGTATAATTGGCGTGACTGTAGGCTGGACTGCATAGATATGGTTGCTGGTCGGATGAGTGATGCTGGTGCGGCGCTGTGAGTTGGGTCGTGGTTGATGGGAATTGATCGATGTATAGCTATATTCAATGCAATGCTGGATGGTGGATGGTGGATGGTGGAGCTGCAAGCCGGATGGGGATTGGCCGGGAGTCGTGGCTTTGGCGTGGTGATGGATGTCGCTGGTGGGTTGGGAAGCTGTGCTGGCGGGATGCTCCTTCCTTTTGATACAACTAATCAGACTGCACAATGGTGGTAACGGTGGGATGACTACGGCTCAACTGCCTTCTCTGTGGGAGCAAGAGGCAGCTTGGAGCGGGCGCGGCTTGATAAAAGAAGGCTCGCGGCAAGGAAGAGCGTTGGCATGGAGATTGCACTTCGCAGCAAGCTCAGGCAGGCCAGGCCAAGAAAGCAACCAAGGCAAGGAACGCACGACCAGCACCAGCGACGGATGGCCCAGCATGGACAGCCCCACGAACTCTGAACAAACTGTCTGTCACACACGCAGGCGGTCCAAGCGACCAAGCGAGAATCCATCCAGCATGCCCTAGTCAAAACCGAACTGCATGACAAGCGCGCAGCAACGGCCCTCCCCGTTGGACAAATCATATGCCGCTACCGCTCGTCCTGCAGCTGATCATGCATAGCATTTGGAAACTCTGTGTGAAGCTTCACATCGCCGTCCATCGTCGATACATATGCCTCCCCCGGAGTGTACGTGAGCCTTGTCGAGCCTTGTCTGCTGCGATCCGACAAAGCCTTCGATCAAGCCCACTATTCGCTCGTGAGTCCTGCCGTATGTACCTGCTTGCATCATGAGAGAGGGGTAAATTCTCATCATGAGTGCACAATTATCAGAGTTGCCCTGGTTGCAGCCTTCGTACCGCCGTTCCAGCTATCTACGTCCACATCCCCACCGCACAGATGCAGATGCGATGAAGACGCGCCAAAAGACGACACCAACAACGCAGATTATTGTCTCGTTGCTCGGTAGATTGTCAAAGGTTTGCTCAACCTGACAAGGGCCGCCGCCCGCCGAAGCCGTCCGTCCCACAGACCAAGCTCCGTCCGCTGGAGTCCACCCAGTCGGGAATAGATGCTGCTTCCATCTCATGTCACCATTTGCTTCAGTCGGCATCTGCATCTCTGTCAATCAATCCTCGCGCATCCCTCTGCCACGTCTCCTTGCCGCAGCATACGAACATCAAACTCAGACGAACAATGTCTTTGTCGTGACGTATCTAGACAGCCTGCCAACCTCTCCCTGACTTTACCAGCTTTTCCCTCACTTCTAATCATCTTATCTTCAGGTACGTCAACATCACGCCTTGATCCAACATAATATTGTGTAGACCCTTTGCTTCATAGAACAACCTGGCGTCATGGCTGATTCTCCGCAAGGAACAAGAATACGTCCGGATGACTGACCACGTTCCCTGGTTGGCTAACTACGATCAGGCTAGACGATCCTCTGGCGTCCGCTTTTGGCGTATCCTTCCTTCTGGATGAAACCGGTCTTCGCACGTCCGCCCGCCTTTAACGGCGTTTCGTAGACAACCAAAAGTGGATTCTAAGCTGCCATTTGCGTGCTGCGCTCGCGTGGCTTCACAAGCTCCCTTCCACTCCGACGTGTGCATCGCTCTTCCCCAATCGCAGATTCTCCGCGAGCCACACGATTGCTCTGATGCATGCGACGTCACCTTTTGTGCCGTCCGGATCACATCTTAACCTGCTGCATGCCTACTCCGCCCGCCTGATGTTGTCGTATTGGCCGCCATTTTACCTGCAGTAAACATAACACCGCAGAGATTTCCTCAGCAAATTCTGTTTTAATATCCTGAAGCACATAATGAAGACTAATGGCTGGTCTCCGTTGCAACGATGCGTTTGGCCAGCCCCGACGAACGCCCTGAGGACACTGACATGCGGCCTTGCCGTGCGCCGTCGCCAGAGCCAAAGACCTTTTCTGACTATATTCGCGTTTCCCTATCGCGGCGCAGTCCCCGAGCTTCAGTCCCTTGCCAGAAAATAGTACCATGGCTTGTTCAGCTGCCGTCCAATCGTCGTGTCACCTCTCGACTATTCCATTGAATTCGGGTATGGCTTGATTATGTATCCACTCTACACGCGCGCTACATATGTACATAGATTTGTGGAGGTCAGGTTTGTGAGTGCCGCGTCGCCGTGTGCGTGATAAATAAAGTTAGTGACAGACCCTCAAGAACGGATACTCAGCTAATACTAGATATGCTATTGCACGTGATATGCTATTCTTACTTTTGTCCTCTGTATAGGGCTGCCTGTCCCTGTCCATATATCTATCCAAGCATATCGCCCGTTTGCACCGATGATATTGAACTGCTCTTCCTGCTACACAACCTCTTTCCCATACTTCCCAATACTCGTACATTGGCGTCTCCTAGCGAACAGCCACTGCTTTTGCTTTGTTCGCTTCGCTTGACCTTTGCTTCCGCTGCTTACTCGACGCCGGCCCGCGTGAGTTTTTTTTCGCTCAGCAGATGGTGATCCATTCATCCTCGACCCATGTTTGCTCCGCACCAAGACCGTCGTACCAGCCAATTCGTCTAGATTGCAGTAGATTCTGCTCGGCGGAGAACAGACCTTCAATAATTGGAAAAAGGAAAAGGAAGCATGTGGGTCGGATGGACTATGGGTCATTGAAAAGTGAAACTGGTGGTGCTGACCCGGAGCTTTTTACGATTGATTTGCTAACGGCTTCTGAACTCAAAGTATGCCAGATGCATTGTAGGTCGTTGTACCGGTCATATAACAGCACTTCCCCAGCTTAAAGTAGCATGCAACTTGCACTCCTTTCACATCAACGTCTATCGCAGCCAAATTTTACATATCACGCCTTGATGAACGGCCACGTCTCTACACACAAAAATTCAACCACCATCGCACCGCTAATGGATAGGCTCAACATTGATACGATCAACATCGCTATCGATTTTTGTCACGCTACCTATCTGCACTCCTGCGTCAAAACATGAGACCCTCGACCGTGCCTCGACTCAATTCTCTGCCTCATCCGTCATGATCGTTGGAGTACGAAATACCAAGGTAGGCGTTGTTCAGCACATCCATTCCGGATGGCGCGGCGACGACGACAAGACACCAATGCATGTATTACTTCTCCCCGGTCGTAGCGAGGATCATACAAAGCATCATGCGTTGACGCCGGTCCCTGGCTTTGTTGATGGTGGAGTGGAGAAGACCCATGGATCTCAATTTCTCGCATGTGTTTCACTCAGATTCCGTAATCCGAGCAAAAGAGAATTTTGCTAGTCGTCGTCACACTGCATGCGGGCGTGGATTTGACTCGCAGGGTCTTAAGCCCATGGGCCCTTGAGTTGACGGTTGGAAGCGCGCCGTGTCATGCGTGTACGAGGACGCATACAGCTCCATGGTGTGGTAGCTCTCTCGGCCGTGAGTTAGAAGCTCGCGTCTCGCGCGTCAGATCTCCAGGGAAACGTTTTTTGCTTTGCGCGTATATTTGAAATCGAAAGACGCCATATAGTGTGGGCACAATTGCTCAGTATACATTAAGCAAGCTTGTGCTATACGTGCGTGCGAGAAACGTCAAAAGCTTCACAGCTGAACAAGGGTCTGCGTAAATTTATCACGTGCGCTTAAGCTCAAGCATTACCCCAGATTCCAGCATCAGAAATTCTTTGCCTTAGCAGCGGCGCCATGTGCTTGCGGTTGCTCTGCCATCGCATATACCCTGACACATCCTCATCAAACACTCTCCACAATGGCTGGAAAGCGTCGCCGAAATTCGAATGGAGAAGACGAGACGACCCATGATACGACTCATCCCTCTCGCAAGCGACGTGTTGAATTTGGTGTAGCTGACGCTAAATTGGCTGCCCTGTACAACGATTTGTCGGACGATGTCAAAGCAACCAGACTGAAGGCTGCTGCGGACCTGATACGCACCCTTGCAGAAGCGGACCCTGAAGCCCTGGATAAGTCCTTGACAAGACTCATCAGGGGTCTTTGCAGTAGCCGTAAAGCCGCGAGATCTGGATTTTCAGTAGCTTTGATAGAGATTTTGAAGCTCACTATCAAATCTCCGGTCGCGGGAGCTGAGGATGTGGATCTGAGTCTTCCGGCTATTATTGATAAGATCATCTCAATCACACAACCCGAGGAGCAGGGCAATAACAAGGTACGCTGACTTATAACCGAACACAAGGGAGACGATACTGATTGTCTGTAGGAAAGAAGGGACCATCTCACTGGTCGATGCTTCGGATTCAAGTCTCTCATCCAGAGTCAACTTCTCTTTGCAAAGGGTGTACCCATAGCTGAGTGGGAGAAGGTTCTTGATCACATTTTCAAGCTTGCCACAGAGACCACCTGGCTACGAAGAGAGTGTGGCGTGACTCTGTACGAGACGTTAGCCACACTGACCCAGGTCAAAGACATTGACCTCGAATATGTCAGTCTGCTTGTTCAGAGACTTGAGCCATTCAAGCTCAGCAAGACCCCTGAGGGCCTTGCCATCTGGCTGACCACTTCTGCATTGTTCCCTGATGCCAAATTACCCAAGGGAGTATGGGACCACAACGATCCTTTGTCACCAAAGGAGAGAGTTACTGTGGCAAGAATCTTGCGCGACAATGGCTCTCAAGCTGAGGAAGGTCCAGCTGGCAATAGTACTGGTGCCGCGCAGAGTTCACCTTCTTTCGCTTGGGCAATCGTTCTGTCCCACCTCTACAGACGCCACAAGCCTAGCAAGAAGTCAGACGAGAAGGTTTCCGACTTCGAGAAGTTCTGGCTCGAGGCTGTAGACCGTAAGATACCCAAAACCAGACCTGTGTTCAACGACTGAGCTGACCCGTTGATAGAGGGAGTATTTGCCGCATCTGCCAGCACGGAGCGCAAGTCCTTGGGCCTTCAGGTCGTCTCTATGGGAATCTCAACTGCACCCGTTCAGCTTCTGCATGCTGTTTTCAGCCCAAACGCCATGCGATGCATTATCAACCAACGTGCCGGGCAAGACCGATACCTTCACGAAGCAGCAAAGGGTCCACTTTCACAGATGGTGATTCGCTCAAAGTCTGATCAGGAAAGCATTCCTGTGATGTTGAAGGGTTTGTTATCAGGCAACGGTGCTGTGGACTTTGACCGTTTGACAAAGTCCAAAACGGCCGAGGATCTCTTTGCTCGTGCAAAGGACGAAAGCGCAGCTGACGCTTTGACTCTCCTGCAACAGCTTTCAGCTCGGCCAAATGCCGAGGATCAACCGCAGGCTGATCTCAAGCGCCGCCTTCTCGCGGATATGATGCTGAACATGGCTCGTAAGCAACAAGTCGAGGAAGGTAAGGATAATGAGAGCATATCCCGTCTTGTCCTGTCCATGGTGCCTTTCGGCTATGCCGACGCCACCGCTGGCGCTCTCAAAGCATCGCCTGCGCTTTCCGAGGCAAGTCAAGAAATGTTCCGCTCGCGTCTCATGTCGTGTCTCAATCACATCCTCGCTGCCCGCCTAGACAAGGACTTCGCAATCCTCGAGAAGGTCGTTGAGCAAGTCAAGACGACCGACGCTGCGTCGAAGACTGGTCTTCGCACCAAGGCCGACCAAGAAATTGTGGACAATCTGGACAAAGCTCACAAGACTTTGAAAGCACTAAAGAAGCTTGAGCAAAAGCAGAAGGAAAGTAAGAAAGCACCTCTCCGCGCGTTCAAGGCATTGTATGCTCTGTCTATTCTGCTGGTCTACAACGGCGAGGCCGATGTCGTACCTGTTCTGGAAGACTTGGACCTGTGCTACCAATCATGGAAGAAGAGCGAAGACGCATCTGTGATGCTTGTTGAGATTCTGCTTAGTTTCATCTCCAAGCCCTCTGCTGTCTATCGTAAGATTGCTCAACAAGTATTCGAAGCATTCTCCTCACAGCTTGACGCCGAAGGTCTGCAATCAATGTTAGACATCCTGGAGAAGTCAGAAAATCTTAGTGGTCAGCAAGAGCTCTTTGAGCAGGCCGACGAGCTCGAAGAAGAGGACGAGTCAGGTTCGGATGAGGATGCCTCTGATGTGGAGATGCTAGATGGGGAAGACGCTAGCGACGTCAAGGTCGATAGCGATGTCGAAGTCGTTGATGACGCCGAGTCTGGCGCTTCCGACTCAGACAATTCAGACGAGGAAGTCGATGCCGATGATGCCGATCTTGAAGATTTCGAGAATAAGCTCGCACTTGCACTGAAGACCCAAAAGCCTACGGAGGATGACTCGGACTTTGACGGGTCCGACATGGATGACGAACAGATGATGGCCATAGAGGGCCATCTCACTACTATCTTCACGCAGCGCAAGAAGAACGCAACCAACAAGAAGAAGGACAACAAGGACGCCAAAGAGAACATCGTCAACTTCAAGAATCGTGTGCTTGATCTCTTGACCATTTTTGCCAAACAGGAACACTCCAACAAGCTGACACTTGATCTGATCCTGCCAATGCTCACATTGGTCCGCACAACTACCAGCAAGCAGATCTCGGATAAGGCTTTCGGCTTATTGCAACAATTCTTCGGAGCCTGCAACAAGACCAAAGAGTTCCCCAAAGCCGACGAAGCATCCGAAGTTCTCGCCCTGCTCCATTCCGTCCACGACGAGATCCGCGCCAACGCTTCGAAGTTGCACAGCAACGCCTGCAGTCGCTCAAGCTTATTCCTTGCCAAGATTTTGGTTAACCTGGATCCCAAACATTTCTCGGATGTTGCCGACTGTTACAACAACCTCCAGAAGGAATGGTACGTCGACCCGAAGTCGCAAATCCAACCGAGTGTCTTTACCGAGTGGACCTCATGGAGCATTACCACTAGAAAGCACAACAACTGATCTCGGTGCGGACCGACATTCGAGAAGTCCTGAAAAGTCGTGACAGGCCTTTCTATGATGGGAACATATCAGAGCTTGGACCGTGGGATTGACTTCGAAATAGGCGTCCAAGGCCTGATTGCGCAACGGACAGACATGTCTTTTCGCATACAACTCCGAGCAGACAGACCGCCTGGATTAGAGAATCTTTCACTGACGTCAGTTATTTTGACTTCAATCAATTCGCACGGCGTGCCCTCCTGTCCTAAGATCTGGGCGCTTTGATTGTGTATACCTTATGGATGCCCAACTATCGATGGCACTCTCGACGTCAGTCCAATTTCGCTTGTGCATAGACTCTTCATACCAATCACAATCTTAGCACTACATCGTAGTGGTCGTTCATATCTCCATCTCATTTCGGCATACCGTTCAGGCTATCGATCCCAAACGTATTTCCAGCCATGCCCTTGGTCAAAAGTCATAGTTCACATTCTCAAGACTGACAAACCGTTCGCAGACCAAAAAGTCGTTTCCATGTTCCTGAGCGCTTGGCATGAACGCATAGCAATTTGCCTTGGGCATCCCGCACAACATGGACTTTGAGGCTTCCAGAAGCCGTTGACCGTTACCCGCAAACAGCCCCTGTACACATCTTTGGTTTAAGGCTTTCCCTCCTGTCATGTTCTCTGTTGCGTGTGGTATCTATGTGGAATGCTTATTGTCGACTGCCGTCGCACAGGGAGAAAATACTGTTGCGACCGACAAAGTATCGAACTTTGATAATGCATAGCGTTGGCTGTCAGCTGTGTTTACAGAGAGATTATCGCGTGTTATTAGGGGGCTAGACGGTCTCTTTTTCCCCTTTCACTCTTTAGGGGAATGACAGGTGCGCGCTGTTCAACTTGTCAAACACCCATTTGTCGCGTGCCTCGAGACCCTGCATATCCATCATGATTACTGCACAGCCAACGGTATGCTGCTATAAATCGTGATGACTGGTGGAGATACCTCTCTATCCGCGAAATCGTCATCTTCGACTTGTCTCTACGTACACGCGGTCCCCAAGCAACTCCAAGCTTCAGTGTTGTCGATATAGTATTCGTGATCGATACACATCCCCATCTCCAGATCTGCGACGTCATTTCGAGCATCACCGAACCGTGCACAATCCGATTGGCAATTTTAAACAACAATACGGATAGCTTTTGCACAAAAAATCAAGGAAGTGTTCTTTCGAACCCTTACCGCCGCTGGGCCCTCTACACGAACACTGCCCGCCGTGAACAGTGACAGACGAGGCGTACAATCGCTGACGGCTCTCCCATCGGGGGCGTGACGATCATACCTGTGTTCAGGGTCTTGCACACGTACATTCTACTGCTCCGGTCGGCTGTCCTCTTTCCGCTTCGCGATCCAAGGAACGTCGCCGGGTGCTTTGTCCTGTCGGCGTGTGGTGTTCAAAGGGTGCGGCCGCGATTGCGCGCCGTAGCATCAAGCACAGGTCTCGATGCTTGAAACTGCTTTGATAAACGCGGGTGTTCCTGAAGATCGCGAAGGGAGTCATCAATCGAAACCATGGAATCAAATCACGGCACGCGTGTTTGTACCATTCTTTCGCTCTCTTGTTCGAGTCGTGAGTTCTTAGCAACGATAGATTAATTCGAAGAAGAAAATTCTCTGCGCGCTCTTTCGCCCAGGCCCCCTTTGCGCTCGAGCTCTTCTCAGACCTCGTGTGAGTCAGTAGTACAGAGTCGCATCAACGTTGCGAAAAGGTAGTGCTATGAGACGGTAGACAATCAGAAAGTCAGTATGCACAATTTCCCCAGGTTAGGACGTTGAGTGGAACAAAACGGATTAAAGGAGCCGCAATTCGAAATGGGTCAACAAGACAGACACGATGCATAAATCAAGATCGAAGACTCTTCATGACGTCATTAGCAACTCTCCATCTCTGGATCACGATCTGAGCAAATCTGATTTATGTGAGTATTTTTGTTATTATCTATTGTTGTTTGTATACAAATGTGAAACATGGCATAAGCAATTATAGGTCCTGTGATATAAGGAAGTCGAATAGTTCTCCGAAGACCTGAGTTTCCTGGTTCTTCTCTTTTCGCAATTCACGACACCGATGGCATGACGAAGAAGTCCTCGCATGCGACACAGGACGGCAATATCCATAAGGCACAGAAACCCGTGAGAAACTCTTATTTGCCAGCACTGTCGAACCCGGATGCTGGAAGCAGCGGAATCGCACCTTCTCAATCAATATTGCCCCGCCCTTTCCATGCACTCCATCGAGATCTTTTGCAAGCTGGATCTCTTTTTCTTGATGTTCCTGTCCCGGGGTTCCACAAGATGACGGACAAGAGACAAAAAAGCCATCATGCGAGTAGCCGCCGTCGCGCGCGGCAGGGACCCACTCATCAAGTTGACCACCACATCGTAAAAAGTTCAAGAAAAGAGCCGCTTTGCGCATGACGCTGCTTTCGAACGAGCTTCGCATGAAACATCGTGATACCGTGTGCAGAGCAACCACGCCATGGTGCTTGATAAGAATCATGCGGTATGCGACACTGCTCGTCATGCAACTAAAACACGCAACGATCCAGCACGCGAACAAAAGTCATGCGTGTGGTTTCAGCCAGCTGAAAAATGGTCCTAAGTCATTGATGCCGCCATCCCGCGTTCGATGGACGCCGCACTTCTCCAGCCGGTCTGCTCTACAGCTGGACGCCTTATAACGTCCGACATGCAAGTCAACCCTTTGAGAGTTTGCACTCTCCAGCGACAATAGTGCCCTAAGGAGTGTGAAACTTGTCAAGAAAGACGAAACGTATGATAGTCAAGCACGGCAGCAAAGGTCAAAGTACGTGACACGAAGTCCGAAGAACCCTGCCGACGACTGCATACCGTTACATGCCAGGATTAATGTGTGCACCCCGGCAGAAGTGTATATCTCGTGCGACCAACGAACCTTACTCCAGAAGACTCCCGTGAATCTACCAATTGCTATGCATAAGAACCTAATTCCAGAAAGTATAACCATAATCCAGAGCTATACCATATTATCTAGCTCACTCAGTATCCACCTTCCGCATATCGATTTTGAGACACTGGATACGAAAAATTCAAGCATGAGCAAACACGCGTTCACCCGAGCCTGTGGACCACTCTATCTTTTTTAGCCATGATTGCGTCTACTGCACGTCTATCTGCATCCCCGGCAGCGCCATGCCAAAGTCTATTCTGCATGTCGAACAAATGCAGGCCACGCCGTGGCGGCCGCCAACGCAAGGAAGTTCGTTGTATGCATACTCGCTTCGGTCGTATCGTCCGGACATGGTGCTGCCGTCGTGCCTTTCTCCCCCCAACGCGGGAAAGCTGCGTCGCCCAGAACAGGCAACCCCATCTCTCTCTTCAGACGCAGGAACGTTGAAGCTATAACAAGGCCAAAAGATCAGCGTCGTGGGAACACGAACGGAAAAGCACACACACACATACCAAAAAAAAAAAACGAGACCGATGATGATGATCTGGTTCGTGCTACTTTGTTGAGTCGTTCCGCTTTGTCTTGGAGGGGTCCCCGAGCTCTAGATTCTGGGATCAGGTGTATGCAGCTGGCGTCAGCACCATGCAGGGTACTCTACCTGAAAGCTGATCAAAAGAGTTACCAAAAGGTAAAAGGTGCCGACAAGCGGTAAGAATCTTATACGTCCATCGGGATAACTATACAAAGGCGTACATGTATAAGGCTTACCCACTGTGCTGACCATATGACGGGCTGTGAATTTGCTAAACACTAATCACAAAACGGCTGCAGGTACCATCACACTTTTGACACTCCTCTACCACCGGGTGCCGAATCTTTCTTGCAGGAGCATGCTCCTATCCTGGAGTTACCCAAGTGAGTCCAACCTGACCGATACTAGAAGCTAATCCTTAGTCTCGACGAGGTTGACATATACCAATATTCAAGCACTCCGTGCATGAGGTCAAGAAGCACAAAGCTATTTCAAGCTATTGATTTACTCTTTAAGTACAAAACTCCCTCATACTCGCTTACAACCCCCACTTCGTTTTGAATGCCTTCCAAGTACTTCTTATTCTTCTTACACACGATGCAATAATGCTTGCCCAAAAGCCCGCCATCAAGTGACGCTTTAGCTGCATCGCGACCAAAGCATCGCCATCAGGAGGAGAGTGTATCCGCCAGATATAGAGACCATGGGTAAAAGCAAGGAGCCAGACGATACCTAACAGGATATCTAGCTGCGGCCGACGAAAGTGCGAGAGTCCAGCTTCTAAAAGAGACGGTAGGTAAGATCCTATCGATGCTGGAGGTTGATTGTCTTGCTTGCCGAGTATCTTTAATCGGAGTGGACTACTTTGCGCCGAGTCGTCAATGTCGTTATTTCCAGCTTTTTGGTCCACGGCTTCCTCTTTCTCTGTTGCTTCGGTAGCTTGAGCGCTGGTTGGTTGCTGTTCTTCTTCTTTTGTGTTATCATCCATCTCGTCGATCTCTTCCAGGTCTTCAGATAATAACTGTAGAGTGGGAATGTAGACAGGGTCAGATCCCCAACGTCTTTTTTCTTTCGGATCCATCGTCTTGAGGAGTTCTGATATCTCCCAGGAGTGTTGGTAGGGTAGACTGGGTAGTTGAGTGTCATCAGAGTGCGCGTCTGACATTTTCTTGAAAGAGAAGTTCTTCGAAGCCATGATTCAGATTCACGATCTTGTCGAGTATTTCATTTTGCTCCAGGATGTCGAGGAAGGATGGTCATTATTCTGGCAAGAAGCAGAAAGGTAGTAGTCGTAGCGGCAAACGAACAGAATTACTCATCACACTCCTGTCGTGGGAAGAACGTTGAGTCATGGTGGTATGGAATATGAGGGAGTTTACTTGGATGACTGATATATCTTTATGCTTCGGGTAGAATTTCAAACCGAGAAAGGTCATTCATTTGTCGAGGGGAGCGCAGCAGATCGATTACTCCTTTTGTATTCATGATATTGTACAGTAAGGCAGGTAGGATTGAAATACAATAGTAGATACGACAGCCGTACAGAGTTCAGAAGCAGCAGAGCATCAAGTCAGAAAAAGTCATTTATCATCAGAGACTTCCGCAACATTCTGTCCACTACTAATCGTGACATCTTGCTGTCCTTCAACGTTCCTCTTGCTTCTCTTCCTCTACTCATCCGATTCTTGAAGACCGCGTCGTCATCTTCTCTATCTTGTGCACTTTGTTCCGCGTCCAAGATCTTTGGTTCCTTGTCGATAGTTGTGCACGCTCCTGTTCGGGGTTAATTTGATTTGAGACGGTGAGACTGAGCCTGATGTAATCTGTCCTCCCTCATTAAACTTCTCGTGATCGACATCGTACATACACTGTCGCTGTTCTACAGTCTCTATAGCCTCGACCGTTTGGCCCTCTTTCTGCTCTTCTGCTGCTGAAGGCGATGGTGGTGATGTGGTCTGTCCTGCCTCGTCAAGGTTCTCTTGGTCGGGCTTGCGTAAATTTTGCTCTGGCTCGGTAGTCTTGTCCTGTTCTTTTGTCCCTGATGATGAGGACGATGATGATGCTGGGTCGTCTTCTGCTCCTTGCTTTTGAAACTCTTCGTTCTGTGTTTCATGCATATCTTCCTCTTGCTCTATTGTTTGAGTTGTATTCTCCTTTCTTATCAACCCGGCGGTCCTCGTAAGAGCAGCGTATTAGCTCCTTCTCTTTTGCTCTATAATCCTCTGTTTAGGATTATACAGCTGATCAAACAGTTCTTCACATTGTCGTCTCAAATCTTCATCGTCGAGATGAAGTAGGATTAATGGCCTATGCTCGTCTAATTCCTTTTGTGTCTCTCGCCATGTGCTGGTTTGTCTGGGGTTGGGTCACGACCATCGTTTGATGATCGACGTGCTAGAGAGAGGAGACGTATGTCGTTCATCGAGAGATAGAACCTCGAGGGTCGGAGACGTCTGAGCGAAATCTCTTCTTTCCAAGATTCCTTCCTTCATGGCTTCTTCCATCGCAGACGACGTCTGTGTAGTCCAATCAGCCGTAGACTTGACCGATGGATAGTGCTGCTGCTCCCATTCACGTATACTGATCGATTGTAATGCCGCTCTTCTGCTGCCTGCACGTAGGAAAGGATTTGGCATATCCCGAAGACATGGCAGTGGCGTATGCTTGCCCAATAACTTTTCGTCAGAGATGCGGATACGCAGAGCCATGCAGTGATCCCAGGACTTGTTTGTCCTCTTCATCTGATCGGGCGATGAGGTATCCATGGTATCTGTCTGAGTCCGGATGGATAACAGTAGGACTGGCAACATTCAATCTTGTGATAATCTCGCGAAGGCTCCAAGTTGCAATGAATACATGGCGTATTGAAGCAGTCGTAGTGAGCGATATCATAATCTCGCATATAACCGCATGAGTTGTGGTTGAGTGTGTGAACTAACTCATCGAGAAGGTTGGCAGCTGGTCGGAGTTGACTCTGATCTCCAGATGATGAGCCGCCAACAGTGGATGGCCTAGACATTATGTTTTCCGTCAAGATTGTTGACAAGGAGAGGATTGTAACGGAAAAGCTGTAAAAGTTTGTACTGAAGGTGGTCATTAATCGGAATGTCTACATGATGTCATCGTCGGGAGCTTCTTTAGCAGTATAAGCTCCATTGACGTGTTTCCAGGCGTCTGAAAAGACGGTCGCAGATTCAGGATCCCTCCAAGCCCAAGCGACACAGTAATGTGAAGCTAGCAATTTCCACTCCTCGACCTCGTCAAGCCATTCCAGTCTCTCGACACGTTCTCTTTCGGTGGCACTGACCCACTCATGGCCGTAGTAGATTTGCTCGACGTCTCTTGCGCCTTGACCAGTGACGAAGCCTGCCTTGTTCAAGCGATCTCTCTGGGCAGCGAGGGAGTAATAACGTTTTACAGTTTGTAGCTCGATGCCTCGACTGGCGAGATTTGTAATCATGGTCTTGCCAAAGCTGTCGTAGGGGCGGATGGGTTCGTAGAGGACGGTAGCCAATGAAGCAGAGGGGATTTGGTTGACAAAGTATGAAAGGATTTGAGTGGCGGTGGAAGGAGGCACGTAGCAGAGGCAGCATTCGCTTAAAAGCAGAGTAGGCAGGTCAGAGCGTAGATTCGGGATGGAGGAAGGAGTGTCGCCGGCTAGTTGACGCAGGTCGATGGCGTGGAGGTTGTAGTTGGGGGAGAGGAGGGAGTTTTTATCTGGCGAGATGTTCATGGCTGGGATCATGTCTTGCAGTTGCGGGTTGGAGTGGATTGCGGACAGCTTGGCCTGGACGTTGTCGATAAAGTCGAGCTCGTGGTATAGTAGAGCATGTCTACGGGTAGGCGACAGACGGAAGAAGCGAGTGTCTGAGCCAGCACCCAACGAGACAATCTGTGCTACCGGAGCAGCAGATGTGTGTGGAGAATGGGCGTCGAGAGTGGTGCTCAGGAATTGGTCGACAAGACGATCGATGGCCGATGTGCGGACATAGGTGCCACGGTTGATGAGAGGGTATCGTCGGGGAGTCTCGCCTTGGAGGAAGCATGTCGCGTAGTCGTCCTGTAAGTAACCAAGAGCGACTGCGCTCAACCTGGAGTTGGAGGCGTCGCCGTCTGTCTGGCGGATGATTTTGTCGCGAGCATCTTGGGCATCCTCGTCGGGCGCATCTGGGTCTGTTGCAAGAGCTCGGCCTCTACCGCGACGCAGACCGCTTCTGCCGCGAAGGCTGTTGAGATTGGGGATGGAAGGAGCAGCCATCTCTAAAAGCCGAGCGGGGCATGACGACGTTTTGGCAGGTGTTCGAGATGCCCGACCGGCGACAGATGCGCTTGACCGCCCGCCAAGACCGGCGGCAGAATTATTGAGCAGCAAGTCCGACCTGACAAAGTGCATTGCGCGCTCCATCATCGTTCGCGACAGGCCATCGACAGACACTCCGACCGCACATCCGCCCCAACCGCACACATGGCCGACGACGAGACTAGACGCGAAACCTCCAGACTGTGGCGCGTGTGGAAGACGACCAAGCAGCTGTGCTACGACAGAGTCCGTCCATCCACATGCACATGCACATGCACATCCGACCGCAGACTCACCTCAAGACACTAACGCGCTTGTCGCAGGGCTACGAACTGGCCGAAGATGAACTCGACGTCTCCCTCGATCACTTCCGCGAGCAGTGCGGTGACGGCTCCGGCGGTGTCAGGTACACAACCCCCCAACCCCCCAATGCGCATGCGCCTGCCTGACACGCATCACAGCAAGACCAAGATGAACTTCCAGGCCAGACCCTCCGACGCAATGTTGACCAAATACACCGCCCTCCCCACAAAGTCAAACCCCAACCCCGAACCCCAAATCGGAACCATCTACGTCGAGTTCAGCACAGAAGCCGCCATAGGAATCAAGCATCTGCGCAACTACGCCCAGTTCCTCAACGACAAGAACTTTTACTCGGGCATCTACATCACCTCTGCTTCCGTCACCACCTCTGCGCTCAAGCAAGCCGCAAACCTGCCCATCACCATCGAAGTCTTTCAAGAGACCGACTTGCTCGTCAACATTACAAAGCACGAACTCGTACCCAGGCACATCCTGCTTAGCCCAGAGGAGAAGAAGGCCCTGCTCGATCGCTACCGTCTGAAGGAGACTCAGCTTCCTCGCATCCGTGTAGAGGACCCCGTTGCCAAATACCTCGGTCTGCGCAGAGGTCAGGTCGTCAAGATTATTAGAAAGTCCGAAACCGCCGGCCGTTATGCCAGTTACCGCTGGTGTATATGACCAACTTGTGCTCTTCTCATACCTCCAACAATCCCTGCTTTTTCAATTCCTTCTTTTATCGGCGCCTCGGGGGAGCGAAAACGAAAGAGCTCAGAGCAAATGCATCGAGCTGCTGACTTTTGCATGTCTACAAGAGATGTAGGCAAAAATGGCGACGGCGTTATTACTGGCGTTCTGCTAATTGGGAGAGAGTGTTATTATCCGCTGCTCCACCCCCTTCTGTACACCACCACGTGGGCTCTTGAATGCTAGGCACAGATTTATATCAATCATCTTACGAACCAACCCTCCTTCAAGAAGAGTGTGAATCACAGCTTGGCTGTGAACAATGTGCGTCGAGTGGGCAATGCACTGTAATGTAGATGACATTTTGAGATGAAATGCAGCCTCATCACTCTTGGGCAGAAGATCAAGACCATAACCATCTTCAAGCATCAACTTGCATAATATCATCATCATCCAACCCACCATACTCATCCTCCGCAGCCTGTTGAGCCTCCCTCATAACCTCATCACCCCCAACCCCAGCATTCCTCTCATCCCTAGCCCTTTCCCTGTCCATCTTCTCCCTATGCCGATTCAAATCCTCAATACTCCACGTAGAAACACCTTCCTGCATCTTGGACGGAAATGGCTTACTCATCATTTTCAAAAACCTCTTTGCCGTTGCAACTGCTTGATCGACCGAGAGATTGCTGTCACCTTCGAGTAAGGCAGCGTTGATCCATTTTGGTAGTTGCACTCGCTTTTTGCCGAAACGACGGTCGGCGAGGACCATGATTCCATAATCGTCTTTTCCGCGCAACACACGACCGAGACATTGTGCGGCGTGTCTCATGGCGTCAAAGGACAGGAAGTCATTCTCTCTGATCCTATACGTTTCACGCAAGAACTCGAGGCGAGCCTTGAGAATACGTGATTCGGTGTATTGGAAGGGTACGCCGATGCAGAGCACCGTTCTGCCATAGTGATGGTCGAAATCGATTCCTTCCGATACTTTACCGCGCGCGACACAGAGGAGGATGGCGCCTCTGCCGTTACTGCATGCCGTGCGATAGGTCTCGAGTGCCAGGGACGTTTCTTGACTATCCGGTGTTTCGACGAGGATGAGTTTGTGTTTCCAGACTTGGTCGAGGATACCCATACCTTGCCACATGGAAATAATGCTTTCCATGTACAAATAAGAAGGGAAGAAGACGACGACGCCATCGGGTGTGATTTTTGAGAATTCGATGAGCAGGTTTCCGTAGTTGCGCACGACTCCCGGGTCGTTTCTGATTGTGAAGGAGGAGGAGATGGCACCTTGATCGCTTCCTCTGGTCACAATCATGGGCAAGAAAGAGCGTCGGGCCAGCGTCATGGAGTAAGATTCTTGGACGACTGTGTTGAAGCCTAGCATCTTTGGGTAGATTTCCAGGGGAGAGATTGTACCAGAGGTGATGACTACACTGCTGAAGCGCTCAAAGACGGGCTTGATGGCAATCGCGGCGTCTAGACAGGTAAAGTGAAGGATTGGGTTGGGTACAGTGGCAGTTTCTGATTCGTACGGCTCCAAGATGAGCAGGAAGCCTGTCTCGTATGTTGCGACCAGAGTCGCGAAACTGGCGACTTCTTGTAGTGGTTGGTAGTCCTCGATATTTTGGAGTTCAAGTGTTCGTACCAAAGATGTCAGACGCTCCGCACAGAATCGTAGAGGTTTTCGCTCAATGAAGGTTAACTCCTTGAGATGCTGCAAGAATGATGGCGGTGTCTCCGAGATGACGTGCAGAACTTTCATGCGAGTCTTCAAGTATTCGACAAAACGTTTGAGGAAGGCAACGAAGTGCTCTGCTCTTCTGATGTTGCCCGGTACAGCTTCGCTCAGCAAATCGTCTGGAAGGGCTGGGTTCCTCATGAAGGCACCCTCGTCGTTCGCCTCGTCTGCATCTCGCAGGCCCTGTACCAGTTTTGCGTATTCGTTCTGTAGTTTTGCTGCATCCGTAGTTTTCATCTCGCGGATCTTTTGCTCCAAATTGGCAGCGCCTCTTCCTGCTTTCCGTAATGAGTCTTCAGTAATGTCGATACTCAGCGACTCAATGCAAACATTGTCGATGTTGTGAGCTTCATCGAAAACAACAATACAATCTTTTGAGAGTTCTTTTGACACTCTTTCGGCAATCTTTGGATCTAGCAGATAATGATATGAGTAGATGACGACATTGCAGAAAGGCATCTGGAACTTCGTTAGCAACTGAATCTCTGTGAGACACGATCAAGCAACGTACCATTCGTCGAACTGTGAAATAGGGACACTGCTTTTGCTCTTCGCCGTATTTTAGCACATCGTCGAATGTGAAAACACCCGGAGGTATCAGGTTATGTGGCTCCAAAAGATCCAGATTCTGAAAAGATTAGCAGGTACATTTAACCAGGACGCGTACATCCATACCTCGTGATAGACGCAGAGTTCCACATCTTCACCCTTCTCCTTCTTCTCCTTGACAAATCCTGCTGTGAGTGAACGACATCTGGCATCGACAATAGCACCACTCTTTTCTCTCTTCACTGAAGGGTGCAAGCAGAGGTTCTTGCGTGAAGTGAGGCCCAGTCCACGGAAATCTTCGACATGGCCGAGTTGTTCGGATCGATAGTTCATCAGGGCCTTCAGCTCTGCAAGTGCCTTTTCAATCTCAGACATTGTACCTGATTATATCAGATACTGAGGTATGCAAGGTTGATACAACTCACGTGAGCAGTAAATAAGTTTGCGATGCTCTGGATAATGTTGTTGATATGCCACGATGAGAGACAGCAATGTGACAGTCTTTCCGGTTCCCGAAGGCATCTCCAGGACACAGTGGCCTCCTGCATCCAGAGTGCCTGTGTACAGTGTAAGTGGTCCGTCTCATAGAGTTTGCATATCACAGTGCATACGTTTGAGATCGCACATGTATCTTTTGCAACATATTAGTGGCGATGGTATGATTAAGACAGAAGCTCGGCTTACGCATATTGTTCTGTTTACACAGTCAGTGATTTTGATTAATGGTTTTGCCGCCGATTAACTCACCTGGATAGATCCTGGGGTAGGGGAAGAGAATGGGAAGGTCACTGAAGACTAGTCAGCGGGAGTCCGGGAGAGTGAATGGTGTTACCCACTCGATCAGGAACTTCATTATGGCGGAGTATGCCTCTCTTTGAGGCTGAGAGGTACAGTTGAAGATGGAGGTAGCAGTTTGTATGGCTGACCAAACAGATGAACGAAGGGCTGGCTGAAAGGAGCTAGTCCCAGCGCGAAGCACGGGCCGGTAGGCTAAACGTGAGTGACGTAGATGGATGATTGCTCGAGAGACTTCTGCGTCAGTGAGTCGCGAACTTTTGGTGGCAGAAGCAACTACGACTCATAGTCTTGCCGTGTACTTTTACTACTTTTCTAGTTCCTCGTGATATCACTTGCTCCTACATTCTAATCTCATCGCCGCAGTTTGGACTGTCAGTCTCGAGGCGACATGAAGAAGGCATTCAGGCCTCAAGCAAGCAGCGCGCGCTCCTTTGGAGGCAGCGGCTTTGGTGGGGGTTTTGGTGTATCTTCATCGCCGCTATCCTGGATTGGCGAGCCTCCGGATCTCTCAAACATCTCGGACCCCAATGTAGGAGTCGCATTCAAGAACTTGACCAAGAAGGACAGCACAACAAAGGCAAAGGCTCTTGAGGAACTCCTAGCCTATGTCTCTGCGCCCGGGCAACAGATCGAGGAGCCAGTTTTGGAAGCATGGGTACGTCTCTCTGCTGCGTAGAAGTGAAGTCTGCCTACTGACCGTGCTGCACAGGTCAAACTGTATCCGCGTCTTTCGATAGACAGTGCCCGTCGCGTGCGTCAACTAGCACACAATGTCCTTGGCCATATCGCAACCAAGAGCGGAAAGAGAATGGTGAAACACATGTCCAGAATAGCCGGACCATGGCTGGCTGGTGCGCAAGACAGTGACCGCGCTGCATCAAGAGCTGCTCAGGACGCGCTGAAGCTGGTCTTCAACTCTCCTGAGAAACTGCAGAACCTCAGCAAGGCATTCCAACAGCCGATCCTCGAACATTGCAGAGACGCCCTTCTGAACGAGACCATCCAAACTTTGAGTGACGAACGAAGCGTCAGTCCCGCCGATGCCCAAGCCACCTACTCACGAGTCGTCGCCACGAGCATTGCCGTCATCTCAAATCTTCTCACAGATCTCGCGCCAGAAGAGGTTGCCAAGCAACAGGAAACATATGAGGGAATCATCGGTCAGAGCAACATCTGGAACTTGGCCTCTTACAAGGAAGATGTCGTCGTCAGGAGGTTCATCCATCGCTTCTTGCGCACTTGTCTGGCCAAGCAGAAGGCCGCGGTCGAGGCAAACCTCTCGACCATTAGCGAAGCTTATATCTCAAAGGCCCTTCCCCACGACCAGACTGGATCCTCTTATGACTTCATGCTGGCGCTGGTAGAACTTACGGATGCTCTTCCGCGAGCCTGGACCACAAGCTACACATCCAAGAAGCCTGCAGGCACAAGATTGAGAGGCTGCATTAAGCGCGGCTCCCAGGCTGGACCCGCTGATTTCTGGACCAATGCTTGGCTCCTGTTTAGCAAACTGCCCGCTGAGATCTTGCCCCAAAAATACTCAGAAGCTGAGGAACTGTTGACGGCAGTACATGACGGTGTCTGTCAAAAAGACGATCGCTTCAATGCATCCGCAGCTTGGTTCACCTATTTCAAAGTCCTGGATCTGGTCCAGAATACTGCATCCTTGTCTGACGACGAGCATGAAACTTTGTTGAGTAAGATGGCCATACCAGCCATCGAGCAGTACCTACGACCATCACCTAGCACTGCAAACTGGCAGATCTCAGGTGCTAAGCCTGCTTGGAACGTCTCAAAGGCTGCATTCTGCAAGCGCTTGCCATCCGTGTTGGAGAAAAAGTGGCCCGAGTATGCTGCTCTCTTGGTCGAGGACATCCGAACATCGCTTCCGGAACAAGCCAAAGACTTTGAGAAGTCGCAGGCACATGTTGCTTCTGCTGCAGAAAGATGGGCGCTCCTCCAGTCAGAGCTCCTTCGTGACGAGTACCAGCTTTCGGAAGCCCTACGAACCATCTTCTCTCAATCTGCAAAGGATGTTGTCAATGCGTCTCTCGAAGCGCTCAGAAATCGCAATGGAAAGCCGTATGGCGCCGCTGCAGCGATTGATGAGCTACAGAACCATTGCAAAACTCTGCTTGAAGAAGACCGGGAAACACAAGACATCGTTGCAACTTTTGTTGTACAAGACCTGCCTGGGTTACTGTCGTCCCCTTCCCAGAAACAACTCGTCTCTTTGCTCTATCACTTCCAGACTGATTCTAGATTCGGAGAGGCATGGAACAAGGCTGCAACAGCTCTCGGCAACAGCCAGGATTCTGACGAGAAGCTCAATGCTTTCCGTGACTTGCTCGCCTCACCGAGAGTTAAGCCCGCTGCAGAGCTTGCTGCTCAGAACGGTGAAATTCAGGCCTTCTTACAACGCCAATTCAAGTCTAGCTTAGATACGGGGGCGCAATGGAGCTTCATCTCCAGTATTATCAAGGGCACACCCAGTGTGGCTTCTACTGAGACTGTTGATAGTATGCTGGCCGATCTCACGACTTCGCTGTCGATATTCGGCAAGGCGAACTCTGCTCTGGACGGTCTACAAGAGATCACTAAAAGCAACAAGACTCTCGTCAAAGAGCACATCAAGAAGCCCAGCGGATCACAGCTTTTGCCTAACCTTTTGTTATTGGAAGAGTCTACCGACGAAAGTCTGGCAGCCAAAGCTTCTAGCATCAGCAAGGGTATTGTCACAGAGGCCGATAAGTCTGGTTCTCAAACAATTCTTTTTGATGTCGTCCACCAAAGTCTGAGGGACGTGTCGTCGAGCTCACTGCCAATGCCGCAAGTTCTTGACATGGCTGCTAGTCTCGTCAAGGATGGCGACGTTGATCAGAAGAAGCAAGAAGTTGCCAAGCAAGCTCTGCCCGATCTGGCGGCCTGGAACGCCGCCATCGCGCCTTTCATCGGAACCGCACCTCCAATCGCTCTTGCCATTACCAGTGTTTTGGGAGGAGCAACATACCTCGTAGACCCTGAATCTAGATCCGATGTCTCTAAGATCTCGAGAGACGCCGATGGCCTATCACAAGCTTTGCGCTTCGCCATGTACACCTCGAGAATCTACTCCTCCAGAGCTCTGCTTCAGGCATTAGAGCCCTCGACGCAGACAGAACTGTTTCGGCTCTTCTATCTGACCCATATCCTGCTCACCGAGAGTGTTTCTCTTAAAGCTCAAAATGGCTTGGCTTCATCGAACCCCGAGACCGAGGCTGAGATTGTCGAGTTCATCAATGAAGCCAACAAGCTCATTGGAGATTGCTTCCAACAATACGAGGACGCCTCTGACGCATCATATGCCTTCGTCGGTACAATTGTTGACGACTTTTTCGAGAAGTCCAAGGGCAGCAGTACATCAGCATTCTACCACGCTCAAGCATTAAGTCATGCACTCAGTGACCTTGAGTCTATTCATGGTGGCGGTCACGCCAAAATTCAAGAATACGAAGACAAGACGGTGCAGCTTTACAAGGCCAAGGAAGTCGTTCCCTTCACAGCTTGCGCCAACGGTTTGAAGGAAGCTTTGTCTGATAGCAAGAAACTCGACAGACAGACTAACGAGCTGGTTGCCGATCTCACTGGCTTGGACGCCCTTCACAACCCAGAAAAAGCAATTACTCAACTCGTCATGCTCAATGCTTTGTTTTCTGCTAGCAAGCAAGCTGACAGTGTTGTTGCGAAACAGCGTCTCATCTTCTTGATGAAGCACATCTTGCCCTGGCTCGACAATGATGAGATAGTCACACCTATCAAGGTTGAGACATGTAAAACGTTGCTCTCTGTTCTCCCTGGTGTCAGCGACATCTACGGCGAGCACTGGTCACAGGTTCTGGCATTCATGACTTACACATGGGAGCTAGGCTTCGTTCGTGATGAGATTGCTGACGAGAGTCGCATGGCTTTGGTCTACACCTCTCTTCAACTCTCCTCTACTCTCCGTAGTCTCAAGTCGGGCGAAGAGCCTAACGACGATCTTGTTGACGCCTGGAAGGATAGCTCTGAGGTGGCCTATATGGGGCTGATGAACCTTGTTAGACAAGGTCAAGGTCAGTCTGATGAGCACCATGAGCCCCTAAAGATGCTTTTTCAAGCTTTGGGCATTGAGGTTGCTCAATGGTCGACTGGCCAGGTCGAGGACGAAGCAGAGTTATATCCTCTTCTCTACACTCCTTCGGAGGCCTTGCAGAAGACGGCATTCGATATTCTACATCGTGTTATTCCCGCAGCACAGGAGAAAGTCTCGTTCGACGCAGCGCTTGAAAAGAAAGCAGCGAAGTTGCCTGAGGAGCTGTTGTCACTGCTACTTGCGCCACCCACCTTGGACAGTTTGGCAGATGCATCTTTCCGAACAGGTATCCCTCAAGAGTTGCAAGCATACCTTTACGGTTGGCAACTCGTCTTCGATCACTTTGTCAACTCGAGTTACCAGGTCAAGTCTGATTATGTCGAGGCTCTCCGCGAAGGTGAGTACCTTGGTCATCTGCTGGAGCTGACCTGGGAACTCTTGGGTCATGTACGCGGCCGTCCTATCGACGTGTCGAAGTATGACATTCGCCGCTATGACTATCTCGATCAACAAGGCGATTTCGAGGGTCTGAGCGCAGACAAGCGTATGCACTGGTTGTTGGCTCACTTGTACTACCAAGCCCTCATGCACGTGCCCTCGCTTACAAAGGGACAATTCTTGGCCATCAAGTCGCGACAGACTGGTTTGGCAGTAGAGAGCTGGACAGCAAAATACATCGCTCCACTCATCGTCTCTGCAACTTTGGACTCTGTTCAGCAGTGGGCAGATGCTGTCAAGACAGATCCTGAGTACGAAGGCTGGAGTGTCAAGGTCTCACCACGTAGTCGCGAGGTACAATTCTCGTACCTCGTTGACGAGCAGACTATGTCTATCGTCATTCGTCTGCCCGAGACTTACCCCCTGGCCAGCGCCAGGGTTGAGGGCCTCAACCGTGTTGCTGCCGACGAGCGTAAGTGGCAATCTTGGCTGCGCAACTGCCAAGGTGTCATTCAATTCAGTAATGGAAATCTCATCGATGGATTGACGACCTGGCGCCGCAACGTCACTGGCGCACTCAAAGGACAGTCAGAGTGTGCTATCTGCTACAGTATTATCTCTGGTGATAGACAGCTGCCGAGCAAGCGTTGCAGCACTTGCAAGAATCTGTTCCACAGTTCTTGTCTGTTCAAGTGGTTCAAGACGAGTAACGCAAGTACTTGTCCTCTTTGCAGAAACCCCTTCAACTATGGTTAATTAGGGTGGTTCAAAAAGTTGGGGAAAAAAAGAGAGATGATTGTATATAGAGATGGGAAATGATAATGAATGGACTTCGATGACTATCTGACCGAGAACTGGTTTTCTTCGTACTGAAACTCCATGAGCTCAGTGAAACTGTCCTCCTTGAAGCAGATTGTCGGTGGCAAACGAGATTATGGACGGATGTCAAGAGCAACGTATGTGTTTCAGTTGTGTATATATCAGCAGCTGGTCATGTTGTGCTTTCGGAACTCTTCAACCGACCCGGAGAATCAGTCCGGTGTAGGTATTGCAGCAGTGTCGTTGATTCGGTGACTTCCGACAAGGTTCCAGAGCCGTTCGGAGCGTCTTCACGGATAATCCGTTGCAAAGGAATCTCCGGTAGGTATCGGTATATCTATCTCGCGCTTGCAGTCTTGGAAGTCAACCCACATTTCTCAGAGCAAAGCAAGAAGCAAAATGACCATCGTACACATCGGTACGTGACTTCCGATACTTGTTTTCAACCCACTAATCTTGAACAGTCCTGTTCAAATTCCGTGCCGAAGTGACAAACGAGCACAAGGAGAAGTTTGTGACAGAGCTCAAGAAGCTCAAGTCGTTACCATGTGTCAAGGAGCAACGACTTGTGGTAGGCGGAGCATCGATAACAGATCCGATCGAGCGGAGCAAAGGTTTCCAATTCGCGTTGTTGAGCTTTCACGAGAACCGAGCTGCGCTTGAGGAATATCAGAAATCTAGCGAGCATCACTAGTAAGTCGTAACCACAGGATACTTGCTGAATATGTCTGACACTTAGTGTGAAGTGTTACGAGCACATATATGTTCCCCTACAAGGAGGACTTGATAAGATATGACTTTGAGGTTGATGAATCGGATGAACACCTGCTTGGTTTTCTACCTCTAGCCGCAGCGATAACAAAGTAACGATCTGGACGAGCAGAATGGAAGCATGACTCACAATCAAAGAGATTGGAGCTCAAATCACGTACGTCAGTTGTGTTGTGAGGGATTTGATGGAACCCACATGTAGAAAGACCGGCTGAGTTGCACTTTCGGCTGCAGCGACAAACCAAACGAAACTGTGGTCTTTCCGCTCGCAGCTCTACCAATATCATTGCAAGGAAAACATATGAGAATTTGAGTCGTGTCTCACCTTGGAAACATCACAGATGATTTTACTGGTGTTATGTGGTCATCATGCTTCGATTTAACCCCGCCGACGTTTGTGTGAATGGAACACATCGAAGATGCGGAGATTCCGAGGCTTCCAATCTTGACATCACAACATGAGCTCTCAAGCCACCACAGGCGACAGAGCCATGCGTCGACAGTCTCGGAGGTCTCAGCGTATACGTACAGCCTGTCTTCGCTGTCAACAGCGCAAGATACGCGTAAATATGTCATCGGTGCCTATGTGTTCCCATACTGACTATCTATGATAGTGCGACGCAGCATTACCGAAATGTACTTCGTGTGAAAAATCCGGTAAGGCATGCGAATACCAGGATGGCAGCCTCGTTGATCATCAGACAAGAGCGTAAGTCAGGCATATATATCGTGCTTATGTATGTGCAGCTGAACAAGTAAATCAGGCACTACATACAGCATCTCGAACACCGGGTGAGCTGGCTCGAGACCATCGTCAAGGACAGGTGCCCTGATGTAGATTTGTCGCACGAGCCTGATACCGGGGGCTCTGCCGTGCAAGACACCTCAATATCCGTCCCCAACGATGCATTCTCTCACATCGCTGATGACCACCATGAACTTGACATCGAGCTCGACAATCAAGATGTTCCGCAAGACACATCTATGGCTGCACACGAGGCAGGAACACGTAGTATAGAAGCACGTCGGGGCACCTCGAATAACGCGGATTCAAGCATAGCCCACCAGATAGGCCTCGTGTCGCTTCCCAACGGAGATGACCCGCGTTACATTGGGCCTTCAAGTGGTCACTTCTTCACGCAGCTAATTTGTACGGCCAGTGCATCGACGAAGAACACATCCTCCCTTCGTCTTGGCAGGGGAAATATGACTTTGCAACAAGACAGTTCCTTGGCCGAGAGACTCCTTCGCGGTGTCCAAACACCGCTCCCATCAAGCAAGAACTTGACGAGAGAACTGACCATGAGTTATTTCAAAACAATTCATCAGCACCTGCCGTTCCTACACGAACCATCCCACTTTGATCTGGTAGACGACATGTACGCCTCTACCGACCCCGATCCGGTCGCCGCTTTCCAAGTCTATATGGTACTCGCACTCTCATCCATCATGCTCTCACGTCGCGACAGAGCCGTGCTGCCAAGCGAAGGTTGGTATGCCAAGGCTATGTCGTTCTTCGAAGAGGCTCCACTTGAGAGCTCAACTAGAGGCTTACAATGCCTTTTGCTACTGTATGTCTGGGGTATGCATAGTCCAACGACGAAATTGAACATATGGTATCTCAATTATCAATGCATCGCTATGGTAGTGGATCTTGGTCTGCAGAGAGACATCACATCTTCTATGTCTATACCGCCACTCAAGCAAGAGATGAGAACGCGACTATTCTGGGTTGTTTACAGCTTGGATAGATCGCTGTGTACCATGATGGGTCGACCAATCGGACTTCGAGATGAAGCATGCGATCTGAGAGTAAGTTCTTCCCAATCTTTAAGTTACAATGGGCTGACTGCGGTCATATATAGCTTCCAGCGGATGTTAGTGATACAGACTTGTCTTCGACGAGCATGGTACAAAGATCATCTGGAGGGCCTCCTAGCCATATGAGCTATGCGATACACATGTTCAAGCTAGCCAAGCTCAACTCGGAGATGAAATACATCCTCCACAGCATCTCTCGTGATACGCCGACCTATGCTTACCCAGCGATTCGCTGCATGCAGACATGGCAAAGAGATATGGCAAGTCGTCTCGATCAGTGGGCAACTCACATACCACAGACGCCTGGTCCCAGGGACTATGTGGCCAAGCTTTGTGACATCCGTTACCACGTCTTGAAGACCCTTCTCCTGCGGCCAAGTCCGGGAATACCACATCCTGACTCGGAATGTTTGAAAGGCTGCTACAAGAGTGCTATGGCTGCCGTCAGACTCTACCACGAACTCTACGTCGACAACTTATTGGCCTTCAGCTGGACTTCATATCATTCTATCATGATGAGTACTGTCACAGTATTCTTTTGTATCTGGACCTGTCCGGCCGTCACCCAGGAAGCAAGAATAGATGAGCTCGTATCTGACCTACGCGCGGCGTCGAATATTCTCAGTGCTACAGGCGAACACTGGCCAGGAGCAAAGAGGAGCCGTGACATCTTGGACGAGTTGTCACATAGAACTATCAGTTGGATCATGGATCGTAGAAACCGGAGTGGCGGTGACACAGACCCGCATCTCGACACTATATCAGGCGGCGTGAATAATTCTGAATCCAACGCTCCGTTCAACGCGACAGCACATACAAACACTGCTGAGCTCGAAGCTTTGATGCAACAATACAGTCGCAACTGGACGCCAGGACTCGATCTTTCCCTATCGAATTTGGATACCGCATCGGACCCGAGCGCAGGATTTTGGATGGGGGACATGAACACAGACACATTTCTCCAGGATCTCTTTGATGGGCTGGCTCCTATGTCATTCTAGTACGTGTGACAACCCTGTGGATAGACATAGTTGAGCTGAGGTGAAACAACGTCGTGAGCTCGCCTCAGCACTCGAGTTTTGCAAGGGGTTTCTGGCCTAAGGTACTGTAAATTTTGCAAGATCATCACATGCGATGTCACGGAGACGGGTTCTGTCAACGTTGTATTGGGTACTTGTATCATGGTACGATAGAGACCGAGTGATTGGTCATCTATTGGGAAATGAGACTGTTCTGTAGAGGGACATACTTCCCCAATTTACCCATGTAGAAAAATATGAATGACGGCTCGCCCGGATATTCCGTAGAGCAAACAAGCTGAGCGGGGCGGCTGAGCCGAGAGGAGCCACCAATTTACTGCGCGAGGTGTCCATTAAATTGGCTGTCATCCTCCACCACCAGAACTCTCACCGAATTATCTGATTCATTCAGATCTTGACGTATACCTTTACCTACTCCTGCAGTAAACTACATTTGTATCTACGTTTGACGAACTCACCATGGCTGAATCGGAAGGGGCCCCCAAAATCTTGGTTTCTCATAACAACGCCCACACCTACGTCAAGGCCGTTCTACAAGCCAACAATGTATCTGCACAGGACGCTGCGACGATCGCTTCATGTCTTGTCGCCGCCGATCTTCGAGGCGTTGATACTCACGGTGTAAATCGTATCCCTTCCTACCTCGCCCGCATCCGCCAAGGCGTCCTGGATCCTACCGCTCAACCCACCATCGAGAACAAAACTCCTGTGGTCGCTCAAGTCGACGGAAAAAATGCTTTTGGATTTGTTGCTGCGAGATTGGGCATGCAAAGAGCAATTGAAATGGCGGAAGTGTACGGCATCGGAATGGTCAGTGTGAAGCATAGTAATCATTTCGGCATGAGTGCTTGGTTGGTCCAGCAAGCCCTCGATGCTGGAATGATGAGTCTGGTCTTCACGAATTCGTCACCTGCTTTGCCTGTTTGGGGTGGAAAGGAAAAACTGATGGGCGTTTCTCCGATTGCTTGCGGAGCCCCTAGCTCTGAGCACGATTTTATCCTAGACATGGCGCCTTCGGTGGCTGCTAGAGGGAAGATCTATAAAGCTAAGAGGAGAGGAGAGAAGATCCCAAGAGATTGGGCGTTAGACAAGGACGGAAACAGAACCGACGATCCGGCTGCTGCACTCGAGGGTGTCATGCTGCCCATGGGTGGGCCGAAAGGATCGGCTCTGTCCATCATGATGGACGTGTTCTCGGGAGTTCTGTCTGGGTCAGCATTTGCCGGGCATGTCACTAATCCTTATGATCCTTCGAAGCCTGCGGACGTAGGACACTTCCTTATCGCTCTGAAGCCTGACCTATTCCTCAGCTCTGACGACTTCAAGCAGAGAATGGAGTATCTGTACAATCGGGTGGTCGGTTCGGAGAAGATGGCAGGTGTAGACAGAATCTACTTCCCTGGCGAGATCGAGCAACTCATGGAGGCAGAAAGAAGAGAGTCTGGCATACCATATGTAGAAGCGGAGATTGAGGCCTTGAACGAGGAGGCGAGGAGAGTCGGCGCGCCAGAGTTGGTCACTGCGTGAAGCGTGAGAGCATGCAAATAGAAGAGATGACATATGGATATGAGAAGATAGCGAAAAGCAAACACTACTAACGCCGGCACACTATGAAACCAAAACTCCTGCAGTTTCTAATTACCACACTACTCAAAAGCAACCAATTTACTCTTCTTCAATATCAACTTTGCAAGCTCCATCAAACTGGGGCTGGTAAGCAACTCCAGGACCTGGACATTTGCATCTGCCTCTCTTGCAATCCAGTTGCGAACCTCAATGGCCGCAAGTGAGTCTAAACTGTACGATGCGACCGCGGCGGAAGGCTCCATCTCCTCGACTGACAACATCAAGACAGCTGCTAACTTTGTCACAAGAGCAGCGTACAGGAGTTCCAGTGCCCTCTCTTTGTCACTAGCGGTCTTCAATGCTTGGGGCAAAGGTACGTTGGCGCTACCACCCTCAGAAGTCTGCGATGCCGCCGCAGCGAGCAAGTTGCTAAACTTAGCATCATGGCACCAGAAAGGCTCCGAGCCAGGGTTGATCTTGAGTCCAGTGATGACATGGTTGTTGCTTGCAGTAATTTTGCCTGTAACAGCAGCAGTGAGCAAACCAAGAATCTCGCTCTCCTCAATCGTCTCGCCACCAAGGTTGCGCAAGACATCAGCCGCCCTTTCGCTATTGTCGGCTAGGTAACCGACGTCCGAAACCGCAGTAAGGTCAAGAGATGTGCCAGGCAACCCCTTTGCATTGCGGTGGGCCATGAAAGTGTCCAAGAAGACGTTGGCGGCTGCGTACGCGGCTTGCCCACGGTTACCAACAATACCAGCAACAGAAGACAAAGCAATGAAGAAGTCGAGCTCTGACGTGCCAAGGCTGTTGTGCAAATTGAGAGTACCAGCGACCTTGGGATTGACGACTGCATTGAAGTCATCAGTCGTCATCTGTTCATACAGAATATCCTTGAGCACCATAGCACCCTGGATGACGCCGCGGATTGGTCCTTCTTTCGCAAGCTCAGAAGTAAGAGCTTGGACCGAGTCGGCATTGGCAACATCGCAGGCGCGAACAGTCACCTTCGTTCCTGCTTTGGCAAGATCGCCAATGAGCTCTTCCAGTCTGGGTGTGATGTTTGCTCTTCTTGATGATAAGCAGATACGTTTGGCACCACGAGATGCCATCCATCTGGCGATGCTGCAACCAAGACCACCTGTACCTCCGATAATGAGATATGAAGCGTCTTCCTTGAACAAGCTTGCTGTCTTCTTGGGTGAGATGGCTTGAACAAGATCTCCGGGCTGAGGAGTGATGACCAGCTTGCCCATGCTCTTGCCGCTCTGGAGACTACGGAAAGCAGCTTCAACGTCATTGATACCGTAGCTTGTGATCGGACCAACTGGCTTGATACTTCCGCTGCTCATGAGCTTCTCCACATCATTCAAGAGTCTCTTCATGAGCTTGGGACGGAAGGCAGCCACCTTGGTTAAGTCAACGGACGCGAACGAAACGTTGTACTCGAATTGAGCCATCTCCAATCTGCTGTTCTTGGTGATATCAGCCTTGCCGATCTCGATGAAGCGACCGAAAGGAGCCAAGCAGTCCCAACTCTCACGCAAGAAGTCACCTCCAAGGGAGTTGAGCACAACATCGACACCTTGTCCACCAGTGACCTCGCGGATGGCGGGGCCGAAGGAAGTGTCACGACTGTAGAAGATGTGGTCTTCAGGAATACCATACTCCTTCATGATGTGCTGTTTCTTGTCGAGACTTCCGACAGTGGCGAAGATCTCAGCTCCACAAGTCTGGGCCAACATGATGGCAGCTTGACCGACACCACCAGCAGCAGCATGGATGAGAACGCTCTCGCCCTCGGTGAGACGCCCAAGATCGAAGAGGCCATAGTAAGCAGTGCAGAAGACGACAGGAATGGTGGAAGCAGCAGTGAAGTCCATCTTCTCCGGCAGAGGTGCCACACTGGTCGATAGACAGCGAGCATATGTACTGTATGCACCCTCTGTCATGGCCATGACAGATTGTCCGATCTTGACATCCGTCACATTCTTACCGACAGCCGCGATGATACCTGCACATTCGACCCCGATGTAAGGCTGGTTGAGTTGTCCCATGGAGACAACGACATCTTTGAAGTTCATACCGGTAGCCTTGACTTCAATCTCAACCTCGTTCTCGCCAAGTGGCTTGGGCTCGTCATCTACGAAGTAGAATGAGTCGAGAGAGCCGAGTGTTGCAATGACCATCTTCAGTCGACGGTCAGATTGAGCGAATGGTTGCTGATACACGACCGATTCTTGCGACTCCTGGTGAAGTCGTACGTTCAGTTCCTCGTCGTCGACCACCTTAGGTACCAACAGATCCTCGCCCTTCATGATGAACTCCTTGTCGTCCTTGAAATTCGATGTCGAGTCTGGTCCGGTCTTTGTGAGGACGTTGAAGACATGCTCAATAGCGGTCTTGTCAGTAGCCTCCTGCATTCCCAGGGTAATGATGTTGGCAGAAGTCTCTGAGCGGATGGCACGAGTGAAACCGACGACCATGCTGCCCTCTACATCAATGTCATTGGGACCTTCTTTGTACACCCAGAGGACTTTGCGAGCGGAGAGCAACATCTGACGCAGAGATTCGAACACAACAGGATTAATCTGACTCAGAATGTTCTCTGCGGTAGACACAAAGATGACTCGTTTGTCGGCTGCTGCGACCTTCGAGAGGGTCAAAACTTCAGCTTGGGTACCAGATGTCTTCCAGATAGTGTCGGCGATTTCAGTTGCCAAAGCCTTCTCGTTGGACTCGTTGTAAACAACACAGACAGCTTCATCCCTGTTGAACGGGGTGCTGACGAGAGAGTCGGCCTTGATTGGAGTATCAGACACATCAGATGTGGACCTCTCCAGCTCACTCTCTTCGTCTGACACAACTTTCCAATCAATCTTGTAGCAAAGCTCGCGGGCCTGAGGTCCAGAGTTGCTGCTCGATTCGCGAAGAGGAGTCATTGTCAGGCCTTCGAATTGAACTAGTGACTCATTGGCGTTAGCAGGATCTACCACAAAGAAGCCGAACTTTGTAGGCTCGGGAGCCCCTTTGTTAGGTGCACCTGAGCCATACACCTCAAGTTTGCTGCCGAGCTTGGTAGAGAAATTGCGAGAGATGCTGAAATTCTTGACGAATGTAGGCATATAGAGAGTGTCCAGCCCTTGACGACCAGCACCAAATATGGGCCAGACGATCTGGATGATCTGATCAAGAAGCGCGGGATGTACAATGAGATCGGTCTCATACCCTTTGGGCATCAACGACTTGGTGTCCGGGACAATGAGCTCAGCATGAGCGGTAGAGTCGCTAGCTTTGCAAGGTTCAAGACCGGTGAAGACTGGTCCGTACTCAGCACCGATAGCAGTAAGTGTCTCGTACATATCCTTAACATCAACAGTATCTGTGGATGCTTCAACGATGGCAGCCTTGCGAGTCTCGAACGCTTTTGTGGCACTCTGTGCTTTATGCGCATCAACAGAGTTGACAGCTGGGGAGCTTCGGACTCCGACAAGACCATGGCAGTGCTGGAGCCAACCACGCTTCGCGTCCCAAGAGCAAATCTTGAAATCATCCCACAGGTCAGAAGCTGCACCACGAAGTCCTTCACTGTACGGCTTGAGAGTGATGGTCATCTCAACGTCAGTGTCCTCATTAAGAACCAATGCGCTGCTTACAATGAACTCGCGAATGTCGAAGCGATCGAATTGGACACCACGAGCCTCCGCACGTCTGGCAGCAGCCTCAAGAGCCATACCTATGTAGCCTGCCATAGGGAAGACAGGCATGGACTGCATCTTGTGGCCACGGAGGAATGGCAAATCATCCAAGCGAACGATGTTCCTCCACGTAGGCTCAAGGTCGTTAGACCAATCAGCCAATGATCCCAGGATATCATTGCGTGTACCCTGCTTGAAGCAATGCTTCTGAGCGAGCCTAGACTCGTGCCAATATCTGGTCTCGTGGTTGAAAGGATATCTCGGAAGGTCTGTAATGAGCTTCTGATTGATACTCTTAGTGCGAGGGAAGTTGATCTCGCCGAATGTCAATGGTAGACCTTTCATGTAGAGAGCACCTGCCATTCGCAGAGCAGTTTCGCAAGCGTTCTGGTTTCTTGCAAGAACAGAGACATACTGCATCTTGCCCTTTGCAGCATCGATGGTGGCTAATGTATCTCTGATGGGACCTTGAAGAGCCGAGTGAGGGCCGAGCTCGACCAGGTGATCGATGACCTTAGACCCGGTCTCCTTTGCCATAGCACTAAGAGCATCAGAGAATCTGACAGGCGAGGTCAGATTCTGAACCCAGTAGTCAGGAGTGAGTTCAGAGGGCTCGGCAACTCGTCCAAGCAAAGATGAGTAGAAAGTGGCAGTAGCCGTAGTGGCTGGCTGAATATTCTTAATCAAGTCAAGGTACTCGTCGGCAACCGGCTCGAGATGTGCGGAGTGATACGCGACTCCAACCTTGAGCTGTCTATTGAAGATACTCTTCTCTGTCAGGATAGGCTGAAGCTCCTCAACAGCCTCGATATCACCAGACAGAGTGACTGAAGAAGGACTGTTGATGCAGGCGACAGTGACATAGCCCTTGGTGACATTCTCAAGATAGGGCCGTACATTTTCAACGCTGGCGCCGACAGCCATCATTGTACCTTGTGGCCTGCCTGCAGACTTTTTCTTGAGACTAAGCATGCATTGACCTCTGTAGTAAGCGATCTTCATCGCATCCTCAAGACCAATGATGCCAGCAGCGAATGCACAGCCAATCTCGCCTGATGAATGGCCGACTACAGCGGACGGGTGTACACCCCATGAGCTGAGAAGCATAGTGAGAGCAATCTGCAAAGCTGTACAGGCAGGCTGACTGATGTGAGCAGCATTGATGAGGGATGAATCAGCGGGCTTCGCCATCTCTTCCTTCAGAGAGAAGTCTGCTCCGACAGCCTTCAGGGTATTGTCAGCTGCATCCAGTGCAGTTGCAAAGATGGGATAGTCGCGAGCCAGCTCAGCGCCCATGGCAGCCCATTGGGCACCCTGCCCGGTAAATACGAAGCCCAGAGTAGGTTCATTGCGAGCTCTGAAAGTGGGAACCTTCGCTGTTGCAAGGCCATGACCCAAATCATCCGAAGAAGTTGCCGGAATAGCAAGTCGGCAGGGCAAGTGAGAACGTCTCTCACCGAGAGTGTAGGCTACGTTGCCTGCAAGTAGTTTCTCGAAGACTTCTGGTCGCTGCTCAAGGAAGATGCCAAGGTCGGTGATCTTTTTCTGCAATGCTGCAGAGTCATGTGCAGACAAAACGAACAACTTGCACAGTGGGTCCTGTGGTGCCTCATCCAAAGAGGCGACTGTGGCCATGGTGGTTTTGAGCCCTTTGGGCGCGGCACCCAAGACAACATGAGCGTTAGCTCCACCAAAGCCATAATTGGATACCGAGACATATTTCTTGCCTCGTGGCCATGGTCTGGTAGCGGTCGGGACCTGGACATCGTTAGTAAGGTGATCGTGTTTGTGTCGATCGTGAACACAATGGCGATCAAGCGTTGCGTACCTTCATATTGTACTGATCAAGCGGAATGCTGGGATTCGGCTTCTCGAAGTTCGCGTTAGGCAAGAGCATACCCTTTTCCAGCATCATGGCAGCTTTGATGACCGCAACGATACCGCTGGCACCCTCAAGATGGCCGACATTACTCTTCACTGAGCCGATAAAAAGTGGATTTCTGGGACTACGACCAGCACCTAGTGCTTCGTGTATGCCAGCAACTTCGATAGGATCGCCGACCTTGGTGCCGGTACCGTGACATTCGCTGAAACCGCACTCGGCAGGATCAAGTCCTGCCTTCGCATACACCTGTGTGATTAAGTCTGATTGAGCAGTGCCGTTGGGGACCGTGATTCCGTTTGTTTTTCCATCCTGGTTGCAACCTGACCCGTGGATGACGGCACGGATAATGTCGCCGTCACGAATGGCAGCGTCAAGTGGCTTCAAAATAATTGAACCTGCACCTTCACCACGCGCAAATCCAGAGATTGCTCGATGATCAAAGGCGAATGTCTTACCAGCATCGTTTAGCAACCTATGCATTGTTAGTTTGATCACGAAGCATTGGTGCAGACAACATACTGTGTGTTTGACATCGTCACAAAGAAGTCTGGCGTTAAATTGAGGTGAGCTGCAGCGACCACAGCAGAGGAAGACTCTCCACTACGCAGACTCTGCATGGCGCTGTGTAGTGCCACTAGAGAGGATGAGCATGCTGTGTCGATGGTCATACTGGGACCTCGAAGATCAAAGTAGTATGAGAGACGATTGGACTGCATAGCAGGTGCACAGCCAGTTGCTTGATATGTTGGAGCGGTATCAATGTCTCTAGTGTTGTTGACTTCGTAGTCTGCGAAGGAGCCACCAGCAAAGACACCGATATCTTTACCAGCAACCCCTTCTTTGGTCATGCCAGCACTCTCGAAAGCTTCGAAAGTGCACTCAAGGAGCAGGCGTTGTTGAGGGTCAAGTGCGGTAGCTTCTTGGACTGTCATGTTGAAGAAAGGGGCATCAAATTTAGCGGGATCTTCTTGAAGGAAGTAACCTCCCTCTGTATTAGTACAGCCATGCTTTCCAGGTGCTGGATGGTAGTATGCATCTTTGGAGTAGCGTGTAGAAGGGGTAGGTCCCCAGCCCGTACGTCCTCGTGAGCACAACTCCCAGAGGTCTTCTGGAGATGATACGTCTCCAGGCAATCGGCATGCATATCCGATGATAGCAACAGGTGTGACGGTGGATGATGCCATGTTGTGTAGAAAATGTTAAGAACTATTTGTGAAGCTGTATGAAAGAGTGGAGGCTGTGATATGAATATGAGAGATTCACCAGGAGAGCTGGGATTGTCGACTCTTTATCATATCTGGACAACCTCTGTCCTTGTAAGCTCGCAGTGGAGCACATTTAATCTTCGGTGAGGGACTTCCCATGCGATGGAGCGTTGACAGACGGAAGAGATGTGCAAGGGTCTCTTCTTGCAGGCCACGATACGGCCGTTCATGTTGAGACCTCCCTAGTGTATGTATGATCCACCAAGGTCATTTCTGCTATCGATCAACTGCCATTAGAGACTGACTCGAAGACGAATTGTCGTTTATGTTGATTGGCTCCTCAATCCTTTCGCCAGATACGGACACAAGGGAAGGCTAGTAATGGACCAATAGGGCTCTATCTTGCGCTCCATGCAGTAACTTCAACGTTGATACGGAGCTATTTAGTAACAGAACAAGGCAGTTGTGACTATACCAGCTGCGCACTGGTATGTCTGATTCTTTCGGCCGAGTGGGGTTTCTTCGACGGTAGCTAGAGACATGTCGGAATCAGGGACGAATCCAACGAAGCATGGCAACATGTGTCGCGACCGCGGATTTAGGCTGGAAGGGCCTGTAAGCTTTTGTTTAGCAGATAGCTACACGAACATGCATCGCCGCTCTGCAGATCACCAGCCAAGGGATGCTGATCGCTGGTGACTATCGAGAAAGAAAGCTTTGACATGTGGGAGCAAGTGTTCAGGGTCGACAACGCGCGGAGATCAGGAAAGATGAGTCGACAACCGGAGAAACGGCGGCTCTATGAGACAGACCACTTTGGGAACAGTGCTCGCACGGCTGTCGGATCTACCCACATCTTCAACCAATCGGCGGGGTATGCCATTGTGCAATTTTAACTTCAACTATCGCCTATATGGATGGCGATATACTGAGTACGTACGTAGAGTGGAGATCAACTGGCAATGAGCATGCTTTGACGAGACATCATTGATAGACACTACCCTGAGTAATTTTTGTTATCTACCTTTCCCAACCATGTTCAGTCAGTATCTTCGAAAGTGGAGCTCTTGCTAATCATCCATGTGTCTCATCCTTCTCAATGGATAACGGCCGGAAGGAGCAAGTCTGAGCGTTCCCAGTAGGGTATAGTCTGGAGGTTGATTAAGCACAAGTCGCCGGACATATTGTGTAGTTCTTTCGACCATTTCTGGTGAGATCGATTTATCATTCTACCTCCCATCTGCTACACAATCATCAGCAATAGCAGAAATGAAGTTCTTATGCTTACACGGAGCCTATGGCAACATTACCGTGGGTTTTATATCTTGATGGAGAGTTTTGTACATCTCTGACACTGCAATAGGCTGCACGAGTCCAGCTGGGTCCGATGGCTGACCTCGTTGAGGCTGATGGGACAGCCTCATTCAAATTCATCCAGGGCCGAGTGCCAGTGACACCGCCCCCTGGTAAGCTTACCTTGTCGCTTTCGTAGACAGGATCTAACGACCTTATAGGCTTCGAGTCATATTTTGGCCCAGGACCACACTTCCGCTTCTTGAGAGACAGAGGTGAAGCCGAAGCATCAGCCATGGAGGGAATCCGAGTGTTTCCAGAAGCGGACACTCCAGAGGATGCCCTTCGTGCACTCATGCCTGCCGGAGATGCAAGGATTGGATACGTCGGAGCTAGGGAAGATTGTCTGGCACAACTCTATGAAGAGCTCGACGCCGACCCTGAGATCTGCGGAATCGTAGGCTACAGTGAAGGTGCATCTGCCGCAGCGACACTCATCTATGATGAGCAGGAGAGAATGCGAAACGAAGGATACGTTCCAAGAATCAAGGCCGCGGTTTTTTTCATGGGATGGCCCGCACTTACAGGCGAGAGCTTGCCTGCCTTGTCGGACGAGATAGACGATCTGCTTGAAGTACACTCTCTGCATGTCGTCGGTGCTAATGGTAAGTCAACCCAGCCGCTCGGTGTCTATACTGTCGACTGACATTCGCAGATCCTTACAAGGACGGCGCACTTGCGCTGTACAATCTCTTCGATGATAACATGGCCATCTTCTTTGACAGTGCCGGCGGCCACACCATTCCCCGACACGGCAAGATGCTGCAAGAGTTGGGACAAGCTGTGAAGGACTTGGTCGTGACTGTACAAGATGATGCTTCAATTGATCTTCCACAGCCGAAGATAGCCAGACGACTCGACTCGGCTGTAGATATCCCTACATTGCGTGGGCTGAAGCTGTCCGAGGCGTAGAGTTGGATGGTAATAAAACGTTATGCAGCTCAGGTCTCTAAGACTCCTAAATGATATCATGTCCATCTGTGTTCTGGCAATCGTATTTTCCAAGTTTCCGAGCACTTTGCGAGTAGTCTTAAGAAACGATTCTAACAAGCGGATACGCTGCTAAGAATTCCAGTGTTCTTCGAGGAGTCCCTTCCAGACGTGAAGTCAGTACTTTTGTCCACGTACGATAACAGCAAACGTTTATATAGATGCGTGGCGCGTAGAAAGAGGCGGACGGGAACATACTCCGCAAAGCTATCCTGTACGTGGCAGTGATAGGTGCTGTTCACAATTCACGCGGTGTTTCTGCTGTGGAAGACACAGAGCCGGTCTGGCACTCTGTAGCAAATCAGGTGTGATAGCCAGCGATTTTCTGCCTTGCCTTTCGCTTTGCTCTAGGCAATGTCGCATCGTTTACTGGTGAGTCGCCAGTATGAAGAGACGTGGTTTGCAAAGGTCTCGGTTCCTTCGGTCTGATGCCGGTACCGACTGAGTGTACCAGACTCCGTTGGTTACCAGAGCGCGAGCTGGCAGGCTCGACGGTCAGTGTTCTGCTGCTCGCTTCCGCCAACTAGGTGATTGACTCCCGTCCGCCATCATCCAACAATGAAAACAATGAAGACTCTGTCAGTATGAGCTCATGAAGTAAATACTGTGCCTGAGAGGATGGCAATGCGACAATACCCTCATCCCTAGCAGAAACCATGATGATAGTCTTGGGTACGATAACGTACGTACGAGCGCATCTTCGAAAGGTGTGCGGATACGACAAGCGGCATGAGCCAGCGTCGAAGCGAATAATCATCTCGACTCGCGGAGCTACGCAGGAGACGCGAAGATCTTGGACTCGCGGTCACTGCGTAGAGCGAAGGGTAGTGTTCGCCGCAGCGAGTGCGAGCGAGTGATGCACATCGTAACCATGGTACCCGCGCATGGTCGAGTGGTAGTCTAACACGAGTGCTCGTTGACAGAAGCGATGACTCTGGCGATGATGGTGTGGTCACGTTTGTGATCATGATCAGGAGCCTGGTACATTCTTGGGACGCGCGCGGCTGTTTTAGCGCGAGATCGGCCAACCTCAGTTTGGCAGTTTAAGGTCCGAAGCACAACTGCTGTGCGGTTCACGCTCACGGTGTTGCAACACCTGTATATCACAAGCAAGACGCAACAGAGTACGTTTTCGTGTAACCGTTAGGAGCTTCTTCGGATGCTATCTCGGTCATGTCTCTGGTCATACAAACACGTGATTTTGAAGCACTGGTATGATGTTTCAAATGGGGTGCGTCGGGACTCGTGTCTCCAGTGCCATGTTCTGCCTGATGAATCTACAGTCCCGGCCTGACCACAAATTATCACGAATTTGGACAGAAAGATGAAGCTTTACAGCACATGATTATACAACTACCTAGTTCTAAGACTTCAGATGCTCTGATCGCCAATGTTCGCTCTGATATCGCCGTCGCTGGCATCGTGAGATGACGATCAGGGTGGTCCCGGCGGCGACTGTGCCTTCCAACCAGATTAGATCAAGCGCTTTGATTGGCTAGAACACGGCACACGCGCGTGACGCGATCAGACTCCTAAGCAGCCATCTCACTCTCGATTTACGCGACCATCTACATTCGATCTCGTGTGACCTCATTGTTGACGTAGCTTGCTCCCCGTGTACGAAATTACTGTCACACATGTAGCTGCCTCAGGGCACTGTACTTTTTCGACCTGGAGCCATGTCATCGAGACACTTCGCGTCATCGACTCTCTGCGCTAGATTCGCCGATATGCAACATGACTGTGTCTTTCTACAGCTCGTTGTTGCTCTAATCCGATCATTGAGGAGAGAGGGGGTCACTGTATTCTGCACACCGGGAGGTCACAATTCAAGGAAGTAGGCAATATGACGAAACGATGAGCAGCAGACCAAACTATTACAAGGTTATCTACAGCGCGTATCTGTAATCAGGATGATAGTCGCCATCCTTTCCAGCACTGATTAAACGCTTTCGCTCCTTCTCGCTCATGGCATCTCTCTTCTTGTTCTGATGTCTCATGTATGCCCACAACGCCACATGACCCAGTAGCGCCAGAAGGACCGCTCCTAAGGAGACACTCAACCCAGTCACGTACTTTCCATTGACCCGTTTCGCAAAAATCTGGCCGACAACAACACCTGCGCTGTTTCCGAAGGCTTGGTTGGTTCCTACTGCAGTGGCACGCTTGTGGTAGCCGGCATGACTGTTCAGCAACCATGCTGCGTTCAAACCAACAATGATGTAGATGCCGGGTGCGATGAGGAAGATGGAGAAATACAAAGCTCCTCGCTGCGCTTGAGGGACTCCAAGCTGGACTGCATACCCGACTGCTGTCAGCAGAGCACCGGGAACCATGAAGAAAGCTCTCTTCTGAAATCTGTCCGAACTCCACGAGACAAGCATGTACGCAATTGAAGCCCAGATGTAGACTGGCACAGTGAGAAGCTGTGTCTCTACAGTGCCGTAGCCAAAACCGCGGATGATGGTAGGCATGAAAGTGCTCAAGCCAAATGAACAAATGTCGGCCATGAACTGACACCAGCAAGAGATGTAGAGCTTGGGATCGCGGAAAGCCTTCCGGACCTCCTTCCAGTCAAATTCAGGAGCTCCGTTGTACCTGGCGTTCATGGCCATTCGCGCACGCATTAGCTCCTTGTCCTCGGCGGAAAGGAATCTGGCTGTCTCGAAATCATTGGGAAGAAGGAAATAAACAACGAATGCAACAAGCACGCTGAGGCAGCCTTCCACGATGAAAAGCCATCTCCATCCTTCAAGACCTTGGACGCCATCCATCTTGAGTAGGGCGAAAGCGAAGAGACCACCGAAAGCACCACTTAGAGCGGCACTTACGAAAAGATAGGAGATTCTCAATGCCTGTTCCTGTGGCATATAGAAGGTGCTCAAGTAAAGGGCGAGGCAAGGGAACATGGCCGATTCGAAAAGTCCGAGCAAGAGTCGTGAAGCGTATAACTGCTGAGCGTTGTGCATGAAACCTGTGCCGATCAGGACTACTGACCAGCAGAACACCAGTGCTGGTATCATCCTGTTGGGTCGTAACTTCTTCATCAGGATTGTCGACGGGATCTCGCCAGCGACGTAGAAGACGTAGAACAATGTTACAGCGTCTGTGAGTTAGTTAGTAAAGCCTATGGAGATTGTCGCTATGTATACTAACTTCCATACTGATTTCCGATCAGACCCAGATCCTTACCCATACCAGCAGCTTGAGCATTACCGATATTGGAACGATCCAGATAAGCACAAAGAAAGATGAGTGTGATAATCGGCGCGAGGTAGAGATCCAACTTGAGCAAGAGTTTCTTTTGCGCTTTCGAGTCGATATGTGTTGATTCGCCGAGGGCGCCATCAATACTACCCTCGACGGCAGAGATGTCTTGGAATGCCTTTGGCTTGTTATCGAGATCCATTATGATAGAAGTCTGCTGATTGTGTTTGACAGAAAGTTGAGGATGAACATGGTGTCCGGCACGGATCGACCACGCAATATATGCTCCATCTTCAATTGGTGAAGAGCGGTACTGGTCTTTGTGTAGCCATTGTTATCGGAATCTTGTTCATGAGTCGAGTCTTGCCCAACGGTCGGACATGATAGCAAGTCGGTTTCAATTGGTTTGCCTGGCCGATGGTCGCCGTAGCGTCGGCCAAGGGACTACGAGTTACCATGCCAAGCGCCGTAGCGCCATATCTTCGGGCAAGCTACGCCAAAGGTGCTATTCAGGCCATTGGTCACAGTTGAGGTGTGTGATAGGTAGAAGGTGAGATAGGATGCGGAGATGAGGAGACATACTGATTAATTGCTCGGCTAGCGTAACATGACTCTCTCGGACCCATGATAAATGCTCAGCTTAGCCCCCAGCACGAGGAACACGATTACATGATCACTTCTTCATACAACTTGAATATGCTCTCCAAGACACCCGCGTCAGATTTCGAAGGACCTGTCTGGCACCGTTTCGTCAGGTTTATAGCTGACGATGGCCTTGAGTACTGCGGACAGCCAGAGAACGAGGATCTCGATGGTGAGCGTTTGAAAGAAGGCTTTGAGGAGGGTCAGAGTTACTGATCAAAACCGCAGTCGGTCTGGCCATGCTGGACAACATCCCAGTGGCGGTCAATCTACTCGACGCAAAATCGGCGCTCGATAGTGATGCCGACTTTACCGGAGAGCAGAAGCACATATCTAAGGTTGGTAAGATCCAAATCGAAAGATATTCTCGCTGATCAGAGTTACAGTTATTATCACCCATCAGCGTCGAGGAAGCTGGCGCAATTCAGTGCATTGGACTCAATTACACTGACCACGCTGTAAGGAATCTCGTGCTCGATGAGACGTGCAGCGCTAACTCCACACCAGGCGGAGATGAAAGTGCCTTCACCCACATATCCCGAGGTATTCCTCAAGCCGGCGACCACTATCACAACAGCTACGGCGCCAATCATCATTCCAAAGACATGCCATAATCAAGTCGATGGCGAAGTCGAGCTCGCAATCGTGATCGGAAAAGATTGCAAAGACTTGAGCCTCGACAACGCCATGGATAGTGTTCTTGGCTATACAGTTGCAAACGATGTGACTGCTCGCAAGTTTCAGGCACGGGGAAGCCAGTGGGGATTCAGCAAGGGTTTCGACACCTTCTGTCCGCTCGGTCCCGTGATTGTCAGCAAACACTCATTGCCTGATCCGAACGTGCTGCGGCTAAAGACAACCTTGAACGGAAAGGTGATGCAGGATGGATTGGCAAAGAACATGATCTTCAGCGTAGCGGAGATTCTGGCATATCTGTCAAGTGTAAGGATGAGCCCGAGACGTGCATGGGTGGAACACCGCAAGCTAACCACCATCCCAGGGACACACCTTGAAGAAAGGCACAGTGATATTGACAGGTACCCCCAGTGGTATCGGAGCGAGTTACAACCCACCCATCTATCTGCAGAGGGATTCGGATCTGAAGGCGTTCATCAGCCATGGCTTAGGTACCTTAGTAAACCCCATTGTGTAGAAAATAAGAGGAATTCACTCCCTCGGATCAAAATGTCAGGTGTTGTAGGCGGCGGAGTATTCGCTCAGATTATCGATCAAGCCTTCCCAATACCCAAAGTCCATGAGCTCTGGAAATTCGTTGAAGGACCATGGCTCTGTTCGGCCAGGGCCAAGATAGTCTCTCGATTCCCCAGAGTGAGTACTCATGGGATATGGTACGGCCTCGTGGCCCTGTGACACACTTGGAATACGCCCAACATCATCTGAGCTCAGGCTGGTCAACGGTCTCGAGTGTAGTGTTGTCGATGTACCTGATCGACGTGCTTGCTGAGTCCTTGCGATGCATAGTTCTACGACCCGTGCTTCCGCAAGCCCAAACTCGTTGGACCATGGATCATGATGTTGTTGATAGCAATATGACTGCAGATCATTCAGGATGCCCTCTGTTTGTCGAGCGTGAGGTGACTGGACCGCAATGATTCCTAGTATGAGTGCGCTGTTCGAAAGCTGATGTGCACCTACATGCGCTTTGATACGCTCGGCCATGCTTGGGTTATGCAAAGAGAGCTTATTCTGTAGATCTGCACATCCAGAGGAGATACAAGCTTCACGACTACGCTGAAAGCGATTCGTGATACTGGGCCGAAAGAGAAAAGCGCGATGCAAAGTGATCCGAGCGAAATGGAAAGCCGAGTGCAGGTAGCCACGGTGCCAAGCGAGGTACGCATGCTGGTTGTCCATACGTGTGTCAGGACTGAAGGCAAAATAGGATGGCAAATCTTCTTTCCAGAGCTGGAGGAGATCATCAAGCCGCAGAACCTCATCATAAGACGTTGATGGATTTGCAGTTGAAGCCGCGCAAAATTGCATGTCGTATATCTTCACAATGATCCGAGTGAGACGATGTTGGAATATAAGCAGAGCGCTCGGTGTAGGGCTCGTTTCCAGATCTAGCGGCTCAGCTAGAGTGGCTTCTTCGTTTGACAAATCGTCCACCCAGATGTTGTCCATCTCTCCGAATACGCAGTGCTTCTCGTTGATCGAATTTGGCCGCCCCAAAGCAAGAGCGATGCTGACATCGAGAAAGTAGAGCTGACCCCAAAGTCTGCGACGTGTTTCAACCACTTTCTTAGGAAGATGCAGATGGTCTCCATCGATATGCATGCCTTGAGCTTGAGCCATTCTGACCGCAAAGCTACCAGTGAGCCAAGACTCGGAGATACGTTTGGTATAGATCAGGTAGCGTGTAATGAGAATGCCCGCTCGGGTTAGGTCTGGGGATTCTCCATAGAAGGACGGTGCGACGACTAGACTCTTCCTCGCCGACCAGTAGAAGTGTAGTGAAGAGTCCTCACACTCGCGTTGTGCTTCGACGGAGCATGGTTGAGGACAAGCCAGAAGTTCCCCGAATGCAAGTATGATAAACAGCACTGAGAGCCATCGCAGATTGAGATTGGTCAGGTCATCACAACCCGCCTTGCGATCCCAGAATTCTTCATAGTGTCGCATGAAAGTCTCCTTATGCACTGCATCAAGTGTGACGTTCAGCTCGCCCAGAAAGAGTTGGACGAGTCTATCGACTACCGCTTTCCTCCGAGGTAGGCTTCCCAGGAGCTCCCAAAGTTGTGCGTATGGCCCACGCTCTGATCGAAATGGTTGTGTTGAGCCTCCTAGACGTGTTCGATGTGAGTAACCCACGCTGATGCCATCAGACAATGCCGAGCTCGAGTCTCCGATGAGAGCTGCAGCAGAGTGAGGACCGAAGTACGAGTGCCCGTAGTAGGACGGTGCATCTCGTATCCTGTATAGCCGTCCAGGCTGAGGAGTTTCATCCGGGTCATGGGACGAAGCATTCGTACTTCCCGAACCTCGAATCCGGGGAACCTGGGTCGAAAGTTCAAAGTCCGGTATACGAGAAGTTGTCGGTCGTTGTTGGAGTGGACTGCTGAGCCCAGCCACCCGATGCCGTCGTGGATCCGTCGGCCAAACACAATGATGCGGGATACCACGGCGTAGGCAATTGGAACAAGGCTGCTGTTTGTTGCACTTCTGCTTTTGCCTGTGACATTCCAAGCATGCCCTTCTAGATAGTACATTCCGCGGTATGACCTCTGAGACTCGAGTCGTCGGACTGTTGATTGGTGACTGCATCTACTGTCACGTAAAGTAGCAGAGTAGATTGCACATTGATCGGTCAATATCGGCGCTGAGATTCTAGGTTTGGGAATTGCTGATACCAGGCTCGGCCAAGGTCTTATCACTGATGGGCGATCGGCCTATCTTGCACTGACTCGCGCGACCCACCGGGCCAACGACCGAATGTCTTGGCCAAGCTGAGCATTGCCTTTGAGGCTGTACACAATGGTTCATGCTGTTGGACGGCGTTCACACAGTTTGTCTCCTTTTATTGGCTATACGTAGTCAAGGGTTGTATGTGTAGATGACAGCGCGTCCGTCTCAGCCATCAATAACCTGCGGCGACAAAGGATGGTAGAGGCGCAATAAAAAAACCGAGGAGTCTCAGTATAGATGGTCGCAACTTAGCATTGCAAAGCGACGGGGAAGCAAGATCAAGTCAGAGATGGTTAACGAAGCAGAACTCGACACACTGCAAAATGGAGCGCTTAGATCAGCAGCCGTCTGAGGAAAAACCTGAGGCACCAATGCAGGCTATCTTGCTAGCGGACAATGCTGCGTGAACGATATTTTGACAGTATTAGTGCCTCCTGCATCTTGGAACTCAACGAGTACAACAGTGAGGCATATATAGATTGGACAGTAGATGGGTGCCGCACATGAGAGGTGGAAAACTGCGAGAAGCGGAAGAGTGCATGCGAGAAGCACACGACTGCTCGTTGGCTCGATGTGGCTAGCGCCTCTAGCGTTTGGTAATTCATCATGTGACGGTCGATTTCGCCGTGATTTGCTTCCATACTGATGCCCGAGAGAATATTATCATACCAATATTGAGCACATTATCTTCGCTTCTACAGACTGCCTGTGGACTCAAATCAAGGATTGGTACTTGTCTAACCCGCTGATTCGGCTTGTCTGTTGCTGTAGCTGCTGTTGCGTTTGTTGCTGCAAAGCTTGCCTTTGAGGTTGCATGGCGGACATTGAGAATGCGGAGCTGGGCTTGAGACTTGGGGCCTGTGACATGGAGCTTGGAGGCGGAGGTATTGTGAAAGAAGAAGTCCGCTGTGAAGGTGGAGGAAGAGCACCTCCATTCGTCGGCCGCTGCTGTGATGACCAAGTTGAGGGGCTTGGTGCCATCGCTGCCGCAGACCAGTTGATCGAAGATGGAGTATTGCTCACTGCCTGGCCCAGAGGTGACGATATCAAACTCGATGGCTGTCGAGAAGAGGGCTGCAGCGGTGCATTGTAAGGTGATGCGGGTGTTAATGCAGCAAAAGAATTATTGAGATTCAGACTTTGATCTGGCGTTACCGTTCTTAGGTTGGCAGACGCCTGCAAAGAGCCCAGAGTGTTGCTGCTCTGTCGAGGGGCTGGTGCTGCACTCGTCCAAGAGGAGAAGGATGAGGTCTGCGGTGCGCTAGACATGGGAGCCGAAAACTGTGTTGATGCAGGTTTGGCAGCGGGCGGGCCCCAATCGTTCATGATGTCCGGGGTAGCATTGCCTTTCCTTCCACTGACCAAACTTGCAAAGTCCACATCACCTCCGTTGCTGGCCGTAATTGTTTGGAATGCAGTCGGCTGCTTTGCCCCAGATCGTGCCGAACCTGCACCATTATTTGAGCCGAGCTCTTGCAGCTTGCGTGTGTGTTCTCGTTCAATCCGTAAAGACAGCGACTTGATCAAGGTCATAAAAGCCTGGAACTGCTCAAGATCAAGAAGAGGCCCAAGACTGAAGCTCCAGAGAATGGGGAGGGCTTCCATGGCGAGGAAGTCAGAATCTACGACCTGACCGATCTGCCTGAACACCTTGAGAACGGCCATCTGGTACCAATCGTTAGCTATAGACAAGCACTGGGTATAACAATGTATACAACTTACCATGACACCGGGTTCTTTCGTCTTGATGCCCTTCATCAGAGGCACGACCTTCTCCTGTATCGTGAACTTGTCAAGGACTTGGCTACTACCGACTTTGGACGAGTCACGCGATATTGAGACGCCATCAAGACCGTCACTGATGGAGTCATTCTCAGCAGTACCACCACAGAGCGTGTAGAAGGCCTCAAGACCACGAACTTTGATGCCGAGGGAGCTTGTGTGAGCAAAGACGCCCGCGATGACTGGGAACAGTTCGTTCTTGATGGTGCTGTAGTCGAGAGCAGGCAGGACTGATGGTAGAGTCGAGAGGGCAGCATCGACCACGGCGTGAGTAGGAGAAGCAAGACCCAAAGCAATGATAGGCAGGATGTCATCTCTAAATTCTTTGCCAGAACAGTTGCCGGCCACAATCTCCATGTTCTCAAGCACAATCATCAAACCAGCCTCTTTGGAAGTGTCACGCTCAGCAGGAGCTTTAGTATTTGGCTGTGTAAGGAAGATATTACGCAACCTTGGAATAACCTTGTCAGTGAAAGTACGTTTCCCCGATGGCGAAGCCTTCACGATGGCAAAGACGTTCAAGAGGATTGGAGCCAACAGCTCGCGATCCTTCATTTCTTCCAGCAAGGCAGGGAGAAGCTTTCTTTCCAGGACAGACTTGGGGAACTGCGGCATGATCTTCGCCAGACCTCGCATGAACTGAGCCTTCTCGTTGGGTGTCTTGGCCGGCAAGTCATCAAGAAAGCGGATAGTCGAGACGAGTATGTTGTCGAAATACTGAGCTTGCTGAAACTCCATGGCATTGAGTCGCTGCGCCGGACGACGGGTTATCAGGCGTGGCAGTAGCTCAGAAGACAGATTCTTGGGTAGTGGAACTGAAGAGAGAAAGTTGTTGGTTTGGCTAGGGACGGAAGAAGGTGAGGAGAAGGCACGTCGGTAAGCCGAAAGACTCTCGTGAGTCTCGATCGGACTGCGATGCGGAGAGTTGTAAAGAGCGATAATGAGAAGACCCAGGGAGAACATGTCTGCCGAGGGGTTGATGTTGTTGTCGAGAACAAAGTCAGGAGAAGTATAGTCAAGACTGAGTTGTACAGAAGGTGGCAGTCTCGGGTCATGGTTCAGGACTTCGGATAGCGACAAGGACGGCGACGAGGCAGAATCGGAAAAGGGAGTAGCAAAGGCCAGGCCCGAGATCTTCCAATCAGATTTGGCATTGACAAAGATGGCCTCGGGCGTCAGGTTCGCGTGGACCAATTTGGCACTCTGATGCAAGAACTCCAAACCCTTTGCGATCTGCAAGAGACCCTTTTGTATTTCCAACTCATCTAATTCGAGTTCACGTATTTCGTCTTGACCATCGTTTCCTCGGACGACGTAACGGCTGTTTCTTCCAGCGCCTCTCCCAGCTCTTTCTTGGTCGTCCTTTTCGCTCAACAAGGCAGCCAGTGAAACCGTGACTTGCTCAGTCGCAAACATGAGGCCCCCATTACGAGTCTCCTCCACAGGCTCAGCCAGTTCCAATACACTAGGATGGCGCAGACGAGCGAGAGAGCTTGCCTCCTTTTTCAGACGATCAATGACATCTTCCTGAGCGCGCTTGACCGAGGAGGTATTGGCGCGACCGCCTCCAAGAGAATTGGTCGAAGGTTCGAGGGACTTTTTATCAAAGATGAAGACCGAGACGGGCTTACCCGTCGACTTCTTTTTCGCGTCGAAGATCCTCCATGGTCCAGAGGTTGAACTAGGCTGGGGAGCGATGGAGTAGTTGGAAGCAATGTTGGAAGTGAAGGACTTGAGGGCTGACGAGAACATGATGGCTGCTGAGTGAGGATGTTCAAGGTTCCATGAGTGACGGGCAGAGGTCCAGTGAAGCCTTTGTAACGGCGAGCGAGACGTGCGAAACGGGGAGCGGACAGCAAGGCAGGGGGTGCAATGAGGAACGGTATACGACGACAAAACGCAGGGACACGAGCTTCACAAGGTGTCTATCTAATCCAGGGTCTGAGAGGCCCGAGCGCTGTATAAGGACAGGGCGGCAGGGCGGCAGGGCGGCGTGGACGGAGATGGAGCACGGAGGGTGTTGTTTATAGCTCCGATGACGGCGCCGGTGACTCTCCCGCGTCTTGCCCGCATATGCCGTCAGTACCGGCCAAATTAACTTGACTCACTGCGATCCAGTCTAGATTGGTACATCAGTCGACACGTCCACGTCTTTCCTGTCGCTCGTTTCCTCGTCATCTCTTGATTGTTTTCTCACAGCAAGATGCTCTCCTCCTGCGGATTCCGCTCGGCACGGACATTGTCCCGCACGTTTGGCCTTGCCAGAGCACTCAAAGCATCCTCTGCACGATGCTACGCCATTGCTGCACAAGACGTGTCCAAGCCAAAGTTGACGGCAATTGACCATTCAAAGTTGACCATCACCAAGTCGACGACCCCCAAGGAATTGATCCCCAACGATGAGCTGGTCTTCGGCAAGCACTTCACCGACCACATGCTGTCCCTCGAGTGGACGGCCACGGACGGCTGGCAGGCTCCTCGCATCACGCCCTACCAGAACCTCTCGCTCGACCCGGCCACGTGCGTCTTCCACTATGCCTTTGAGTGCTTCGAGGGCATGAAGGCCTACAAGGACGAGAAGGGCACCGTCCGGCTCTTCCGCCCCGACAAGAACATGGCCCGTCTGAACAGATCCTCTGCCCGCATTGCCCTGCCCAACTTCGACCCCAAGGCCATGATTGATCTGATTGCCAAGTTTGTCAAGACCGACGAGCGCTTCATCCCTGCGTGAGTCTCTTGCTATTCTCCGTCTTCTTGTGCTCCTAGCATTACTGTGGACTTCCCTTCTGACCAGCCCTGTCTAGTGCCCGCGGCTACTCGCTCTACCTCCGTCCCACCATGATCGGCACCCAGCGCACTCTCGGTGTTGGCCCACCCGGCTCTGCCCTCCTCTACGTCATTGCCTCTCCTGTCGGTCCATACTACCCCACCGGCTTCAAGGCCGTTTCCCTGGAAGCAACCACATACGCCGTTCGTGCATGGCCCGGTGGTGTTGGCAACGCAAAGCTCGGTGCAAACTACGCCCCCTGCATCGTCCCTCAGATGCAAGCCGCCTCTCGTGGCTTCCACCAGAACCTGTGGCTGTTCGAGGAAGACGGTGAGGAGTGGGTTACCGAGGTCGGAACCATGAATTTGTTCGCTGCCATTCTCAACAAGGACGGAAAGAAGGAATTGATGACGGCTCCTCTGGACGGAACTATCCTCGAGGGCGTTACTCGCGACTCCATCCTGGAGCTCGCTCGTGAACGTCTGGTCCCCGAGGGCTGGGAGGTCAACGAGCGCAGGTTCACTGTCAGAGAGCTGGCTGAGGCTGACAAGGAGGGTCGCATGCTCGAAGTCTTTGGTGCTGGTACTGCTGCCGTCGTCAGTCCTGTCCGCAACATTGGCTGGAAGGACTCCATGATCAACTGTGGCCTCGAAGCCGACAAGGAGGCTGGTCCCATCGCTCAGCGCATGAAGGACTGGATCGAGGGCATCCAGTACGGTGACGAGCCCCACCCCTGGAGTGTCAAGATCTAGATGACCATGACTAGTAGTGTCTGACACCACTCACCCACTCATCATTCTCCACAACAACTCCATCCGAACGCCTCTGAGACCGAACCCAGTCCAGCGCCGCTGACCAGGAAACTCGAACATGCCAGACCCGCCGAATTACATGGTGTTCTGTAGACGCTTCGCAACACTATCAGGTCAAATGAACAGCATTGAACAGGACCGAAAGGCCACGATTCTGCCACTTGCCTGGCGATACCAAAAAGTGTGTCATTACTTTTCACTTCCCTGTTCATATAGCTCTATGGTCTTGATCCTGAATGAATAATCTTGCATGTGCCTTTCTTTCTCACACGTGCTTCTTTAAAATTGGTTAATCGGGACAGCGTCGAAAGAGTAGGACAAGTCATGGATGCTACGATCAGTGAGAGGGTTAGCTTGTGATTAGCATACAAGAGCGTGCTTTGTATTATGGTTGCTAAGTCGGAGCCTGATTCTGAGCAAGTGAGCGCGGCATGCTTTCTGTTTGTCATTGAGCGCGCTTTTTTGGTTTGTCTGAATTTCGACAATCCAGCATCATCACCACGGAAAGAATGTCGAACATTACTCTTCCCCTTACAACAATCCCTCGGCACTCCATGTTTCGACCCTCATACATCGCTGTGCGAGGCTCGTCGTGGTCAGCTGGCAACGAAGGATCACTCGCAGAGTTCCTGGGCGAAGACGATCAAGCATCCACCGTCCCATCGTCTCTTAATGAGTTTCAGGACTGTGGCTTTCCCAAGGACTCTCACAATGATGAGGACTACGAGCGCTGGGCTGTGCGCCCTTTTTGGCAAGGCGTTGGGGTAAGCAACATATCATCCATGTCGATGGCGCGCTTGAAAACTGATATATGCGCAATAGCATCATCCCAGAGTTTACAACTCTTGCAAATCTATCACTGCCGACGTTGTCGTCCGCTTTGGTGGCGGTAGATTCGAGTTTTTCTCCCAAAAGGCCATCCTCAGCGCAAAGTCCGAGTATTTCAAGTGCGCATTCTCGAGCAACTTTGCTGTATGTATCACTCCTCCTTCGTCTTCATCAAGACATATCTGCGGGTAAAGAGTGGTCGAAAGGCACAGTCTTTGCTATATTAGAGCACCTTTTACAGAGAGCCGATGAGATATGTTCTCTCAGGGGAGCCTGTTCTGTTCATCTAAAGTACTGTGCCTTTCTACAGCTACAAATGTAGCGGTCCATGATCTATGGAGAAACATGATGTTATTCTAGCACAGTACTGATCCTCGGACTCGTAGGTTGCAACCTCTCAAGTCATTGACCTCGGCGATGAGGATAACAGCAAACATATCTACGCCATGTTGCGCTTTATCCATGGAACCGCCTACACCACGATCCACCAGCGCAGCTCAATGGGCCGTAACCTCGATTTTCACATCGACCTGTACCTCATTGGCGAACAATTCGACTGCCGCGATCTTCGTCACGCAGCTGCCGATGTCTTCTTCCACGAAGCAATCTTTCTTGCCGATACACATTGGTTCCCGAAGGCCGCTCAGAGAATTCTTGGAGCAGATGCAGCAGTTCTGGCAGACAAGTTTCTGATCGATGTCACGGTCAAGATCTGCGTCGAGCAGGTCGAAACACTGGTCAAGAACAAGCACTTCATGGAAATGGCGCTTGCTGGTGACCTCGTCGACGAAGGCGGAGCCATGAAGCTGTTTCTCACTCTAGGTCAGCGCGTCAGAGAGCTATCGGGCGCAGATGTCTGGATGTCCAAGGAGGAACGCCTTGTCAAGGCTCAAACAGAGTTACTTGCTGCTGAAGCTGCACTTGGCCCGGTTTCCAGATCGTCGCTTGCCGGTCAGATTATCGCTGCCAGAGCTTACAATGCGGCTCATATGGCCGTGACCAATGCTGCTATGATCACTCCTCAGCCTACGGTGGCTCCCTTTGCTGCCCTGACTTCGCACCCGCCACCACCTACTGCTGCCAACCACACCACCGTCGTCAGCAGAAGAGCCACTGTCTTCAACAAGTGAACTTTTCCCCCTACTTTCTTTGCTTTCTTTTCAATCTGCTAATGTTACTGTAGGGCTCGCATGCATGCCTTAATGGTCAAGGAGAGACTACGTTCGCGCTTCAAAAAGATATAATGTGCTGATCGTCGCGATGAGAACTTTGCTAGAAAGAGGTAAGGATTGCACTTATTGCACTTAATGACATAGAGGAAGAATTGCTTTGCACAACTGAATAGCTGATAACTGAATTGGAGCCCATGGCTTATACTCATATTGGACATTGACACTGGTATCTTGCCTTCCAGTCGCTAATCTAATAAGTTGAGAGCATGATAGGGCCTAAAGCCATGAAGGTAGCGAAGACGGTAGGGACAGAAACATAAGTGGATCCGCCCTCGGAGTCTCCACTACCTTGACCACCTTCGGCACCATTGTTTCCTGCTGTCGAGCCCGCTCCAGAAACAGTATCCGTGCTATTGCCAGAGGTACTATTCACAAGAAGCGCAGATGCCAGTTGCTCTCCCAGGAAGATTGTGTTGTTTCCTCCAAAGAAGTTACTTGCCATCCCCGGAGGTCCAGCGGTAACATCACTACCACCGCTAACAGAAGAAGGATGCTCGGTAGAACCCTCAATACACTCCATATCTCCCCAAGTTGAATTATAAGCGCGTTCCCACACAGCTGCTTGCGAGGCATACATCTCAGGCGTGTAGAAGAATCTGCAATCTGCTGCTTCGTAGATATGCTGTAGTGGAGTCACCGAGTCGTCGCCTTGACGGATATTGTTGCGGAAATTGAGACTGGCTTGTACAATCACCGCGCCTCCTGGAGCAGCACGACTGAGAGCTTGTGTGGTAGCCTGAACGAAGTCTATTCCGAATTTGGTGACGAACTCGAGTTGGTCGGATATCGGCGCGGCGGTGATGACTGCACTGACGATTGAGTATAAGGTGAACATTCCCTGGACCTGGGATCCTTTGACACTGCCAACACCTTGCATAGGTCCATTCTGCGGCCTTCCACCGACCGTGACAGACGTGGATTTTTGAGAAGCCATGAGTTGCCGCGAAAGTCAATTACAAGTTTGGTGCGGTTATTTTCACTCGCCGTTGCCAGCAGCTGCCGTACAACGTTCTCAAATTCAATCGGTGAGCTCGTTGTAAAACTCGGGATAGCAAGGATAGCAAGTTCCGAGATAGATTCGGAGAGATAGCCAGCAACACTGTTGTCCGAAGAAATCGCAATCGGGTCTGGATAGGCAGGATGAGGTGGTGGAAGACCTTTTGTCGATACAGGCTCGAAGGGAACTTGAGTTTCGGTTAATGTCGTCTGAGAAGACGATGAGCTTGCTTGTGCCAGGATGGTCTCCGTCAAATTCTTGTTACAGAACCTCTCGAAAAAGCTCGCACCATCAGTCAGTCCCTCTAGTGTTGCGTTGAACAGTAGCTGTGCTCGTGTAATCACATCCCGTGTCGTCTCGTTAGCGAACCTCAGTACAGTGTTATCGCCTTGATAGTATCTGGAAAGAGCGAAGTAATTCGTCTCGACGCCCTGATACAACAATGCGGGAATATTAACAAACAACTGGTTGTAGTTTGCATCTGGGTCCTGGGATCGGCCGTCCTGGGACGCATAACTGTTGAGCCAGCTCAGGATATCCTCGCCATTGATCTGAACCACTGGAGAAGGGATGTAGTCAAAGTCTTTAGGGCTGAACAGAGCAGCTTATCACTATATGCGTAGACTTCTGGGGTTACGTTGTCGCCAGTGGTGATCTATATGTATATATTAGTATCAAACTTCTCGTGACGAACCTCGGCCATACTCACAGATATCAAGGAGAAGTACGACGGAACACCTGAATCGTCTAGATCTTCGGTATGTAGTCTACCGAAAGCAAAGACAGCGGTGATGTCAGGGACGTACGCCAGATGGCCATCATAAGCCGAGGAAAATATCCTGGAAACATCCGTCTGGAAATCGTATTCGTTGTCATAGGCATCATCCTCGAGCAGCGAGGTGAGTTTGTCCAAGCCAGCAAGAATATCCACACCAGGATAGATTCGACCAATAGTAGGATCCTTGAGGTACTCCAAGTCGCTCTGGAATTCCAGAAATGCACGCAGACCTTGAAGCTGGACCAGATCACCTGCTTTTGCAAGTGGGACAGAACGCAGACACGAAAGAGCAACGTTTGCTGGAAAGAACGTGGCGTCGTTCGTCGCCAGGGAGCTGAGCTGAGCGCATGGTTCCTGCGACGCGTTGTTCTGAGTATACACTGGTGTGGTGAGCGCGGCTAACGTTACAAGTGATCTTCTCAATGTTCTTGGCAACATGATCAGGACCAACCAATGTGTAGTCTGGAAACCAGTGACTCGTTTTGGAAATCACTTTTGCGACCAGAAGAAAACGCGGAGTAGACGAGTTCGAAAGATCAATGGCAGCGGCTAACAGAAGGGGAAGACGAGGTTATCTGTGCCCAGACTTGGTTGTTTACCCTTGTCTTGGTCCCAAGAGCATGCAAGGCAACCCATAGTCAAGCTGATATGCTAGTGACTACCTTATCATCTTTGCCGGGTATTTTGACTGCTCAGGATCACACATAAGGAGCCTGGATCAAGTGGTTGATCAGGTGACATAATTGGATACTCGTGGACTCAAGATCTACTGCTCCTTGAGAGATGTCATTTTCGAATACACACCAGACTACAGCCTAACTCTCGGCGATGCGAGTCAGAAACTCGAAATTTATACGGCCGAAAGTTGCGGCACAGTCAATCCTTCCGCGGATTGTTGGTTGTGATGTTGGTGAAGCGAGAAGGACGAACGACAATTGTTCTGTCTCCGAGCGACCGCGGGCGATCTCCAGGCGAGTCAAAGCTTTCGACTAAACTTGTGGGGCTGGAATATTGGTCTCCCAATAAGGCATTGGTGACGAAGGAATACTAGGAGGTTGTCATTGGATGTTGACCACGCTCGATAGGATTGAAGAACAATGCTTGATCAATCTGTGAAATCAGGAAAACAACTAACAAACAAGGTCTCCCTTCACAATGTGCCGTTACAGAAAACAACGCGACTCAACTCCATGGCCAAGCAAAGGGGCATGGAGACATATAATTTTCTGCGTAGATAATTGACGGTCGCAATGGAGCCTGATACATGGCATGATGTGCAACCATTTTCTTGGTATATGGTTTGCACCATCATTAGCCGAAGAGCTTGTCCAAGACCTTCTCAAAGTACGAGCTTTAATTAGTTTGTTAGCTGAAATGCTCAAGTCCACTTGAATCTTACTTACTCGTTTGCCTTAGAAGGCACAAAGTTGGCCTGGTACTCTTCAATCTCTTCCACCTCGCCTCTGAGGTCAACTTCCACTGCGCGAGTCCATTTGGTCTTCTTGATCAACTTCCATCCAACGAACAGGATAGGAAATAGTCCGATCATGAAGTAACTAAAGATGAAAGTGGGTACGTCCCATTTGCCAGGTAGGAATACGGTGTAGCCACCGACAAAAGCCATGACAGTACAACCAATGAAGCCGTACCAGGCGAGGTATGGCTGACCCCAACCCGTGAAGGGAAGACTGTTGCGATCGAAGCCTTGCGCGTCACAAGCACGCTTCCAGAAGATGAATGTCATGCACATGACGGCGTAATTGATGAGTTGCGATGCGGTGACCAGATTGATGAACCATTTGAGCACAGTAGCAGCATTTGCACTGACTTGCAAGAAGGCAAGCAGAGCAATGCACAGGACAACAAGAGTGCAGTTCACTGGTACACCTCGGCGATTGGTGCGTGTCAAGATCTTGGGTGCTTTGCCTTCGAGCGCAAGCCCATATAGGGAGCGGGATGCACAGTAGACGTAGCTGTTGCCAGCCGAGAAAGCACTAGCCAGAACCATGGCGTTGACAATGTGGGGAAGCACACCGATACGAAGGCGATCCATGGCCACAACATAAGGTGATGCTGCTGCACCGGGAACGCCGGCAGTAGTAGCAGCAATGAGTTCCTTGTCGTTGTAGGGGACCAGAATGCCAACGCAAAGGGATCCGAGCATGAAGAAAGTGGTCAACCGATAGAAGACGGCTTTGAAGGCTTTGGGCATGACCACGCGAGGATTCTCGGCTTCGCCGGCAGCCATGCTGACATAATCAGGTCCAGCGATGGTGAAGGAAGCCTGGATAAGACACTGAAGGAACCCAAGGAAATATCCAAGGTTGCCGCCATAGTAGAGGGGGGCGAAGGCTCCCTGGAAGAAAAATATCGGGTCAGTATGGCGTTCATACCGTTCTCGGAATTTTCACGTACTGGATTGTTCCAATATCTGAAGCCAAATCTGTCGCCGAGTGGGTTTCCTCCAAGCATGACGACGAAGGTAAAAATGATCAAGCATAAAGGTGTTGTTAGTCAAGGGAAGATAATCTCGTATCAATCTGAGCTTACCAATGATCAGTAGAACTTTGCCGAGAGCTGCCCAGAACTCAGTCTCGCCATACCACTCGACAGTGAGGAGATTGATCAGACTACGGATTGTATGAGTGCAGTGTTCGTGACGTTTGATCAGGCTACTCACGCATAGAGCACAATGACAATAGCAATGATGCCACCAGCTGGCACGATATCACTCCAGTAGTGAATGACGACATTACAAGCGGTGACCTCAAAAGGGACCTAACTCCAAGCATTAGACAGGACTCACCAGGATGGACTCAAAGACGAAGAAGTTCGGCCAGTTGTTTTTTCTTCAGAGGTTTTTTCCGGAAAAAAAGCGGTGACCTCGAAAGGAACCTAACTCCAAGCATTAGACGACTCACCAGGATGGCCTCGAAGACAAAGAAGTTCCAGCCAGCAGCGAAGCCCATGGCCTCATCCATGTAGCGGCTGGCAAATCTGATGAAAGGGGACGATATTGGGAGGTAGGTGACCATCTCGGCAGTACCTAGAGCCTCAAGTCAGCGACGAAGATCAAGAGGTGCATTGGCTAGTCGCTTTGGAGTGGCGTAGCATATGTCGCAAGGTAACTTTAGACATGACATGACTGCACATGGAAATGGAGGAGGAAAGCTCGTACTTATGGTGACCGCAAGAATGAACGAGCACCTGCAGTTGTTATCAACATTGCCCTTGACTCTATTCGTTATGAGCTTCCGAAAGCCCAAGCTGCTGCTATGAAGCGGTGCAACGAAATGCTACGATCAGTCCGAGGATAATCTCTGGGAGGACTTACCAGATACTGAACGCCAGAAACAGACTACCAGGACCGCCATTGAGAAGACCATTGCCGATGGAAACATAGAGAGCAGTACCAATGGTACCTCCAATACCGATGAGTTGGATGTGACGCGACTTGAGGCGGCGATGGGTTCCGTCTTTGGCTATGGACATTGAGTCCACGGATCCTCCAGATTCTCCGCCATACTCTGGCAGGCTGATAGTTTCGTTATAGGTCTCAACACCTGCCTTAGATGTATGACGGACTTTGACAGCATCACTACTGCTAGAGGCTTCGACACTCGATGAGTGGATTGCGTCGTGCGACACAGAAGACCTCATCTTGTCAGCTGGAACCGGACTTAGATCCGGTGGGTTGATGTTAGGCGTCTCTGTTCAAGCTGTGGTGGCTGATGGCTTGTGAGCTATTAACCCTGGGGGCGTTTAATGAATCTGTTTGAGGAGCAGGCAGAAAAACTCAGGCACAAACTCCATATGACGAAGAGACGACACAGATGGAGGGATGCGCTGGATTTGACTAAAGAAACGGCCTGGAGTGACTCGCCAAGTTACCAAGGCTTGGATAAGATACGACGGCGATATCAATTGGAAAGAAGGTTGGTGTCCAGAATGCGCAGTCCAATGATGAGATAAAGAGGCTTGACAGGTCGCAGGGACAAGGTGACAAGGCTTTTCTGTACAAAACAATTGCCGCAGCAAGGTTTAAACCGCCGTGACCGCACTCGCAAACCGAGGTAAGTCTGAGGCGATGAACTGGGGGGTTCTCTTCCTGGAGTTCCCAACGAGTCGAGACCGCACTAGGGCGGTGACAACGAATCTTATTTTGGAGGCGAGCGAACGGCTCCGCCTCTCCAGATTATGGATTGTCTACAAATGCCAAGACCCTCGTACAGAGGATTGGACGTTTCTCAGTACTCGTTGAAACGACAAATGCAAAACACGTTCGTGCGACTGAAGTAAATTGACAGCGACGTGGTTAAGATAGCTTCTATATCTGCCAAATGTTCACAAGCCCTTGGCCCCATGCTTTCTTGTTCAAGATGTGGAGACAAGCTACGGTAAACGGACCCGTTCGCTTCCCCGGCCACGGGTTCGGTATCTGTTATGTCGAGGAATATTTTGCATGTTCATCCGTGAGCATCTTCCGAAAATGCAGGGATACTGAACTATTGTTGTCCCTGTCGATCTTCAACCTCGAGTCAATAACCGTCAGGCCACAGACTATATCGTAGTGCGAATACCTTCTGATGTGGAAGGGTTAACCTTGCTGAACCGCGAGTCTTCTGCTACCTTTGACCCTCTGTCTCTCACGAGCTTTGACTTCTTCCCAGTTGCCCACGATCCAGTCGCGCACTTCCGAGTCGATTTCGTCAGCATCGTTGACGAACGGTGCAAATCGAGCTTGACTTTCTGTATCCATTGCCGGCACGTCATGAATGTAGGGCTTGCCGTCAGAGAATGCGACGAACCTCTTCAGCGCCCTCACGACCTCATTCAGGCGTTTCGACTCCAACTTTGCAAAAGGGGTGAGGACTGTGGTTTTGATGACGTACCATGCGTGTTTTTCGGCATTTTCCACTAGCACTTTCGCGCGACGAGTATTGAATTCATCTTGCTTGCCAAAGAACGCAAGAGCTGCACGGGTGTGGGTATCTCTAGTCTCTTCGAGGTTGGCTTCGTTGTCTGGCAGATTTGGTAGGTATTCGGAGATGAAGCGACGAAACATAGGCCGTTTCTCCATGCGGGTTCGCATCTCAGATTGATTCCCTCTCTTCTCGACTAGCCCTCGATTGAACAGCCTAGAGGCTACGGTCCAGTCAAAAACTTCTTTCTCGGTCTTGAACCCTTGCGCGTACTTGTGCTTGTCGAGGCCCAGGAACTTCATGACCAGATCTGGATCGTTGTTCAAGAAGACCTGACTGGCGGACCAATTCTGGGTTTCCTGCTCTTTGATACGGACATAGAAACCGTCGTTTCTCGATGTGAATCCGAAGCCGTAGTTGAATACGCCGAGTATCGAACCGAGATCTCCATAGCCGTGTAGAAAAACGGTCCATGAGCGATAGCCTGGAGGACAAACTTGCACGTCGACTTGCGCAAAAGCCTGCAGCCCATCATGCTTGTCTCGGAGTGGAACAGCAAAGGAGTAAGTGGGGTGATTTGGTTTTATATGTTCAGTACCAAAACCGAGAGCCACTTCCTTGTACAGGAACAGTGTGGGTGATGGCAATTCGATGATCAGATCCACGTCGCCATAGTCCAGTTTCCCAGGAGCCTCCGGCATGTTAGTCGCATCAGGATGGCGCTTGGATAGATTTTCAAGTGCGAACTGTTTGACTCTTTGATAGTCCTGTGGTTTCATGCGAGGAACGACGAGGTCCGGGAAAGCATTGCCGCCCATGGTCGTCTTGAATGGATATAAGGATTGGTGAAGTGGGGCTGAGTTATGGGCAGTTTGAACAAAATTGATCGATGTGATCGAGTGTCCATTCGGAATCAGGCAACGAGGAAGTTGATTTCGCGAGCAAAGACGCAGTTGATGAGTCAAAGCCGGAGGAGTTGAGCAGGAGAGAGCGTGAAATAATTATCTTTCACATGCAAGTGTTGAAGACTGGCCTACCTGAAGGATTGAGCATCACTCTGAAGTGAATGTGAACAGTGTCAGGAGACTAGAGCATGCGAATGTGAATGTGAAGTGGCACAACATTGAAAGAGCTGACTCTAGTGTGAGAGTAGGTAGCTGCTGGGAGAAGGCTTTGCCCCACGAGCAAAGCGAAGACAACTGAAGACGTCACAGAGCTTGGCGTGTGCTTTCATCTTGCTACACGTTCTTCCCGGCCTGCCGAACAACAGCCTCACCACCTGCCGAAGGCAATAGATTGTGCTGGCATATTCATAGCCGCCGACCGAGCCATATCCTAGAAGCACAAGGCATCAACCACACCGCAGCTTCCCGTATCCGTATTCCGCGAGTTGCCATCCGAGCGTGTGAGGAGTGCAACAGCAGCAGCAGCGGCAGCATCTGGACCGCACATTCCTACTCTAGCAACTCTAGCAAGCAACACTCACAGCATCGCGCCTTCCGTTGTTGTGCGCAGCGCAGCTACTTGACTCAAGATGGATGTAAGTTCTCCATGCAGCTCACGCAATCATTTTCACAGTCAGCGAGGCCGCGAATGTCTCCTACCATCCATGCCACCCGACCCGCGCAGCTTGCACCTGTTGTATAACAGAAGCTCCTCTTGCTCACCATGTCGTCACCGATTCCACGGACAGAAACTCCCCTCCGCCACAAGTCGCTAACTCTTCGAACCCAGCTCGGCCATGACATGCTAGTCGACTCTGACTATGACGAGAAGCAGCAGGATGTAGCCATCATATCACCCGAAGACGACTCGATGGAGGAGGCTGCCGTGCAGGAACCCCAGGCCGACGACTACGCCGCCATGCGCAACCGCTTCATGCCCGAAGACCCCGATCTCGAAATCGAGTCAGAAACCACATTTACCTGGGACATCAAAGACTGGCGCACACTCCCTCGCAGACACCACAGCCCGACATTCCACACCGGCGACCACCCCTGGAAGGTCCTCTTCTTTCCCGCTGGTAACAACGCGAATGAGTCAGTCAGCTTCTACCTCGAACAGGGCTATGGCGAGGAAGACAAGCCCCCGGCAGACTGGTATGCATGTGCTCGCTTCATGCTCGTCCTTTGGAATCCGAACGACCCGTCCATATATCTGCACCACGAGGCTCAACACCGCTTTAATCAAGAGGAGGGCGATTGGGGCTTTACACGCTTTGCCGAGAAGAACAGAGTGTTTGCGACTCGTTTCGACGACAAGGACCGCCCCTTGATAGAAAACGACACTGCGAAACTGACAGCCTATGTCCGCGTCCTGAAAGACCCAACTGGTGTGCTGTGGCACAACTTTGTCAAGTGAGTGAATTCTCCATTTGTCTCTCAGAACTCTCTACACTTCGCACTCCCCCTCTCCATCTCCGATTCCCGTCGACCACAACATGTGGCAGTATGAGAGATCGTGATATGGACTTCTCCAGTCTGAGCCCTCCGTCAGCCTGTTTGTCATCACAACCGTTCAACGATCTCTGCCAATGGCTTGAGGACCAGTTTCCTTTTTCTCTATTTCAACGGCACGATCTCTTCCACGTTCCTACCATGCTTTCTCGATATGTATCGATCAAGGACTAACATTACTTTTTCAGCTACGACTCGAAGAAAGAGACCGGCATGGTGGGTCTGCGCAATCAAGGTGCCACCTGCTACCTAAACTCCTTGCTCCAATCCCTATTCTTCACCAACGCTTTCCGCAAGGTACGCAAACCCCATGTCATGTTAGAGATCGTGCGCTAACGTAGATCGTCCAGGCGGTGTACCAAATACCTACAGAGAACGAGACGGACGCACGAAACAGCAGTGCCTGGGCCTTGCAGCGTCTCTTCTACAAGCTACAGACTGATCCTGCCGCCGTCTCCACCATGGAACTTACCCAATCTTTTGGATGGGAATCTCGCCAGGTCTTCGAGCAACAAGATGTCCAAGAACTTTCCCGTATTCTCATGGACAAACTGGAAGAAAAGATGAAGGGCACCGAAGCAGCAAACGTCCTAGCCGAGATGTTTGTCGGTAAGATGAAGACGTATCTCCGCTGCATAGACGTAGATTACGAGAGCTCTCGTGTTGAGGACTTCTGGGACTTGCAACTTAATGTCAGCGGATGTAAGACGCTTGACGACAGTTTCCGTGATTACGTCCAGGTCGAGACTCTTGAAGGCGACAACAAATATGCCGCTGAAGGTTATGGTCTACAAGACGCCAAGAAGGGAGTCATCTTCGAGAGCTTCCCTCAGGTACTGCACCTCCAACTCAAGCGATTCGAGTATGACTTTGTGCGTGATGCCATGGTCAAAGTCAACGACCGCTATGAATTCCCTGAGATCTGGGACGCATCTCCATACCTCTCAGAGACGGCCGATCGCTCAGAGCCGTACATCTACCGCCTGCATGGCGTGCTTGTGCACAGTGGCGATATGAATGCCGGTCATTACTATGCGTTCATCAAGCCCACCAAGGACAGCCCATTCTTCAAGTTCGACGACGATCGCGTCACCCGCGCCACCCCCAGAGAGGCTATGGACGAGAACTTCGGTGGCGACTATGCCCCTACTGGTCCTAATGGTGCCACCAAGATGCAGAACCCCTTCACTCGTCAATGGTCGACCAAGCGTTCGATGAGCGCTTACATGCTGGTCTACATCCGTGAGAGCCGTATTGATCAGATTCTGGGAGACAGTGACAGTATCCAACCTCCCACACACCTGCCAAGCCGCCTCGCTGAGGAGCGCGCTGCACTCGAACGCAAACGCAAGGAACGCGAAGAGGCTCATTTGTACATGAACGTTCAGGTTGCGACAGAAAGCAACTTCCGCTCCTACCAAGGTTTCGATCTGGTCGATTGGAAATCAACAGACCAGGAGGAAGCTGTAGCTCCTAGAGTTTTGCGATGCAAGAAGGCGATGACCTTGTCAGAATTCAACGAGCAAGTCGCACAGGACATTGGAACTGACGCAGATCTAATTCGTCCCTGGGTCATGGTCAACCGCCAGAACGGTACTGTCAGGCCCGACCATCCTCTCAATTACTCGACAATGACCCTCGAAGAAGCGAATGCCAAGTTTTCTACCAGGGCAGCGTCATTCCGACTTTTCATCGAGCAAACTACCCGTGGTGAAGATGGCAAGCCGGTGTGGCATGCTGATGTTCCGCCGCCTTCACCACCCGCCCAGGAGCAGAAGCCCATTATTGTCTTCCTCAAACAATTCGATCACGAAACCCAGACGCTCAAGGGTGTAGGTCACACGTACATGCTTCAGCACCAGAAGGTTCAAGATCTCGCTGAGCCGATCTTGAAACTCATGGGATGGGAAGCTGGTACATCGCTCAAGCTGTTCGAAGAGATTAAGCAAAACTTTATCGATGTCATGAAGCCCAAGCAGACTTTGGGCCAGTCTGAGATCCAAGACGGCGACATTGTCTGCTTCCAGAAGGTCATGACAGTGGAAGAGGCCCAAGCATTCCAGCAGAGCTACCCTTCTGCCTACACTGATGCAATCTCCTTCTACGATTATCTATTGAATCGCATCCGTGTATTCTTCTTACCACGTCCTGGAGCACCTCAGAGCGTGCCACTCGAGCAGGGAGCGGATGAGTTCGAGGTCTTCCTATCGAGAAAGGACTCGTACGACACTTTGGCAAACAAGACAGCCCAACATCTGTCGATAGTTTCGAAGACAGAGGTCGATCCTACACATTTGCGATTCACTACAGTCAACTCACAAAGCGGCAAGCCTCGTGCGCCTGTCAAGCGAACGCCTACAACGACAGTGCAGACCATTCTTGCTGGTGTTGGTACTGGCGGTTACGGTGGTGGTTATGGCTACACAAATCAGTCACCCGACACTTTGTACTACGAAGTCCTGGAGATGAGCTTGGCAGATTTGGAACAACGCAAGACAGTCAAGGTGATATGGCTCCCCGAAGGAGTGACCAAGGAAGAAACATTCGACTGTCTTGTTCCCAAGGTTGGTACTTTCGAAGACGTCCTCCCGGTGTTCCAGAGGAAGGCCAAGCTGCCAGACGAGCTCATTGAGCAAATTCGATTCTACGAGGCTCACTCTGGCAAAGTGTATAAGAATCTTGGCCTAGATACACCAGTGTCGACTTTGAACGAGTTTATGCAAGTCTACGCAGAGCGTCTGCCAGAAGAGGAACGAGAGGCCGAGAAGGAGGGTACGCCTCCGCTCATCGGATGTTTCCATTACGACAAAGAGCCCGCGAAACCGCACGGTGTGCCTTTCATCTTTCTTGTCAAGGAGGTGAGTAACGATGCAACTAAACAAGTTAAAGAAGCAAGCATACTGATGATATCCAACAGGGCGAGATCTTCAAGGAGACCAAGGAGAGACTGTCGAAGCGCACAGGCATCAAAGGCAAACAGTTCGAGAAGATCAAGTTTGCGGTCATTCCACATGGAAGCTACTCTCGGCCAAAGCCTCTCGAAGACGGTATGTCACGGTGGCTCATTACACATCAAGCTCTTACTAATCAGAACTGCAGATGACATTCTCTCGGAAAGCTTCAGCGAGGGCGATCAACTGGGTCTGGACCATGTCAATAAGGCACGTAACGCATGGCTCAAGTATGAGAGCTTGAATATCCGATAAATGAATTGTGAATGGAGCAGTAGCAAAATGAAGCCACTAGCACTGTAAGAGGATATGGTTATCAAAGAAGCATCCATGGTCGGAATGAGGTGCACACTATCGTGCCGGCAGAGCTGAGATTGGAGAAGGTAACCTACATGGATCGACAGATTAGCAGTCAGGCTCTCGGCTTCTCGACAGAGGTTAGCGTACAGCGAAGGATACAGTAGCAGAAGTCGAAGGACGTGTTGGCGACAGACACGAACAAAGTAGACATGAGAGAATGCAAACATGGTTAATTTGATACATAAACCGGGTGCATAAAATCAAGCTTCGGATTATGCAAGGGTCATAGAGCAGATGCGGAGTAGCGGTGGATCCCGTTGGACGAGTCAATGACGAAAGAAGGGAGCTCGAGCGGCAGTCGATATGAATGCAGATAGAGTGATAGGGCATCTGTTTGACAGTGTGGATACTATTGAACAGTAGAGAGACTCTGGATATACAGTAGAGCGCAAACAGAGCGGTCTTTCTAGACAAGTCATCACCCCCTTGCCTGCCTTAGAGTGGGTCTCTAGCGGATGCTATTGTGCCAGGTCGGGGCGAAGAATGCTGGAGCACTTCGCCTTCAACGTTTCGCTTGCTCTGAGCATGTGCAGTCTTGGACAAGAGTAAGACAATTCTCCATATCATTGACGACTTTATCGAACAACGAGACGAGACAGTTGCACAAAGCACATTTGTCTCAGTACCGTCGCCAACACTTTCGCAGCCCTCTCCTCTTCCAACGAGGAGCCATGGTCGGAACAAGTGCAGCCAACATGTCGCTCCCACAACGATCCGCATCCAGCAGGGCAAGCGTCCTGACAGATGGCATGGAGAAGCCATTGCTGGATAACCGCACATACCGCGTGGTACGACTAGCGAATGACCTCGAAGCGCTGCTGATCCATGACCCGGACACGGACAAGGCGAGTGCGGCCATGGATGTCAACATCGGTAGCTTCAGCGACGCCGACGACATGCCTGGTATGGCGCATGCTGTCGAGCATTTGCTGTTCATGGGAACCGAAAAGGTGCGTCAAGTAGTGCAGGTGGCAAGAATGCAAGACGTGGGCTGAGACTTTTGCGACTGCAGTTTCCCGTCGAGAACGAATACAACCAGTACCTGCAACGATACGGCGGCTACTCGAATGCTTTCACCGCCTCATGCGACACAAACTACTACTTTGAGCTTTCCGCCTCGTCTACTGCCACCAGCCAGCAGTCGTCGCTCAGCAGCAAGGAGAACCTCCCTGTCGAAAAGTCGCAAGCCCCGCTCTACGGGGCCCTCGACCGCTTTGCCCAGTTCTTCATCCACCCCCTGTTCCTGGAAGATACTTTGGACCGTGAGTTGCGTGCTGTCGACTCGGAAAACAAGAAGAACTTGCAGGCCGACAACTGGCGTCTGCATCAACTGAACAAGAGTCTGTCCAACAAGAAACACCCCTTCAACAAGTTCTCCACCGGCAATTACAAGGTTCTGCACGACGACCCAATTGCTCGTGGCGTCAAGATTCGTGATGAGTTCATCAACTTCTACCGCGCGAATTACTCGGCAAACCGTATGAAGCTTGCTGTTCTTGGTCGTGAGAATCTCGATGAGTTGGAGTCATGGGTAACCGAGCTCTTCTCAGACGTCCCCAACCAGAACCTTCCCAAGTTGCGCTGGGATGATGTTCCCGCTATGACTGAAGCCGAGCTGGGCACCCAAATCTTTGTTAAGCCTGTTATGGACATGCGCTTACTTGACATGCACTTTGTCTACGCCGACGAGGAGGACTTGTGGGAGTCTCAACCTGCCAAGTATCTCAGTCATCTCATCGGTCACGAAGGTCCCGGTTCTATCCTCGCATACATCAAGGCAAAAGGCTGGGCTAACGGCCTGGGCGCTGGACCCATGAACATTTGCCCCGGAACTTCTCACTTCTCCATCTCCATTCGCCTCACTGAGGACGGTCTCAAGAACTACCAAGAAGTCATCAAGGCCGTCTTCCAATACCTCGCCATGGTCAAAGAGCAGCCGCCACAAGAATGGATCGTTGACGAGATGGCCAAGCTTGCAGATGTCGACTTCCGCTTCCGCCAAAAGATTCCCGCAAGTCGTACTGTCAGCGCTCTCAGTGGTGTCATGCAAAAGTCTTTCCCCCGTGACAAGTTGTTGAGTGCTCAATCTTTGATTTGGAAATTCGACTCCGACGCCATCAAGCGTGGTCTTGACTACCTTAGACCTGATAATTTCCGCATCACTCTCGTGTCTCAAGAGTATCCTGGTAACTGGGATCAGAAGGAGCACTGGTACGGCACAGAATACAAGTACGAGAAGATGCCTTCTCAGTTCATGAAGGATCTGGAGGCAACCAGCCAGGCCTCATCCTCACAGCGTCCATCGGAATTGCACATGCCTGCGAAGAACGAATTTGTACCCTCTCGTCTCGACGTCGAGGTCAAAGAGGTTGAGAAGCCGTCTCTCGCCCCAAAGCTGATTCGCAACGATGTGAACGTTCGTACTTGGTGGAAGAAAGATGACCAGTTCTGGGCACCAAAGGCAAACATCAAGGTCTTCTTCAGATCCCCATTGGTCAGCATGTCTGCTCTCACAACTGTCACTACTCAATTGTACAAGGACTTGGTTGAGGATTCTCTGACCGAATACTCTTATGATGCAGAGCTTGCCGGCCTCGAGTATGAGCTCCAGAACCACGCTCAGGGCTTCGACGTCAACATCAGCGGCTACAACGACAAGATGGCTGTTCTTCTTGAGAAAGTCTTGATTGGTATGCGCGATCTGGAAGTCAAGGACGATCGCTTCGAGATCATCAAGGACCGTACACTTCGAGGTTGGCGTAATTTCGCCTACCAGCAGCCATTCCATCAGATCAGCACTTACAGCAGATGGCTGGTAGCCGAGAAGGGATTCATTGTTGACCAACTGCTGGAAGAGCTCGATCAAGTTACTGCTGACGACATCCGCAAGTTCTTCCCGCAGGTACTCCACCAGATGCACATTGAAGTCCTGGCCCATGGCAATCTCTACCGTGAAGATACTCTCAAGATGACTGATCTGATTGAGTCCATCTTGAAACCTAAGCAACTTCCTGCTAGTCAATGGCCTCTTCGTCGCTCGATCGTTCCCCCTCAAGGTAGCAACTTCGTCTACGAGCGTACCCTCAAGGATCCTGAGAACGTCAATCACTGTATCGACTATCAACTGTTCACAGGTCTTCTGACCGACCGCGCGAACCGTGCCAAGCTTCTTTTGTTCGCCCAAATGTCAGACGAAGGTTGCTTTGATACACTTCGCTCCAAGGAACAGCTTGGATACGTGGTTCAGTCTATGCCTTTGATGCTCACTGCCATTTCAGGTTGGCGTGTTCTGATCCAATCCGAGAGGTCACCCGAATATCTTGAGAAGCGTATCGATGTCTTCCTCAACACATTCGGTGACAACTTGAGGAACAAGATGAAGGATGAGGAGCTTGAGTCGCACAAGACTGCTTTGATCAACAAGCGGTTGGAGAAGATGAAGAATCTCAATCAGGAGAGCGGTCGTTTCTGGCACCACGTTACCAGTGAGGCCTTTGACTTTGAGCTTGGTAAGTTGCATCGTACTTATAGCTCTCAACCAGTTGACTAATCAAAGCAATAGTCCACCGTGACGTCGAGCACATCGAGCCTATCACCAAGCAAGACATGATTGACTTCTTCGACACTTACATCGACCCCGCTTCAAAGACGCGTGCAAAGATCTCGACCCATCTCCTTGCTCAAGGAAAATCGTCTGATGCCGAGAGCAGCAAGTCTTCATCAGAGCAGACAACCGAGACTCCAGCCGCCAAAGAGGAGACTGCTAGTACCACCAGCTCTGAGCTCCGAGTCGAGGAACAGAAGAAGGAAGTCGGCACTGCCATCAGAATCGAAGATGTCAGAAGCTTCAAGGCTAGTATGCCTCTGTCCGAGGCTATGAGACCTGTCAAGGATGTGGCCGAGTTTGAGGACCTAGGCGCCAAGCTCTAGGTGAACTTTCGCTCGAGGACAAGTTGTGCTTGCATTAGTGGATTTCTGTTTGGACGCGGGTGCGGGTTTACGACATGGTTGCATGAAAGGTGGGGATACCTCGGACATGTCTTGTTATCTGATTTCATGATTATGCAAGGCTCGAATGCTTAGAAGAATAGACAGTTTTCTTCTAGCCATCTCTTCTGAGGCTGTGCACGTGTTTTGTTGATTGTGTCACTGCTTTGTATTTATTGCTGGAAATCGCGAGAAGTGACCCACAAGTTGCCTCATTTCGGAGGAACCACCCAGCAAGGTTCTTCCTTCTCTGGAGACAGCGCTGTTCCGTAGGCGCGCACCACGCTCTTGCCAATCTTCCGCAACAAACAGTGTCTTCACAAGCTGACATCGCGTTTCTTCCCTTGAGCTCCATCAACCACATCGCACAAGCAACACGTCTGCGTCACTGCATTAAGCGCGTATCTTTGCAACCAGTCGTTGCTTCCCTCTCAACACTACAGCCCTTTGTGGCACGCAAGACACAGATTACATCTTGGAAGCCACGTTCAAGTCGCGTGCACATCGCAACTTCTGGCGCTTCTTCCCTTCACTGGAGACACACAACTTCATCGTCGGCCCAGTCGACTGCGAGGACTGCACAGGCCTCCTTCTTTTTCTGTTCTAACATCTCGCTCGGGCTCCATCTGTCTCGCAATTTGGTGTCGTTGCCGCCACGCAGCTCCACATTCACTGAGCAATCGAACGATCAGCTTGCTCTGCTCAGCTGGATCTTTACATAACCCTGGCTTCTTGTTTCCCACTGCACTTGACTCGCCGACTTGAGAACACACATTGAGACTCGTTCCTCTCTCAGTACTTGATCACCAATCAGAGTCTCAGAGACATGGCAGCCAGCGTAGATTTTTCGACTGTTATCGTTCCCAGCGAGGGGCTGCCGACTCCGCCAAGCCATATCCTCGCCTTGCCACATGAGTTGCTCAGCATGATTGTGTCGGAGTGCGATCCAAACGATCTGAAGAACGTACGCCTGACATTCAAACTGATGCATGCCATTTCGATCAAGCACTTTGGGCGCAAGAAGTTCTCTCGTCGTCGATTCGTATTCACCTTTGAAAGTATGAAGGCACTACTTGACATCACAGCGCATCCGGTATTTGGTCCTGGTCTGAAGTGCATCACTTTCGGTACCTATCGGATGGCTCCGTGGAATGACTGTGAAATTGAGGATGAGCATAGCGACGATCCGAACGTACTGCACGATCAGATTGATTACAAGCACCAAAAGTTCATCCATTGCAATGATCATGTCAAGATGTTGGTATTGAGTCTCGAGAATCTCACCCGATGTGGAAACACAGAGGTCGTTCTGGGCATTCATGATGACATTCACGGTATTGAGGTGAGACGTCCAGGATACGCTTTCAAGGCTTCCTACCGAGGATACCCCTTGAAGATCGTGGACCCTCGGGAGACCATTGACGCAGTGACTGAAGCCGCATCTCGCAGCAAGTATGCAATCAAGGCTCTTAAACTCTGCCTCTCCTCATCATCCTACAGCTTGAGAAACTTGGTGGGTAGCGAACGAGACGTGCTCCACGAGATTTTGAGTGCAAAGAAACAGCTGCGAGAAAGACAAGGTCGAAAGATGGATCTTCACTTAAATGTCTGGCTATCGCAGTCGTACACCAAGATGAAGATTCTTTCCAACGCTACTCGTCTCGAGTTGTCAAGATACTCTTTCAACAGATCGGTACCACAAGAACGTTTCCAGATCTTTGACCAGCTCAGCCACGGGGAGTTGTGGGATACCGTAAGCTCCACGGCTCTAGACACCATAGTTATCAGGAACTCGGCCGGCGGATACGACGAATTTACAGACTTCCTACGAAGACACAAGCGTTCGTTGACAACATTTGAACTTGAGGGATTCGACTTCTTATTGGATGAATTCCCCACGGCCTTGTTGGCTCTGAGATTCCTCCGATTTCTAAAGTCTGACTTCCAACTGAGCTGTTTGTCCATGGAGAAATTGACTGTAAGAGAAACTCTTGAGGTACCAGACTCAGGCAGAGTGGTGTATCATGGTGCTGAACAGGTTGATGAGGGACTGCAAAGTCTGATTGAAGAGGCTGAGGAAATGTATGGAGACGAATCAGTCGTGCTGAAAGAAGCATATGAGCAGGATGGCTTGACGTGGAGCTAGAATAGCATGAAGCAAGTTCCTTGCTACGATTTGGACCTTACCAGATAACAAGTATCCCTGGCTCCAGCGCTCGGTTGATCGAAAAGAGATTGATCGGGCCAATGGCTCGAGACGCTGGCTCGTTGACGGTGTAAATGTTCCACCAAAATCTAGGTATTGATGCCAATAACGGATTGACCACCACTGCGATGTGTACGATGACCGATTAAGCTGACATGCCGTCCATAGAAGTCCTGTATGTTCCCTGACTCAGTCTGACCATTTACCATGAATACCGGACATGTTGTGACTACGACCCGGTCTCAAAAACATACTCTCCCATAGCACGCTCTTATGAGCGAGGTACAATTGCTGTAGTTCTAAGCTTCTGTCGACACGTCTTGAGATTGAGATGGTAGTGATCTGATCGGTGCCATCACTTCCCCACTGTTCGGACAAGCCTATCAATCTCAATGGTGCGTGAGAGGAGATGACGGGAACTCTTGGGCAATACGAGGGACTGATCCTGGAAGCATCGCAAGGTTGAAAAGACGATCGTCGAGATGGAAATAACACAGGATCAACGAAGTAGTCATCACGTCATGAGTACCTCTGAAACCAATTTAAATTGGAGGTAGACTGCTCAGGAATACCTCATACCTCCAAAACAGCCGAATGAACAGGAAACCCCCTGGGCAATCAGAGACCCCCATTGCAAACCCGTCAATCCCATCTCACAGGCACTCAAAAGTCCTGAAACGTCCTCGTCTCCCTAGTACTACTGCCCCTTGACGGCCCACCAATATGACCTTCGCTCTGAGGAGGGGTCTTGCCCTCGCGTCTCAAATAGTCAGCATACAGTTTTCCGGTTTCAGCCTTGAATCTTGGACTTCTCGCTCCCTCTCCGCCTCTAACAGGAACGTCGAGCGATGATCTGCCAATGACATTCGGTGGCGGAGATGGAAATGTGTTGATGATTTCAGAGGGCCTTCTAAGACTTCCAGTAACCATTTCCTGCTCTACCATGACGATCATCCAGACGCCAACTTGTTCGTCGCTGCCGAGAAGCGGTGTACAATGAATCCATCGTGGCTTTCCTTCGATAGTAGTGCGATGAGGACTGCCAGCAGGGGCAGGTGTCGAGAGCCAGGAGATTTTGGCTGTGACCGGGGTACCATGAGTCAAGCTGTCGAGCACGCCGTCACGAACGTCCTGGGGTCCACCAAGACGTTCCATCAGTTTCGTCTGAAGGAGTCCTGGTATGCGGAGGGCGGGAGATGTGAAAGTGATACGTAGGGACGGATACGGGCGGACAAGCAAGTACTATGCACATCAGTCAGTGTTTCTTGTCGGCTGGTGGAGGCCATTGCTTACATTCTGATATACACCAGGTAGACGTCCAGACGGACCCAGAGATGGATGAGGCCACAGCCCACGTTCGAGAGCATCGTCCATGCCGAAGACCTTGCGCGCGGGGCGAGCGAGAGACAGGTTGCGAGATGAGGCAGTTGGAGGCGTGTCGCGCGACTGACTGCGTGGTCGTATATTAACCGCGTCCAGCTCTTCGTCGTTCATCATCTGACCTAGCTCTCCCAATACCTGGGTCGGCTCACGCATGCTTCTCCCACGGTACCGCTCCTCTGTGCGGTCATTTGCAAGAAGCTTCTCGAAGGAGTCCAGACCTTTACCGCCTTCGATGAGGTTTGTGACGTCAATCTGAGCACCCACAAAGTATCGTACTGTGCCTTTGTTATCGTACAGTGGTGCAAGCATGAGTAGGTTCATGAATGGTATCCCATTTCTCCGGCTTGAAGCTATCAGCAAGTGCCACGATTGGATGCAAAGATGTTCTCACTAGTTCAGGAGCGTCTCTGTGATTTCTTGACCAGCATGCAGAGCTTCTATCAATCGATGTACGCTGGCCGAGGAAGTTTTCGGGCCCTGCAAGAAGCGACAGTTGCGGCCGATCACAAAGTCTTTTTCATAACCACTTATGTCGTAGAAGGCTGTTTGTGATAAGCATTTGGACAGAGCGGAGAAAATTGTGCATGAAGCTGACCTTCGGAGGCGTACACGATCGGATTGTCGGATACAGAGGGATCAGTGATACAGTACACTTCTGCTAGGGACGGTATCAAGTCACGCATGACGGGCGCGTTGTTGCCAGTGATCTCCTTGACGAGACTATCTGTCACTGTCTGCACGAGGCGATGAGTGAGGTATGCTGGCAAGGCGTCGTCAACCAGTGCCTGTACGACCAAGCGCGAACGCTCCTGGAAGCTCTCATCGACCACGGCTGCTGGCTTGGGCGTATGACCCGTTGTCGAGCGGTGATTATTCGCCAGCGAGTTGGCGTATTCTATTGCAGCAACTGCCTTTTGCGTGTCTACATAGCTCTCTAGAGCAGGTAGAGTGTATGGTTTGTACTGTGTGAGGAATCGACGGAAGCGAGAAAACAATTGATAGTCGCGAAGAATGACATTTAGGTGGTCCACTGAAAAATAGCGAGTGCTGAGGTGCTCCATATTGGAGTGTGAGACGGAGGGCGGAGGAGGTTTAAGATCGTAATACTCGTGCTCGTCTCCGGATCCAGAGTGTGGTGCTGTCGTAGGTTCTGTATGATAATCGTCTTGTGCTTCTTCCTCCAGGGGATCAAATATTGATGCTTGAATCGGCGAGATGGACCCCTGACGTGTTGACGCCATGTCTGGAATTTCGGGTGGACCATCAAACGCGGAAGCGACGCTCGAGTGTTGCTGCACCTGTCTGGGTAAGATGTTGGTCGCACTGAATGTCGATTCCACTCCAGATGATTCTGGGCGGTTCCCACTTCTGAGAAATGAAGGCAGACGTAGTTTTGATGACCGTCGTGCTTGGTGGTTTGCGTCTTGCATCTTATCTGCGAATAAAGCACCACAGTGTGCCTACTATGCGAAGTTCGGATTGTGTAGATGCTGGAATACTTGCCGTGGGAAATTGCAAGCGACCCAATGCCTGCTTAATCTCGCTCGGTAGACATGAAAATGAGGATAAAGGTCGAAGCACGAACGACGGCAGCCACATGGGTTTTGACATGTTTGGAAGCGTCATGGTTACTCTACCTCTCATCTGACCGCCGTCTCGCGTGCGGGAAAGTGGTCGGTCTGCCCTGAGATTAGCGATGCGGCGAGCACCACACCATGCAGGATACAAGCATAGCCTTGTCAGCATGGCTGCAGCAGAGGGTCGTCGTGTGTAAAATGATGGGGACCCCAGCGGAGATGTGCCAGTCTCGAACGTCATGACTTCGCAGGGGACATCTTGTAACATGGTGTCTGCCTCACCCCGAACGTTTTGCCTGAGGATATGATCAAGCAGAGCATCGCGCATTCGGCATCACTGTTTTCAGTTCAGATTGAATATGGATGCTCGGTATTGTGAGAAGGTGCTGTCGAGCATGGCAAACTCAATCTTGCGGAGGAGCCCGTCGCGCAAAGCTCCTTGGCCACGACACTCCGCATGCCTACTCGATTCTGCACCATGATGATCGAAGCATCCTGTCGTCGGAAAAGGACCCGGAGACAGTACGAGCAACGAGTAAAGAGGGTCCTATTGCACTCGGGGTAACATGTCCCCTTGTCCGGCTTGTACTGTATCTGAAGTTTACTGTCACTGACGCGATATAAAACGCGTTGGTCGGAGACTCGGCCTAAATGAATACAGCCACACTAACATATTACCCGATGAGACCCGCGCAGATCATGCTAGCTATCAATCTCCTACGATTTGTTGGAATTACGAGGACCATGAGTCACAAGGGGTATAAGTTTACATTTCGCTGCAGCACATAGGATAGAGACCTCGGTCAACAAATTACAAAGACAACAACTATGCCGCTGGAAGTGCGACAAGTGGAGGCAGGCGACATTGCTGATATCGCCAGGATGGACCGCATCACGATGAAGGATGTTGGCATCTCTAGAGCAATATGGAAGATACAGGAAGCCGAGGGTATGGATATAACTTATTCATTCATGAGGTTCATCTCGATAGGGATGGAGCATCATGCAAAGACCTTTTGGAAAGTTGTCGACACCGAGAGCAACGAGCTGGTTGCGGTGGGCAAATTCACGTTCCAATACCATGAAGGTGAGGCTTACCAGGACACGCCTGTGGGAGGCGAGGAAGCGATACCTAAGAGCCTGCTGGACTTTTTTGCATGGCTCAACGTAGGGTCAACCGAGTTTGCGAAACAGAACTTCACGGGTAGACGACACGCACGTGAGTGTTTGTGCTCAACGTCAAGCGTGTAGAGTTCGAAGACTGACAGGGGAGCAAACAGATCTTGCATATCTTGCGACGCACCCAATGCATCGAAAGCGTGGAGCGGCACGCATGCTACTCGAGAAAGGTACAAAGGCAGCCGACGAAGCAGGGCTGGACATGTATCTCCAAGCGTCTCCAGTGGGAGTGGGAGTGTACCAGAAGTTTGGATTCGAGGTGGTGTCAGTTGAGGACATTGACTTGAACCCGTATGGAGTGGACAAGGTGGATACAAGAACGTATATGAAGAGGGTGGCTCAAAGTGGATGATAAAGTGTAGCGGGATGTGAACAGAACGGTTGCGGATTCTCATATATTTGCAACGGTGGGCTATAGGAACAGGATGCCGGACTCAGACAATACATCAGCCACGGCCGAAGAGATTGATTGAGATGTCGAGAGTTCATCCTGTCATGTGAGAGGAGCGTCTAGATGGGTGCATGCAAGATGCATGACAGGGGCCGAGATGGGTTGTTTCCGAGGCTGACCTTGTCGATAATATTTCTCCAGAAAAGTCATTGGACGGGACGGGGCTTTGAGCGGCGGGTGGCAGGAGCGGCTGTCTCCAAACTTAATTACTTCAACGGAGGCGCGCTTTGCGGTTTGGCGGCGGCGCATGATGCGGCCATGTACCGGGTCATGCAGTTTAAACGTTGACTTTGGTGAACAGACAAAAGCGGCTCTGGATCCTGATCTGCCCTGCTGCATGTTGGAGTTGCTGGTAGCTGCATATGCATGACGGCCGCATGTATTCCCACGCAAACAAAACAACAATGGCTCTATCAAATGTCGAGTCCCACGGCCTGCCGACTCCGCCATCGCCAACTCTGACGAACCCGGACATGGTGCTGCCGAGCACGTTTGTGCTGGACGTCGACGAAGCGCAAGAACCAGGCGGTCCGCCGTCGCCTTCGTATCTTCTGGCCCAGTCGAGCAAGAAGCTGCGGAACAAGAGAAAGTCACGGCCAGATCTTCGCGCGCCGTCGCGTTCGCCAAACAACGCATTCGCCTCATCGCCGACTCTCAATGCAGAGAGCCCAGGATGGGATGACCGCAGACACAGCTATGCCGCCAGCAGCATCCTCACCGACGACCTGGAGAACATGCAGATCCCCAGGTTCGAGTCCAGCCTGGACTCGGATACCGAAACACTGGACGAGGACGACTTTGACATCGACACACCCAGCGACATGTCCTACGGCGACGTCCTGAAGGCCGAGCAGTCCAACGTCACTCTTATGCGAGCCGAACTCATTCTCGCCAACGCAAAGAAGCGTCTCAATGTACCTCTATTGCAGAGCACGTGAGAGCAGACGAGAGAAGCTGACATGCAACAGGTCATGGACCAGAACCTACGAGGAGCCCGCGAAATCGTCACGCCCTTGACTGCTGCAAATCTCAAGCGCGCCACCTCCCTCACCACCGCTCCCGTACGCAACACGTCCTTCTCCCGCCCTCGCTACCTGCCACAGAATCACCAATCACCAAACACGCAGCATATGCGTGTGCTCAGCGAGTCAAACGTCCAATCCGACGACCGTCGTTACATGTCCCTCAACATCAACTCATCTCCGTCATGGACAGCGAATCCAGTCCGCACCACACGCAGCTCCGAATTGCTACGCTATCCTCGCAGCCCGCTCAGCCCAGACCCTCAACTCGACACTGTGTCTGAGGAGCAGAGTGTGCGCAGTCAGACGTCGGCACACAATTTGCGTGAACAGATGATGCAGCTAAGAGGTAGAATATCCACACTGAAAGAGAGGGCCCAAGAGGAGAAGATGAGGAGGAGAAGCACAAACAACTTGCGCCAAAACTGTCCTCTGAATGACGCCGACTCTTCTCCTGGAGCGAAGGGCTCACCCCGACCAAGACTTGCACGCATCACAAAAGCAAGCAACGTGCCTGGTGCTTGGGTATCTGCAGAAACCATCGACGCCGATCAATTTCAAGCAGAGGAGAGAGGGCACAACGACGACGTGGACGACGTGGACGACGACGACGATACCTACACTCTCCCACTCTCTGGCTCAGGCCGCACAGACCGCACCTCTACACCCACCACGGCAACCACGGACCACTCCAACCCACGCAGCGTCTACGAGGATGCGCCCGAGTCTTCTCCGCTGGTGTCTGGCCCACGCCATGAAGACCGCCATGATGCCTTTGACTACTCCAGATTCTTCTTGCACTCTGCAACCGGCACTTTCGAGCCCAACACCCCCACCCGTCACACCCGCAGCACTTCCCTCAGCTCCTCCGACTCTTGTTTGACCGCCCGCGCATACCCCGTCAACTCCACCCTTCCCACCACCGGAGCCGAACAAGACGATGAAGACCTGCAAGCACCGCCAACCCCAGAAACTCCAGAGGCCCTTCGCCACATCGAAGACGTCAAGATGCCTTCCCGCATACAGCATCGTCGCGGTCTGTCGGCCGAATCTCTAGCCACCATCGCCACCTTTGAGACGGCTGAAGAAGGCCACCAAATCTCAATCGCTCAATGGCTCTCCCGTTCAACTTCCGCTTCGTCTATCCACAATCCAAGCGACCTGTCAAAGCCGCCTAGCCGAACTCACCCCTCCACCCAAGGTGGTCTCCCAAGCCCTGCCATGCCGCCCACCTACACCCCTGCATCTGCTCAACAAGGCCAACAGTACATCTCCATCTCTCCTTCGGCCACCACCATTGCTGTTTCTGCTCTGCTTGACCCGGCCAAGGGACAAGGCTTGGGAAGTAAAGACGAAGCTCTCGTATACACTCTAGTCGAAGGCTTGCGAGACGTCGTTGGAGAGTTGCAGCTAGGTGCAGGAGGTGAAGAAAGACGACGTTGGTTAAGAAGACGCCTCGACGAGGCGAGGAGGGTCCTAGAGGGTGAGGACCTCGAGAGGTGAAGCGTGAGTTGTGCTGCATTGTCTCGCTTCCGGCTCCATCGTTTTTCATTCTCATTTGCTCGTTGCCTATTTCCCGTTTCTCTTTTTTCATCTGGCTCTTTACATTTCACTTTCTCTCACAATTGATACCCTTCATATATTATTTCACATAATCATACTTCTTCTACTTCACAAAGCTCGATACACGTCCAGCTTCGCTGCCTGCGAAACGCCAGCTGCAGCACCTGCCTCACGCAATACTCATCTGCTTAGCTGATTACTCTTTGCCCAAGTTCTTAACCTCGTAATCTTCCTTCATTCACAGCACTGCTAAGCGATCAATATCACTCCTTCATCAGCAGAAGAACGCGAGACTGGGCACTTGTTGTCGCCGCCGCTCACACGTTAGCCACTTCCCTCGCTTCGATCATACGCCGACAACCTTTGTTCACTTTCCTCGATATCAAAAGTCCTGCCACTAATTTACATTCCACAACATGCCATGGTCAACCATCCCATGGGAATCCGAAGAGGCTTCTGGAGCCTTGGATGTCTCGTCACGGTTGAAGAAGCCTCAAAATCTAGCTAAACCATCAATTCTTCTCCACCTGCCCGCAGAGCTCTGGGGAATCGTTCTTGGTTACCTCACTCAATCGCACCTGTTCCAAGTCCGGAACACGCACAACAAACAGCTCTGCGTATTCGCCAAGCCCTGCTTCGCTCGAACCCTACCGGATGTCTGGCGCTTTGTGTTGACTGTGGAGAGCATGGTGATGCTCGAACGACTGACGGCCGATCCTGACTATGTTCCCCACTGCAAGCACATCAGCTTTGGATCATTCCAAATTAGAGTCGACGGCCACGTACCTTGTCCAGATGAACCGAGATGCGAATCTTTCCATGACCCGTGGTCGGTATGCGCGAATGTGCACAGACAAGCATGGTCATCTACGGAGCGCAAGATGATCCTGTTCGACCACCGGTCGTTGCAACAGAATTTGACTGATCACAACAAGGTTGCCGAAACACAAGAGCAATTCCTCGATACGGGCGAACACACGAACAGGATCGTGCGAGCTTTGTCCAACCTTATGAGAGCTGGCATGAATGAAGTCACACTGGGTATACGCGAAGATTACACTGACTTGATACATGACGAGGACTACATGGGTCCCACGTCGAAGATCTATCATGGCGCCTTTCTCTCGAACCAACAACAAATTCCACGCACTCTGAATGCACTCAGGAATGCGATTGAGATTAGCAGGTACCCATTGGAGAAGCTGGTCGTGGTTTTGCGCGAACACGATCATCATTTGTCTATCGATGACGTTCTCTGGACTCATTTGAATTCGACACCCGAAGTTCACATCACACTAGTGTTTGACAAGGCCGTGGGACGCTCTATCTCCATCCTCAAGACAAACGCAGACTACGTCCTCAAGATGAATGAACACGATCTCTGGGACAACATGAACTGGCTTGGCCTTCCGTTGTTCGTGAAATCCCATTACGGAACTCTCTGGGACGAATTGCTCGCGATGCCCCTTCGTACTATCCAGCTTTCCAACGTTAGAGACTATTATGGGGCTCTAGAGCGTGTTCTCAGCTCGACCGCTATCGAGCACTTGGACCTCACTGCTATCCAGATGGCACAAGAAGTTAAATCTTATTGGAACAGAATTGTGGGGGCATCGACACCAAACACCGCAATCACACTTTGCCAACATATCAAAAAGCTACCCAAGCTCACCTCCCTCAGGCTCGAGAACATCAGGGATGACAGAGGTGGCACTACTTTGTGGATTCAGCAGGAAAGAGTGCATTGGGAGGGACAGGAGGAAATCCAAGTTGATTTGGATGGCATCCTCGAAAAAGTCAAGGACCGGAGTTGGTTGCCACTGCGTGATGATCACGGTCATGTCAACAAATTCCAGATCTAGATCTTCGAATCTTTGGTAGGCAAGGAAGAAGATTGCTGGAGACAATCACTAACGGGATTTTTGAGACTTTTACCATGGAGCACCAATCAGTTGCATTACCAGACACACAGGGGCATACAAATAAGCAGAAAAGGATGACAGACTGCGAGAAGATATCGAGATATCGAGAGACTACATAGTCATGGTCAACTACATAATCAGAGAAACAATTAGTCTCTGCAGCGCATAAATCATTTACTCCTACTCCCAGATGAGTGGTTCAGGATCACTAAAGTGACGATGCATCAAATCAGCGCTACTGTTGCCGCGAAAACCAGAGGAGTCACTATCACACGGACAATATGAGAGCTCTCGCTCTTGCCCTTCGTTTTCAATGGTTATATCTTGAGGCAGATTTCTTCCAGCTATTTCTTGTCGCCATCCTCTATACCATCTACCGCCCAGCAGTATCATTACTGTGCTCTGCGCTCATGGTTAAAAACAATTCGCCATGGTGACGTGATGTTCATACATCGCTCGAGTATCATGTCCGTCGGGCTTTTTTGAGCTAGCGTTTATGCAGAGATCATTAAAAAGGGGTAGAAGGCACAAAGGAGTATGAATTTGTCCAGTACTTTTGCTTCCTCGTTTCATCTGCTCCCGAGAGTACTGCTTGTCGATCTTGTCCTCTGAAGGTTTGCCTTTTCCGATCCCAAGACCTTTGCTGTGATATCGCTCCTTTACCATGATCGATCTTGCCCTGCCTTTGAGTCTTCCTCAAGTATACTTCGTCTCGTTTCTGCTCATCTCGATATCCGCTTGTGCTGCTATCTCAAATCTGTAGTAGCGCTGAAAACTGTGATGTCCGCACGAATCTTCAAGTGCTGTCGTTCTAGAGACTCGATGAGAATTGGTCTGGCTCTCTGCAGATTCCGTCTGACATTCACATGTATTCGTAATTTCCCATCGCGATCAGATCATCTAGGTGTCCTTGGATCTCTTCTTGACCGCTCCATTCTACCCTCTTCTTCTGAATGTCACGCGAACCATCTCCCGGGATCTTTTCGAGAATGAGAGTATCTAGTCTGACGAAAGTCTTCAAGTGTCGAAGAAACGCGAGTGAGGTACATAACCAACCACGCTCATCGAAGTGTTCGGAGTAAGAAATCTTTGTCAGTTCCAGGCTCTCGAGATATTCCGGCTTCAAGTTCAAGTCTTCACTGAGGAAGTCGTAGTGCGCATATGCGTCACACATTGTGACCTTGTGAAAGCTTTTATTGCGTATGTAGCCATGAAGAGCTCCGTAGTTATGCTCTCCAAAGACAGGATTGGGTATGCGAGAGTCTTTCGATACGAAGTACTGTTCCCTGATGTCAAGATGCGTTCCATTGGACAGAATCTTCGTCACCATGGCTGGGAGCTCTCTGAAGTTCTCATCATGCGACTCGGGACGTAACATGATCGTAATGTTAGGAATTGGTGTCAGTCTTTCCCAGAAGATATCTGCTGGTTGAATGTTGTTGGCCGAGACACGAACAGTCGATCAATGGATTTCGACTGCGCTTAGCGGGTAGCGGGAGAGTTTGACTGCATTGGAGATAATCTGAAGACTGCTCGAGTAGTCGTTAGTGGTATGCGCGGGTGTGAGATCAAACTCATTCAGTCTCTCACTGAAGTGGCCGTGTCTCCTCCATTGCTCATCGTGGATGCTGAGGCTGGTAGTGTGATTACAAAGATTCAGTACCATGAGAGCTTGAGTTAACTCTGCCAGAGGTGCTGCTGTCATAAAGTATGTGTGTTGCGCTCCCACAGCTCTGTTGTGTTTGTCGATGTGCTCGACCAATTTGGCCCTCTTTTTCGTGAACTTCTTAAATCCCCAGTTCGGGTTGTTCTTCCCCATGATCCGACGTCTTTCCCGAGTCCTCAGAATACTTGCTTTGACCTCCTCTCTGAGACTTGGAATGTGATCAAGCCGGTATGTACAAAGATTGATTCTTGCTGATCCCACCAAGTCCATTCATGCTCTGTTTACGAAAGCGTAGATACAGATGACCATCCCATTGCTCGGCTAGCATTTCCGCTACGATGGGCTCGAAGTCTTTGCATGTCAGGCGAATGTGAGGTCTCGAGTCTTCAAAGTCGTCATACTCGTTACACTCCTTGAATATCATTCTCAGAAGTTCTGTAGGAAGCCTCAGCATCGGTGGAATTGTCGGTCCCGAGCCTGTGGTGGATACTGTTGTGCTGGTGGCGGGATGTGCACTCGAAATGGTGGGTCACGGATTGCTGGAAGACACGATCGGAGGATATGCAGAAGATGTTGAGAAAGAATGCTTGAGGTGTTGGTGATTGCGGGCTAGCGATATCGACTTCCAATAGGATTGCGAGCTCTAGGGAGGGTAGAATGAGCTGGTGTGGAAATGATAAATCAAGGCCAGTGAGAAGCGTATTGCCAATACGTGTGAAGTGCCCCGAGTGCTGGTGCCGGTAAGAGTGACAGAGAGGAATACTGAGTCCTTGCACGGTGCAGATTATTACAGAGAGAGTGTGTGCGTGGTGTGAAGAAAGTGCGGTCGTAAAGCGTGACAGCTTGTCGTATTGCCCCTCGAGAGATGGATCAAGATGGAGAGTGAAGTTGTTGGCGTCCTATCGGCATTGTGCCTTCATCCGAAGACCTGAAGCGGGGTTGAGAACAAATACCCACCTGGACATCAGAGAAGATGGGAAGCTGACAGCTGCGCTCGTTTGCAGCAGTCGTTCACTGAGATGCGTCGAGGCCACCGAATGTCCACAAAACCCGCAAGAGATTCTGGACTGTGCGTTGATAGTGCTTTCCATCTGTAATCAAGTTGTAGCGTGCGTTACTAATATTATTCCTGACGCTGTGTTCTGTAGTCTAGTTCATTGTGATGTGGGCTACTGACGAGCTCTCGTTTCAAGTCTAGGCAGATAATCGCTCCGGGAGAGTAACACATTCGTTATCCTATGTGGGCAATCTTTGTCATGATATCGATCATTGCTTTGCAGCAGTCAAGCTGAGAAAGATGCCCCAGACAAGACCCACTGCGCTCAGAAAGATAATGCGCCTTTCCACCAGGACCAAAGCAAAGCTGACAATAGATGCCAAGGGCCAGATCTTGTAGCTCGCATACATGGTGGGAAAGGCGTCCTGTATAGAAAGATTATTACAGCGAGGTTCGAGTTACACGTGCACACCACCATGCAGTTGATGCACAGTGGAGGGGAACCGGTTGGAGGTAACAGAGGACGGAGAATGTGTGTATCGAGTGTTGACGCGTCCGTCCGGGGTTGTGTGGCGTTCGCGTTGCACTTTGATGATGATAACTACTACGCCACACGCCTTACTCAGCCACATCACTTGTAAGCAGAACTTGTTCAACTTGGTTCATAACGACATTATTTTGGTATCGTGATCTAGTCATGCATCCCGTCAATCCCGTCAAAAGAAGGCTGGCACAAGCTCGATCGCAGTGCAACTACTTGACAGCCTTGTCACAAAGTAGAGGGCTCCCTCGTCCCTACACGTGGCAGGACGATACGCTACGCCTCCCACATTACATCCCAGGACACCATCTTGGCTGCGACAGTTGAGTCTTTCGCGGGTACTGCTTCCTCCATATGGCGAGAAGCTCAATTTCTGGGTATCCAAGTCTGGATTTAGCGCGGCAACGTAACCTTGAGAAGGACTCTGCTCCACAAGGTCACCAGAAGAGTCGATGGTGAACTTTGTCGCCAACGCCTTATTGGTTGTGAAAGTGACCGACCCGCCAATACCAGCGCTTACAACAGCGAAATTTGCGTTGCTTCTCCCAACACTGCTGCCGCTTTGAAGGTAGAAAGCATAGCTTGGCGGCGTCACCGGAGTGAAGGTGTTGCTAGGTGCGATGAAGGCTTTCGTCGAAGAGTAGATACTAGTCGAAGGTACCTGGGCGAAGATTGTGGGAGAAGGTGTCGTCGAAGGTGATAATTGGTTGACTGCCGTAAATGCTATGAATGCCGTGTTCGAGATAGAGGATGTGCTCGGATGTGAGTCGACCTCGTCCGTCGAATCCCAATAATCACAATCATCGGTGATGGTATCGATATCAGAGATTGGCAATCCCAAGACCATGGTAACCGGAATGGCCAGAAGAGTCCAAATGTGTACGATCTTTCTGGAATGCATCTTTACTTCGCCGGTGTAAGACAGATCTGTAGGTACAAGCTGAAGTGCAGACAAGTATGCTTATATTTTGACTTGTTTACAAAGGTATAACGTTTTTGTCGTCGCTTACAAGTTCTCTCCGAGCTTCTCCTGTTACCTATCAGGGGTGGTCAATAGTCTCCGTTAGGGAACATGAAGCTCAGGACGAAGGATCTGAAACATCGAGGTAGTGGCAGTTGTCATCTCAGCAGTGGGCTTGAAGCGAACCCTCACCAGGGCTCGAGCTCGGCGCAAGTCTGCAAAGATTTTGTGTATGATTTGTCGATGTTCGAGTATCCTCTGCATTATCTTCCGCTACTCTGCATCCCACTACACTCTCTCGGTACGAGAGGGTTGGAGAAAGGGAAGGAGATTGAGCCACCACGCCAAGAAGCGAAGTAGATTGTGACCTCGGTGATCCGAACGTGGAGAAATCCTTCGCTGCGCCGTTTGCTCCTTACCAAGCTTCTTTTTCCAGAAGCGATATGGACAGACACATTGTGGTCATTATTCTCGCCATCTACGTGCGTAACACGAAACACTTCAACGGGGCATATCAGCATCGCGATGCATTAGTCCTCGCTCTAGCTCCATTGCGGCATAACACAGCTGCTTCCAGCCGCCTGAGTCCAGTCGAACTCCTAGGTATAAGGACAGTCTGAATCCGGAGTCTCCTCCATGGCGCATCAACGTTGCACACAGGCCGAGACAAGAAGGACTTGTCCGGAGGGCGGACCATCCTTACGACGTACGGAACCTTGTTGGACTCTTGCACAACGCACCGCGGTGATCGCGATTAGGGCATCCAGCAGGACTCATTTCAATAGACATAACGACCCTCCAAATCATGATTGCGTTGCCTTCCCGGTAAGTCGCTTTTGGATCTCACCGATTGAGACCTTTCACAAAGCCTTGGTCGACATGAGTCTTTCACGCTTCTCGAGAAACGCTAGCCATCGTGCCGTACATGCCAAGAAGGTGTTCAAGCTCTGATCACCAGCCGTGATATTTGAGGGTGGGTCGTGTTCGGAACACACTCAGCAGTAAAGCGGTCCCGCTGTATACACGGCAACTACTAATTAGGCGACACAAGAGTGGTCTTGCACCAAAGATATGGAGCTCATTAACATGGAGGATAAGTACATTATCTCATTCCACCCAACCCGTGCCTGATTCTCAAGTCTACTGCAACAGTCAGAGCATGCACCGTTGCTAGTGTCGGTACATCCATACCAAACTCCCTGGCCTTTCTCATCGGTGTGCCGAGTATCACATCCACCTCTAATCTTCTGCCCTCCCTTGCATCAACCATCATGCTGCTCTCTATTCCTGGCATACTTTGGATTCTCTCCATCAAGATATCTACGAGCCCATATTCCAATGCGACTCCAGATCTTCGCGCCACACCTATCACTTCCCGCATGAGGCGCTTCGTGACGGAGACACTCTCTTTCGAGGAAGATAGCCAGTCTTGCGTGTTCTGCTGTGTCAGCATTGTCAGAGGATTCCATGCGACCTACGAGAATTAGCTTATCACGTACCGGCACAGCACTCAGCATCACTTACATTCCACACAACCTTCTCCCATCGTCGGACTTGTATATCATCAGAGATGGTATACGGTGTTCCGCCCGCTCTCAACATTGCCGCGAAGCCTTCTAGCCTCGCAGTCTCTAAATCAGGCTCAATGTTTGGGTTGGGATACAGTCCGATGTCCGTATGCTCGGAAGCGGTATGTTTAATCACTCCTGGTGATTCTTGTGTCGCTCCTACCCATATCTGGCTACACATCAGCCTTGGCCAACTTCGACAAACAACGCAACATGGAAGCAAACTTACGACACAGCTCACAATGGTCGAATAAGGAAAAGACTGACGAAATGGCTCTTCGTTTCCTACTCCGTTTTGTAAAATCACGAATGTGGTGTCCATGTTCGCGACTGATCGGAAGTCATCAGGATCCAAGCCTGGAGTGATGGCCTTGTGCGCGCAGACGATGTAATCATATTTCGTCGCGATCTTGTGTGGACAGCTCAATACTGTGGAAGTCATCAGCCATCGAATCTCGATGTAGAGCAGAAGTGTTTCCGTACCTCTGTCAAAGTGTACAGTATGCGATCCATGATTCAAGGTGTGTATCGTCATACCCTGCAACCGTCAGACAACGGGTCACCCTGGCACTTTCGCATTGACGATCACAACTTTACATTTTTCTTGACCACTTCCAAATTCGATCTTGCAACTATGCTGAGCTCTACGCTCGGATCACGGCTGAGGATGAAAGCATAGAATCCTCCTATACTGTCGTTTGTCAAAATTGACCAGTCAGCTAATTACAGTCTTACACATCCCCGCTGTGGGAGGATCATCACTCACGCGCCGAGTCCATAAAGTAAAACTTTTGTCTTTTTTGTCTCTGTCGCTGTCATTCTAGATATCAGTAGAAGCACAATTGCTGGTCCAGCAGCGATTGAAAAGTGGTTGGCATGTCACTTCACCACCTCCGAGGTTTGTTGACCTTCGGAAGTGACGAGCACGTGTTTGCAAGAAAGCGGGCCAGTGCAACGGAAAACTTTCCCCTTTTGGCATAGTCCGGTTGCTCGATCTAATTGTTTTGCTCCCTACGGGGCGGGCCTCGATCTCGAAAGTGATTTGCTTACGAAGCAGAAAGTCGACTGCATCGCAGGAGTTGAAACAGTGACATGTCGTCGCTCGCTTGCTATTTGCGCAAGAAGAGATGGCGCTCCTCGTCTCGAGTCATAGTTGGACCCTGGATTTCTTGCAACCCCACATGTTCTCCCACGGAAAGACGGCCGGCAAACCTTTGTCTGAACACTGCAACAGCGACAACGTCCTGAACTCGGGGTGCGAAGTAACTTGATTTCTTATCAATATAGTATAATATGCCTTGTGATAGTCCCACGATCGCCTTTCAATGCGCCAGTGTTACGCACCACTCCTTCGCCCAGGCCCTGACGAACTTGGCCACCATCCCAGAATCAATCAGGTCCGGTATCCTCGACATGGTGGCACTGTCTTGGAATGTCTGGGTTGTCACGTAGCGACCAGCACTCTTCATCGGCGCATCCTCAGTAACATTGCCATATCTTTCGGCGAAGAAGTCTGTCAGTTTGACAGGAGGATTGGTCTCTGGATTCTGGTCACCAGCACGAAGCCTTTGCACCCACTCCTTCGGCGAAACTTCATCGAATGTAAGACCTGCGTTCCGTAAAGCTGGCAGGATATCACGAGTCCAGTGATAGACCTTCGGGTTTTGGATGTTATAGACGAGTCCGTCGTCTTTGAGCTGAGCGTCGTGAATTGGCTGGGCTATGCCGGAGAGCTCTGCGACAATTGATGCTGCCATATCTACTGGTAGCCACGAGAGCTCTTCATTGTGAGTCGGAAGAGCCTTGATTGTCGTTGCTGTCTGGATCATCAAGGCAATGGCCTCGGTTGTGTTCCACTGTCCGCGTTGGCTGTCTCCAGCGATCTGGCCAAGTCGCAGGACTCTAGCGTACATACCAGTGCTCTTCATGGCATTGTGCACGATACGCTCGGTCACCAACTTAGATCTGCCATATCCTGTCCCTTGGGCGTATTCAAGTTGTGGTACGGGGCCTTCCTCCACCTTCTGATCAGCAGGTGTACCTGCAGCCGATGAGACTGACGAGCAAAAGAAGAACTTTGCAGGCTTCGGCGTACGGGTAGAGAGACAGATCTGAATGAGGTTGTACGCTCCCTTGATATGCTGATCTTCAAAACTCTTGACACCGAGATTGAAGTTGACTGCCCAAGCACTGTGTATCACATGCGTAAGCTGCGAAATTAGCTCCTGGAAAGTATCCCTCTCGAGTCCGAGATCTGACTTGCTCAGATCACCAAGGAAAGGCACGATCTTTGCGCGTTCGGCTTCCGTGAGCGAAAGGTCGCGTGAGCGGAGAGCGTCTGATATTCTATCAGAGGCCTGAGAAACTGACGAAGCTCGGACTATAGCCCACACTGCTGAAACATTTTTCTGCTTGACCAGCTTGGTCAGTATGTGAATACCGACTGTGCCTGTGGCTCCCGTGAGAATTACAACATCCTTGCCGTCGGTAGTCGCCTTGCATTGTTCATGGTGCTTGAAGTCCGAGTATTTGGCGATGAGCTCCTCCATAACAGTGATCTCGTTGTCTTGGGTCTTAGTTTCGCCATTCCTTAGCGAATGAAGATGTCCGGCCAGTCCGCGGATGTTTTCTGTCTCGTATAGCACGTTCCGGCTCAGCGACCTATGGTTGCCTCCCAGATTAATCTGCTTCTTGATACTCGACCACATTCTGGTGGATTGAAGACTATCAATACCAGCTTGGTAGAAGTCTGTGTCGGAATCCAGTGAGACTTCAAGTTCCTTGTTGAACTCGCTGAGGAGCCAGCTCTCGAGCTCGGGTACCTCCAGTGTCAGATCTCCCAGCTGACCGTTCTCAAAGTCGTTATACACTTTCTCAATCTTGTCCTTGAACTGGTCGTAGACTTTGGCTCTGATAAAGGTCCCCTTATCAGTCTTTGGATATGCAGTGTCTGCGGCGACGAGAACTACCAGCTCTCTAGGGACTCTGGAAAAGCTTTCCGCTCTTGCGTTGGCATCTTCCACAGCAGGCCACACAGCTTGGAGGAACTCAGCGTCTGGCATGTTCTTCGCGTCGGAAGACCTAAAAATAATCACTCCTGGCACACTTCGACCGATGCCGAAAACCGCGGCCTCCTGAACCAAGCGGTCTTGACGGATGCGACCCTCGATAGGTAAGGGTAGGACTTTTTCGCCATTAACTAACGTCAGCCGATCGTCAAGTCTGCTAAGGTATCTCCAGAGGTTTGGCCTTGTCGGATGAGGGGCAAACAGGTCTCGAGATCGGAAAGAGTTTGGAGGATTGTTCGAGTTGACTGCGACTCTAGTCTTCAGACTCTCGAGCGCAACACACTCAAAGATACCAGGCGCTATTTCGTCCATCAAGACATGCTCTGAAACTGGTGGGTTGAGGCGACAATAGTTCCACTCGGTGTCTTCTGGCGATCGGAACGAGGTCATGATGCGACCAATCTCGGTGCAGCCATAGTTTTGCACCAAGTTGACACCTCGACTCACAAGAAGATCTCCGACATCATCTGGACAACCACTACCCGCATAAAGCACGAGCTTGACTTTTGCTAGCTCGTTAATCCCCTCTTCTGTTTCGCACAACAGCTTCAGTAAGTACGGCACACAATTGAAGATTTCGGGCTTCAAGTACTGTAGCTGAGCCGTTAACCCCTGGCGAGTGTGCGGGATCGTATAGTTGCAGAGATAGAGTGGCTTCTTAGAGTAGATTGTCCTGAACATCTCATAGAATCCCTGGCTGTGGAAAAGTGGAGATGCCAGAAATCCGCGCATGCCAAAGTTTTGCGTGAATGTCGCCAGGCATTGGGCGTGTCGAAGATAGATTGGTTTCGGAAAACCAGTTGACCCAGATGAGTGTATGATGACTGCGATTTTGTTCGTCTCTTTGGAAGGATCGCACCTGCGTCTGAAAGAGGGCGCATCGATACCAATGTAGTCTGATCGTTGTAACAGATCTATACGAACGAGAGGTCGTTCGGTCTCAACATCGTCAATGATTGAGCTGAACGAATCCGTGGAGATTAGAGTGGAGCAGTTCACCATTCCCATCAGCCGAGCGTAAGCTGGAGCTGCCAGTCTCGTTGATAGTAAAAGAGCTCCATAACCTAGTCTCAAGAGTCCAAAAAGTGTCACAACCATATCCAAGCCCGACACACACAACATGCCGACGATAGGAACTTCGTCCAGACTCGGATCCTTCAAGATGTCAGTCACAGTGCCAGGAGAATTTGGATCATACAATACTCACTGCAGGCTTCAGACCCAACTGTTGCAACCGAGCTGCTGCTGCATCTGCAAACTTGTCGACATCACGAGCAGAGTATTCCTCGAAATCTGTGAGACCTGAAACAGGGGCTCCTATCAAGGTAAAGTCCTCAAGCTCTGCAGCATGCGATCTGATCAAATCGTCTATCGTGTACAGAGAGTCATGGCTCTTTAACCGCAGCTTGCCGAACGACGCCGGGTCGAACGTTGTCTTTGTCTGAGTGATGCTAGACATGCTGTCTCTCGAGTCGACTGACGTTATTGTCTCCATGATCACAGGAGTAAGTTAGATACATATACTTCATGGTGAGGGTGCACAAAAGGGTAGCTCAATTGCGCTTTTCCGATAGAGCAGCCGGAAAAGTAGAAAGAAGATCATTTCCGCCAATCAGTGCCGTCATGTTTCCGGATAGAGCGGGGTAGGTGGGGGAGATTTTTCCGCATCTCAGCCCCGAGATGCTGCTTGTATGACCCTGACGATGAATAATTCGTAGCATCAACGGTATATTATTCGGGACCTAGATACGCAAGACGTCGACAGCAGTAGGCAGGACTCGGATTGTAAGCTGCAGCTTGGTATTCGGTGATGTTTCTGTGCAGACATCAACTACCTGACCATGATTAGGAACCGTAATATTCTCAACCTCAACGTGTGGGCAGGTTGGTAAAGCAGTGCCAACATTGACGCCCACACAACAACGTGCGACCAAACGACCTATATTCTGCTATCTGCTACACGTATAGGGCCTGATTTTCGCATCGCCGTAGAATCACTTGAGACACACCACGAACATCGGCATAGGGTACGACAAATCAAGTTCACTTGCAGAGCTCGGTTTGGCAAGATATAGTCTAAGGTATGGACATGATAAATTTCGTTTCGTATAGTTCGCTGCTAATATTACAGACATAACATCCTTTTGTTCATGATAAATTGTTGGCATCAAGTCGTGATACGTTCAGAGAGGGTTGTCAGCCTTGGCGAACTGACGAGCAGCGGCGTTGATGCTGTCGACAACGTCCTTGAAGGTCTGCTTGGATTCGGCAGAGAGATCTGACACCTCGTTGGCGGCAGGGTCACTCTCCTGGTTGCACCAATTGATCTCCAGGGTGTGGAGCTCGAGGACCTGATCGGTGCCGTAGACGTCCTTGGACTCGTGCGAGGGGAAGCCACGGAGTTGAGAGATGAGGCGCATCAATTCTTGGACATCGTCGCTGAAATGGCGAGTTAGTCGCGTGCTCACAGACAAGAATGATTGGATTTAAACTTACGAGGCCATGGTGCCAACTTTCTCCTCAATGGTGTTGCCGTGGTGGTGGGTCTGCTTGATGTTGGCAGAGCGGTTGGGCTCACCAGTGATATCTATGGTATGAGTGGGAGTGCCAGAGAAGGGCTTCTGGAGTCTGACGAGAAACTCGCCGGAAGGAGGGGGAGCCATAGAGCGAGGCATGCTGATGCAAGAAGTTGTTTGGTGGGGTGGAGGATGGGAAAGGCTTGTGTATAGAGTCAACGGACGAGTTTTGATGAAGGAAAAGGAAGAAGAGCTTAAGAATCTGCAACGAGAAGAATATAAACAGAGAGCTCCAAAATGGAGCTTGTACCTTTCTGCAGATGACGATATGTCTGCATCATCAACTTTTAGCTCGACAACTGTTCTGTTCCTGACAGCCAAGACACCCGATCACTGATGCATTGTATCTTGGGTGCCTTTCTGACATCGACGACCATTGACCACGTTCACTGTAAAGAGTGCTGCTAGCTTGAATTGGTCGTTGCTAATACTCTCAAGGAGATAAGAATGAGGCTATGAAGATGAGGGTCAGACTCCAGCATGGATATGGTAGACGTCATGCGGGGTGAGATCTCACGATTCTCAGCCTCAACGCTCCTCATCGTGGAGCTTCAACCTTCTGGCCAACGACATGCCGCGACAGTCGAAAAATGGAAAGACTTTCGAAGCTCGGGTTCGAATGTGTGCACTTCCCGGACCATGAGGACCAGCCATGGGAATTCGAGGAATCGACCAGCGCGCAAAAGTGCGCTACGTCCGTGAAGCAACACGTCACGGTATCGCGAGACCATTGCAACATGCCAGGATCGTCTGGAGTCGTACTGGTGTGTTCTGATTGATCTTCGGACCAGTAGAGATGCGACAAAGTGCGCGGTCAGATACTACCTCAGGCGAGACGAAAGGCAACACTCGAACGAGGCATCCAGAAAATATCGAAAGATTCACCTATTTGTCATATTACTTTCTCCAGATGACCTCCACATCCTGGTCGCTGGCATATACTACGATGTGTCCGGCGAATCATCAGATGCTTTCGACGAAGCCAGCTTCGACAAGTGCAAGTCTTCCAACCAACTTTCGAAGCTTCCTACACCGCCAGGCACAATTGCAGCGAGAAGTGATGTTGCTCACGCCTTAATGTTGCACGATAGAAGCATGATCTGAGGCCGATCTGCCTTCCTCTGCACAACAATACGAGATTTCGGCTCAGTGATCTTGACTGCTGCGGATTACGATGCCTTCCAGGAGACAGAACACGACTAATCATGCGACAAGACACCCTGCATGACGCATGTGACCTGCGAAAGATTGAGCATTGGCCCGAGTGGACAGTCGCAGAACTCACACGTACTCGCCCTTGAAGTTGTCTCGCGGTCCTGAGCGACAATGCTTTCGAAGAGATGGCTTACTGCAAGTGCCGATTCGTTACCCCGCGAAACTCCTCATTGCCCCGCAAAGCATACCGGGGTATCAACACCCGAAGGCACCTCCCTGTTTGCTGAATACTGTCGCACCCTCTCTTCACGATGACCAAAGCAGGGCGACAACGAGCTGTAAGAAAGCTCAGTCATATCTGGTCTTGATGAGTCTAGCGCGGGGAGTCATTAACACAAAAAATCTCGATGACATCGCTTCAATTCAAGAAAGTATTGTGCCTTGAGGCAGTTACAAGTCATCTCACACGGGGAGACAGTAGAACCTTGTCCAAGCTTGTAAACTTACTCTCTATAGCTTATCATATCGTGTTGCTGAGCTCAGACCTCGTAAGGTAGGAACATCTACAGATGGATGTGGAGCCGATGCGTCGTCCGGGTTATCATCCTGGCGATCTTACCGACACTGTGGCACACCTACCAAGCTATAAAGAGGATGTTTGTATTCCTGGTGAAAGCACGACAAGCCTTCCCTAGTGACCATGAGAATAAATACTAGTCTGCTATGGAGTCTGTTGTGGACATATGTCGCCATCCCACTGGCCAGGTAAGGCTACGCAGCCTTGACATTTGTGGTCTACCGGCAAACATTGACACGAAACAGCTGTGACAAGCTCTATCCTGCCGCTATCGCTCTCGGTGCGGCGACTCAACACAACACATGCTCATTTGCGGCTTTCACTCTCAACTCAAGTAGCCCTGTAGCGACACTGGACTATGGCTTCGAGGTTGCTGGTTACCCGTTCTTCCAGGTTGCCGGCTTCAAAGGACCGGTGCAGATTGAGACAAGGTCAGTCCGTACCGCCCTCACCAGAAACACCCAGGCTCACATGCAGCAGATACTCAGAAGATCTAGGAGAGATCGATCTTCCATATTCTGATGGTCCGTTCCCGTTCGGTGAAGGCCTCTCAAACACATACAGAATTGAGACACTCGAAATCACATCGAAAGGTCAACTCAACTCATACCTCGCGCAAGGTGGCCAACGCTGGCAAACAATTCGTTTGCTCACATCCGGATATGTGACGTTTGCCAGTGTCGGATTCACGGCGACCATCAATCCAGTCGATGCTAATAAATTGCCTGGTCGCTTCCAGTCATCGAATCCTCTCTACAATGAAATTTGGAGACTTGGAGCTAGAGCTGCCACTGCTTCTTGCTTCGATGCGGGTGCTTACAAGTCGAAGTGGGATGTCAGCAAAATTGATGGTGCATTCGTTCGGGGTTCCCGTCCGAGTATCTCCGTCAAGGGGAATGATTTCTCTAACTACAACTTGACTTTCTCTGCCAAGATCAAGCGTGGTGGACTAGGTTGGGCTTTGGCTTATGCTGTGAATAGTAGAAGTGGTGGCATCCAGCTCAACCTTGTTGGGGACTACCCCGACAATTCTACGTTCGCTAACGTCAATCGAACCCTTCTCCCAGCCAACAGTGTCGTCCTTGGCTATGGATTCAGTCTTGTGAACCAGACCACGGTCGACTCATACTACCTTGACAGTTTTAAGGTGCCCTTTGACGTCAGAGAAGGCCAGTGGTACTCAATCTCAGCTCTCATGCATGAAGGCAACTACCTGGCTGTTCTGATTGACGGCACGAAGATATTCAACATTACGCTCAACGACTACTACACTGCGAGCTCAGGTGCCGTCACCACCGGCTCATTCGGATTCGGCGGCTGGCAAGATCAATCTGCATACTTCAAAGATGTCGAAGTGGTATCAAGCAACGGTACAACGATCTACACCAATCCCATGATCGATCCTGTGACTGTACTGACAGAGTATGGCGTTCGATACAACACACACCCTGTTTGTCTTGATGGCGCCAAACGAGACCGCCTTGTCTGGTTGGGTGACTTCTATCACACAGCGGGAATCATTGCGACATCTACTTCTCGCAAAGATCACTCTGCTGGTACTCTCCAGGATTTCCTTGACTGGCAGTTGTCTACAGGTCAGCTTCCGCTCTATACTGCTTTAGGCTACAATGGATCTGCATCTTTACAGTTCGCTTCCACTGGGCCTGAAGGGCAGTTCTATGCCTTGCAAGATTATCACATCTTGGGACTGCTCTCTTTCGTCTCCCATATGCGCTACAACAACGATATTGCCTTTGCTACGGAAAACTGGTCACAGTGGAAACTCGCGGTCAACTGGTTGATTAGTAAAATCGACAGGTCTACCGGGCTGGTCACATTGTTCTTCACCTTCTTCCCGGATAGCAGTGGCTTAGCAGTCAATTCTGCTTCCGTGCAGGCTCTGCGGGGAGCTGCCGAGATCGCCGGAGTGCTCGGTGACACTGCTTCTGCTAGTTCATGGACCGCCGTAGCTGATCAGCTCACTGCAACGATCCAATCTCAGTTCTGGCAAGCTAACCTGGGCTACTTCAGCGACACACCCCAAAACACAACCAAAATATCTGTTCAAGGTCTAGCCTTCGTCGTCACATCAGGTATTGCATCACAGTCGCAAGCAGCGTCCTCTATAAACGCTCTGACTGCTCTCAAGCTATCTCCTGGGTACAAAGACACCACCACAGTCTCTTCAGAGGGTGTAGTAAGCATATCACCAAACACCAATGGCTTCCTTCTCGCCGCACTCATGCAATCAAATCGGACAGCGGAGACAAAGTATCTGTTTGACAATCTCTGGGCCGCCATGATCAACAACGATACCACCCACAGTGGCGCATCGTGGGAATACGTGGATACAAATCTGCAACCGGCGCTTTCCCGCTACACCAGTCTTTCACATCCATGGGGTGGTGCACCAACATATATTCTTACTGAATATGTAGCCGGCATTAGACCTGTGACTTTCGGGTACAAAACTTGGATTATCGCGCCTGCGTATACAGGCTTCGGTCTCGATTCAGCTAGTGCACAGGTAAAGACACCGTTTGGACTACTGAGCGTGAAGTGGAGCGTTGCTTTGGGCAAAATCAATGCAGTGATCTATGCACCAGCTGGCACTTCTGGCACGTTTGTCGTCAATAGAGCCTTTGCGAACTCGACGAAGGCAAACACTGTGGTGCAAGTCAAGGGTGGAACTTTGCCAAAAGTAGTGTGTTTAGATCTGTAAATGGCTACCATCGTGATGGACCCTCGACGCACATCAGGGCATGTCTGTGAAGGGAGATTGGAAGGTTGTTCGTAGCATGATCAAATGATTGCATTGAGCAATATGCGATGAATCAAGTTCTCGACCCATTAGTGGCATTGCGTGTGACAGCAAGCTGAGAGTCAAAGCGACGATTTCAGCGCGTCATGAGCACGCCAAGACATTGCGGGACATCTTCGGATTGCGGGCGCCGGGGAACTTGAAGACAGGCATCGGCCTCATGGCAGCTCGACTGGTGCCAAACGCAGCCACGACTATCCCAATCCGCCTGGCCACTTCATTCGAAGAGTCTGCTATACCCGATCGCAGCCAGTCCACATATCGCTAGCACGCTTCTACCCAAGCGGCGCAACACGTCAGCCCCTCGCAAGCGAATCAGACGGACCGAGCACAAGTCACAATGGCAGCCGACCACGCCGACATCTACGACTCGATGACGATGCAGTCAGACAGCGAGACATACGACCAGCCCGACGTCTCACCACCGTCGTCGCCTTCCTCGGACTCCGCATCGCCATTGATCCTCTACTCACCACCTACCTTCTGGGGCCTGGTGCGGGGCGCCGCCATCAACCTCCTTCTGCCTTTTGTCAACGGTCTCATGCTGGGCTTCGGCGAGCTATTTGCAAACGAGCTCGCTTTCCGCTTTGGCTGGTCAAACACAAAGGTGTGTTATGCTGCCGGAAACCAGATGGAAGCAGATGCTAACTGCAACAGGTCTTCCCCATGCACAGACGAGTCGGTCCCGGTGTCGAGATGCGAGTGGACCCCATCGAGAAGAGAAGACGCAATGGACAAGAGTTGGATGCCTACACGAGCTTGGAGTAGAGCGACCAAGGAGGATGATCTGCATTACAGCATGGAGCGGAGTCGGCGTTACCTGGTTGTTTTCCCTCTTGTTTTCCATATTTTCGTCAGACTCGGCTATCTGCAAAGAAGCATGTCAATATGTCCAGCACGCCTTTTAATCCACCTCGTCTGTCTGACCGTCTAGAAACTTGTGAAGCCCGGACATTCTGGCCGAGTCTCATGCTATTCAAAGTGGACGACAATTCGTGAGCTACGTATAAGAGAGGCAAGGGCTGCTTTTGCTTCTGGCCCAAGTATCAGTCACATAGATCGGATCGCGCAGGTTGGCGGACGAGGAGAGAACTCAGAGAAGAGATGGCGGAAAGAATTCCGTACACCAACGGGCCGAGCCTCCCGCCTCCCGCTTCCCATGACCGATTGGCCGAAGGAGGACGGCGTCACAGCTGCGGCTTCCTTCTTGATCGACTTTCAAGATTTCTTTTGGGCATATACACACAGACAGACTTCTACCCACCACACAGCCAATACAATCACACACGATGGCAGGCAAGAACATGTCGTCGCGACTGCTGAACATGAAGGTTTGTGGCACAATGCGCCGACACAATTCCCGAGTCTGACACGATGAACAGTTCATGCAACGCGCATCAGCATCAGCATCGACACCAAGCACACCGACCACACCAGACGGCACGAGACCTTCGAAACGCCAACGCACCGAAGCAGCCGTCAGTCCCGATGTGCGCGCATTCCAGGAAGCTGCAGCGGTCGAAGAAGCAAAGAAGAACGCCTTTATCGAGCGCGCCGCCGCCGAAGCTGGAGAAACAAAATGGGTCCTCAGTGTCAGCGATGAGAAGCACAAGAAGCCTGCCTCGAGTTTGAGGATCGTCGAAGCTGGATATGGCGCCATCGACTCGGGCGCACCCATACCGGAAAGCGGCGACGACGAAGATGAAGGCCAAAGTGCCGGCATGGCTGGACGAAGGAGTTTTGGAAGGTTCAACAAGGCTGTCGAGGTGAGAGATGCTATCATCGCTGATACAAGAGCGATTCACCGCATACTAATCCATGCCAGCGCCAACACAACCCAGACATGTCATCCTCGGACTCCGAACACGACTCAGACGCAGAGTCAGAATCAGAGTCAGAAGACGATGAAGACCTAGACGAAGCTGAACTTCTCCTCAAAGCCGAACGCAAAGAAGCCGCCGCAAAACTCCGATCCGAACGCAAAGCACAACGCAAAGCCGACGAGGCCAAGACGAAACAAAGGGCCGAACGACGAAGGAGCAGAGACATCAACTTGAACAAGGTTAGCGGCATCTCGAATGCTGCCATAAGGGGCAAGCAGGCTGCCGTTGCCAACATGGCTTGTCACACCTGTGGCCAGAAGGGCCACTTGCAGAAGGAATGTCCAGAAAAAGGCCAAAGAAAGGGATACAAGAGGAAGAGTGGTGGCGGTGCTATGGATTATTGATCTGACACAATTCACCACATCTTTCTGCATCATGCTGACCACATGAATAGCGAAGGCATCGACAGAGCGATATAAGTCGCCGCCGAGGTGTCCAATCATGTAAATCGTGCCCACCCTGCCGAAGTTCAGACTGACACGGGCTCGCTTGTACGCGAAATAGCCTTCTGGTGGGCCGTTGATACAATTCACTCTGTAGCCTAAGGTTTGTGTAATCTCCCCACCACCCAGATAGGTCTTCTTTCCAATCGTCAATGACCTCTCCAGTCTGAGTCATCAGGATTGCGGCCAGCGCGTGTGAGACCTTTCATTTGCCTGACAGTTTTGCGTCCTCGAAAGTATCAGTTCTACGCGAATCACTGTCCCCCCAACCGGTTGTGAGCTGTAATTTGCTACACTGTAGATGTTCAAGGTCGAACTCGTCTGCCAGACACTTGAACAACGTGTAGCTGTTGCCCGAACGGGTCTCCCCACCCTGATTATCTTCAAAGAACTCGCCGTCTTCGTCGCAGTCGACTATGGCTTTTGTCAACTCAACGCGACGGAGAATCTGCTTGTGCCTCGACAATAATAGACACAACACGCGCAAACTGGTCTTGCAGTTCTCAATCTTTGACCCGCAAAAGATGTTCTCCTTGAGTGACTGCTTCATAGTTTCATAATCTATACTGACATCGGGAAGTCTCTACGCGTCTTGATGCAAAAGTCAAAAGTCAGTGCTCAGCACACCTCTTAGATTAAACAAATGTTGCGAGATGATTTGATCGACGCGTGTATCTTGAAAGCAGGATGCTTCGTTCTCATCAAAGATGGGGACCGGGCGCCGGGTGATCAAATCTAGCTCGAGAGATACTTAAGTGAATTAGCCTTCTCTGAAGCCTTGTGGAGATCACGCAGTGTAGCTCCAGGATTCAGAGTCCAGTCATCGACGGGGTTTAGATCTGCTTCGTACAAAGCTGATGTGCCGCACGTATGGTCCGAATACCTTGTGCTCAGTGATCCAGATGGAATCTCTCCGTGCGCGAAATGCTGACGCATTTGAAGTTGTCCCAAGGCACGAACTTATCCAAATCTGGGGCGATCGCATCTAGATACATCTTCCGTGACTGTGCCTTTCTACAGCTCGTCAGCATGAAGATCAGTGTGCCTTTTTGCAGCTCCTATATTATGCCGTCGTGCTTAATGGGAGAGAATATTATTGAATGTCTCGACGGAAGGCCTGATACCCATAGAGATCTAGCAATGTCTCTCTCAGCGCAGGTTCCCACGAGTCTTCGATGTCTAGTCCGACCTGGTGCGAGGTACTCAGGTCGAAAAAGTCACCGAGAATTTTTCTGGGCCTATAACCGATATTCCAGTGGGTTGCGTTGTCGTACATACGAGGTTCATCCGTGCAAAGTCGTGAACGTACCAATTTCATCATAGACCCCGAGCTTGACAGTGTGGCGATGGTGCTTCAGATTGCGCATCGCGACTTCAATCATTTCGACGTTTTCACCAGATTTGACGAACTCACGATGCTTCCTAGCCCGGTCTCTAATATCTGCCAGCAGCCTATTCTCTTCTGACAAGTTATCGGGGGGCACGGATGAATTTAGATGCCAAGAAAGTCGTTGTGTTCCGAAGGCAATGCTGCGTACTCAGAAACCGAACACTTCGTAGCTGGCAAGGTGGACCAGACCTCGTAGACTGTGAGGAGTGAAGTGAAAGTTGCGGTCTAGAAGGCCCTTCCGGGCAAATGAACGACTTTATCGTGTTTGGTAGTCTTTGCAAGTCGCGCGTACACTAGCAAGATCTGCAGCGCTTTCGGGTTTGCTGACGATGATATTCTGAAGCTCAGGTGGGCGTCTTGTGAGACTCATGATGTAGGCAAAGTTGACGATGTGCTGATGGAAACAGTCCGACTGTCCGGGATGGGTTAATATGGGAAGACAGGTTGACGCGCTCATGCGCGTGATTGACGCGCGTCTCTATTAGGCCGTCAGTTGAGCAATGACGGAAGCATGAGCCGAGATGCCAAGTAGACTTGTGCCAAAGAGCAAGTGTTACCGGAGTTTTACAATGTTTTTGGACACGCAACTCAAATGTCAACGCGTGCTTGCTTACTTGCTTGCTTGCTTGCACGCCTGTTCTTCTTTAGATGGAAGTCTCTTAGCATCATGAACTGCCATGTGTTCCAAAACGGTCACATCGATCATTAGATCTTTTTTCAACCATAGGAGCGGAATGCCGCAGTCACTAGCGATGTGGCCGAGTCTCCAATGCCTAGTCTAGGATAGAGGAGGCTGTTCGCTTTGACACCCTCTCAGATGAACGCTTGCTGAGCGGCCACAAACCGACATTCCAATACTTAAGACCAGAGGCGGATAATGATGACCGCGATATCTCATTCGCTGCCGCTACAGGAAGGCAGATAAGACAGACACCGTCCATCTCGGACCTGTCGCCACTAACATCTCACCTTGTCACAGCGATACTCACTCATACTTACCGCTTAACGAGCAATTCATCAACTAGAATTGCTCCCGAGGACTCTATCTCTACTCTACCGACCTTGGCCGCTATTAACCCATCGTTCTTGGAATTTTTTCATCGCCCCTCAGACTTGGTCGAATCGCGCTTTCTGATCATGGTCGAAGGAAGATACCATGTCGACATTACCGAGGCTCGGTACCACTGCTTTCCCCAAGGTGGGCTCTGCTGTATCTATAGAAATCTCCGAGGTCCACGCATACCAGTCACACCGGTACCTGCATGCAGGTGACGACTTGATGTTTACGCAAAGCTTGCATGTCGTCAGTATCCTAGTAGTTCTTCTGATTGGTATTCCAGAAAGCAGCGAGTCATTCTCGAAAGCCGTGTCGTCTACAGCTGGGCATTTCGAGAACTTGTGGTTTAGTTGATCTTGTGCAGATTGTGTTCCGTCGGCATAATCTTCTGACTTATCTTGCAGCATTCCCATCCGAGCACCCCTAAGGTGAAGCGCAAGGCTGAGGCTGAACGCCTAAACAGGGGGACCACAAGTTTACGCGAGATGATAAGATATTTCGCCCACATTGCAATCATTTGCTGACCTTTGAAAGATGCGTGTGTGATGCTTGAGCATCAGCCGATATCACGTACCACGCAACAAGGCATATCGCCAATAAACGGTCGTAAAGTGGCTACTAAAGGGACGACAGTCTAGAATTTCCTCTCTGCTTCACACATGCAGTCCTGCACCCACGTGCGACACCAACACAGATCCTTTTGACCTTATATCAGCCGTCTTTCGGTTGACTTCGGCTGGTGGTCACCAAAATGATAGAGCTGCGCGAGGATGCGGGCAGAGAGGCGGAGCATGAGGCGTCCTTGGCCGATCTTGGCGACTAGCTGAAGTCACGAAAGATGTCCAGCCAAGGCCCGGAAGCCAACGTCAAGACGCTCGCGTGCTTGGCCAACATACAGGATGTTCCTTTTGGTCAACACGTGTTTGGATGCTTGAACCTCATTGTTCTGACAGTCCTTCTCCGCCAAGTGTCTCCGATGACATTCGCGAAGCGTTGCATTTTGAGGTAGGTGATGCTTTTGGGGAGGGTTTGAATTGATTTTTGCAGTGGCAGTGTACGCGAGTGGGTGAGTCTTGGACTTTGTTCATAAGCAGCAGGGGACGAGAGGTATTTCATTCTGTCTTTCGTCTCTTGGTTATCGTGCATCTTCCTTACCAATATCTTGAATACCGCTTGGCATTGGCTTCGCCTGCAGAAATCCGTCAAGATGGTTCTTCACGAATATACTTATATCTTTGCCATTGGTACTTTCTTTGCTCTACTTGAGGCATACAACAATGGTGCCAACGATGTCGCCAACGCATGGGCTACCAGTGTCTCCTCACGCTCGGTGTCTTACCGCCAGGCTATGGTCAGTCGTTTTGAAAAATGTGCTGGTCAGACAGAAGACGCTAATCATAATTCTCCAGGTGCTCTGTTTAATTTTCGAGATGACTGGTGCGCTCGCAGTCGGTGCCAGAACCGCTTCAACTATCAAGAACGGCATTATCCCCATTGCTGCTTTCCAGGGTAATGCCCCTGTACAACTTCTCGCCTTCACTTGCGCAGCTGCTGGTGCCGCTATCTGGGTCATGTGGTGTACACGACACAATGCTCACGTCTCATCCACCTACTCCCTCGTTTCCTCGATTGCTGGTGTCGGTGTCGCCACTGTCGGTGTCAAGGGCGTCCAGTGGGGCTGGAACGGTATGTGCAATCCTCGGCATGACACGACGGATATGAACTAACATCTTCTCAGGTGGCTCCGGTCTTGGTGCTATTTTCGCTGGTCTCGTCATGGCTCCTTTCATCTCTGCTGTTTTTGGTGCTACCATCTTCATGCTGGTCAAGACCACTGTCCACATGAGAGTTAACCCCGTGCCTTGGGCTGTCTACACCTCTCCTTTCTTCTTCCTCATCGCCGGTACTATCTGCACATTGTCGATCGTCTACAAGGGTTCTCCTAAGCTCGGTCTGACCAAGAAGCCTGGATACTGGATTGCTGGTGTCACTGTTGGCTCTGGTGTTGCTCTTGCAGTCCTCGCCGCTCTGTTCTTCGTCCCCTACGTCAATCAGCGTGTCATCCGCAAGGACTACACCCTGAAGTGGTATCACATTTTCCTTGGTCCTCTCCTGTTCACCCGTAAGGCTCCCGCTGACGCCGAGTTCGCCATGGTTCCCAACTACGCCGTCATGGACCATGACGACCACTCCGATGTTAAGGCCAAGACCTCTGCACCTCCCAGCATCGAGATGACTGGCAAGGGCGGTGACTCTGAGATCACCACTGGTGAGCTTCGCCGTAGATCCATCCACATCTCTGAGGAGGGTGGAAGCAGTACCGCCTCTTCGCCCGAGATCGCCCCTCAACGCAGAAACAGCCTCACCAATGAGAACCCCAGAGAGGCTTACGCTCGTATGCTCAAGGAAGCTCGCGAGCAGCACCACGCCGATCTCCGTCAAGAGCGCGGACCCCTTGGTTGGGCTATGCGTACCATCCACGAGAACCAGCTCGGTGCCGGTTCAATCTACGAACTCCATAATATGAAGGCTGTTCTGAAGTGTATTCCCGCTGGTGTCGTTGTCTGTCTGATGTACGGTCTCTACTATGATATCCACAAGGCTCAGGTCGGTATCCTCGGTACACCTGAAGGAAGACGTATGGCCCGTGTCTACGCTCACGCTCCCCGCTACGCCAACGAGGTTGAATACTTGTATTCCTTCGTCCAAGTTATCACCGCCTGCACTGCTTCCTTTGCCCATGGAGCCAACGATGTTGGTAATGCTGTCGGTGTTTGGGCCGCCATGTACGCAGCCTGGTCGTCCGGTACTGCCGCTAAGGCCAAGGAGGTAAGCTTCTCAATTCGAGATCTGTTTCTTGACCCTGACTAACTGATCTATAGCCTGTCCCCACTTGGCAAATCGCTGTCGTCGCTCTTACCATCTGTATCGGGTTCATCACATATGGCTACAACATCATGAAGGGTGAGTGCTTCAAGTCCTTTCAACATCTGCAAGTTCTAACACAATCTAGTCATGGGCAACAAGATCACCTACCACTCTCCTTCTCGTGGTTCATCCATGGAAATGGGTGCTGCCATTACCATCCTCATCTTCTCTCAGTACAAGCTTCCCGTTTCGACCTCCATGTGCATCACTGGAGCCACTGTTGGTGTCGGTCTCTGCAACGGCTCGTTCAAGGCTGTCAACTGGCAGCGTGTCGGTCTTCTGTTCATCAGTTGGCTCGCTACTATCCCCATTGCAGGCTTGATTGGAGGAGGTATTATGGGTCTGACGCTCAACACACCCAGCTTCAACAACTAGACCTCCGAACAAAAGGCGGCATAATACGAGGTCTCACTCCTTTCTCACATTAATACAGACACTCTTTCTTGTTATTTATATATAGATTGCTTCTGATTATATCCTACTTGCTTATGAACAAGAAAAAAGTTCCTCCTTGACCACTCTGAATGTCACGCCTTGTGAGCCGCGCACGCTTTGAGTACAAACTAATAGACGGAGCAGCAAAAGCTACAATCCACTGCTCCAGGATGATCACTAACTTCTCGATCCGAGTCACCAAGATTGCGGTCTTTTGGCCGCAAAACGCTATTCAAGATATGTACGGCGTGGTGCTTGAAGGACCTTCCAGCTGCGAGTCGGGGATGGTTCAGCTATCACACCATGCAGAGCACTGCGGTAATGAATCGATCCGGTCGAATACGAGGGTGCGATTGAGGGGACATGGGCTAACTCAGAGCCAGAAAAGACAATTGTTTTACTCTTGGTCACTTGCGCTAAGACCAGCCGGTGTGCGAAGTACTGCCACCTCCGTGGCCGTCTCAAGGCACAGTCTTATCCATTTCGGCAAAGCTTACACGGGCAGTCGTAGACAGGACGTGTCTCAGTGTCATCGCTTCGGATACAAAAAGGTTTGTGCCTTGAGACAGCCACAAATGTGACACCATTAGCACTTCGCATCATCGATCCTACAGCTCTCGAATCAATGTGAATACATCCAATGCATCCACTATATGCCGACAGAGGTATGAACATCCTGCCCAGTTCATCTTAATTACCCATCATTCGGACTGGCTGTACCCACCACCGCTGGATAGAGTGCAGATGATGTTGTACCAGATGTGTCTTAAAACCCCATTTCCATCACCTCCATCATCGCTACCTCAACCACCATATACCCAAGACAAGGTATCTTTCGACGAGAATGCGACCTACTACAATACGTCACCCGTGTTTCCACTTGCAGGGCCAGAAAGGCGGAAAGGAAGGCCCAAGGGCGGAAAAGCTTGCTGAGCAGGTAAGTCTTGATATGACTTCGATGCGAAGTCTTTCACTAGTATGCAACAAAGTTCAAGGTTACATATATCGACGGTGGATCTACAGCCACTGACTATAATGCTATGATCGTTAACAACAACCTTGGCATTACTGCTATTGCCACTACCGTCAAGCGTGTGGAAACCACCATTGACACTCTATCTCACTAGTATAAAGCTTCCAAAGAAGGCTAAGTAAGCGACCGACAAGCCATTCGGGCTTGCAGAATCGATTCTGTGGAGACATCAAGGGATATATGGGGTACGAAGTGCTACAATTCGCCCTCTACGGTTGCTACAGATGAAAGAGGATCTGGTCAGATTCGCGCTGGCGGAGAAATAAACAAAATCCTTATGTTCCACATGATCTCAAAATGAGAAGGATATGTACAGCCCATAGCTACCTCAGACTACTTCTCGCTTCAACAGCATACCTCACGCCTTCACCATCTGTATGCTGTCGATGTCTCCGGAGGCTTCAGCCATCACCTCCTCGTCATTGTGCACAAAGGCCTTGTCGCCAAACGCGATGGCGATTTCCTCCAGAGAATGTCCAGCAGTTTCGACATAGTAGAAGTACGCCAGACCAGCGGAGAAGAGACAAAAGCCTCCGATGATGACGTAGAAGTAGCCGTGGATGCCCGCAAAAGCGTCAGGGGACACCATTCCGATAATAAAGTTGAACACCCAGTTGCTGAACGTAGCGAGAGCCATACCTTTAGAACGAGACCTCAATGGGAAGATCTCTGCTGGTAAAAGCCATGGCATAGGACCCCATGTGACTTGAATATGCCTGCCCAGACATGTGGCCATAGCTTTAACTCTCTGTTTGTCAGTAGCTATGGCAGTCCTTTGTTTGTAGGTAGATTATATAGAGTAGATAGCTCCCATAGCTCAGAGAATCAAGCACTCTGTTCCTCCTTATTAGTTGCAACTGGTTATAAGCTACTTCTAAGGGTTCAAATTTTTTGATCACTCAGTTTTTTAAACTTGTAAAGAGAACCGCTAGTGCCTATAACAGCCATAGCGTCATCCACTAGTGTCACCGAACTTTTCGGACACTCCCGCATTAAGATCCTTACTAGCTAGGGCAACTACATTTACTAGTATAGGGACATTAAACCTACTGTACAATCCAGAAACCTCTAGACCCTCATTTATAGAGAGGAAACCGTGCTCTAGCGGCCTACGCGCCCTGTTAAACCTTAACCTGTTACCTTAGCCCTCCGCACTACGACGCGTAGCACCGCTCGGAAGTAGGCCTCCGCTTATACCTCTAGCGGCGAAACTCCTAACGAAGGAAAGGATAGAGTGACACTTAACACCTTTAGCTCTAAAGGTTATAAGGAAGCCATCGAAGAATACAAGCTATTAATCTAGGAGTATCGTCTCGATCTTAACGACTTTAAGAAGTAAGATGTCCGCGTTCGCCTAGCTAAAGGCCTACTTACTATATCTATCGACCTATCTATCCGTAGCATTATCGCGGACACCGACGATCCCTATACTGCCTTTACTTAACTTAAGGAGATCTATAAGATAACTAACGCTCGCGCCTTAGGAATTGCTTTTACTAAGCTTAAGGAGCTTAAGTTCGATGCCTTAAAGACCGTCTCCGTTTTTTTTAATAATGTTATTCTCCTATAGAACGATGTTAAGGAGCTTAATAGCACTTACTCGGACGACTAAGTTATCGCTAAGGTCTTACGTAGCTTACCCCCCTGTTTCTCGCCCTTTATTAATTACTAGAATATATTAGCCGGTACGGCATCTATCCCTAACACCGTTAAGGAATTATACTCGTAGCTTCTAAGCGTAGAGGTATAATTCCCCTAGAAGTCTACGACTACTCGCTCTAACAACACTTGTCCTAAGGGCAATCGTAACAATTTAGATAAGCTTAGAAACACCCTCCTACCTTACTATAATAAGTACGGTACGTATAAGGAGGATAAATGCTAGTCGCTATACTCTAAACTTCGTAAGACCTCTAGCGCTAACGGTAGCGATAAGCCTTCCTTTAAGCTTTAAGCTAACCTTATCTTATAAGAAGACGAGAAAAAGAAGAATAAGACTAAGGATAAAGAAAAGGAAAAGGATAATAATAAAGTTAAGAAGCTCTAAAAGGTTACTACTAGTGCTATTATCGGCGACCGTAACTTATTCGAGGCTCTCTACACTTAAGCTTTCTAGCCTAATATAGACCTCGACCTTTAACTAAAGTTAGTAATTAATACGCCCCTTCCTTAATTAGACGATATAGATCTTCTCTATATCCCTAGCGCCTTCCCCGATTCTCCTAGCTCTATTACCTCCTCTTATAACGCGTAGACTATCGCGATTTATAACGAGCTTTATTTATTAGGCGTATAGCCTACCGACTATACTAGTTATATTTAGCCCTTTAAGCTATACTAAGTTATTCTATTACGTACTACGACTACCGATAACGAAACTATATACGTCTCTAATAACGTCCTTAGTATTTATAATGCTCCGTCTATATATCTAGACATATTATACGCCGTCTATAACGAGGGCGCATCTAATATAACCTCTAAATTCTCTATAACAACTTCTAATAAGAACGCTATAAATAAGGCTATAGATAAATACTACTAGTATCGTAACGACGTCGACTCTTAGTATTAGCTTTAAGACGAGCTTACTAAATCGCTCTATAACAATCCCTCTAATCCTAAAGGTACCGCACTTCTCCCTTCCTACCTTATAATATTAGCTAATCCCTACCTCTAGACTTTATTCTCTAGATTAGAGACGTCTTACGTTACCTCTTCTAAGAGTAAGTAGGGTGTTATTTAACAGTTAATAGGGGAGAGGTTATACTTTATAATCGTATAATAGTAGGACCTTAAGGGTAATATATAAATAGCAGATTCGGGAGCTAGTATATTAATTATAAACGATAAGGCGTAGTTTACTAATTTCCGTTCTTTCTTATTACCTATAGGCACCGCTTTAAGCGACGAGTAACTCTATATTAAAGGAGGAGGTATCGTTACGCTCTATCTTAATATTAGTAACGGCGAACTAGTAGAACTTAAACTTTATAATGTTACGTATACCCCTACTACTCGTTATAATATATTATCTTTATCTTATGTCGCCGAAAAGGCCGGCCTCTCTAGTATATAGTTACGCGACGATGTTACTATTAACACTCGTCGAGGCGCGCGAATTAGTATCGCCCTACTAATTAACGGCCTCTACTACTTATAACTTACCCCCTATTCCTACCTGTCTCTTACTTACCGAGTTATACTTACGTATCCTAATAATTAGGATAGCGATATAGGAGATAGGGGAGACCCTAATAGTATAAAGTATACTAAAGGGGGAGACTCTAATGCCGTTTCGAGTCGCGCTTAATTATAGGAATAACACCTAGATATAGGAGGGGGTACCGATAAAGAAGAAGAAGAAGAAGAAGAAGAAGCTCGATATACTTCGTCTCGCGCCCGCTTACGAGAAGGGGGAGAGCCCGATATAGACACTTACTATAATCCTAAATCGTAGTCTAAAGGAGGTGTTTTATCCTCTAGCGAAAACTTAGAATTCGACGATAAGGACGCTCGAATGCCCCCTAGTACTATTCTACCTTTCGCTGTACCCGAAATCGACTACGACGACCCTATATAGATTTAGCACTAACGCCTAGGACACCTAGGTTTTAATAATATAATGAAACTTATAAAAGTCTCTAATAGCATCGATCTTACTAAGAAGCAGATTAAGGCTAAGGCTAGTATAATCTATCTAGTATACGCTATAACTAAGGCACTAAATCGTATCCCGCGAGATCCTACTAGACGTCGAGCAAACCGTATTAGTAAGCTTATTTATATAGACGCCTAGGGTCCGTACCTTATTATAGCTTACGATAGCACTTTTTATATGCTAGCATTAATCGATGACGCTACTCGTTTTATATAGACTGTCCGCATCTCTATAAAGTCTTAGCTCCTTAAGAAGTTAAAGTACCTCTACCGAAGAATTAAGTAGAAGCATAATATCTCTATTACTATATACTGTTTTAATAACGAGCTTCCGTAGACTAATAAAGTTAAACGTTAGGTTTAACGAAAGGGTATTACTTTAGAGCTAGCTATTACTTACCGCTATTATATAAATGGCGTTACTAAACGAGGTTTTTATATAGATTGTAAGCGATCCTTAGCCTTAATAAGGGAAACCTATCTTATAGGCCGTATAAGTAAAATAATTCTTAACCGTACCTACGAGACCCTATTAAACGCGTTAATTCCCGAGAAATTTTAGATAGAAGCTTTTAAACACGCTATATAGCTAAAAAATAGAGCCCCTTTACGTACGCTTAGGGATAATAAAATACCTTAGGAAGCATTATATAGTATTAAACCTAATCTTTTAAAGGAAAAGATTTTCGGTAGTAGAGTCTACCTTACCGACCCTCCTAAAACGAGAAGAAAGACCCTTCTACTTACTAGAGGTCGTCTTCTTTACTTTATTAGTTACGAATCTAAATCTATAATAGTGTCTTTCGATTCCGATAATAATAGGGTTAAAAGAATTATAGCTACTCGCGTAGAAGATAGGGTTAGCGTTTAGGACTATTACCGAGATCTATCTCTATAAGATAGAGAATAGTACGCTAACACCTCTAATAGAGATTTAGTAGGATTAGCGGCCGACTGCTACTACTATTTATTAGATGACGAGTAATAATATTATATTATAAGCGATAACGATCGCGACTATAATAAAGAAAACGATAACGAGCGTATCTCTATACTTAAGTAAGGATCTAATAGGGAAGCTAGTAGAATCTAAGAATCTATAATTATATCTTAGATCTAAGAATCTAAAGTCGACGATAACACTATCCGAGTTACCGACACATCTAATAATAAACATAATAACTAATACTAAACCGACGAGGTATAAACGTTAAACTAAATCGCCGCCTTAAATGATTTACCTTCCTCCTCTAAATACTCGGCCCTAACTACCTCGTACTTCTTTAATAAGTTACGTTCTATAAAGTTAAAGTCCCGTTCTACTAAACTATAAGCTAATATAGTTCGTCCTAGTCGTTATAATATCGCTAAATAGGAGAATCTAGATACTATTACTATACTTAATGTCTTAAGAGAGATAATTCCGGGAAATAGAGCTACGCGTATCGAGATTTTCCGAAAGATGTTTCTAGGCGCGGAAGTTAAAGACGACACCTTTAGTAAGGTTACTAAGAGAATAGGAACAACTAACGAGCGAACGACGTTTATAACTCTCTAGCCTAATATAGATGACGAAGCTAACTATACTAATATTAAGGAACGCCTTACTATATACATTTCTACTAGTCTTACGTAGAAATATAATAAGCTAGGTAGTCCTATTAACGGTAAGAGGACGTATACCTTTAAAGAGAAAATCTTTATAGATATTATTATACCTTAATAAAAATATAGTAGGCGGGCAGCCTACTACCTTTACCTTAATGTCTTCTCGAACATTCTTATAGAGTTTACTATACCGAGTTACGATACGTTTAAAAAGTTTTAGAAGAGATATATTAAAGGATAATACCCTATTCCTAACGGTATATAAGACGTTAGAGAATAAATTTAATAACGCATTAACGACAGTCCTGCTCTTACTAGATTTAATCTAGACTCTATTTAGCCTAACCGTGTTCTCTTAGAACTTAAGTATATACGTTATGCCTATATTACTACGGTTAACGCTATATATAACGGCAGGCCGTATACTTATTATATATTAAGTAACCGACTATATATAGTTAGAATTAATTATAATATGTCTATCTCGTATTACACTAATAAGAAGAGGCCCGAATTATATTCTAAACCTATAGAGTTAGTTAAATGCTATTATACTTATAATCGTAGAAGCCGTAAACTTATTAGGAAGAACTACTACGGTAGTAGGGAATTTCCTTACTAGCCTTACGTTAACCTTAGCGTAAAGCACCCTAAAATGGCTATTTATAAGCGTCTACTTCCCGACGGCGGTATTCTTACCTAGAGCTTAAATCCTAAAGGCGAGGTAAATAAGGGCAATAAGAATTTAGATGCTCCCTCTAACGATTCTAATAATAATAACTTAGATAGTAATAATACCTTAGATAAAGACTCTACTAAGTTATCCGACGAAGATAGTCCTAGCTCTCTCGCTAACTCTAGCGAAGGCCTCCCTATTAAGGCGTTAAAGGAGACGTTTTATAACCTACGCGGCCGACGTTCCTACGATGTGCGCCCCTCTATAAAGCGCCGTAGGTCTTCTTCCTACGATAATAACTATAACGCTAGTAGTAGTAGAACTGTTCTCTAAGAGCGCGATTCCTTTAAGACCTATTACGGAACTACGAAAGCCTTAGGCTAAAGTTACGCCTCCTACCACTTTTTAGGCTCTAACCGTAAGGCTAAATGTTTCTTAATCGCTAAATCTATCGCCTTAGGCCCTACGCCTAATATAAGAAAATAGGCTTTAGTAAAGCCTAATATAGAACTATAGAAGGTTACTATATAGGACGAGTACGACAGCCTTATAGCGAATAACACTTAGGATGTTATTCTACGCCCTAATAATAGAAGAAAGGTTCTATCTAGAAGATAGGTTTTTAAGCGTAAGCTTAGTCTAGATAGATCGGTAGTTAAATATAAGGCGCGTTTCGTCGTTCGTAGTTTCACCTAAATCTAAGGGCTCGATTATAATAAGACGTATTCGTTAGTTATTAAAGCCCCGTCGTACCGCCTACTCTTCGCTCTCTAAGCTAGATATAGGTAGATCTATTACTAAATGGATATTAAGACGGCTTTCCTATATAGCGAGATCGAGTATAACATCTATATTAAAGCTCCCGATAGTTTCCCTAAACGCTAGGGACGTATACTTCTCCTAAAGAAGTTACTTTACGGCTTAAAACAATTACCTAGGTAATAGGGTATTTATTTTTATAAATTCCTAAAGAAGAGCGGCTAGATGCCCTTAAAGTATAATCCTTACATCTAGATCTATTAAGGAAGCAACCCTTTAATTATTAATGTATATGTCGACGACATTAAGATCTTTACTAAAGATATAGCAGACATCGACGCTACTAAGCGTATACTTTACTCCGCTTTTAATATAACCGATCTTAGACCGTGCTTATACTACCTTAGTATATACGTTAACTAGGAATTAGATAGAAGTGTTTACCTCTACTAGTTAGCCTACATCTACTAAATCCTTAAACGCTTTAGCCTTACTATTACGATCCTACCTCGGATAGGGTTATATAGCCTACTCTATAGTTCCTTATACCTTAGCGGAATAGAGCACTCTATATAATACGCTATCTACTCTGCCCTACTCTACTACTCTACTTTATAGAGTATAATAGAGTATATAGAGTAACCTATATATACTTATTATCTATTAAGTATATAGGTAGGTAGGACGACCTTAGGTAGTCCTACGTTTAACTTAATTAGTTATTCTAATAGTCCCTTTAGTATATACTACTTTATATACTACCTACTTTACTTCGCTTAATACTCCGCTTTACGAGTCTAACCCTATAACCTATTATCTCCTTCTAGATAGTTAGCTATAACAACTTTAAACGCCCTTAGAATAAGTTACTTAAGTAACACTACCCCGAGAGGTACACCTAGCGAGGCTAGTAGAAACCGCTCTACTAGTACTACTTATAACGATAGTAAAGTCGCTAAGCCCGACCTCTACTATAGAGACCGCTAAGGGCTTAACGATTAGCTTAACTAGATAGATCTTTACTATATCTTTACTCCTATAGAGGAAGCTAAGAAGACTATCTTTGCTAGTACCTATCTCTGTAGAAGAGCCTAGCACTAGATGAAACCGATACTTTAGAAGTTCCTCGATAAATGTAAGGACACTAACGGGATTATAATAAGCTTTATTAAGTTTAAGACCGAGATACGCTATATCTTTAGTATCTCTAATAAAGATAAGGTTGCTATACGCCTTATTTAGTACATCCGTTAGTACACTTTAGCATCCGAATATGCCGCTAAGTTCTAAGAGTACGCCTAAGTTACCGATTAGGATAACTCCGCCCTTATAACTATATATCGACGTAGTCTAAAGGAAAATGTTAAAGACGAACTTATGCGAGCCGGCATAAAAATCGAAGATCTAGATAATCTTAT